GGAGAAAAAAGTCCATCGACGCGCTGTATCGGGCACTGACGGCAATAATTGCACCGTAGCATTCGAAATCAAAGCTACATGTGTGGTTGAATCCAGCAACGACACATCTGGCAAGATGCGAGCGTGCTTCGGCGGCGTGGTTGTACGACGGAGCTGATCGATAACGTGGGCAACCCACAAGTCACAGCACGTGACCCCTTCCACGACATCATCATTGCCGGCAACCATTCGGCGGGAATCGGCGGGCAATTGCACGCCGATTCTCGACGACCCATTGCACGATAACCGTCGTGACACACCGTACCCTGCGTGTCAGAAGCAGTTTGACTTCGCAGCTCGTGTGCTGCAAGACGGCGTAGCCTGTCCACCGGCAACGGTCAACGCCCTACCCTGCTTCTGTCGCGTTACGTCGCATACACGTCAAGTTTCACGACGTCTGGGGTGACGGAGCACAGTGAGTGGGCTGCAGCTGTGCGACGCCGGTCGACTGTTTATCTAGGCATCACCAACAGCGACGTTTGCCTTGGCCTATTATTGGCGTCGGCATCGAAGGGACCATTCATTGCCGCTCGTGTTGGTCGCACAACGCCTCGTTTCACACGGTGACAACAACAGTCATGCCACGCCAGGGAAACTCCTGACCTGGGACGCTGGATATAACCACAATAAAACCACCGAGTCTGGCAAGCTTGTTCGAGCCTCGGCGGGCCCGAGGCAGAGCAACATGGTCGCCAGCTATGTCGAAAGCGAGTGGTCAGGTGTGACGAAGAACGGCCCGCGTGTGGTAACTGTCGCAAGTCCCTTACCGACTGTCTTGGATATGACCGAGGCACGAAATCCGTACCAGGCAAGCATGTATTTTGACAGCGGAAGAAAGCCTGGGGCAGGGAGGCTGGGGCGTTGAGGAAAGAGCAATCACCGCTCTCCGCAGCGCCCTGGAGTGCGTTGGCGAGTCGATACTCAAGTGCATCATCTCCAGTGTCAGTCAGCGTTGACAACGTCGTCACTACTGTGGTCGCCCCGGTCCAATAGAGCAGAGTTTGTCAGAGCCATTGCGGCGTCTGTGAAAGCGTTGTCGTGGTTCGAAATGGGCAAATCGGGTGTGAAGACGGTGTTGGATGGGTCTACGTGCCCCCCTGGCCCTGTATCTTGTAGGCAAGGAAAACGGGGATGAGAGCACGGCTGCCCATAGTAGGACCATCTATGCGCACGAAACGGAGCGGAAGACCCCTGAGACACTGTGCGCGGAGATGCTACTTTGCTTATTCGAGGTGAGCCGTTTTGAGGTTAGATATGCCTTGGGTAGCGTGAGGTGCCAACCCCACGATGGCTTTTCGCTGGGAGCAAATCCGTCTGACTCTCGATTGTTCCATGCCGGAGGAACAGGCACGTTGATCGAACAACGCGGGCCAGCGGCTCACTCAGAAGGACGGGATGTCTCGATGACATTGGCATTTCGAGGCGTCTTGGAAAGTCTTCTTTGTCTTGATGCCTCCGTCTGACATTGACCGAGTAAGAGCATGTGTGTGACGTGTTCTTCCCGTCAGGCGAAGACTGCTTTCCGTCTCGCGCATAATGGAAGCCGATAATTCTGATGGAGCTCGTAGGCTTATCTGCCCTGCAGCCTATCTCGGCTGCACTATACACGTCGTCTCGGCACCACAGTTTAACCTCCGCAAGTCCAAGACCGGGCACGTTGCAACGACCGGAGGGTGTTGGAATCACCGTCTTAGCTCTCTCCGTTCTGTCGAGCACCGAAGCCTGTTTAACGCTTGGTACGACAGGTTTAGGATTATTACGCCTCTCGTCCGACATTCCGTCTCAGGAACCAGATTCCCCGTCTGACTTTGTCCTGCAGTAGAAGGTGTTGTGGATGGGATCCATCAACATTGGCTGCTGGGCGTGTCTGTTAATTCTGCAGGGGGCGTCGTGCAATGTGAATGGTTGGAAAAATTTGAGCAGTCGAGAGGGGGGGAACCCTCGATTTAGAGGCCCGAACCGAGTTGTGTTGAACATACAAACAGCATACGAGTTTGCGGGTGCAGAATCACAACTGGGGATGAGAAGGGGCTGGATCGGCTTAAGAAGACAGCTGCCGCGACCGATAAGTCGACTTATAAGTCATCCTGCGCCGAGGACCGACGACGGTAGATATTTATAGCCAACTGGAAGTTTTGAAGATGGAAGATGCGGCGTCCATGTGGGCGTGGCAAACAAAGACAAGGATAAAAGAAGAATGGCAACATGGGACGGCAAGGTTGGGGCTGGAGAATCTGCATAGAGCTATTTACTAACGCAGCTATTTGTTGATGAGTTCCCCGCGGGTATTAATCATCATCATGTCTGCATAGTCTTTATCTCGTCCCCCAAACGTGTTTGATATTACCATTCAGTCATCGTCATTGAGTCGTAAAAGTCGTTCCCGTACCGGCCAGCAACGATCATGCATGCAACTGGTGAACAACAAAATAAATGGTTCATGCCGCGAGTCCGGACGCAACCTCAGAACTTCTTCTTGATGGATTTTGCTAAATCCTTCAGCGAAGGCCCGCCGAAAATGAATTGATCTGTGTGACGTCCGCACGTGGTATGGACATTGACGGTGGGCGAGGACCTGATGAAGCTGGTTGAGGTCTTTTGAAGAGACGACCGGCCGGACAAGGTTGATGCCGAGCTCGAGTAGGATGCAGACCGCTGACAACTTGTTAAATTCTCTTCTGAGGATCTCTTCTTGTTCTTGTTCCTCCCGCTTCCTCTTTTTGTTTTTTTCCTTCCAGAGACAACAAGTGGTGATGCAGCCACTCGAGACTACGTACCTTGGAGGAGCAAGGGATGGAAGAAACCTCCGAGTCTACAGACTTGGTCTTGTTGAGATCCAACTTGGCTGGCGGGAGGGACGCCAAGTTCAGAGGGGGAGGGGGATCAGCACGAGAGGAAGCGCCCTTGTTCATGGTGAAGGACGAGATGGCGAGACGATGCGGCGATGGAGTCTATGGCCTTGAAGCCAAACAAAGGTGCCGAGGAAATAAAGGTGTCGGCAGCAAAATGCGGGATTTCCCCAGCCGATGACTCGGGTGCAGTCTGCCCAACCGACTGACTGACCACGCACTCGAGTACCTTGATTCTCCAAGTACCGGAATGCGGTTGGTCGGTCGTCGACTGCAGGATGTATGTGGTGCTGGCTCAAGAGTCAATACTGCCTTGCGCTACATGCACGATCAATCACAGTTTTGACTCTCGAGTCGAAACAGAAGAAAGGACGGGCAGCTTGGAGGGCGGAAGCTTCCGCTTTTCTGAGCACGCCGGCTGTTGATGTTGAGGTGTTGTCGGGTGCGATAATAATAGAACTCGGCCGCCCTCCATCACGGCATGGCAATCCGCCCACAAGTCGGCTCGGCTTGCATCTGGGGCTCAGGTCAGCAGTCGCGCCAGCCGGCCGTGGTTGGCCAATGTGTAATGTGTGCCGGGTTTCGTCGCTCGCCGGCGTCCAACATGACGGACTGGCCGATTGGGTTTGGAGCCTGGGAGTCTGGAGTCTGGAGTCTGCATGTAGTTACTTTGCATGGGCTTCTTGAACTTGCGGCGGAGTAACGAGTAACGAGTGACTGGGTTTCTAGAACGTCTTGATCCCTGCTTGGAATGCGTCAAGACTCCAGTTGCCGCGCGTGCAGTCGTGATTACGAGGCGGGCTTGGAATGGTGAAAGTCGCGACGACATTACGAGGGCTGGTATTCGCACCGGCCCAGTTATGGTGGAAGCGACGTTCAATGAACGAGGTCCAACTGGCAGCTTGCTTACCGCTTGCTTATTCCGGGGCAGCCTCCGCTCTGTGGCAGGAGCTAGAGCGGAGCCACTCGCTCCATCGTCCGTCTTGCCGGCGGCGCCCCGCGCCTCTGGCGCCTTCCCACCCCAGCAAGTTGGGCTGGCTGGCTGGCTGCCTCGTCTCCCAACTCCCGAGTCCCAACCTCCGTGCTCCGTGCCTCCTCCCAACTCCCCGTCCGCCGTCCGCGAACCCAGTGGGACAAGCGCTCGTCGCCAGCCTTGGCCTTCCGGGAAGCCTGGACGGAGCCGCGACAATGGCGTCATGCGTCATGGCACTTCAGATATCCCGCCGAGTTAGATCTAATCCATCACGAAGAATCAGTATAATTCGCACAAGGAATTGAACAATGTCCGATGGCTTGCGAGATGATGTAGAGGTGTCAAGTGAAGCGCGTACTCGACCGCATTCGTCTGAAAGTATTAGAAGTTAGGCTTCTTGACCGCAACATGGTGATATTGACAAAATAACAAAATCACCTATGGTTATTCAAATCAATCATTTCCAAAAGCTGAATGGACTCATCGTGGTAGCACTCCTGTGGAGTGGAGCATTCTCCCGTTCAGAACAAGAATGGCAGCCTTCCATTCGTCAGCTGCCGCCTCCCTGCACGTGAGACCCACTTTCCTGGCTAGCCTATCTGTCCACGACGCGCCAACCCAGCGTCAACCAAACTCGACTGGCCCGAAGGCTCTGTCTCGTCCATCACCCATCGTCGTCGTGTTTCTTTTTGTCCGACCGCTTGCTGCGGCAGCTGTAGCATCCGATTTCCTTCTCCAGACGTCATTTATCGTTGTACATTACGTTTGGTCTCGTCCGTTCTCGTCGCCCTTGTTGAAGCTGCCCTGAAGCTCTTTACGCGGCCTCATGCCGTCCAGTTTTATTATTCACCTCAGGTCAGTCATCAAGACAACGCTCGTCCCGCGGCCACACGAAAAAAATGCGCGATGGAGCGGAGAAGCTTACCCAAATTACAATAATTATCGTTCAGTCTTGTCCGATCAACTGCGCCTCGTCGCCCTCCTTGCAATATGAATGGCAATGCTGACTCTTCCCTTGCCCAATAGTTGACTCTCGACCCTTTCGCTCCCAGTGTTCGAATCTGGCCCTTCTTCTTCCTCCCCCGCTTTTATCCCCCGCAGTAGCATTCAATCTAGCGCAGTCGAACAACTCCTCGGCAATGGTTAACAAACGAAAGAGGGTGTTGGAGGACTTCGACCCCAACAAGTCTGACTCCGAGGACGAGAACTTCGACCCGTCAGAGGCTCGAGCACCAAAAAGTTCCAAGAAAGCTAGACCGTCTCGCGGCGCTCGCTCCGGTGCCGTTCGCAGGAGAGGTCACAAATATCAAGGCTCCGATATTGACGAGGATGACGAAGTTCTGTCCGACAGCCTTGGCGAGGACTCATTTGTCGAAGAAGACTCGGAAGACCAAGATGCACCTGTGAACGCCGCTGGCCGTCGAACGAGAAAGGCTGCCAGGACTCATCACAATTACCGAGAGAGCAGTGCTGATGAGGAGGCGGAGGCCGTGGTGAGCGACTCGGATGACGCAGGCCAGGATGGCCAAGGCCTGGATGAGCCTGCAGCGAGAAGGCTTGTAAGGCTCAAGGTCCCCGGTGGTTCTTCTGCAGGGGTTAAACGGAAAGCGACAAGAGCCAACACTGCCGATGCGGAAGACTTTGTCGAGTTGTCCAACTCGGGTAGGCACGCAGTGCTATCTCGCGACTCGCGTAGCCGTAGCCCCGAGGCGTATTCCCGAAAACGACGATCTTCTCGCGCTGTGAAAGGATTGCATGCAGCCCCCGAGACCATTGACGAGGCGACTCTAGAAAGCGGTAGTCGCGCTGCTGACGATGCAGACGAACCGGATGAGTTGTCTCACGACTACAAGCTTGCCGAGAAAAAGGACGATGAGGACGCTGACATGGCGGATACGACCGCCGTTCCTGTGCATGATGCAGCTGAACCCGAGAAGGAAGCTAAAGTCGTCGCTGAAACTGCTGCAGATGCAGTCGAGGACGACGAAGACGACGATGTCCCCGTTACGCGCAGGACTCGTGCTTCACGAGCCGCTGCCAATGCTGCCGGTGCACCGAATGAAGACAAGGTGGAACGCACAGGTGACATCAATCCAAATGCCCGGCGTCTCACGCGAGGCCGCTCCAAAAAATCTACTCCAGAGCCTAGTAGCGACTTTGAGCCTGGTGATGACTCGGAGGAGGAGGCCATGTCAGAAACAAAAGGCGAGGATATTGAGAGTCCCACGCCAAGAGGAAGAAAAGAAAGACGAAGTGCACGCAACTCTCGCCACGGCGGCAACTCGGGCGACGAAGAACTCGACGTTGACTTGGATGAGCTGAATGAGGAGGCCCGTGAACTCCGGCAATCATCAAGGAGACCTCGCCGACGAGCAAGAGACGAGTCACCGCCCATTGTTTACCAGGAATCTCGTCGTGCTCGGACCAGAGTGAACTATTACATGCCGCCCTTGACCGCAGCTAACATCGAGGAAGAGGAAGCTGAGGACCCGGCCCCTACTCCAGCTCGACGACGCCGCGGAGGCGCTAGTATAGGATGGGAGAGGAACCTCAACACCACGTTTGGTCCCTTCGGAGGCGGTGGCGGTGGCGGTTCGCTTCTCAACGGGCCGTGGGGTACCGGCGCAGCTGGCGGCGTTGATTCCGACAGCAGCGATGATGAGATGGTTCACCGTTCTAGTGTTGCTGTGAATGTTGGCATGACCCCAACATCTGGTGCTCCGGCCGGAGGGTTGCTTCCCGGTGGCCCCGGGCTGAACACCGAAGCAACGCCTAATGTTGGTAAAATAAAGGATAGAAAGGCTCTTGCAGATGCAGACCCCCTGGGCGTCGACATGAATGTTGATTTCAGCAAGGTTGGGGGTCTGCAAGGTCACATTGACCAGCTCAAGGAGATGGTTCAGCTTCCTTTGCTGTATCCTGAGCTATTTGCCAAGTTCCACGTCACACCACCTCGCGGTGTCCTCTTCCATGGTCCTCCAGGTACCGGTAAAACGTTACTGGCCCGTGCTTTGGCCAACTCGGTCGGCTCTGGGGGTCGAAAAATCTCGTTTTATATGCGCAAGGGTGCCGATGCCCTCAGCAAGTGGGTTGGTGAGGCAGAAAAGCAGCTGCGGCTGTTGTTCGAGGAAGCCAGAAAGACTCAGCCTAGTATCATCTTCTTTGATGAGATTGATGGGTTAGCTCCTGTTCGATCCAGCAAGCAGGAGCAAATACATGCCTCCATTGTGTCAACTCTGTTGGCTTTGATGGATGGTATGGACGGCCGTGGTCAAGTCATCGTCATTGGTGCCACCAACAGGCCTGATAATATTGACCCTGCCCTTCGACGCCCCGGCCGATTCGATAGAGAATTCTACTTCCCTCTGCCGGATATTGAGGGCCGTAGGTCCATTCTTGATATTCACACCCAAGACTGGGGCCTATCTGATTTATTCATGGCTTCCCTTGCCGAAAAGACGAAGGGTTATGGCGGTGCTGACCTTCGAGCTCTGTGCACGGAGGCAGCGCTCAATTCCATCCAACGAACGTATCCTCAGATATACTCCTCCACGGAAAAGCTCGTCGTGGATCCGGCCAAAATCAGTATTCACGCCTCGGATTTCATGCTATCCATCAAGAAACTCATTCCTTCATCTGAGCGTTCGGCTACATCCGGCGCGAAGCCTTTGCCCAAGGCTGTGGAACCGCTTTTGCGAGCTCAGTTCGGCGAAGCAAAGCGGTTGTTGGATGAATTGCTGCCCAGGAAGAAGAAGACTACGGCTCTTGAAGAGGCCATGTACGAACAATACAATGACAAAGACCATGGCTTTGCACGAGAAGCTATGCATCAGGAATTTGAGCGGTCTCGAGTGTTCCGGCCTCGATTTCTCATCTATGGTCCTCATGGAATGGGCCAGGCGTACATTGCTTCCGCCGTCTTGCATTACTTTGAAGGCGTTCATGTACAGAATTTTGATCTGCCAGCGCTTCTCGCTGACGGGAGGGTAGGTTCTGCCGGCTTGCTTTTTATTGCCTTCTTGCTTTCTAACGGCTTGCAGTCTATGGAACAAGTCATTGTCGGCCTCTTCACCGAAGTCCGTCGCCACAAGCCCAGTGTCGTATACATTCCCAATGTTGATGCCTTCTACGCGGCTTTGCATGGCACCATTGCGTACATGACCTTCAAGACCATGTTGAGGTCTATTCCACCAACAGACCCCGTGCTCTTACTCGCTACGGCTGAATGCGCTAAAGATGAGCTACCTCCTCAGTTGATGCAGGATCTTTTTGGAATCTCGCGCAGGAACAGAATGGAAATTCCACGACCAGAGAGGGTAGGTTGCAAATGCTGCTCTATTCTTTGTTTGAGTGGAAATTAACTCAGATGTTGCGTAGAACAATCGAATGGAATACTTCAGTGCGACACTCGCGTACATCAAGAAGAAACCGGCCGAGTTCCCTGATCCCGAGAACCGGAAGAAGAGAGTTCTCGAGGAACTTCCCGTTGCGCCTCCTGTCGCAGAAAAGCCGCCAACGAAGGAGCAAGTGAAGGCTCTGAAGAGAAGAGACCATCAGTGGCTCAATGCCCTCAAGATCCAGCTCCAGCCTATCATGGACCAGATCAATCGAAAGTACAAGAAGTTCAGACAACCCGTCATTCCTCAGAGTCACATTGACTACCTCTTCGCCGAGTCTGATCCCGACTTTGTTCGACCAGATCTAGCAGGAGGAGCCGTTCGGCCTTATGAGATTGTCAAAGACAAGCACGGCAATGAAGTACTACGAGACACTGCCACCGGCAAGTGCTATTACAATTTGGAGACGACTACGATTGAGGAACGGCTGTCGAATGGATTTTACGCGCGGCCACAGGACTTTTTGTTTGACATCAAGGCGCTTGCCAAAGATGCCAGGAACAGTGGCGACAAGGAACGGACGCTCAAAGCCAATGAGCTATTGAGCAACGTAGAAGTTGACATCGCTAGTATCGAAGCCAACAATGCGGCAGTCGATTGGGAGGGCTTGCACCGACGCCAAGTTCAGCGGGCGGCCGAAGCAGCGGAGAAGGAAAGGAAACGCAAGGCTATGCAATCAATCCTGGAACGCGTGCAATCTGACCTCGGCGGAGGCAATGATAGCGACTCGCAAGGACCGCTCACGTTGGGCGAGACAGTTCCTGGATCTCGCACAACCGCCCGGTTCCAGCTCCGAAGCCCGCTGTCTAATGGTCAAGAAGAGACTGCTGGGCAAGATCAAAATCGATCGAGTAACGGCACGGACGGGCTGTCGAGGGAGCGTGATGTCCACATGGGCGGAGTAGATGGTTTTAGTCAACAGGCAACCCAAGCATCAGTTATGGGACCACCGGCAAGTTGCGAGAACGAGTCTACCAAGGTGACGGGAATGACACAGATTTCGCAAAGGTCGGCAGTTACAGCTCTACCACCCGGGGTGTCGCCTTCGGCTGTGCTAAACGATGCCTCGACCACCAAGACATCTGATCCGTCGACACATCGGTCTTCCAACCTTAGCACTCAGCTCACCAATGGCAACCACGGCGCGCAGCAGAGCAGCGGCGGAGGCGAGCAAGACGCGGAATTGCTAGACACGCTTCTGTTGCCGAGCCAGGCAACACCTAGCGACGAAGCTTGGCATTACCCGCACGCACACGGTCTCGCACGGGGTCAAAGAGCACCCGGGACTACTAATGTGACGGGTAGTCAAGTATCAACTCCGTCCCAGGCTCGCCGCTCCAGTGGTCAACCTGGCGATGCATTAGCCCAGCCATCTCAGGAACAGCAGTCGCAAGAAGTCGCGGGACTGCGTTACACGGGCTCGTCCGCTTCGCAACCACCAGAAGTTGAAAGCTCAATCGACAACTTGCTGCATGTTTTGACTGACGGCACATCGGGCTGCACGATTGAGCAACTGGAGCAAATCAACCGAGAACTAATGGACGAAATTTGGAAATCCAGACACGAGTGGAACCGCCATGCTGTTGTTGTGCACCTGGGTGGGGTGTTTAACGATGTGATATCAGACATCGAGCAAACCCAAGGTCTAGGGTCTTTGAGTCAGCGCGAAAGTAATTTGGAAGTATAAGAGAGGCGAAAAGGATGACATAACACAAGAGGAGGGGATATGGCCAGTTGGGTAGGATGCTGACAATGTCTTGAAATTTTATTTTCGTGTCTGCCCCCCTCTCTTTTTATTTTTTTTTTAATTTTTTTTTTGTACTACGAAAGCCTAGCATGTCCGTGGGAGTTTTTTTTTTAGTTTTTTTTTGGTTGCAGCAAAACTACACGAAAGAAGATAAACGCGCCGAAGGAAGAAGAGCTAGAGTAGAGTACCAGCGAGCATATGACTCTTGTCGATGATTTCAATTCTTCTAAAAATAACACACGTGTGTGATGGCTGTCACTAGTGCGTTGATGTACTGAAACAAGGCCATCATTAGCCCGAAAGGAACTGTCAAATCGCTGCTCCGCCATATGAGCGACAAAAAAACAGGGGACATACAACACTAGGTATTCGCTGGTCGTCACCGACCCAACTACTAATCCAGCGCTTGCCAGATTCTCCTGGAAGATCGGACGGGTTTCTGAGCTCTGCTGGCAGCTATGGTCGTATGTACTAGATCTGATGAGTAATACATATATAACCCTTTCAATCCCTTTTTTTTTGCTCTAAAACTTGGGGCATCAACCACCATGGATGGCTTTTTTTGCCGGTGACGGAATTAATTTGTTTTTTTCATGTCTTTGTTTGCGTGTGCTGCCGTGTCGTGGTTTCTCTGCCCCAGTCGTATTTTGTATGGAAGCTTTTCTGCTCAACGTGTTCCCACTACTACTACTTACCTAGGTTAAAGCTTGGCCTTGGCAGGGTCTATCCGGCCCGGGCAACGGAGCAACCAGATGGATCGCATCGTCGTGGTCGGAGCTGCCCCGGACATGTCGGGCGCCGGTGCCTCGGCTCCACATGCAGAGTCGAGGGGTCAGTCAACTCGAGACCGTCGCATGGCATCGCCGCAGCTTCCCAACCTGCCACCATTCAATAGCAACGCATTTCGTCTCCCTTTTTCCCAAACTCGAGATTTTGCCGACCGAGACTTGCAACCAACAACGAAACAAGCAGAAAATGGGCGGTGGACGCATCGACTGCTATCTGGACATAGGTACGCCGCCCGCCCGTCATCTGGGGTTCCCAACACCAACCCCAACACCTGGCATGGCCGTCGACTTACGCGTCGTCGTGAACCACAGCGTCCTTCTTCAGCTACATTTGCATTGAGGACCTGCGCCGCAATCTGGACAAGCTAGCCGCCCACGGCGTCGAGGTCGAGTGAGTCAGAGGTCCATCTGCGAAGGCGAAAACCACCCGGTTCGACAGGAAACCGACGGTGCAGCGCAGCGCAGCCCGCACGCAGTCTGACCCGTCTCATCAGGTTCCATCCCGTCTTCCTCGGAGGCATCAACAAACTGTCCGGTAGGCATGACCGGGTCCCCCGCACCATGACACGCGCCCAGCAAGCTGATCGTCCGTCTCGAAAACAAAAACAATAGGCAACAAACCGCCGTGGACCCTGCCCGCCAAGGCCAAATACCTCAGCCACGACACCCAGCGCGCCGGTGCCCGCGTCGGCATCACCAAGTTCCAGACGCCCGAGGACCTGTTTGAGCGCGGGAAGACGCAGTCGGCCCTGCGGGCCCTGCTCTTCATCAAGGCCAACCACCCCGCGGACAAGTTCCTGTCGGCGATGCACTTCCTGGCGCAGCGGTTCTGGACGCCGCCCAACGCCGATGTCGTCGACGAGTCCAGCCTGCGCGCCCTGCTGGCCGAGGCTACCGAGACGCCCGGCGGCGGGGCCAAGCTGTTCACCGAGGCCGACGTCGACCGCATCATGGACGGCAGGGCGAGCATGAAGAACAAGCTGGCCGAGGACACGGGCAGGGTGGCCGAGTCTGGTGCGTTTGGGTGCCCGTGGTTCCTGGTGACCAATTCCAAGGGCGAGACGCAGCCTGTCTTTGGCAGTGATCGGTACGTGTGTGACGAGGAGAGGGGGCGAGTTTCAAAGGCGCGTCTCGCTGACTCTTTTTGCTGCCGCCGTCAGGTTCAACCACATTTACATGCATCTCGGCATTCCGTTCCAAGACGTTGCGATTCTGCCGCCGCCGTCGGCGTCCAAGTTGTAGCCAAACATGCATGTATGTATATATTAATTAGTATATACATAATATATATGAGTGCAGAAAAGCCCCGACGACTTGGTCCCATGTACCTTTTATTCTTGTAACAAGGGCCATCTTGTACGCCGTAGCGAAGGTGATTGAGACCATGTACTCGGTACTTCAATGTCCCCACTCCACTCACTCGTCACTTGAGGCCGACAACCCACCGGTCCCCGCGCCGCGCCGTCAACGTTCACCGTCTCAGAGACGTACTCGAAAATCGAGGCCAGGAATAAAAACCCCCCCGGCCCCTCGCGCAATGCAATGCCATCCACGCACAACCCCGCCATGACCGACGTCGCCACGATGCAGCCCGAGCTGACGCTCATCGTCGCCGCCACGCGCAGCATGGGCATCGGCCTGAACGGCACCATGCCCTGGACAGGCCTGCGCAGGGAGATGCAGTATTTCGCGCGCGTCACGACGCGGCTCGCGCCCGGGGTAATTGTCCAACCTTGAACCCTCCCCCTTCCCCCTTCCCCCATGCCACGCGATGGCCGGGCAGGGCACGCGGCTGACGACACGCGAGCACGGCCAGGCGCCCCCCGGCTCCGTCAACGCCGTCATCATGGGCCGCAAGACCTGGGACTCGATCCCCGCCAGGTTCAGGCCCCTGCGGAACCGGCTCAACATCGTCGTCTCCCGGCGGCACCCGCCGCTGGAGCCCGCGCCCTCGGAGCCGGTGAGGGTGTCGTCGCTCGAGCAGGCCGTCGAGTATGCCGGGACGCACCCCCTCGTGGGCAGGGTGTTTGTCATGGGCGGCGGGCAGACCTACGACGCGGCGCTCAGGATGGACGCCGCGAGGAGGGTGCTGCTGACGAGCATGAAGATGGACTGCGAGTGCGACACCTTTTTCGGCCTCGACCCGGGGCGGCGCGAGGCCGCGGCCGCGGGATGGCGGAGGAGGGGCGTCGACGAGTGGCGGCGGTGGACGGGCGAGACGGGCGACGCCCACGCCGACGAGGCCGGCGTAGCGTACGAGTGGCAGATGTGGGAGAGGGAGTGACGGGAACCGCGGCGGCGTGGGCGACGTCACCATCGATCTCCTGGGAAGCCCGAGCCCGAGCCAGAGCCCGAGCCCGAGCCAGAGCGGCCGGGAACCATAATGTACATTTGCTAGCTCATCTAGTTGAACACGGCGGCAGACCATCATCTGGCCGGATAGACTGCACGACGGCGTGCCTCGCCCTCTTGCACGCACGCCTTGAATCATACGTCCCTTGACCCCCCCGGGGGAGGGGGAAGACTTGCCCCTTTGCAAACCCACCCCGTGCAGTCCTTCGTCCCCAGCCGGGTGAGGCCCTCGCTGCCCGTCACTCATTCACCCTGTTGGCCTCCCCCGCCCTCAGACGCCTTCTTGAACGGCTCCTCCAACCGGCTCCAAAACACGTCCACGGGCTGTCGCAAGACATCGCCCGCCTTGTGCGCAAAGTCCACGTCGCTCGCCGCCTCGAGCGACGCCAGACTCGACCTCATCCACCCGACAATCGCACACAGCGCCCTCGGGTCGGCCTCGGGCGCCCCCTTGAACAGGTTTCTCCAGACGGCGCTCGCGAGGATGGCATCGCCCTTGATGAGGCCTTCGTCGTACGCGAGCAGCAGCCCGCGCCACTGCACGAAAATATCCTTGAGGTACCGCTGGCGCAGGGCGCTCGACGTGATGCTATGGTCGACGTGCATCTTCTTCTCGCAGTCGAAGAAGAAGTGGTCGACGAGCTGCTGCTGCCAGTTGCGGAAGACGTCGCGCTCGAAGCAGCGCACGCGGGCCTGGAGGAGATAGAGACGGAGCATCGTGACGTGGGACCAGGTGCTGAAGCTGGGCTGGAGGCCGAATGCTGTTTGTTTGCTCCCCTCGCCCGAGGCGTCAGTTTGTGCGTGCGTCTTGGGAGATTTGAAAAAGGGGGGGGGATCTCTCCACGGCCAAGACAGGAGCATCGTTGTCCACGTACTTTTGTGCCACACATTGCCTGCGTGTGCGGGCGTGCCGAGCTCCTCGCCGTCCTCTAACCTCTCGACCTGGTCGTTGTTGCGTGCCTCCTCGGATATGTGGTAGTCGGCGGGCTGCGCGCAGATCCTGTACAGCCTCTCGGAGGCACCGAGCACGCGGTACGACTCGCCCAGCGTCCTCATGCCCAGGATCCTCCTTTGGGGCGTGTCGCTGAACCGCCGGGTCGGCGCGCCGTGTGGTGAGCACGTCGGTCGTGAAAGCTTCGGCGCCCTTGCCGGGGCGGCCCTGACGCCGGACACGCGGATTGCTGCTGCCTGGAGGAGCGTCCGGGCCTGTGATCTACACGATTCGCAGACCATGGTGATTCGGGCTCGACTTGGACAAGGAAGACGCTGCTTGGTCAAGGTGATTTGGAGGATGGGAAGGGGATGTGGTGCGGGATGCTTGCGGCGGTGGGAGCCGCGAAAATGAAGCTTGGAGCTCTTTGGGATGCCAGAGAAATTGTCGGCTCGCGCTTGGTCCGTGCGTCAGCCACCTTTGAACGTCTATGACGGCGACATCATGGGAATGCAAGCTACAATCGGCATTGAGGAACGAATATTTTGGCTAAAAAAAAATCATCTCTTCATAATCTAGTTGGTTTTATTGCGTAGATATTGCTAGATACAGAGATACGGTGTTTTCTACATAGTTTACAGAATGCCTCGAGTGTTGGACAGTTTCGAAAACACCAACGTGCTGTTCGTTCCGCCAAAGCCAAAGCTGTTGGACATTGCTACCCGGACTTTTTTCTGTTGGGCTGTCAAGGGAACAAAGTTAAAGCTGATGCCGACGTCGGGCTTGTGTAAGTTCTGTGTAGCTGGTACAACGCCCTATAACGGCCGTCAGCTCTGATCCGCGAGCGTCTTCTATTGAGCGGACAGGACCGACCTCGTGTATTGAGAGAATGGCAAAAAGAGCCTCTATGGCTCCCGCAGCTCCCAGCAAGTGGCCGATTGCTCCCTTTGTGCTGCTCACTGTGACCTGTGATTCTGTCGATACCCCCTCCTGCCCGAGCATGAGCCTCCGGATGGCGGCCGCCTCTGCCACGTCTCCAACTTGTGTACCGGTTGCGTGTGCATTTATGTAGTCTACCTGTAAAGGTTTCACACTGGCATTTTTCAGAGCTCTCTTCATGGCCAGAAATGCTCCTTGTCCATCTTCTCGGGGAGCCGTCATATGATATGCGTCGCCGCTGCAGCCATAGCCCTTTACTTCGGCATATATTCGAGCCCCTCTGGCCCTGGCATGTTCCAGCTCCTCTAGGATACAAACGGCAGCCCCTTCAGCAACGACAAAGCCGTTGCGATCTGCGTCAAACGGCCGACAGCTGCCGGACGGGTCATCGTTGTAGGCCGTGGACAAGGACCTCGCTCTACCAAAGCCAGCGATTGTGAGTGGATGAATGCATGCTTCAGAGCCACCGGCTACCATGACATCTGCATCGCCCATGGCAATAAATCTGGAGGCATCGCCAATAGAATGTGCACCGGTGGTGCAGGCTGTAGTGGCAGCGTGGTTCGGTCCCCGAAAGCCATACTTCATGGCGATGTGACCCGCTGCCATGTTGATTAATATCTTGGGGACGAACAACGGAGAGACCTTTTTGTATCCCTTTTGCATGAAAAGTCAGCATTTCAATCTTCCGTCCGCGTTTGGGGGTGTTTACAGCAGCTCACCTCGGTATGGTGTGCCAGGCTAGTCTCGTATATTTCGTCCAAATTGCCGATGCCACTACCCAAGCACAGGCCCGTAGCCTCCATGTCGTCCACACTCGTCACGTCCCATCCGGCGTCTTTCAGAGCCATCTCGCTTGCTGCAATGGCGTATTGTGTGAAGGTAGACATTCGTCTCTGGTCGGAGGCGCTAAGCCAGTCTGTGGCCCTCCATTGGCTTGGTTCACTTCCAACGGGGACAACGCCGGCAACGGTGCTGGTCAATTCTTTCCATCTTGCCTGGGGCTGTCGCGAAGCAACGCTGACGATTCCAGACTGGCCGGCGAGTAAGCGGTTCCAGGTTTGTCGAATGCCTACTCCAAGAGGAGTGACGGCGCCTAGCCCTGTAACTACCACGCGGCGCATGACGAGGGCCGTGTCATGTCGAACCAAGGATGGGGGCGGGTGAGAATCAAGGATGCTGTGACGGGGCTCTCCCGATGTTCGCGATGCCGTACGGAGTATGGAGCAAGTATCAAGTGTTTTATGCAACCAAGCACCAAGTCGAAGTCGAAGGCGGCAAGGATGAGACGACAGGCGCCGAGATAATCGTTGCTTCAATCAGCAAGCACGCCTGTTGTGCTTGCCATGTTCATCATTCCCTAGGTACGTTACTTGAGTACCTAGGAGCTCTGTACCTGTACTCTGTGCTCCGTGCGAGTCCTCAGTGCTTACGCAGCCACGTAACATGTTAGTAAGCCCCACCACCGCCTTTCATCTCTGCCGATGGAGGCGCTTACGGCTGCCTCGGTGGCTTTTATTGAGGACAAGGCTCAATTCAATATAACCAACCCGACGACCCCGTGTGAGTTTGCCCTCTATTGCCGTCATCTTTTGTCTACGGCCTCGCCTGCATTCGTCGACTCACAACTCCATCATCACAGGCAATGGCATCCTCCTGCTAGACCATTAGATGTGGAACTTGACAAATTCGGAGCCGGCAGATTGTACTCACTCCCCCCCTTCTCGACGTTCGTCATCTTTCGCGCCCATCACCAGCCGTCATCCACGACACTGGCAGTCAAGCTTAGAGGACAAAGAGTTGGACTACTTCCCATGTTTCACGCTCAAACGTCGACAGAGGTCCTCAATTGAGCCGAGTCCCTTGTCACATTATGCATATGACTGGCCAGCCTTCACTCAAACGCTGCCCCTATAATAATACATCACTCCTGCCTTCATCTTTCCTGATCTAGTCCCACACCCGGAGCACAAGATATCCGGCCTCCACGACTGACCGCCATGTGGAGCTGATTGAAAGCGAATACCTCTCACCATACCGTGATATCGCGAGGCCGGCTGCGTTGCTCTGGCTCGCCATGAGTGTGGAACTTGGCCAACGGCGAACGAGCGCCGAGTCAACGGGCTTTGATGCTGGCATCGGCCCAAGCTCGAGGCCCTCGTTATCCCACCAGCGCTCTGCGTCAATTGAAGGGCTCAATGAGCACGGGTCTGCATGGGACCAGAGCCATGACGGCCATGGCAGCGATGACGACCAAGCCTCTGAGCATGAACTCCTCATGGACCCAAACCTCCCAGATGATGAACATGCTGAGGCTATTGAGATGGGAACCAGAAATGCCCGGAAGAGACGCGACGAGGAGGATTCTCCATTTCCCGAGGTTCGAGCGGCTGTTCGCAGCTATGACGAGGACATGCCTTGCAACACTGTGAGGGCATGGGCCATTGGCTTGAGTCTGGTTGTCGTGGGCGCCTCGATGAACACGCTCTTCTCTTTGCGACAACCATCCATTTCCATCGGGCCACTGGTTGCCCAAATCATTGCGTGGCCCATTGGTCATGCATGGGCTCGATTCATGCCCAGGAGAAAATTCACCACCTGGGGCTTCACATGGACTCTCAACCACGGCCCCTTCAATATCAAGGAGCACTCCATCATTGGAGTCATGGCCAGTGTGTCATTTTCGGTGGCATATTCAACTGACATCATCCTTGCGCAGCTCATCTTTTACAAACAGAATTTTGGAGTTTGGTTCCAGCTACTACTGACAATCTCGACTCAGTCGCTGGGGTATGGTATTGCAGGAACAATGCGCAAATTTTTGGGCAAGTCCGTCGTCTTCATCCCGACCCTCATGATTACTAACTATTGCAGTCTACCCTGCCTCCATGATATGGCCAGCTAATCTGGTAGCCGTAACCATGATGAATACCATGTATGAGAAGAACGAGGCGCGAGACCCGTCAGTTTTTGGCGGCAATATGCGTAGACTTACATGGTTTTCCCTCGTCACCATCGGGGCGTTCGTTTATTACTTTATCCCTGGATTTCTAGCCCAGTGCTTGAGCGTTTTTGCTTTTGCCACCTGGATTGCGCCTCAGAATCCAGTCGTCAACCAGCTGTTTGGTGGCACAACCGGGCTATCCTTGCTTCCCATTACCTTTGACTGGACTCAAATTTCGGGCTGGGTTGGGTCGCCCTTGATTCCGCCCTGGTGAGGTTGGACGACAGACACGCTTGTCTGTTGCAAAACGTGCTGACTGTTCCAGGTACGCAATAGCAAATACTTTGGTTGGCGTGGTTGCCTTCTACGTCATTGGATGTTCCGCTCTTCACTTTTCCGGGGCCTGGTATGCTGAATTTCTACCCATGAGCGATGCAAATACCTATGATAATACCGGCGCTCCCTACAATGCCTCGCGTATCCTGAGCCAGGACTTTACTCTTGACCAAGAAGCGTACGAAAATTACTCGCCGCTATTCCTGAGGTGTGTGATTGCACTGCTTGATGCCACGCTCAATCAGCTAACATGCTCAGCACGACATTTGCCATGTCATATGGTCTCTCTTTTGCAGCCATTTCATCTCTCATCGTATACACCTATCTCCACAACGGCAAGCAGATTTGGAAACAGTACCAGAACAGCGCAAATGAGAAACCAGACATTCACATGAAACTGATGAAGAAATACAAAGAGGCGCCAGACTGGTGGTACATGGGCCTATTCCTTATGGTAAGCCAGTTTTTTTGCGGATACGGCGCGCCTCCTGTCTAACTTGGGAGCACAGATGCTCGCAATGGGCTTGTTTACCGTGCTTGCATACCCTACCAAACTCACCTGGTGGGGGTTTCTCCTTGCCGTGGCGATATCGTTTGGCTTTTCGTTGCCAATTGGCATCATCGAAGCCGTCACGAACAATCGAATTGGCTTGAACGTGCTGACCGAGTTCATTTTTGGATACATCCAGCCGGGGCGGCCGTTGGCTCTGATGATGTAGGTCTTATCGACCAGGACCAATGGCAGAGGCATGAACTGACAGACTACAGCTTCAAGACCTTTGGATACATCACCATGTAGGTACGACGCTCCCACTGCTGCATGCGACATGCTGACTGCCACAGGTCTCAAGCACTCAGCTTCGTGTCTGACCTCAAGTTTGGACATTACATGAAGATACCTCCGCGGACCATGTTCTGGGCCCAGGTAGTCGCCACCACCTTCTCGTGCTTCATCCAAATCACAGTTCTCAACCTCGCACTCGCCTACATCCCTGATATCTGCGACCAACACCAGCGCGACCACTTCACCTGCCCTGGCGGCCGAGTCTTCTTCTCAGGTACGTCGATGCCGTCCGCCCTGGGCCACGTCACCTAACGACGTCTAGCCTCGGTCATCTGGGGCCTCATCGGTCCAGATCGCATGTTCTCGCCGGGCCGCATCTACTCTGCGCTCTTCCTCTTCTTCATCCTCGGCGCCGTTGTCCCCATTGCCGTCTACTTTGGCTTCAGGCGCTACCCCAAATCTCCGCTCCAGTATGTCATGGCGCCGCTAATATTCGGCGGCGCAGGCACAATCCCACCGGCGACGCCATTGAATTACTTCTCCTGGGGCATTGTGGGGTTTATATTCCAGTACTGGGTCAAGAAGAGGCATTTCGGATGGTGGAGGCGTCTGAATTTCCTCACGTCGTGTGGGCTGGATTTGGGATTGGCCCTGAGCACCTTGTTCATCTTCTTCGCCTTTCGTATGCACGGAATCGACCCGCCCAGGTGGTGGGGGAATGAGATTGCGGACTCAACCATGGACGCGCAAGGGACGGCGGTACAGGGACGTGTGGCGAGTGGTCAAGTGTTTGGGCCGAAGAGTTGGTGATTTGCCATGGAGCGACGGGCTGTTTGCCTGGGCGGCGCTGTATAGAAGAAGGACAGACGAATGGGTCTCTTCGAAGACGATACATGCCAAGGTTTCTCGGTCGGAAGAGATGGCAGTGGCGTCTACACTGTACGCTCGAAGAGGACGTGGTCTCTGCGGGCAGGCGTTCCCATATATAGGGCCACGTAGAATACATACCAGGACATTTTTGTCTTTTCTGTTTTGTTTACTTGCCCATCCTGCTCTGCTTTGGTTTCCTCTCTTCAGAGAACCCCCACCCGGCTCCCATGCGACCAAGATGCTATCCATCAGAGACCACTGCTGACACGTCGGGGAAGAGTGTCTCGAAAGGCAACCCACCGAGAGGTGCGCATCGCCAGATTTCTCCGTCAAAAAAAACACATGCTTGTCTCGAACACAACGCAGCCAGAAACAGTCGTCAGCCATGCGCCTGGCCGGCACCCTCGCGCTCGCGCTCGCCCAGCATAACGTAACCGCCGAGTCCCTCATCCCTCGCACCAGACGGGGAAATCCGCTCAGGTCAAGCCAGTCCAGGTCCAAACGACGGCTCGACAGCGGCGGCCCTTGGCCCCTTGGCTGCCACGTCGGGAGTCGGGACCGCGGGCTGCAGATTACTGATTCCAAGCTCCGACACGGGCCGACAACGACGGCAAGCTCAACCCACAAGATGCTGAGATTGGGCTCGCACAAGCGACCCTTTCGGGGAGTGGAGCCCTGTACTTGTCCTGTATGTACACCGCCCGAGGCCAAGGACAAGGACAGGAAGTACGTAACGTTAGTCCGCAACAACGAAGCGGCCTCGTCTCGTCCGCAGGCAGCCTACAGGCAAGGCACGCACGGGTACCCATAAAAGCACCCCGTCCGTCTCCCCATTCGTTTCAATGTGGGAAATTTTTTTTTTTTTATAAAAGCTCTTCGCCGCCCCCGCCTCGACCGCAGTCCGACATCAACAAGCCAAAAGACCACACGTCGGCATTCCCTGGACATTCGAAAAATCCTTCAAAATCCTCGCAACCGTCCACGTTTCGCCACCATTGCACCCCCTCCAAGCTGGCAATGCCCTACGAGCCAACACGCCGATAGAGACTAGAGTAAGCCGCTCCTCCTCCTCCTCCTCCTCCTCCTCCTCCTCGCCCTGCCCGTCCGTAGCAGACGTTTTTTTTTAATTTACCCCTCTGCAGCGACCCCTTTTATCCACCGCCACCATGAGCGAGCGGCAGAGCGGAGTAGTCAAGTGGTTCAACGAGGAGAAGGGATACGGGTTCATCACACCAGACTCCGGCCCCGACCTGTTTGTGCACTTCAAGGCGATTGAAGGCGGCGGCTTCAGGTCGCTCAAGGAGGGGCAGGCCGTCAGCTTCGAGGCCGTCCAGGGACAAAAGGGGATGCAGGCGGACAGGGTCCGCGTCGAGAGTTAACGCATCGACACGACGGCCAGATTTTTGGGGCGCGGGAGCCATGGCCGTGGGAAAATGATGGGGGTTTTTTGAAATCAGGGGTTCCTCTTTCTGTCGCCTCCCCGTGCTGTTATCCCTGCGTGGTGGCCAGTCGGCCGGGGGAAACTGGGTGGTGCTGTGCGCGACGCGAGGTCTTTCGTGGAGGTGGCTTCTCAGGGCCGGCGGCGTGGTCTGGCTGTGGGCGGTCGAGGGGCGGTTTTTTTAATTCCCCGTTGCCGTCGTGCCCTTGTCGACTAGGTTTCTCTAGATGGTGAAAATATTTTGTAGCTGTTGACCACGACGACGACGACGATGATGGCAGTATGTCGTACGTAGCTGCGTACTTGTTGTGAGCGCAGCTCCCCTTCCCCTTGCCCTTCTCCCTGCCCTCCTCGCTCCTTGCCTCTCCGTGTCTCCTCTGCAAGGCTGCCTTGCCTGGGCTTGCTGGCCACGGGGTGGGAGGTACCTACCCTCCTGATGTGCCTGGTAGCCCCGGGGTGTTTGTGCAGGGTGAAATGCTCCAGCTGCCCATTGCAGTGGACTTCTCGGGCACATGTGTGCGTATTGAGTCTATTCGAATATAGTTACATGAGCGCCAAACACTTGACCGGCTGGTTTTGTCCCGTCAAGGACCAAGCTCTACAGCACCAATCTCCCGGGCTCTTTCTCCAGGATGGCCTTGCATCTCTCCAAAAACACGTGCGCTCTGTGCTCCTCCTCCCTCGGCACAACAAGACTAAAGACGTTGAGGCCGTTTGAAAATCCAGGGACGGTACGGATGCCCCGCTCACGGACGACCTTGGTGGGCTCGGCGGCCAGCTCGTCGATAATGTCCATCTTCGTGGCCGACCGTTCCGGAGGCTCGAACCGTGTGCCGGGGGGGACGGCCGAAATCTGCGGCAGGTAGACGCCACGGGTACCCTTGGCTGCCTTGATCTTGTCCAGGCCGAGAACCCGATCAAACAGTTCGCTGGCGGTGGGGGCGCGATTGGCGGGAGGCAAGTTGTCGTTGGCGACTTCGGCAGCGCGGCTGATGAACGTCGAAAGGGGCATGAGGACGCCCAGAGTTTTTCGGATGCGTTCCTGGACCTCGACCACTTTGCCGAGGGACACGGGGACGTTGATTTCCATGGGGAGCAGCTCTGGCTCGCGAGGTTTGGGCTCCTCGGGCGCCGCGGCAGCGTGCTTCCTCTCGGCGACCTTGATGTTGCTCAGGTCCAGGCGGGACAGCCTGTCAAAGCGCGACGACGCGGCGGCCGGACTGTCGGCGTCGATGCTGCCCAAGTACGCCAGCACGTCACCCTTGAGCAGGCGGCCGCCTGGCCCCGTGGGGATAATCTTGCCGACGTCGTCCTTGCTCAGGCCATTCTGCTTGACGAGGTGCTCGACCGACGGCATCAGGGGGTACTTTTGCGCCTGAGACTCCCCAGTCGACGCTCTTGCTGTGTGCTTGGCCTGCTTCTCGGGGACGGCCTCGGCCCGCCCGGGCGCAGCAGCCGATTCGTTGCTACTTTGCTGCTGCTGCTGCTGCTCGTCCGCTGGAATCTCGAGCATACTAATGTCGTCGCCTGCCTCGGCAAGCACTGCAATCCGAGTGCCGACCTGCACGGCCTTGGCCCCGTCCTGCGCCATAATCTTCATCACGATACCATCGTCCTGGGCCTCCACGTCCATGGTCGCTTTATCCGTTTCGATTTCCAGCAGGACATCGCCGGCGCTGAAGGTCTCGCCCTCGCCGACCTTCCATGTGGCAATGTTTCCTTCGGTCATGGTCGGGGACAGAGCGGGCATGACGAAATTCTGCGCGGCAAGGCATCGCGCAGAGCTCGTGAGGGCTGTGCGTTCGGTTAGCAAGCAGGCAAGCAGGCAAGAAGAACACATGCCCCGTGAACTCGTCGATCCGAACAGCAGACGCATCAAGCGCGCAGCACGCATCCGAGGACGTACGCACCCCGAGAAGAAACGGCCCTCCCAACAAGACGAGCCGAAGCTCGGCAAGCACCCGCCAGAGACGCCATGACAGCTCGAGTGAGCAGTCTGACGTGTATTCAATCAAAATATCTCGGCTTGTGGAGAAATTGGCGCGGGCGGAAGGAGACGAGCTTTCGAAAAGCTGCGCTCGAAAAACATCTAAAAGAATAAATCTAAAAAAAACTCGGAGCTTTGGAGCTGTTGGGGAGCGCCGATATTATTAGCACCACCAGACAGGGCGGACGAGCACCAAGGATGAGACCAGTTGACAGCAAAGCAGAGCCTTAGGGGGCCACTCCGGCACGCACCGACCAACGTCGAGCTGCCAGGGATAAAATAACGCCGGCAGCCGGTGCGCATAAAGCCTGGGCCAGGTGCAGATATAATTGTGTACGCTGTCCATGCACTGTCGGCGCTAAACCAGAAATGAACAAATCACCCATCCCGATTCATCCCCATCCCTCAAATTTTGAGCACATCGACGCCGGCGCTTACGCACGCACGCAACCACACCACAGAAATATCGTCGCATCTCCGACTTACCGATCGAGCGGACTCGGCTTGCGCAATGGCCAGTGTCTCGCGGGGCATCGCCCTGCTGCCTCTGCCGCTCCGAGCCCTCCCACGCCCGTGCCCGGCCGCACCGTCCCGACTCTTCACAACCTCGCTCCTCCGACTGCGAACCGCGCAACCGGGCTCGCTGCCTCCAAAGCAAGCCAAGAAGACGCCCTACAGACCGTCGCCCCCAGCGGAAAACCGTACAGCCGGCGCGCCCTCCCGGTACGCATTCGTCAAGAGCCTCTCGTCGAAGCAAACCCCCACGGTGCTCTACGAAGCGCCCTCCCACTTCTGGTTCTACTTTGGCTGCTGGTCCAGCGGCGTCGCCATCCTCTCGTGGACGGCGCTCACGGGGCCGACGGTCGTCCAGCAGCCCGACGGGACGCCGCAGTGGGTGGGCTTCGTCTTTGGCGCGTCGTACGTGCTCCTCGGCGCAATGGGCTTCTACCTGCTTTCCAAGACGCCCAACATTGTCAGCACGATACGCGTCTTGCCGCCGGCGCCTTCTCCCGCCGGCGCCGCATCCCCGCGGCTCGAGGTCACGGTGAAGCGGATGCTGCCGGTCCTCAGGCCGAGGACCGTCACGGCCGGTCTCGAGAGCGTGGCCCTCAAGTCGAGGTTCTCCCTGCCCGAGGAGTACGTCCCCGAGCTGGCGCGGCTGGAGCAGAGGAGGAGGGAGGAGCAGAGGCGCGAGGCGCTGCGCAGGTTCGACATGGAGCATCTGCTGACCATGCCGTTCCGGAGACTGGGCAGGACGCTTGCAAACATGTTTCGCGGGGTGAGGAGCGCGTGGACAGACATGGGATTTGGGGTTCTACGCGTCGACGGCAAGGAGTTCAAGGTCGACGTGACAAAGGGTTTTGCGCACGACGGCTTCAGGACGCTGGAGCAGATTGTGGCCGTGGGCTATGCTGCAAAGTAGGCCACGTCGTTGGCCGTCCCGGAGACGCAGGGGCACGGCAGAACGGATGGCCTGCCGTGCCGCGCCGCGCCTCCGGCTTCCTCGGGCACGTGGATGAACAAAGGGGCGAGCATTCGGACGGACATTGTGCATTGTGCATGGCGTGCGATGGCATCCGATGACGGCGTTGACAGGCGAGACCAGACCGCATGGTTGCGTAGGTAGACTCTTGACAAGCACCCAGTTGCAGAGCGCTGCGGACGGTTCCCGACCGACATCTCTGCGAGGACACGGACGTGCCAAAATTGATGGTCGACATTTCCATGTTGCCCGCTCCTCCCCCCCGCGGTACCATGCAATTACGCGCCGAACAATATACCGGCCATGTGGGACTGACTCACCGCCGCGACGACCAGCGGCATCCGCAAACGTCATGGCTCACTCGGCCGCCCCAAAAAATGCCGAACACCGCCCCCCCCCAAGTCCGCCGCTCCGAGCCCATCATGGCAGATGATAAGCGGCACCGCCACTTGCCGCCGAGCTGGGGAGCCGAAACTCCCCGCACAACTCGGAAACAGAAACGATGACCCCCCTCCCCTCCCCGCACACGCACGCGGTGACGATGTCAAGGTGACTTATCAATGTGCTGTGTGACAGACCCTTTTTTTTGTAACCCAACGACGGCAACGATCGCCGGGTTCGTTTCACCAGCCAGTAGATGGTCGAAGGGGCTGCCGTGTCTTTCATGGATGCATTAGACCCTAGACTCTGGAGTGGCCCAAAGGTACCTGCGCCATGTGCTTGTTGGATCGACTAAATGTCATCGAGAGCACGACGCGCTCGCACGATTCCACGGCCAAGAATACCAGCAGCGGTGGCGTCGCCGGTTCAACATGCAAACAGTCCCGGCATCTGAACTCTGGCGCGCGTCGACCAACGCCCGCTGAGGAGGACAGTTCGAAAAGAAGCAAGAGAAAAACAAACACAAAACGAGCAAGGCCCACGGTCCCTCAATGTCGGTTGCCGAATCAGGGGCCCATCTTGGGGATTGACAACCGCCAACTTCATCATGGCGCAGCAAGCCCTTGTGCTGCTCGACGTCGTCGTCGTTGGACCGCGTTGCAGCAGAATGCGGCCATGGCGCCATCCCAGCACAGTCTGCGTGTGCTCTGTGTGTGCTCCCGTGTGCCGGTAAATTGTAATGCAAGTTCTACCCGTGATCCGTACCCCCCTAGCTCGAACGACTGGCCTTCGAGGCGGTGAGTGGCGTGGCGCCACCGGGATCCGGGCCTGGGGAGGGCTCGGATCGTGGGTGTGGCATCTCCAATTCTCGTGATAAGGAATGCCCTGGCGTCATGTGGTGTGCCGGACAGTGCCCATGTTGAACCGTCAGTGACTTATCAGATGATCGTGGTTGGCCAGATGCGGTGAATTTTCCTGGGAAAAGCGCCGGTAACGCGGCCACGGCGGGCGCTTTATTCCTGAATCCTGGGCTCGTTGGAGGCCGGCACCGGATCCCGCATGTCAGCCGGTACGGGCACAATAAAAGCAAGCAAGCAAGACGAGTACTTGGTGGTCGTAGTTGGTCTGCTCCGTACGCAACAAGGAGGAAGGGCAAGCGGGTGGGCTGTCAGGGAGGGCATGGCTCGCCTTTGGCGCCCCCCAAGCCTCCGGCCGTGATGCCGTGAGGAAGTTTGAGCGCATGAGCTGAACATGACTGCTCACTGCCAAGGCCAGCGACGCGGCTTTGCCAAGGAATGCTGTCACCGCACTTGACGTCTTATGTTTCCGTGGTCACCAACTGGAAACCGCGACTTCGCCAATGGGCGACTTTACGAGACCCTTGGATGGCGACTGTGCATGAATGTCTAGTCGCCGTCGTCGTCGTCGCTGGGTTGGATGGCCTTCTTGGCGGCGGACATGATCATCGCACAACGAGACCATCCGGATGGAAGGCTGGTCCATCGTGGACCGTGGTGGCGGGGTCAAACACCGACAGTCGACCTCATTCGTGCCATTGAAAGCTGGCACGAATCATGGCCTGGCAACGTGGCAGAGTCGTCTTTGTATCGTGCCGCGAGTAGTATGCTCTGGATGACGTACGGTCCGCCAGAGATTCCATCGCTTGTACGTATCGACCTGTTGGTGGTTATATGTCGGGGAAGCGCCAGGGTGGTGCGGAGTAAGAGTTGACGGAACTGAATCATGTCGCCATTCGTGAAACGGACGTCAGTTAGGCTTGGCAGTTCTGCAACAATATCTAGCGGCAACGAGCATCTGCCTTCGCACAGCAATCTAGCATCACAGGATGGATGGAAGCAGTCAGACAACATGAACAAAGGCCAATAAATACGATGGCATGGCCCGAATAAAATGACTTGTAACAAGATGAGATGACGCCCGCAGCCGTTCAAGGGCCAATCTTATGCATGGCGAGAATGGCAGGGGTTCGTCGGTACATGGATGTTCGTGCGAGGTGTAACGCTCCGTATTGTCGTTCGAGAAGAGCCATATCGGGCTCCAAGGGATCGAGAACTGCCTCTCGTCACCATCATTTGCAAATGTGCCGACATATTGCACTCCGAGGGCAGGCTGTATTGCCGGTCCTGCATGACGGTGGTCATCTGGTCATGACTGGCTGCTCTCTGCATACGTATGCCAAGATGATGATATTCGGCAGGCCAACCCCAACCCCCACGGTACGACGAGCAAGGAGGGATGATGGTGAAGCAATAAATCGGCCGAATGCGGCAACTTTCTCCGACTTGGCTATCGACCGAGCCATGTCATATGTCGCAGCTCCGTGACCAGGGCTTGGCAGCCAAAGAGAATGAAATCCAACAATCTGGCGTCAGAAAAGGGTCTTCCGCTGGTCCCTTGATTATATTGGCCAGACGTACGTCCATGTCAGCGCTCAGCAGTGCTCAGCTCGAGAACACAGACTGACACGTAGTAGACCAATGCAGCTGCTGTGAATCATTTGAGAGGAATGTGGTTGCAAGACAAGTCGACTAGGTGTATGTCAACCAGGGGGGCTCCTCGGCGGCTCAGACGTCGCCAGAGTGAGCACATCTGGCTGTGCATGTCCAAAGCCGCCGGGTGCAAGATGACACAAACCACGACGTCAACGTCTGTGCCGAGCCAAGCCTCGAGTTGTCTGGATCAGTTGACTGGTGATTATCGTCTGTTGCAGGGGTTTGTTTACTCGACATGCCGTCCAAGGGCCGCAAACACCACCACCGTTTTACCTCAGCCATGTGTTGTCAAGGTTTACCCCAAGTCGCGTCGCTAATTCTGATCCAAAATCAAACGCCGAACGAGGAATAAGCGGAACTAAAGCTTGTATGTAGTTACGTACAATACTCCACGAACCTACCCTGGCAGTCCATGGCAAATCAGTCATGTTATATGTGCCAGAAAGAAACTGATGTGGGCCCAGCTCTGGGCTTGTAACAAGGCATGCTTTTGATTTGTTAGCGCGAGGACTCCAAGTTCCGTACGCACACAAACATGTCATGGTGTTGTGTGTGTCTTCGTTTTGAAAGCTCCTGGGTCGCACGTCATTTGCATTTTCCCCATGTCGAGATCCCTGCTAGCCCTGACACGCTTTCCGAATAACAATTTCCTAGCCAACCAGGCCCAAGCCCGTTTTCCCATCTCGGATTCTCACTGGCGGCCATGGCATTCTATGACATTGTGCGGTGTCTACCAATCCGGCTAGAGAGAGTGACCGCCCGATCCGAACAACTGGTATGCACGGAGTACGGAGTGCCAAGCGCTGAACGATGTCGATTTGCTCTATATTTGTAACGAGCTCATCATCTGCCATCTAATCGTCCTTGTGGAGGCGGCTGGGTGGTCACCCTTCTCTGACTACTCCGTACAATATGGCCATGCCGCGGCCAAAAAACCGAAAAATGGAAACTCTTTCTGCGAGACAATGTTTCGAAACCGCCAATGGGCCGTGTCTCGCCGCCACGGAGAACGGGAGTCGCATGTCTGTCGAGTATTCTGCCACGAGCCAGGAGTAAACCCGGCACGCTGACATGGATGTCACGGTGGTGGTGCCGAGTGGTCAATGGGTCATCCTGGCTCCTGAGTGTGTTCCCGAGTACTAGATACATCCAATATATGATATGTAAACAATGCCCTGTCGTTGCCATGTTCGCGCATGCCAGTACCCCCTTCGGTATGAAACTACCACCACTAGAACGGATATTGACTTTTGAGACTACATGTGGTTATCTCAATCGGTGCGGGGAAAGGAATGGAAGGCCAACCCAACCTTGGGATGGAGAGTGAAGACTCTGCTGGTGCCGATTCAAGTCGCTCAGCCCAAGAGCCTCTGTTTGACGTGCCTTCAAACAAGCGCGCGCGGCTAGCTTTTGCAGATGAGGCGTACAGGGTACATCAAATCAATCCTGAGAGCTCAAACGGTGTGCCGAACTGGACCAAACATAATTAATTGGCCACTTTTGATGCTCAGCGCCATGTACGTATGCGCCAGGTGTGCTACGCTGCACTGCGTCGCATTGCGTCGCGTCGCATGGATTACACAGATGACGATGAGCGATGCCAGCTCTATATTACCCACGCCTCAATACCCACCCACAGAAGCAAACGTCAACTGGTGTCTGGGCTGAGGGAGCCAACGAAGGTTGCTGGGGCTTCGGCTTCGAGGAGATGTGTACGGCTCCCTGAGAAGTCGCGGAATCGTCGCATCGCGCACCAGAACACAGCTGAGCTGATTGTGTACTCGGTACGGAGTACGTATCTCTATGATGGGCTGTAGCAGAAGACTCGGGACTACCGGTTCACGTCTGTCGCATCAGGTGCTCCGTAAACGCATCGTACCCAGCTGGTGGTCGGTATAGCGTCGCGAATCCGATGAATTTTGCTCAGTTAATGCCATTTGCGGCTGAAACGGAGGCGCCATGGGCCATCGCTGTGCTTCCACAACTTCCAAGCCCCCCCCCATCTTTCCCGGCGACGCCACCCCGGAACGATAAGATTTTGTTGTTTCTGGACCAAGGCCAAGTGGAAGCAAGTGGTAACGGTGCCCACACCACCTGATTATGTACAGTCCGTTGCACGAGAGGCAGAAGGGCGAGATGTTATTGTGGATGGATGGTAACGGGAAATAGAACAGCCACGAAGAAGGAAGAAGAGAAGCCTTCAAGACGAATAGCAACCCGCTTGCTACCAGTGATGATGAGTCAGTCGACGGACGGGGTTCGGCGTACGGCGCCACAATGGCAGGTGCAGACAAGCAAACAGTAGGTGCTCCTGCCCACCCATTGATATGATAATTGGATTGTGTTGGCAATTCGCCAGTTGACATTTTCAAATGTTTTGCTGGTGCAGGGGCTGAATGCAGATGCTGACCATTTCGCCCATGCCCTGAGGACCAAGCGACCAGGGAGCGTTCTGTCCAGTAGCAAGATGTTTATTTTCTTTCCACAGCAGCGTCTGCGAGCGCCTCGGCACCATGGTTCGTGGCGCGAGAATGCCGCACGTAACTATCCATTGACCCTCGACGGTGTGGGACTTGTCAAGACTGGCACTCTGTCAATGAATCGGAGCTGGAGCTCCATGATTCAGATACTGGCAGCCAAGGTCCAAGACAAGCCCACACTAGAGACATACGCATCGTTGTAGATGGATGAATGGGCACGGCCTAGGACGGCTTGTTTTGGTCGTCATGAGAGACAGAAGCGTGGATAACGAACGGGCTGGATCACGCAGCCAAGAAGCATGGGCGAGCTCGGGCCGTGAGGGTCCAAGTCGCAGTCAAAAACAACCTGATGGGCATGGGACAGGCATCTGGGATGTCGGGGGTGGCCTCGCCGTCCAGGTGCTGTCGTATCATGTATGGTCGTGCGATTATCTATCTGCCCGGCTGGTCTTGTAGTTTGTCGGGCCTTGGCCGGCCAAGCGATGATTGAGGGTCCATTTCACGCATCTCGGGCGCATCTTTGGTGTATCTCGAGCGCACACTTCTTCCTCGTCGCCTTCACCCATGTTTGGCCACTGCTCGCTCGCTCGAAACATGGGCCAAATGCAGTGACCTGCTGCCGAGCCCTGCCAGGATATGCATGCACCGACTAGTATGCACGTATGCACGCATGTATGGACTACTCCGTACTCCGTAATTGTGTGTTATCGCCGGGATTAGCTCGTGAGGGTCCAGCGACGCCCCAATCAGCAGGACGCCGCTTGATCGCCTGGTGACCGCCGGGGTTGTCGGTTGATGCCAGTCGGATGCGTCCTTGTCGGCCGTGGAATTGCGTTTGGCACCAAGAAACCCACATCGGCCACTAGCGGCGCCAGCCCCAGCCCTCAGAGTCTCAGAGTTTTAACGGTGCTGGATGCTGATGGCCGACGGTTGATGGTTGATGAACGTTGTTGATGGGGTGATGCGGACGTTGGCGTCTGCCAATGGCCACAGATAGCTCCGGGGAGCGCCGTGGGAGTCGGAGTGTGCGTGCGCACCATGGATGCGGATGTGGACGAACTGTCATGCAGTTACAAAGTATAATGAAATGCTCGTGCTCGTGCTCGTGCTCGTGCTCGTGCTCGTGCTACACGGGGTACAGAGTACAGAGTACGCATGGGGAAGCTTATCCTATCCTATCTGTCACATCTCGGCTCCAGCTCGCAGGTCGGGTACCAGTTGACCTTGTTCTGGTGTTATTGGAGCCGTCGTCGGACATCCGTTCAACGTTCCCTCCTTTTTTCGTTCTGCACGCCCCCCGGCATCAGTCACCTCACGTTACTCAGCGCTCGTCAAGCGCCCTCCCTGGCACCTGGCAGGCCCTGCCTGGTCTTGACTGGACATCCCAAGTGCTGGAGTCTGGTACGGAGTACTCCGTACTTACTCACCATAGTACTTCTTGCTAGACGAGACACTGGACACTGCTCGGCACCTGGCAACTAGTAATAACTAGCCCCTGGGCACCTGGGCACCTGGACACCTGGACACCTGGACACCTGGACACCTGGGCACCTGGCACCTGGCACCTGGCACGGCCACCTGCACACCAACCAACACACACACCTTGCGCGCGCATCTACAGCCACTTTCAGCAGGGGCCCCGCCTTCATCAAGACGTTGGACCCCTTCTTCTCTTCCTCCTGGCCTGCGCTTGTTCCATCTCTCCTCCTTCTCTTCGGAAAAAACGGGCTTTTCTAATCGACGTTGCCATTTCCCCTGTGCATAATTTCGTGGCCCGCGATAGCCTCGAGTCCTTTCTCTTTTTTTCATTTTGAGTACGGGCCTTCTCCCTTTTATTGAGGAGGCATTTGCCAGATCTGGTCACTGGGTTGATCTTTGGAGGGTGAGTCACTCGCCAAGTCGTTGTTTTTGTTGTTGTTGTCGCCGCCTCGTCCTGGCCAGCCTTAGCTTCATGTTTCTTCCCGCCGGCTCGGAACTCCTTCACTCGACCGCCCGAGTGTGCAATTCTTATTCCTCGACTTTTCCTGGCTGCGTGTACATGCGAATTCTCAACCCGTCCCGACATTTTGATTTATACTTGTTTTTTTCTTTAATCGTTCCTGTTGCGGGCAACCCAAGTCCTTTCTGCCTCGCTTTTGCCTCATGATTTTTCTCTCTTGAGGCCGTGCAACCGCTCACCCTCTGCGTGGCTATTTGCTCGAGACCAAGAATTCCCCCACCCATTATTATTACACTGACCATGTCCATGGAAAATTCTCTTTTCGTGTGAATGTGTCAGCAAATCAGACCAGTATTACCGCTGTCATTGTTCAGGTGTCTGAGATGGGGGAAATCGCCCTCTTTTCCCGGCTCTTTGCAAGCACTCTGAGACGTTGACAAGGCCCCTTTACTGTTTTCTCCCCACACCGGCACCGAGAACGTATTTAAATGTTTCTGATGAGAATTTCCGGACCGTCTTCTTGCATGGCCTGGTTGTCACTCCGGTTGTCTGTTATAACCGCTAACCTGCCTTGCCATCCAGGTTGGCTCCTGTCAGAAATCCCGAAATTGCTTTGAACGGGTCTTTGAGTTGCTAGCGAAACATCCTCAGGGACGTTTTCCTCTGTTGCGCCCTTCTCTGTAAAAGACCTTTAGCCACTCTTTTCTGTTGTCAATACAGAGGTTTTGTCGTACAATCGCCCGATGCATAGGTAGATCATAGACATGGATTCTGAGGACGGTGACCACTTTATCAAGGCAAGTCTACAAACACTATCCGAGCACGCGTGGCTGACGACGGAGCCACCAGGACCTCCAAGGACTGAATACTAACGGTTATATCAGCAATTGGCGGCCTTTGTGCACACCCACGAAAAGGCCCTGGCAAATGCCTTGCAGTTCCAGCGCCGCGAGGTTAGCCATCGATCGTCCCAGAGCACCAGCGCTGCAACGATCCCTTCGTCCCCGACCTTGCCAGACCGACCCTCTACATCCTCTTCTACAACAAGCTCCTTAGCAGCGGCGTTTTCGTTGGGAGCCCTAAATTTCACGTCACATAATGTCAAGTCCGCAAAATTGGCCCTCACCCCCCACCACCTATTCTTCCTTCTATCTCGTTTCGAGGAACTTGGGATTAATGTTGGACCTATGAAGGTACGGTTGGAAAACCTACACGATAGTTCATCATCCACCAATTACGTTTCTTTTCTCGGCAACTCGCACAGAGCTCGTAGCCACAGTTCCGATGTAGGCTCAATACACTCCGTCTCAAGTATGCGAAGCGTCATGTCTGGAATGTCTGCACTGTGGAACAGCCTGGGCATTGGCGCCAGTATATCTGCAGCCAGAACCGAGCGCCAAAAGGCCGCCCTTCAGGCTGATTTGAAATATCTCTACTCCGCCTTCACGAAAATTCCCTGCTTGAGACTGGCTCCAGACTGGCGCGCGCGTTTGATCAGTGGCTATGAGGAATTCCCCTTCGACTCCGCCGTGCCGATTCATGTCTTCAAGAATTTGCAAGCCCTGGAAATCAACAGCATCGACTTCCGTCAATTTTTTGGCTGGGACCGTCTTGCAGACCAACTACGATCCCTCAGCCTAAGGCACGCCGGCATCGAAGACCCAGCAGATATTTTGATAGACATTGTACTGGACGATATGGACAAGAGGCGCCGTCGTACCTCAAAGTCACAATCATCGCCAACTACGACTTGGGCTGGTGGCACCAACAGCCCTCGACGGAGCCCCACCGTCCCCCCGGAGCTTGTTAGAGCGGCGTCTGCTCCAGGGTCACCTGAGCATAGAACTCTCCTCGCTGAGCTTCGCCGCGCCTCGATGACGCCGAATGAGCCGGTTCTGGAGGACAGTGAGAGCTCTGATACCGCTAGGCCCTCCATCTACCGCGACGATGCTGATGATGTCCCTCGATCCCCTTCCAAAGTTGCAAGACCTCGAAGTATTTCCCCTACTCGTCCTGCAAGTTCAAGGCACTACTCTTCTCAAGTTCGGTCCTCTCAACAGCGCATCAGGCGCTCCGGCTCTGGTAGTTCTCATTCGAGTCTCTCTGAATCTTGGCATCATCACGCGAGGGGTAGCTCGGGCAATCTTTTGGCTTTGGGAATCTTGCCAGCGTCTAAATGGCGCTTCCTTCGACACCTTAGCCTCGCTGACAATGCTATTACATCTGTCCCCTCTACAAGCCTGGCTCCTCTCTCAAATACACTCTACTCTCTCGACCTGTCATCGAATCTGTTCAGTCAAATCCCTGACAGCTTGGCTTCCCTTACCGCTCTGCGAGCGCTGAACCTTTCCCACTGCATGATCGACTCGCTTCAATCCCTTACTCGCAACCCACTACCTGCTATTACAGCCCTAAACCTTCGGGCGAACCGGCTACAGTCCTTGGCGGGGATTGAGAAATTATATCCACTGGAACGGCTTGACCTCCGAGATAATCGTCTCTGCGATCCCCTGGAACTTGCGAGACTGACTGGCATCCCTGACATTCGGGAAATTTGGCTCGACGGTAATCCCTTCACCAGAACTCACAAGGATTATAGAGTAGCCATATTCAACATCTTTCGATCTGCTCCAGGCTGTACAGAGGACATCATCATTGATGGTCACGGGCCGAGCTACTCCGAAAAGCGTCTACTGACAGAGCGTGCGCCCATTCCTGATTCGGTACCGGTAGTCAAGCAAACAGCTTCGGATACTCCTGTTGTCGTTGATGTTAGCACACCTGCCATTGTCTACAACTTACCCAGGGATTCTTCTGCTCTGCGCAAAGAGCGTGTAGTTGCTAAAGCTGTCACTAGTGAAGTCAACATCAATTCTTCGCGCCGTCGAAAGGTATCAAAGAGACGCATTGTTGATCTTGCAACTGGTGACAGCAGTTTAACGCCTACGCCGAAGGAATCATTTTCGGAGAATTCCGTGAGAGTACCAGAGTCCGAGGTCGGAAACTACCGCATTACCGCGCAGCCAGGCATAACGTTGCTTCCACCCGTCATACTGACGGACAGCAGAAAGACCCTGCTCACTCAGGCTCCTGCTGCGGCTTCAATTCCTGGTGCTTCGGCCAACACCAACAAGCCCCTCCCACCCACGCCACTTTTATATGACCTGGATAGTACTACAGATGAGCCAACAGCATCTAAAGACTGGGATGCTAGCGGTGAGATGTATCGCCGAAAAATTGAAGCCCTCCGCGACAGAGTTGGTAGCGGCTATCTCAGTGTCTTGAGCGAAGAGAGCTGGGATGGAACTAGCAGTCCGTTCATATCTTCTGGCGTTCCGTCTGTTGGAACTTTACGCACGGGACATGTGTCTCATCATGTGCCTAAAGCTCAAGCGATCCACAGCGGTCGCACGATGAGCTGAACCTGAATATGCATTCGAAAGAGTACGCTGCTGTGATGTGGCTGCTATTTTGTCCACCCCCCACCCCTCTCCCTTTTTGCCCCCTTTTTCCTCTTCTCTTCGATTGATACCCAAAACATACCCTCTTCACAAAATTTGTATTACTGCCGGAGTTGGGTGAACTCTGGTTTTGTTGATGAAGGAGCAAGGTGCTATTGTGCCAGCTGCTCTGAGATACCGTTACGTTTCCCATTCGGATTGCTGATTTTGCGTTGTCTGGTCCTCGAGGTTGAAGTCATGATATACGGAATGATTGGACGGAGCATAGCGATAGTGGCGTTTTGATTTTTTTTTTCTAAAGGTGGCTATCTGATTTCCTTTCGCTCTTCTTTCAGTTCAGGTCCTTGTGCTGCCGTTACTGAAGGCTGTGTAAGTGGATGTCTTTGTTTATAATGCAAGGTGAGAAAAAATGGACTGCATGGGAGGGCTGCATTGTTGTAATGTTTTTGTTTGCCTGCATGGTTCCGTTTGTCGTTGCTTTAGCAGAACGGGTGCAGTTTGACTTTGGACATGGCACCGCGGAGACATGGTTGCTGTTCCCATCTTCATGGTCTTTGTTTCCTTTTTTTTTTCTTCAGATAGGCGGAAGACCAATTGCGGTCTCCTAATGAAGCGATTCTTGGGCCAATATCCATGTTATGCGTAAACTTTTGTGTTGTGCGGTGAAGGAGGTCGTGCGTGAAGTATGTTCGCATCGTCATCATGCCCAGCCCTTTGAACAAGCTGAAAACTAGAATGAAGGGCTAAGACCAAGACCAAAACCATGGCCGGCCCTTTGCAATCCGCGATCTACTATTTCTCCTGCAAGGCCCCGAGCCACAAGAAGGTCCATGCCTGGCGCGGAAGAGGCCGAGAATGGGGCTCGAACAAAGAATGTGCCTCTTGCGGCCGCCCTCCCTCTTAAAAGGCACAAGTTAGTGCCCATTACCGGGCAGGCCAAAACTAAGGTTCATTGCGACTGCGGCTGGGAAGTGCCATGGCGATGCTGCACTGAAAAGCATCGACGAAAGGTACGGGAAGCTGTTCGACATGCCGAAGCTAGTCCAATTTCGTTTGGGGGGGGCTGAAGGTGAGATGGGAGACCAGAGCATGAAGCTCTCAGAGGTTGATGGGGACCCCATTGCTGGGAGCAATGCAGGTCAACTTTCGATGCACAAACAAAGGTCTGCTGGCGATGTTATGAGACGGTGTACTCCGTATAAGTTACTCTGTAGAGATACTAGAGAACGGGTGGGTGGTACATGTGCGGCGAAGCTGAGACGAAGTGAGGCGGTGAGGCGATGAGGCGATGAGGCGATGAGGCGATGAGGCGATGAGGCGCGCGCACTGGCGTCAAGGTGGCCAAGATGAATCTTCAGCTCAGGAACAAAGTCCTTGGTAAACAGCGCCGGACAATGAATGGGTCTCCTAAAATAGTTACCATTTCAATGACATAGCAGATTCCCAAGAACCACAATTCCTCGCCTCTTCCCCAGGTGCAGGTGCAGGTGCAGCTGCGCTTGCGGGTCTCGACCCGAAAGCAGCCAAGCGCCGTTCGATGGCTGCTGACTAAGGTGGAGACGGAGAAGCCACTGCTGGCCGGAATAAGCCATGGGGCCATTGAGCTGTCTGTCGGGTGGGGGGTGGTGGTCAAACTGGTCCGTGCGTCTGCGACTTCACGCGTTGTCTGTTTTTCGCTCCTTCAGACATTGGGAGCCCACGAAGTCACGACGAACTCCTGATGCCTCTGTGATCTCCATCCCCTGCGCCGCGACGACGTCTCCCTTTCGACCACTTGTATGCTTCCTTGTGCCTGCCGCGTCTGCAAGGGGGCTTTGAAATGAACGACTACCCCGCCCCTGCCCCTTGACGAGGTCGCGCGCAACACAACCTCCTGGATTTGCTTTGCAGCCGGGAAACCTACGTACGGAGGCCAGAATCGGCTGACGATCATCGAGATAATACACTTACTCGTGCCAGAGAGTCTTGGACAGCGTCGCTAGACATGGCTCCGGCCTCGCCATCTCCGAGGAGGACGCCTTCGGGCCGTCCTCGAGGCCGTCCGCTCGGATCGACCAATGCAGCGCGCGCGGCGAGACAGGCCTTGACTGCTACGTCTGCGACGGAGCCGCCACCCAAGAGGCGTCGTTACGTGCCTGGAGGACCTGGTGGGGGCGGTAGATTTGTAGAAACTGACGACTTGGAGATACAAGTGACGACTTCTGCGCCCAGGTCCAGGACAACCGCCGTGCGAAGCGCCATCAATGGCAAGTCACCGTCTGTGATGCCCCGACGAGAGAGGAGCACCCGGTCCCGCGCCTCCGCAAGCGAAGAGCTCGAGGAAATGCGGTGGGGGTCGGCTGCTGCCGTGGCGGCATCGGTCAAGCAGGCCGAGGACTATAAACCACGAGAGGAGCGAAGCTGGGAGGAATTTCATCCGAACCTTGATATCGAAAAGACTTTTATGATCTTTTGGGCAGACGAGGTCGATGGCATTGCGCGAGACACGCCCGGTACGCCCGCTTTGCAAACTCCAGGAACGCCGCTTGCGAATGGGTCGATGACCCCTTCGAGACACATCAACGCCGCGTCTACAGGTACTACGCCGAATCCCCAAGTCAAGCCGGACGCAAATGCATCCGATAACCAAACTGGGACTCCGTCAAGGCGGTCACGTAGGCCGACGCGCGAAGTTGTCAGCTTTTACAATGCCCGGCCATCAGACCTTGCACCGACACCTCGCACACCCAAGATATTACCTATACACAACCAAACACCAAAGGAAAAACTGGACCTGAAACTACCATCGTATCGCCGGACAAACCGGATCGAGTTATTCGAGAGCAAGACCTTTGGTCAGGCAAGATACGTCGACAAGGCAATGAGTAACGTTGGCTATCAGGAAAGCGACCAGTTCATTCGTCCCGACTCTACATTGATCAAGGCCATTGATACAAATGCGGAGGAAGACCTCGACCTCACTCCCATGATTAGCAGCGATGATCATCATCATCATACGAAATTGGGCAAGGTGGAATATGATATGGATGAGCAAGATGACATGTGGTTGGAACACTTGAATACTCTGCGGAAGCAGAATGAGCTGGAAACCATCACGAGAGAAGTCTTCGAGATAACAATAACGAAAATCGAGAAGGAGTGGCACGCGTTGGAAAAGAGAATACCGAAGCCCAATCCCAAGCCACCGCAGACGCATCGCCCTAGGTCGGGCTCTGCTGCCGCGGTGAATGGCGAGACACAATCTGGAGAGGAACCGGACAGCAAGTGTGCTATTTGTGATGATGGAGACTGCGAGAACACCAATGCTATTGTATTTTGCGACGGGTGCAACCTTGCCGTTCATCAGGAATGCTACGGCGTGCCCTTCATTCCCGAAGGCCAGTGGCTTTGCCGCAAGTGTCAACTTTGCGGCCGAGGCATCCCCGTAAGTCTGGACCCCCGTAGACATTCTTGGCGGGCTTTGGCTAACCACCATAGACGTGTATCTTTTGCCCCAACACGGACGGGGCTTTCAAGCAAACCAACTCTTCGAAATGGGCGCACTTGCTCTGCGCAATGTGGGTTCCAGAGGTTTCACTTGGGAATCACACCTTTATGGAGCCGGTAATGGACGTTGAAAAGGTCCCCAAGACTAGATGGAAGCTGTCTTGCTACATCTGTCGACAGAAGATGGGTGCGTGCATTCAATGCTCCAATAAGAGTTGCTACCAAGCATTCCATGTCACATGTGCGAGACGAGCACGTTTGTACCTCAAAATGAAGACCAGTCACGGTGCTCTCGCCGTCCTGGACGGGAGCATGATCCTCAAAGCCTTTTGCGATAAGCATTGTCCGCTAGAATACAGCAAGGAACATAATGTTCACCAAGCAACGCGCTCGGCCAAGAAGTTTTACAAGAGAAACATGAAAGGCCGCATTTGGGCCGACAATCTGGCCATTGCCAACGTCATCGCAGCACAGCAACGCAACTTGTTGGCGGAAACGACCGAGAGCGGGCAGTGTGAGAAGGAAAAGTCCATTTCGGAAAAGAGGAAGAATGAGCAACCGCCCAAGAATATGTGGAAGCTGCCCTCTGGTGCCCCCATCATCCCGCAAGCCGTGTTCGACATCGTTGAGGCTTCCATTCAGCGATTTCCTTTTCGCAAACGCAAGGATTTCCTGAGTGAGGCTTGCCGGTACTGGACGCTGAAGCGGGAGGCCCGTCGGGGTGCGGGATTGCTCAAGCGCCTTCAGCTACAGATGGAGACCTTCTCGTCCATGGAGCTGACAAGGCGAGACTTCTCCTCGATGGGTCGAAACGGCAAAGCACGACTCGCGCGGCGGATTGAGTTTGCAGGGGGCATCCTCAAAGACCTTGGTCAGCTGAAGGACCTCTCGGAAAAGATTGTGCAGCGAGAGCGGATGAAGGTGGATGCGGCCGAGATCGAGGATGAGTTTGTGAATGAGTGCTACTTCCCAGTGGCTAAGCATTTACCTCTGGCGATTGAGAAGGCCATGTCGTAAGTTTTTCGCGCCGGCACCAGAAAGAGCCGTTGTGCTAACTTTGATGCGAAGCTTGGATAAGGACCTCTTCACGAGCGGGCTGGAGAAGCTGCAATCCCGTGTTGGCCAACGGTTCTATGTGACAACCGTTGCGTTTGCGCAAGATCTCGGCGATGTCATCAGCACGGGGATCCTTAATGCCCCCTCGCCACCAGCATCATCGAGCAGCAGTAGCGAGTCGCGGTTCGAGGCCACGGATGCTGCTGCGGCAAAGACAAACTTCTCGGATATACGGGAGCGGCGGAAACTGGGCAAGCGCATCCTCAAGGCCGTTCAGTCTCTGCTGGAGACGGCTCTTCGAGTCGAGTCTGAAATCTCGAACAAGCCATACGACACGATGCAGAAGGAGCTGGAAAGCCTGATAGACGCCAGCGTGGACACGGCACGGGTCGCCATCACATCTGCTGCAGCTAAGCAAGAAGAGGAAGACACCATCATGGTGGACGCCCCGGACTCGTCTGAGATCACAGTCAAGAACGGCCTCGACGACGAAGACGCCGATGCCGATGCCGATGCCGATGCCGATGCCGACGCCGACGCCGATGCCGAGGGCGACCCAACGGACACTGCAGAAGACGTTGACGGCCATGAGGGCGGAAACATAGAAGTCAACACCTCTGGCCTAGGCATCGCTGTCGAATCTGAAGAACCCGGCGTTTCCCTGCGCAAGAGCAGACGCACCAAGAGCAACAACAGTGTCCAGCCCTCAGAATCACCGCCGGAATCAGAAGCCTACGTCAACCTGGCCCCCCCGACTGCCTCGTCAACTGGCGTCCCGGGCCCACCGACACCTCCCCACTCCAACGGGAGTTTTGGCAAGGAGCCATCAGATCCCTTGACTGAGGGGGGCGTCGTGTGGTACTTGAAGGCGATGCAGCCCCGGGGGACATCCATCCTTGGCGAGCACTGGGCTGCGGGGAGAGACGCGGTGCGCATGCTCAGCGAGGAGCTGACTGATCTCGACGACGAAGAGCTCAAGGGGCTCCGAGCGGAAGTGGATGAGTCGGTTGCCGCGGGGCTGGTCAGTGGCGATGCGGGCGATGGCGGCAAGGCCAAGGCAAAGACCAGGAAGAGGAGAGCCTCTGGGCGGAGGAGGTAGTTGTATTATTAGCGGATTTCAGCTGTATCGCAGTGGTGTGGACTCGGATGGTGGCTTCTCGCTTTTGGGTTCTGGCGTTGGGGGAGGGTCATGGCCATTTCGTCTCATTTTATTCCTCATGGTATTTCTTGCCGAGTTCTGGGGGTTGTGGCTTGGTTGCTGCACAAGTGCATTTGGTCGTGTAGAGATGGGGAGCTGGTCATGCCAATGAATGGTGTGCGGTGATGTTCCCTGTCCATCTTTTCTCACATGCATCCCGACGCCTACCTACTTCGTATAGGTATCTGATCCACAGGTAAATGCCCAGGTACTTAAGGTGGCGGGGTGGTTGATGATACTTGGGGAAGCTGCGCAGCAACAGCAAGGCACAACCAGACATGTCGATGGTAAAGAAACCGACGCAGGACGCTACCCTGCCAGCGCAGCTCCTTGCCCAGGCACGCAAGTAGACGTGCACTGTGTCGCGTCGTCTGTTAGCGCCCGCCACAGTGACAGATGCCGGAGCTGCAAGTGGTTTTCACATGACTGCATGTCGGCATACCATCATGCAGGCTGGGGAGCTTTCATCCGTAGTACGTACGTACGTCTATTTACGTCCCGACTACTCCGTACTCCGCAATCTGTAACGGGTCGGAAAAAGAAACCTTGCAACGCATGGGTGGGATCTGGCGCAAAACCGGGCTGGGCTGTGGGAGCGGCCAGCCGCCTGCGCCTATGGTGAATGTCAGGGGGGCCGGGAGCCGGGGGCCAGGACTCAGGACTCAGGAGCCATTCACTGACGTAAGGGCGGGCGTGGTAGGTTTTATGCGTCTAGAAGCCGACGCATGAAGTGGCTCATGCTGGTTGTCCAAAGCGACGGACTGCTTGCACGAGACGTGTGAGACGGCTCCCCGGGGGGCGAAGGAAGCCCGACGCCTATGCGAGCCGTTGGCCGGTCAAACAAGAAGAGGAAGGACGCCTGCGACGTGGCGCGTTTTGCACTGTATTCTCGTGTGTGCCAGTCGCAGTACGGAGTACACCCGTTTGATCAACGTCATTCAACGCAAACACCTTCGCAATGAATGCTCCCGCTACAGTCTGGGGCCACCCACTACGTGATGATAGTAGTAGCCGTGGCGTGGCAGAGTTTTTGAAGCACCACATATATATAATATAGTCGGGGTGATAATACCAGGCACGGGAGCACAGACGTGCCGGCGTCAACGAAAAGTGGGAATTGGGCCTTGGGTCTTGTCAAGCTCGATCGAGCTCCGTGTCACCCTCGGTGTCGTGTTCCCTTTGCTCTGCTCGTGAGCACTTGACGAGCCGTCCCTCCAGCACCTAGGAGCGGAGTGATGGCTACAGACTGCTCCCGCCAGGGGGGGCTTTGGTCGAGGTCATAGTTGCTTGGCATCGAGACGAGAACCCTGTGGTCCTGGAAGACGAGAGAGCCTTTCCCAGATCGTCGGAAATCTTGTGTTGCGGCTCGGAAGCCTCAAGACCCGCAAGACTGAACGAAGTGGTGTGATGTCTCCCTGCCGGCCTCCAGAGCTGGCGCAGGGTATCATGGAGTTGTCGACTCACATCTTGGATTCGTGATTCGTCATGTTTGACGGAAACTTTCGCCTTGGCGCATCTGAATGGGCTCGGGAAGCAGAACATTCAAGCCCGGCGGTCAAGGGGCCGGGCGTGGCGCGGAAGGAGCGACCTGCGCTGGGAAGCCGGCCTGGGGACCTTTATTGTTTATTATTCAACTTGGACAGAGAAAGGAAAGAGGGGACCGAGCGGCACCGTACCTACTTAAGTAGTATACTGACTACACGTTGCACAGCGCACACAATGTAATGTACGTGGGACTCGAGGGAGCAAGCAGCTCTGGGCCTCACCCTGCAGAGCTGCTATATTCGTTGCCGGTGGCCTTGCAATGCCCGGCTTCCCAGTTGCATACTCGTCCGTACTTGCTCCACCTACTTCCCACTTAAGTACTCAAGTACCCAAGCAGGTACGTACCTACCTACGGAGTAGGTACTCAAGGTATTCCAGTGTCTCGAGGGCTCAAGTGCTTTACTCGGTACCCGGTACTCGGCACCACAAATTAATTGGGTGCCGGTTGCGAGTGTGGGGATCTGGAGGCGACGAGGACGGACGGAAATCGGGTGAGGGCTAAGGTCCCAACAGATCAAAGACACGTAGATAAGTCTGGCAGCTCTTGGCATTTACGCGGCTGGTGGCGCGTATTGGAGTTGACAGGACAATACCAGACTCCGTCAATACTCGGGGACTCGGGACCTACCGAGTGCAGTTATTCAGGCGACACGCCAGTCAGGTCTCGTCGGCGTGCTGATAGGTACGGGCTGCGCCACGGCACCGCACCCGCAGGCCAAAGCTGGCATTGACTTTGAAATGTTGACTGGCGCTGACGCAAGCTTAACGCCCACACGGAGCTTGCTCAGGTCTGTCCGCATCATGTAACCACCAGGTACCTCCCTCTTCGGGACCGAGGTACGGAGTACTCCGCAGCATTTGGTGGTTTCCGGTCCTGGAGGCGTCATGGGCCAGGTGGCATTATCACGCAAAGCAAGGCCAACTTGAGCTGCAGCGATTGCCTCACAAATTGAAAATCGGAAAAGGAGCCATTGGGATGCCCTCGGAAAGGTGGATTACCGAGTCACGTCTGAGCCCGCGAGGCCGACGGCGGCCACGCCCTGCTCCCAGCTGCGTTAAGTACCGAGTACTACCGAGTAGGTACTTCTTACTGAGTGCTAGAACTCGGCCAGTCTCCACCACCAAGCCGACCAGGCACTGGCGCTGGCGCTGGCGCTGGCACCCCGAGCCCGGCGCTGGGTGCGACCCGCGAAGCCTTCAGTGTGTGTTTCGAAGCCCCCAGTGGCGGGCGGGTGTCCAGTGCGGCCCAAGTGCGCTCACTGCATGTGCCCACATCCTGCGCAGTTCACCAGTAGTTCGCAGAGCCCTGTACGGAGCACCGAGTACCGTCTCGCAAGCAGGTACCCAGGCAGGTACCTCGATTGGTACTCCAAGTGCCCAGTGCCACTTGACCCTAGGGACATGGACATGGACCAGCTGGCCTTCCATGCTCAACTGGACCCGGACAAGACCCCAACAATGTAGCGTCGCGTCTAGTCACTGGTCAGCTGGCCGTCGACTGGTCTGGTGTGGTTGCCGCCGCCGCCTCCCTCACAACCTCAGCGCTGGAGCGTGCTGTTGTTGGCTGCTGCCGGGCTGCTCCTTGGCTGCTCCCCCCCTCCCCTCCTCGACCTTGGAAAAAAAAAACATCCCGACGGTTGCTGCCATCTTTCCCCCCCTTCAACCGCGCCGAAAAGCGATTTCCTCATCCACGACGAACTACCCAACGGCGACCCTTGGCGACGACCAACTTCCGCGACGGGAGCAAAGCGACTTGGCTACTAGTGAGCCCATTCAAACGACGACAACGCCTTTTGGCCTCTGTCTCTTTCGCCCGACGACGACCCTTTCAGCCACCTCCCGAGGCTATTCTTGCCGACAACCACCCTTCAAGGGAACGCCCCTCGGCGACGATACAGACCTTTGGCGACCGTGTCTGTCCGCGCGTACTGAGATTGATCTCATCCATTGGGTCCCATCGGCTACACTCATTTTATCCATCTGAGAATTGTCCATTCCGCTCGCTCCACCGCCTATCAGGCTCATCTGGCCCCGAGCTGTGATCACTTCTTGGTAAGTCGCCCTTGGTAGCTGTTTTCCCCCCGGTTCTTGTTGGCATCTTCGATCCCCCTCCTACCATTCGCAGTCCATCCACGCCATCTGCGGCCTATGTGTCTGCGTTCCATGCTCTGGTCCATCACGTACGAGAGAAATTTGCGACCGAGATGCCGTCTGCTCCATTTTATTTGGAGGAAAAAACTAAAAAAAATCAAAAAAATCAAAAAAATCTGCGCCATTGTCGCTCTAAAGGGGCTTCGACTCCGCCTCTCCTTCATCGTGCTTGACACGCGCGCTACTGGTCGATTGATGGTTTGTTTGCTAACCGCTCACGTCGTCCAGGTTCTGAAGTGCATCGTAACATCAGCACTACACCAGTTCAGAACGCACGTTTCCCCCGCAGCCGCCACCTCCTGCGCATCGGCTTGCATCCAGCGATTCGTTTTTCACGCGCCAACGCCGCCCACCTCTCCGGTCCCCGCGGGCAATCCCTCGCCAAAGGGATCTCTCTACTATGGCTGACCAACATGAGGTCGATCTCGATTCTATAATCGACCGCCTGCTCGAGGTGCGTGGCAGCCGCCCCGGAAAGCAGGTTCAGCTGCTCGAAGCCGAGATTCGATACCTGTGCACCAAAGCCCGCGAGATCTTCATCTCCCAGCCCATCTTGCTCGAGCTCGAGGCCCCAATCAAGGTATGTCGTCTGGCTCTGGCACTACCGCTCAATCTTGTCGCTGACACTGGCAGATATGCGGCGACATTCACGGCCAATATTATGACTTGCTGCGGCTCTTTGAGTACGGTGGTTTTCCTCCCGAGGCCAACTACCTCTTCTTAGGCGACTACGTGGACAGAGGCAAGCAGTCTCTCGAGACTATTTGTCTGTTGCTCGCCTACAAGATCAAGTACCCCGAGAACTTTTTCATCTTGCGAGGTAACCACGAGTGCGCCTCCATCAACCGCATCTACGGTTTTTACGATGAGTGCAAGCGTCGTTACAACATCAAGCTGTGGAAGACCTTCACCGATTGCTTCAACTGCCTTCCCATTGCCGCTATCATCGATGAGAAGATTTTCACTATGCACGGTGGTCTCAGCCCCGACTTGAACTCTATGGAGCAGATTCGACGTGTGATGCGACCAACGGATGTACGTCATGGACCCATCCCCATTCTCCCTTGCTCGCAGCACCCGGCCGTTGTCTGTGGGTAGTATTGGTCTGAACAAGGTGTTAACTTGAATAGATTCCTGACTGTGGTTTGCTTTGCGATCTGCTCTGGTCGGATCCTGACAAGGATATTACTGGCTGGAGCGAGAATGACCGAGGCGTCTCCTTCACCTTTGGGCCTGATGTTGTCTCTCGGTTCCTGCAAAAGCACGACATGGATCTGATTTGTCGCGCTCATCAAGTTGTCGAAGACGGCTATGAGTTTTTCTCCAAGCGCCAGCTGGTAACTTTGTTCAGTGCGCCCAACTACTGCGGAGAGTTTGATAATGCCGGAGCCATGATGAGCGTCGACGAGAGTTTGCTCTGCTCGTTCCAGGTAGGTATCTGCGTTTGCTGGCAAATGGCTTGCGAGCTCGACGCTAACCAAACGATTGTAGATCCTCAAGCCTGCTGAGAAGAAACAAAAGTACGTTTACGGTGGTCTTGGCAGCGGGAGCAGACCAGTCACTCCCAAATACAAGTCCAAATAGTCAAACAAAGGAAATGAACGAGTTTATACGAACATGATTGCTCTCTTCTAGGTTCGGACGCCGCTAAGACCTGAGTCGTACCACCCACCTCGACGGATGATGACCTGTTCATGACGCCGATTTGCACCAACATCCGCCGACGCGCCACTGCGAGGCCGATTTTTTTGTCTCACCGCATCCGATTTGTTTTGACCCCCAACACGCTCTCTCTCCTGTCGAATCTCGATTTCTACATCTCTCCACACGAATGCGCGTTGCACACGCAGCTCGCAATTTGCGCCTCGCGCTGTCGCTGGTGTTCGCGGCCGCGAGCATGCTGGGTTGGTTGCCTCGGGTTGTACAGAAAACGATTTGCCGCACCTCATTGTGGAAGTGTCCTCCTGGCTTATATATGTATTTCCCCCTCCCCCCCCTTTTTGGCCGTGTGTATATGTTGGGAGGACACCTGCCGGGGGTTGGCGGATTGGAAGAACGAAAAATCTACACGGCAGCCCGGATCGTCTCTAATGCTCAATGCGAACTTGATCACGACGAAAAGCTGTTTTTTTTTTAACTCTTTATACAATATACAAATTTGACATACATGGTGTCATGTCCAAAGGTGACTTGTACGTGTTTTAGGACACGGGGCAGTCAATCGCCGAGTCCCGAACCCCCTTGGCTACACAGTCGTCGGCCTTGGAATGCCGACGAATCACGATGTTATGATGCACCCACGTACAGGTCGGAGAGTGGCAAAACGTCAAGCACGAGCTGACCTGAAGCATGCGACAGGACCGACTCGGCTACCCCCGTTCGGCGTTGGCCGTGACATCAGCAAAGCGGGCATGGGCTCCTGATGGTGAGTCCAAGCACCACAAGGTAGTCAAGCCGGGTGCACAACAGGCCCAGTGTTGAACTTTCTCGAGATTGCCGCTTCTCAGAGACGCCGCCACGACGATGACATGCAGCAGTTGGCACGGCTACGGAGGGGCTCGACGGGGGGAGGTTCCCGCCCTTGACTCGATCCAAACCCACTTGTCGTTTGTCAACGTCATCACCGGGACTGCCGATTCCCCCATGTCCCGAGCCCGGACGGCCATTCGGTCGACCGTCCCGGGCAGTCTGAGGGACAAACGGCCGCGGCGGCCTAGCTGCAATCCCGGCAAGACGGGTGCGTCGCAGTCGCAGTCGCGGTCGCGGTCCCGGTTCCGCCCGCGGCGTGGTGCCCGTCGACGTGTCCCAGGTCCCGGCCGGGCTGGATGACGTCCCTCACGCGCCGCTTGAGTTCCTTGGTCTCGGGGAACCCGCCGTCGGTCTTCCTGTCCCAGAGGACGGTGGTGCTCACGGCCTGCTGGGCCGGGCCGAGCGGCCGGTGGCGCATGGTCACGGCGAAGGTGCCCCCCGTGGAGGGCTGGAGGGAGACTTCGCCCAGGGACGTGGAGAACGTGGACAGGAGTTCTTGGGCGAACTTGCTCGGCGTGGTTGGCGGTCAGCTGAATGGCTCCCTCCCTGGGTGCGTGAGACTGGGTTCCGTGCCGGCGCGTGCGAGGCACGCAGGAGGCGTTTGGATGCGGCAAGGGGATGGACGGGATGGGGATGAGGCAGACGGCGGACGTACGTAGGCGGCCCTGAGCATCCATCTGCATTGCGTGCAGAACTGGATCGTCACTCTTGGAAGCCGGATTCCGTCGTGGTCTGCGCTGGTTGACTCGGCTTGCTCGGCTTGCTCGGCCTGCTCGGCCATGTTGCGCGCGTGCGTGGGCGGTGGAATGCTGTGTCTAGCACCTGCTGGGCGTGTGCTCCGCCCGACGAATTCGATGGCAAGGTTTGCTTCAATTCAAATCTTGTTATGTCCAAGTTTGCCCGCCGTCTGGGTCGGCCTGGGTCTCCAATTCCAGATGAACATTGCAACAGCCGCCCCCACCGCCGCCGCCCACTTTGAACTTGGGTCGATCCACTGTTCGGCGCCGAAGATTCACCGGACTCGAATTTGGTATGGTCTCATGGTCCGCGGTGGCCGACCTTGGACACCGCTTGCTGGTTGTTTTCTTCTAATTGACCGAGCATCAAGGCTTGCAGGACAATCGGCGATGCAGTTGAGTTGACGTCACTTTGTGAGAGTTGTTTGGTTACAACTAGGTAATCTGTAGCGTCTGGGACCGGGCATCATGTCAGAGACAGGTTTTCTCAATCAACAAGAACACAGAAACGGAAATCAACGATTCCACGTCATCACTAGCTTTTGAACCTTTATTGATCTTCAGTGTGTACCAAACATGAAATACGCAGACATAACGGACGCAAAGAAAAAAAAACTAGTGAAAAAAAAAGGGGAATTGATACATGCTGAAGAGCCGGTATTCCCAGGCCGATGTTTGCCTCTTCTTGCCCTCATGTGACTGCGTCTGTACAGACCGCCCTGCGCACGGAGACAAAGCCACGAGGTGGCCTGCTTCCCTTCTGCCCGAGTGGGCCGCCCGTCTTTGTGCAGTTGATAAGTCGATGGAATAAACAGGACTCCAGGTATATGCGTCGCCCATGACCATATTGTAGACGTGTCACCTCAATCTTCTCTCCTTGCTTGCTTGTTTCGCTCTTCGTTTGCCGCTCGGGGGGTATGCTGCCTCTGTGCCAACCCTGCACCAAGGCTCCGAGAGAGCTCTATCCATGGTCCCAGCCAAGAATCATGACAAGTATGTTTGTATGTGAAATTTTTGTGATTTGGTACGCCGTATCCATCTCTCCCACCCATCCGTCCAAAATTCTTCTCGCCTTCGCGCCCAAGCGCGCTGTTCCGAATTAAGATATAGAACACGTTAAGGAACTGATCGATGCTGCGCTGGCGTCGGTGCATGCCGCACCTCCACGCCACTGATAAATAAACAAGAACAAGTACCCATCGTAGCAGGTCGTTGGTGAAATTTTGTTGTCTACCGCGAGATCTCGACGAGAAGCACCGGCTTACATGACGACACAGCAGCTGCCTGATTGTTGCGGTGCGTAGGGATCCTCGCCCTTGGGTACCGAGCCCCATACGGATGGGACCATGTAATCCCTTGTTCCATTGCAGTAAGCAATAATACTGTTTGTCCGACGCGAGGAATGTCAGTTTCTATCATCACCAGGGGCTGTCCAATAATGCATATCAAGTCGCCTGCACGTGGTCCCCCCGTTCATCAGACTTATTTCTCACCTCTTAGCAGCTGTGCTGACGGGAATACGTTCGCGCTCCAAATCCTCTCGCAGACGGCTGTTGAGCTCTGTTAACCGTCTCAGTTTCAGGTCGGCCATGGACTGCTTCGTCTTCTTGATCTGCGACGGGTCGCCGACATCCCGCGAGGTGTACTGAGGCATGGCGACGACAGGTGTGGAGGCGCGGCGCAAATATTGGATTCAAGTAGAACGTCAATTAGATGGGTGATGACGAGGGCGGAGGCACCGTGATCTGAAGACACGGATGAAGCTGGGCGAAGGGCGCGGCAGACAAAACACGCGACGCGGGAAGGTTCCGATGAAATCGCAGTGGAAACTAAATTTGATGCGGTCAGGTGTTAGTCAAACGTACGGTAAAGCAGTCGGCAAGCTACTTTTTCTTCTTTCGAGTCCCGATTGTTAATTCGTCACTGAGGCTGCGGCTTGGTTGGGGACATGGCGAGAATAAACGACTAAACAAAGAACGAGCTGGGAGCAATGGGAAGGCCGAAACAGCCGAGAGGTGCCAGAACCGACAGCGAAAAGTCGCAAGACGAGATGACCAGGACAACGCTGTGTTGTGCAGGTGGTGCAAAGGACAAGAATCGTGGACTGGCGATGGTATTGATGTTGTCCATGGTCCACATCCCCAGAAGAGTTGGAGCTCGAATTGCCCAAACCTAGTCTCCGCCCCCCTTATTCGTCCGGGGAAAACCGCTGGAAGAAAATACACGCGCCCGTGGAGTGCGAAGGAAACCGCCCTCACAGCTGTGCAATTGCAATGCAGATCAATGGAAATAAGTCACTTACCGACCGATCTGGCCCTGGCGGATGGCGAGCGAAAATAATCGACGGAGGCGCAGAGGGGAGATGAAAAAAACGGGGGAGGTGGTGGTGGAGGAGAAGAAGAAGAGGAGGAAATTACCACGCAGGATGTGAGGCGGAAATTGGGCAACAAGCAGCGGAAGCCCGGGCGTGGGCAGTGGGCAGTGGGCAGTGGGCAGTGGGCAGTGGGCAGTGGGCAGTGGGCAGTGGGCAGTGGGCAGTGGGCAGTGGGCAGTGGGCAGTGGGCAGTGGGCAGTGGGCAGTGGGCAGTGGGCAGTGGGCAGTGGGCAGTGGGCAGTGGGCAGTGGGCAGTGGGCAGTGGGCAGTGGGCAGTGGGCAGTGGGCAGTGGGCAGTGGGCAGTGGGCAGTGGGCAGTGGGCAGTGGGCAGTGGGCAGTGGGCAGTGGGCAGTGGGCAGTGGGCAGTGGGCAGTGGGCAGTGGGCAGTGGGCAGTGGGCAGTGGGCAGTGGGCAGTGGGCAGTGGGCAGTGGGCAGTGGGCAGTGGGCAGTGGGCAGTGGGCAGTGGGCAGTGGGCAGTGGGCAGTGGGCAGTGGGCAGTGGGCAGTGGGCAGTGGGCAGTGGGCAGTGGGCAGTGGGCAGTGGGCAGTGGGCAGTGGGCAGTGGGCAGTGGGCAGTGGGCAGTGGGCAGTGGGCAGTGGGCAGTGGGCAGTGGGCAGTGGGCAGGCAGTGGGCGGTGGGCAGCAAGTTGCTGCAAGTCGGTGCTGGTCTGGCGTCGCTTCAAGTGGGCGGAATCAGCTACTACTATAGTACTTAGCACTTAGCATAGCCGCACCGGCCGGGGCGAGCATGCAGCTAGACTTGACATGCCGGGCAATTAGCTTGCCCACATACGGAGTACTCCGTACCGATACCGCTCTCCCTACGTGTCTACATGGAGGAAGCAACAGCGCAATAGAGGAAGCAAATGGCGGGCGAGCTCAAGCTCCTATGTCCTATGCGGGCGGACCCAGGAAGCACCACGACCGATGCCAAGCTCGATGCTCGATGCTCTGCTGTCTGCACGGAGTAGTACCGGAGTAGTACTCCGAACGTGCAGTGCAAGTCGTGTCCGTGGTCGTGGTATCCCGCACATTATTCCTTCCATCCCCTTCGTCCGTCGTCGTCACATTTTGTTGTGCGCCTCGTCGCGCCTCCTCCTCGAAGCTGCCTGCCTGCCACCCGCCTTGAAGTTGACGGCAAGCAGGGGAAACCCTTTGATGCTTCGCCTCACGTTCATTGGCTCCGCCGGCCACAGACCACTCCGTTCGTGGTCTAGTGCCGTCGCCGGTCCTTGTCGAATGCCATGCCCCGCCAAAACGTCTCGAGTGGACATCTGATGTCGTGCCATTCACAATCATCGTGGCCGCTCGTCGCTGGTGTTCTTGGAATGCATGCGGCTGTTTGTGTGCCGAGATACTCCCTCTTTGCCCTGTACTCCATACCCGGTGCTACATACTCCGTACTCTCCGCCTTCCCTTGCTTGCAACGAAGCCTCTTGCTTGGCGTCGGCAGAACCTGATGTCGTGCCCCAAAACAGGAACCAGGTCATCCATTGGAACGCTTTTCACGACCCCAACGCCGAACGGAACGCGTCAGATCATTTTGACCCTTCGTACTCCGTACTGCCTGCCCGCATTGAAACACTCGCCGGTAGCAACTGATGATAATACCAGACAGACACGTGCTGGAACGACGGCCTCCGACATACAGCGCCCCTCCTCAAAGCTCAAAGGCACCTCAGCTTCCGTCAAGTCCACCTAGAGTACGCAGTACCTCGACATGTTAACGCGGTATACTCCGTACTTACATGGGTTGTACGTATTTTGGAAAGTGGGTTAACGGCGCAGCGGCGCGGCGGTTGGTCATCCGCCGTGGTCAATATATTCCGTCATTGCGCTGGTCAATTTAATTTTGGGGCGGTCAAGCATCCGCGCTGCGCATAGCTATGTTGCTTCTGGCTATGCTAGGTAGATACGCGTTCCACAAAGGCCGGTTCACATTGCATCTACTCCGTACTGGTTGTCGGACCACTACTTCAAGTTTCACCCTACAGTACGGAGTAGTCGGAAGTCGACAGTTTGAGCTTGGCATGCGGCGAGGTGTCAGGTAAGACGCATGCACCTCTGCTCTGCTCTGTCTCGACTTATTTTTATCCAGTGCTTTCTGCCGCCGCTTCGGTCGCATGTCAGCTTTCATCTCTTCAATCGCCTGTGTCAATCTCTAGGTCCAGTTGAACACCGTTCGAGATTCCGTAGTCTTCCAACGTGATGTGGTCCTTGAATGGCCGCTCTCCCTGTCTCCGCAGCATAATTTGGCTGCGCTCGCGCCCGATCCTAGCTGCTACCATCATCTTGAACTGACCAACTGTATCAGAGGGCAGGCATGGGACAGCTGTCTTGCTTCCCAGGCGGTCGTTGACATGAACGATAATCATTTCCTCGCCTCCGGTTGCCGACGCTGGTTTAGTCTTGGTAGTTTTCCCATTTTTGCCATCCGATTTGTCGCAAGAGTCTCGCTCGCTTCGACGAGGCGATCGTAGTCGGTCTGGTCCCCTGCGACCGCCGCCCCGATTGCCATCGCGATACTTGTCTCTATCCCGAGGCCTGTCCCTATTTCTGTCGTAGTCCCTGTCACCTTCTCTGTCTCGATAACCACGCCCTCTGTCCCTATCCCTGGAGCGATTGCGGGAGTCTCGACCAGGTCCATCATCTCGATCGTCATTTCGTCGGCTATTGTCTTTCCATCTAAACCCGCCACGGCTGGACCGTTGTCCTCGGCGCGCTGGTGACCGAGAACGCGATCGTCTTGGCGTGTCGTCATCCATGGTGGTACGAAGCCATCGCAGACAGTATGAAGCTTCGTTAGATGGTCTCCAAATTTTTCGGCTATTCTCGACAGGGACAAATCTTTTCAATCTTGCGACCGAAGCTTTGTTCAACGTGTGTGGGGCCCGAACCCAATCAATTGTCTTCCTGAGGCAAGCACTGTGCAATGTCACGTGACTCGTGTAATCACGTCCACACACGAAAATTGAAAATTCCTCTTTGCCGTGCCTCGCATCACCACGACGAGTCCCTAGGTGCTGCCCCGTTATTCGCACTCAGGCTTGCGACGGCTACGTGTAGCCCTCACATCTCCTCACCTTGGAAAGCCAACCCATAGAGGAGATTGCCCAGCATGGTACGCCCCTGATCGTAGCAAAGACGAACAATCAAAGTCGTCTGCTTCCACCCTTACCTCCGTCGCTGCGATGCTCCCATGTCCCGTCCATCGTCGCTAACCAACATGGCCAAATATAGCCGCCTCCGCCGCACCAAAAACCCGAGAATGTGCTCAAGCGCGCTCATGAGCTCATCGGCGTCAACCAGGCCCCTGCGGCTCTGAACCTGCTTCACGAACACGTCACCAGCAAGCGCTCACGAAATGTTCCCATCGCCTCTCTGGAGCCTGTGATGCTCCTGTTGGTGGAGTTGTCTGTCGAACAAAAGAAGGGCAAGTTAGCCAAGGACGCCCTTTATCAGTATAAGAATATCTCTCAGAACACTAATATTGGCACTATTGAGGTTGGTTCCCTTCCCCTCGGCCTCACCCCACGATTTCGCAAAGAAAATCGATGGAACCAGAGCATCGTTTTAGTAACACCTCGATAGCTTGTCTTGAAGAAATTCATCGAGTTGGCTGGTGATAAAGTCACCGCTGCCCAGCAAAAAGCCGATGAAGTTCAGTCTAGCATTGATGCTACTGCTACCACGAATGTCGACGATTTAGAAGCCACCGAGACTCCCGAGTCTATCCTCCTTGCTACAGTCTCCGGAGAACAGTCTCGCGATCGTACAGACCGCGCCATCGTCACCCCCTGGCTCAAGTTCCTCTGGGAAGCCTACCGGACCGTTCTCGATATCCTCCGCAACAATGCTCGTCTCGAGGTTCTCTACCAGAGCACTGCTATGCAGGCTTTCGACTTCTGCCTCAAGTATACCCGAAAGACCGAGTTCCGCCGTCTTTGCGAGCTACTCCGAAACCATGTTCAGACTGCGGCCAAGTACTCCTCGCAAATGCACGCTATCAACTTGAGCGACCCCGATACTCTTCAACGTCATCTCGAGACCCGTTTCCAGCAGCTCAACGTTGCTGTTGAACTCGAGCTGTGGCAGGAGGCCTTCCGCAGCGTTGAGGATATTCACACTCTGCTTAGCCTGTCCAAGCGCCCTCCGAAGAATATTATGATGGCCAACTACTACGAGAAGCTGACTAGGATTTTTTTGGTCGGCGAGAACTATCTGTTCCATGCTGCTGCTTGGTCCCGGTACTACACTCTGCTCCGACAGTCTTCGGTCCTGGTTGCTAGCGGCCAGGGCAAAAAGGCTGACAACCCGCCTGCTTCCGATGCCGACCTTCAGAAGGCAGCTTCTTTTGTCCTTCTGTCTGCCCTGGCTATCCCAGTCATCAGCACTTCCCGATCTCGTGGTGCTATGGTCGATTTTGACGAAGCTAGGAAGAACAAGAACTCCCGCCTTACTCACTTGTTGGGTATGACCCAGGCTCCTACTCGGAACAGACTCTTCCGTGATGCTCTGTCAAAATCCCTTCTCCAGCGTGCTCGCCCAGAGATCAGAGATCTCTTCAACATTCTCGAAGTGGACTTCCACCCTCTGTCAATCTGCCAAAAGATTTCACCCATCTTGACAAAGATTGGCGAAGATGCTGAGATGGAGCGATACATTGTTCCTCTGCAGCAGGTCATCCTTACTCGCCTCTTCCAGCAGCTGTCTCAGGTATACGAGACGGTTGATCTGTCTTTTGTTGAGACCCTTGCGCAGTTCCCGGAGCCTTACCAGGTTACTCGCGGCACTATTGAAAAGTTCATTATGAATGGCAACAAGAAGGGCGATCTCGCCATCCGTATGGATCATGCCACCGGCGTTCTCAGCTTCGATAACGATGTTTTCTCTTCTGCCAAGGCCGGATCAGCTGGATCCGCCGAGTCTGAGACTGGTACTGTCCAGCGTCTGCAGAGCACTCCCTCTGACATTGTCCGCTCACAGCTGATTCGACTTGCTCGATCGCTGTACACTACCTGCCATTACATTGACCCCAACTTTAACAAGGAACGGGCTGCTGCCAGACAAGTTGCTCTGCAGCGGGCCAAGGCTGGCGCCGAGCAAGAGCGTCAAGACATCCTTGCTCGCAAGGAGACGATCCAGAAACGCAAAGAGGAAGCATCTGAGCTCCAGGCTCGTCGGGAAAAAGAAAATGCCAGACAGAAGCGTCTCCGTGAGCAGGCCCTCCAAGAGGCTGAGGACAAGAGACTGGCTGCCGAGCAGAAGGAGCGCGAGGCCAAACGTCTTCAGGCTGAGCGTGACCGAGTTCGTAAGGATGAACTCAAGAAGCAGATTGCCGAACTCAAGATGTCTGACAAGGTCTTGGACATAGACCTTGATGACCTTGACAATCTTGACACCAACCGTCTCCGTGCTATGAAGCTTGCTCAGCTGGAGCGTGAGAAGAACGACGTCAATGAGAAACTCCGCATCACTGGCAAGCGATTCGATCACTTGGAGCGTGCGTTCCGTACAGAGGAGGTCAAGAAGCTCAGCGAGGACTACGCCAAGCAGATTGAAGTTGACCGTGCCATTTACGAAAAAGTCAAGGTCAAGAACCTCAAGGAGTCGGAGGAGAAGCATAAAGAGAGTGTAGAGCTCAAGCATCGTCTCACTCGCCTTGTTCCGTACTACGAGGCGTTCAGAAGCTCTTTGCATGAGAGACGACGTGATGAGTTTGAGAAGCGCCGCAGAGATGCAGAACGTGAGTTGGAGAAGCAAATTGCCGCTCGTAAGAAGGAGTTCCGGGACCGCAGGCTGCGCGAGAAGAGGGAGCGCGAAGAGAAAGAGCGCGAGCTTCGTGAGGCTGAAGAGCGTGCTGCCCGCGAGAAGGAGGAGCAACGGCAGCGTGAGGAGGCGAGAAGGGCGGAACTTGCCAAGCTCAAGGAGCAGCGGGACAAGGAGCGCCAGGAGATGCTTGAGAGGGCTGCGCTTCAACAACGTCGTGAAGAAGAAGCCATGGCTCGCCGCAACGCTGAAAGGGGAGCGGCTGCTGCGCCCCAACGAACAGAGACGCCCGAAGGCCGGAAACCTCCTGTCATCGGATCCGGCAGCTGGCGTGAGCGTGAGGCATCCAAGAATGCCGCCGGCGCCGGCGCCGCCGCCGCGTCCGGTCCTCTCATGGAACGCACCGATTCCAACGACCGCGCCTCTGGTCCACCCCGTCTGCAGCTCGCAGGCTCCGGCAACAAGCCCAGCTGGCGTGAGCGTCAAGCGGCCAAGGGTGAGAACCCTGCATCATCAGACAATACTCCCCCTCCGGCTAGTTCAAGGGGCTTCGGCGGTCCTCGTGGCGGTGCACCTTCCATGGACCGAGGCGGCTCAAATCGGGGTGACATTGGCCGAACATCTTCACCTACTTCTCAGTCCGAGTCTCTGCCTCCTCGCACTGCCGGCAAGTGGGTTCCTCCTCATCTGAGGAACAAGGCTTAAAAACGTAAATGATCAGACCATATACTACAGCGATCAAAGTCGAAAAAACAGTTTTTGGGCCAAAGCGCGGGAAAGGATGTTGGATGCTAGTTGACGGGAAAAGACTACCACATATCCATGTAGTTGAAGATGAAGAAGGGACGAGGAGGAATTGCTGCTCCAGCTACATGTACTGTTCTGGGGCAGTTTCTTTCTTTCGTATGTATTTGCATTGGCGTTTTGGGGGGGGGAGGAATGGGGAAGAGTAAAGGGCTGTAGAGGAAATGTACTCTAGAGCTCAACATAATCTCCCTTCTCTCTTGAGGGTAGCAGCTAGTTCCTCAGAATGAAGTACACTCTCAACCGGCTCATGTGTGAAAGGGTCCATTGATGGTGTGTGATCTTGACCACGGTGATGATCCGAACTCACGGTCAAGCAAAAAAACAGGAGACGTGCCTCCCTCCCTCGAGGCAAGCTGGATCGTGGGCCATGGCTCATCACTAAGACGTGGCAGTCCGTCACAGGCAGTCCGTAACAAGGCTCGTTTTTATATTCTGAACAAAGTCAAGTCTTGCCCGTCTCCAACTACCACCTTGCACAGCAGTACAGGAGAGGTCAGTCACCTCTCAGGGCTATACAAATCCAAAAACCTCGCCTCGAACGGCGCAAACCCTAACACATTGACCGTCATCTCCTTTTTCACAGTTTGCCCTCGAGTGCCACACTCCCCAATAAACATAGACACCATCACCATCACTAATACACACACACGCACACACACACAAAACACCCACCCCGTCACTTCATTCAACATGCTTCAGAACACAAGCATCTTCACAAATTAAACAGCCTAACCTGCTCCTGCTCCTGCTCCTACGCATGCCTCATAGTTCCCGAACGAAATCAATCAAAGAGAAACAACGCCCGCCTAGATCATCGGTGCACGAATACGACAACCGCAAGCGTCCATGGGACGTTACTCCGAACCCGCTAACATGGGTAATCCCGAGTCCATTGCTACACACCGACTGCGTGGCGGAGACATGCACGAGAACAACACAGGCCTTGCCACCGAAACTGACCCGGCTGAGAGAGAAAAAACGAGGCATAGCGCGCATGTTATTATAAAGTCACTGTCAGGGGTAAAACACCTAGCCTATTCCTTAGGTGTGTGTATGTCTTGTGCGTATCACGCACGTACAGACGCACGATCAGGGAGCGCGGGAGCTTGTAAGCAGCGAGCCGTGTATGCATGCAGCTGGAAGCAAGTCATGCAGCTGGAAGCAAATCATGCAGCTGACGAATACGAACTTGTACCAAGATAGTTGGGAAATAGGAAATTACTCGAGACAACGGAACAAATCGTCGGGATGCTCGAAATCCGGCAGAATATTCCTCCAAGACTTGTCCGACCGGTGGAAGCTGGAGCAGGGACATTGGGGAATGAACAAGGACGTAGAGTGCAATGAGGACTCTGCGTTCATCTGTATCTTGAGAGTTTTCTAGGCCTAGAGAGAGAACGTTTGTCGCGATGTGGTGCGCCTTTGGCCAATTTTCCCTCTTTTAACAGCGAGGTTAGCCTGGGCCTGCGGAAAGAAACAGCCCAAGCGATCGATAGCCAGGTGGGAGGCGCTCAGGATCTCCGGCAGCCGCAGGGACCCGGCATCTATTATGTCTCATTTCTGGAACCTTGGGTGGGCGAGAAGTCCTCCATTAGTAATACGGAGTGCCGCGGCATCATTTGTTATCGTCCCCAAGGTTCCGTCATCAAAGCGATTATGACAGGCTCGCCGACAAGCGGTAGAAAAGAAAGAAGGAAAGAAAAAGGGGGGTGAGCGGATGCCAGCAAGGGACAGGAGCAATTATTCAGGTTGTTGGCTCAGGTGGCGGAGGTTGACGGATGAGCTGCGCATCGGCCTACTGCCATGCTCTGTTGCTCGTCCGCTCCGTGTCCTAGCAGTCTCTCGACGAGGTAGCGGTGGTCCAGCAGTCAGGATATCGATTACTTGCTATGCCAGAGCCCATTCGGCTGCCGTTTGTCGTTGCCGTTGGAGGGATTGCGGAGGTTCAATGTTGTTGTGCAAACCGCGACTGAAATATGTGGAAAGTGCCATCAATTGATCGCTCTTTCCGCCAAACCTCGACGCACTACGAAGCATGCTGGCTTACTAAAACAACCAACAGTGGTCACAGTCAACGAGCCTGCAAGACCCTTGCCAGCCAGCATCTGTGTCTTGGATCGACAAGGACAAGATTGTCGGACGCCTTCACGCCACGATGCCAAGCCCGTGTAAATCCCACACGAGTCTCTCACGTTCAGGCTTAAACAAGACGACCAACACAGAGTCCTCAAAATCACCGTGGCGCCGTCCTCTACTGTGCTGTTCGGAACATAGCAGAGAACAATGCCCGTCCCAGGAAGGTCGGTAGAGATGGAGGCGGCGTTTCCAAATCATCAATCATGGACCGACCAGACAGCCAGCCCTGACTAGCACACACCGACTGGTGCCGGCCAACGTCATCTGCTAAGCAGCATAGGGCTCAGCTAGCGGCTCTGCAGTATGGGATTGTCCTGAAGCAAATATGGCCTAGATACCGAACTGGCCATTACTGGTCCCGGGTCCTGGGTCAGCGTAATGTGGGCAGTGGCCAAAGCTGAGTGGTTGGCTTCTCATTCCGGGAGATGAAGATTTCATGACACCCTGCCAAAAGTGCTAATATGAGGTAAGGCCCAGTGGCCTTGCTGTTGGCGCCAAATCCGCCTTTCACTGCCATTTCCCATCTCTCAGGTCAGTAGTACCTCTTCAGGACTTTTGCTAATGTTGTGCGGTCAGCCGTCAATAATGAGTGGACGTCTGATCAGGTACACGCTGCTGTGCCAATGAGCAAACATGATGCAAGCAAATGGGCCTTGGGGAGTTCAGATAGGGTAACAGTGGTGCTGGCATGTCTGAACAGATGACAAAAGGAAGACGAGTCGAAAAGCGAGGAAGCTGGGTCCAAGTTCTAGCGTGATACAAGCCTCTGGGCAAAGTATAGATTTGAAAGGGCCCTTTCGAGTTGTCACCGTCCACCTGGGAAGCAAGACAAATATTTACTGCAACGAACGGGCCGGTTTAGAAGCTACAACAGGACATGACGGCATCATTGGGTTGTTGAGTTCTTCTAGTGTCTCGGCCTCGGAATCCGGATGCAGCGAACCACAAAATGGGGAGCTGGGCGGCGAGAAAGAAAGGTAAGGCACAGGCGCAATCAAAGGTTTGCGTCGTACGTCGTTGCTTTGGCCGGGAATTACATGGATTCGATGCAATACAACGTTCAGCGTGGCGCAATGGTCCAGGGACTCCCGCTGCCACTCACTCAGAGCAGCAAGTGGCTCATCTTTGCCAACCATTTGCAACCCCCTGCTCGGAGAATAAAATTGATTGTGCCTAAGACTAACCAACTGGGCCACTATAGGTACTCCGGACAACGTATGGACTGGACTAGGACCCGGGTATCATCAAAGTGGTCACCGTGTGGCTCCCGACAGCTAAGAGAAAGCAAGTCTTGTCCGACTCGCACAGAAACAGATCAAGAAAACCAGGAAACGCCAGACTACGGAGTGGTTCACGTCGAGTCCTACCAGCCCCTTGCTTCCAGCTAGCCCAGCTCAAGCAATGTAACCTGAATTCGGAAGAGGTGCAAAAGGCTCCCCAGAAGGCTTCCGGCAAGGGGTCACGGCTTCAATATCCTGGTCCGCTCGGCGCTCATCCACGGACCACAACTGACCCATTCAGGTCCACGCGACTGGGCTGGGCTAGCTGTACTCCGTAGCAGGCAAGCTCTTTGCTCATGGAGCCATGTACGACCAGCTTTTCTGAGATGGATAGCAAAGGCCCTGGCGGGCTGCCTTTCTGTTCATGTGGCCATGGTTATATTCATCGTCACGGATGTTGTTGAGTCAAGTCACAGCTGCGAGTGTTCTGCCGATAGCAAGACTTCTTTTTTTCCTCTCGCTCTCTTGCCTTTCCTCATGCGGTAGGCGTAACTAAATTTGCGTCTTGTTCGTGTCAAGGGAGGACTGACTTGCTTTTGCCTCTGCAGCCTGTGCGCGGATACGCGACTCCAAGGACCATGTTCCTCTCTGTTCTGCAATTCGGCTATTATTAATACTCTTACCTGCCGACGGCAAAGCACAACATTGACTCTCGTCCCCGCGCCCTCATAACTTCTCGGCTCTCTGGGCCCATGCAAGACTCTATGGTCATTGATGATTCTTGCACGGCAAGAATTCGCCCCCAATGGCCCCGAGAAGACTGGCAACGGGCCAATGCAATGCCTTGCCGTCACTTACCGTCTCGTGGCCAAAGCCCCATCATCCATGGGGCCGAAGATCCTGGAGCCGGCCGGTCCCCAGATAGAGCAAAACTGGCTGGCCTTGGACGTTGTGGAAATCCTGGATGCCATCCGAGAATGCACGGCTTAGTCTTCTTGCTCACCAGCCCTGGCCAGCTTGGCGGGCGCCTGTGTTCTGTTCGTCAGTCAGCGTCAACATGGCACTTTGACCAGCATGCCTAGCACAGCTGGCCTTCAGCTTTCGTTCAAGCACTGACAGGGACTTGGAGATTGTCGGGCAAACATGGTGCGTGCGATACAGTCACTCTACGAGCACTGAGCACAGAGTACCATGGAACCACCGCATGTCCCCCTTTGGTAGAGGCTGAGAGCGTTCATAGGTCTGTGCCTTGGCTTCCGGCCGGGAGTCTCGATGCCGGATGAGAGTGCGAATTCTCGAGTATATATGGCCTCGAGTTCCTGAGCTATCTATTCTCGAAAATCCCTCTCCGCCCTCCTGTGTCACTGCATCTCTCTTTCCCTCCCTCCCTGTCCCTCTCTCTTGTTTTCTCGGAACTATCCTGTTTTTCTTTCGCCATATACTTGGACCTTTTTCCAGGACTTTGCTCCGTCTCTCATTACACCACACCTTAGGCAACATGACCGTGAACAGGTCAGCCTTGGCCGCCGCGGCTGTGGCTCTGGTCTCGTTCACCCAGGCATGGAACATCGAACTGCCTCCCTGCGTCGAGCCTTTCAAACCCTTTGTTTACTCTGGCTGTTTCCAAGACAGCAACTCCAATGCTCTTGTTTTCCGGTCCAGCCTTGACCAGAAGGACATGACTGTTGAGAAGTGTATTGCTGACTGCAAGGGTATGTGGCTGTTGAAAGTAGAGAAACAGCCAGCTTGGGTTGGCTTCCTACACGACACTACTCATTGGAGTGCCGAAAATTCGACTGAGCTCTTAGATGGCGTTGCTAATTTGGTGATTATAGGCAATGGCTTCCGTTACGCTGGTCTTGAGTACTACGGCGTTTGTTTCTGTGGTGCCACCGTCAACGGTGCTCAGCTCGATGAGTCCAAGTGCTCGTTCCCCTGCAGCGGGAGCAAGACTGAGAAGTGCGGTGGTGACAAGAGCCTTTCAGTCTGGCAGGATCCCACCTTTCCCAAGAGCCCAAGCGACGTCACTGTGGACGACTACAAGTCTCTCGGCTGCCAGACCGACGATTCTCCCAAGGGCCGCACTCTCTCCTATCCCGCCAACCTCGATGCCTCTACCTTCACTACCAAGAAGTGTCTGGCGGCTTGCGAGAAGCAAGGCTTCCCCTTTGCGGGTGTTGAGTTCGGCAAGGAGTGTTGGTGCGGTGTTGTCCTCGCCAACGACACAGCCCAGGTCGATGGCTCTCAGTGCAACATGCCTTGCCAGGGCGACTCTTCAGACACCTGCGGTGGACGCGGTCGTCTGAATCTGTGGGTTGCGAAGGATCTCGAGTCTCTTGAGCCTTGTGGTCACCAGCCTGGTACGGGCACCACGCGGGTGCCTCCTGTCACGACAACTACAACCAAGTCTGTCGACACGACCACCAAGCCTTATACTACCACTACCAGACCAGAGACTAATACCACTACAAAGCCCTATACTACTAACACCAAACCCGAGACTACTACTACTAAGCCCTATACTACCACCACCAAACCAGAAACGACTACTACAAAGCCTGAGACCACGACAACCACGCATGAGACTCCTACTGCAAAGCCCCAGACGACGACAACCACGGGTGAGACTACGACGACGACGAGACCCGAGACTACCATTACCACAACCAGGCCCGGTACCACTGGCACCACAACGCCCGAGACAGCTACGACTACACCCCAGATGACAACTACCACCAAGCCCCAGGCTACTGAGCCGACCACTACTACCGAGGGTATCCCTCACACCACCACCAACCTTTGCACTGCCACAGTAACTCTTCCTCCCAAGTGCGAGTGGCAGTGTGGCAGCTGGTGTGCTCCTGCTCTCCCCCACTGGAGTGATCAAAACGGCTGTGTCATCGCTCAGAAGACCTGCCACAAGCAGGTATCCTCGTGCTTCAAGAACGCAGGCTGGCCCGGATCCGTTGAGTGCTTCAAGTTCAAGGCCTGGTGCGGATTCATCGATGCCTACTGCGCATCGTCGTGCCCATCCAGCAGCTGCGGCAAATGGGACTGCTGGAACCAGCATCACGGCGGCAGCGGCAAGCCTCCCGGCAACCCCCCTACTACGACGACATCTGTCTACCCATGCCCGACGACTTCCACGCCTGCTAGCACCACCGCCAAGCCGGCGACTTCATGCCCTCCCGAGCCGACCAACATTTGCACCCAGCCTACCAGTCATAAGTATGGCTACGGTCCCGGCAAGCCCGTCGGCGGCATCCCCCTGCCCGTCGTAGGCTGCAACGACTGCAAGGACGAGTTCGACGCGAAGCCCTTCAAGTACTACACCGAAGCCGAGAGCCGCAACTGCCCCGGTTTCCCCTGGCATAAGTGGCCCGGCGTGTGCTCCCAGGCCTGCAAAGAGCAGTACGCCCAATGTGTCGCCACCTACAACAAGGGCTGCCAGACCTGGGGCTGGAGGAATGGCTGGCACAAGCGCGCCGGCGAGTCTGACGAGCAGTTTGCCAAACGCTGGAGCAATTGGGGATTGGGTTCCTGCGCCGCCGCCGACTCCGTCTCCACGGGAGCTTGGTCTGCAGAGGGCTCCGACAGCCTCCTGTGCTGGGGATGGGGCGGCAACAAGGCCAGCTGGGCTCTCGAACGTTGCAAGGCTCAGTACCGGGACTGCCAAAGTGTGAACCAGTGGGTTGATCCCGAGGACAAGTGCCAGCGGTGGCCTGGTTGCTGAGGCCCCGAGTCTTTGGCCGCGGGATGAAAACCTGGCTCTGGACGACGAATGGGAGAAGAGCAGTATTACCCCTTTTATGGATGGAGGTCAGCGTGTATGTACCTATTTTTGGTTGTAGCCTCTGGAGGGAACACTCGACACTGGGCTGGTCTACCAGTGCTATCAACAGTTCAAAGGCTGTTTGGCTGGGCATTTTCGTTCGGTATATGCTGGATTCCAATTCACGTCAGCCAATTGGCCTGGCGACCCTCGTGACTCGTAGGTTCAACTTTGTCCTGCGAGGACTCGAGCGTTGGTGAATAATATATCCGTAGCAGTGGGTGTAGCGTACAACCACAGCCTAGCATGATTTTGTGGCTTGATGTGAGGCCCGGGTTATCCCAGTAGGGGTGTTGCAGTTTGTGTAGGAAAGGGTGTATGAAGCACACGTACGACTGGTTCGATTTGTTTGTCAGTCCAAAATCCCGGCTAACCCGACGACGTTTCCATCGCCTCCCTCCAGAAGCACACGCAAGCCAACCAGGCTGGAAACAATAGCCAACATCTCCAGGTATGAAGAACGCCAGGAAACGCCGGTGTACGTGAAGACCGAAGCAAAAATATACAACCAGACCAGACTGTTGCCGCAATCGCCGCCCCAGGCCGAGCTGCGCGGTCGGCGACGCCGCCATGTAACTACAGGGTAGCCCGCTGCTCCGTGACATGAACGCCTCGTCGCCTGCCAAACCGAAGCCCGACTCCAGCATCGCACCCCAAGCAGCAGTGCCAGTGCAGCGACACGACAATGGACGCCCTCCTCAAACCGCTGGCAGACACACTGGCGATGGCGCCGCCCTCAAAGTACTGCCAGGCCTTCTTCCTCGCGGCCGCCGCGTCCGTCCTGGCCCTCCAGCTCCTCCCGCGCGAAGCCCGGCGCACGCTCACGGACTACGGCGCTCGTCGACCGCGGCGCGCATCGTCCCCGACGAGCTCTCGGTCACGGCTTGCATCGGCGCTCAGCGAGCTGACGGCCGTGGGACAGGTGCCCCACGCGTACTTCTGGCACTTCTACCTGCTGTCCACTGGTCTGTCTGCCCTCTGGATGTGGCAGTTCATCACGCGCGGGTCCGTCGTGTCCTTCATAGCAGAGAGGCAGGTCTCGCTGTCGGGAGAGGCGTCGGCGGCGGCGGGACGCGTGTTTCTCGCGTGGTTGATGATGGCGGCCCAAGGCGGGAGGCGACTCTACGAGTGTTTCTGGGTGCTGAAGCCCGGCCGCACGCCCATGTGGTGGGTGCATTGGGCGTTGGGGCTGGGGTTCTACGCGGCCATGAGTGTTTCCGTGTGGGTGGAGGGGGCTCGTGAGTTCTTTTCTGTTGCCTGTTCTTGTTCTTGTTCTTGTGCCCCCTCCTTTCTCCCCTGCCAGGATGGCTTCGTCAAGGCGTGTGGGAGAGCGTGGCTGACGAGCACAAGGGGCGATGCTGGGACCGTGGCAAGCTTGCGCGACGGATATGCGCTTGACCGCGAGGGAACTGCTCACGCTGGCCGTGTTCCTTGGCGCGTGGTTTGAGCAGCACAGGTGCCACAGATACCTGGCCAGTCTGAGAAAGTATTCGCTTCCCGAGGGGGGCCTGTTCAAGCACATTGTCTGCCCGCACTACACGTCCGAGTGTGTTGTATATCTGGCTATTTCGATCATGGCAGCACCGCCTGGCAACGCGTTCAATGTGTCCGTCTTGTGTGGACTGGCTTTTGTCGTGGCCAACCTTGGGTCTACGGCACATGGCACCAAGGAGTGGTATGCGGGCGAGTTTGGAGCCGACAAGGTGGGCAGCAAGTGGAGGATGATTCCGGGTGTATTCTGATCAACAGCCGCTCCTGACCGTGTCACGACCGATCTCTGTGCAAGACTACTGCCCAGGGCCACGACTATCGCTTGGAGGACATGCCCAACCTGTTCCCCATCTTTGAGACCTTCAGTACATCTCGATAGGTCAGGCTTGTCCTTGTCTGTCGTGCACTGCGCCCATGGGCATATTGCTGAGGCCATCGTAGCAATGACCAGTTTACAATGGTATCTGCAGACAGGTCGAGGTCTTCTTCAGCATCCGCAATGCCGTGCAAATAATCCGTGTATAGTTTGTCTGTGGTGATGAGCAGGCTACGGGGCTCCTGGAGAATTCTCCACACAGGGGCCGGATCTAAACCACCGTCTTCTCTGCTCCGGTGCAGGTTGAGGCAGAGACTGGCTCCGAGGCTGACGGTACATACGACAGGCCAGTATGCAGGGCCATCCTAGGTAGGATGAGCTTGATAGACATTTATCCTACGTGCGAGAGCTAGTTACTCAACTTGCGTGCCATGATGCCAACGCCCGGCGCATACTCATTGATGAGGACGTGGTTCGGTCGTTGATGCGGGCTTTGGGCAAAAATATGTTCTGTCTCAGGCTCGGTATCGGTCTTGGAACCGGGGGCGGATTTGACGGCGGACAAGGACAAGATTCGGGAAACGACTGGATTCTCGAGCCACGCGGGAAGAGGAGAGTCGAGCAATCTGTCCTGGAGGAGGTCGGAGGGCCACGTTTGCAACCTGCGGCGGGTGAGTTGTTTCCATCTAGGCTTCGGAGCACCAGCAATCTGGGCGCCATGGTCAGCAGTAATAGAGACGCCAAGTGACGATACACATTTGCGCATGCGCCGAGGACGGTGGCGAGTTTGGGGAGGCGGAATTGACACACTTTACCGAGGATAAAGTGCTCCTCTCCCTCGTCGATGAAGTTGGGAATGTAATACGCCGCAGAGGGCAGGCCGTGTATCCTGGCGTCCTCTAGTGAAGGCGGCAGTGAGACTTGGCTTGTCCCCATGGCGATGGTTGGGTGAGGAGGAGCTGGCAGTCTCGCAGCAACGGCAGATCAAGAGCGCTAGTGTCTCAAATAGTACCGCTTGTCAAGGTGAATTCAGCTCATCGACTGGTTGATGGCAGGTCTCTTTGATCGGTGGACGGACTGACGGAGCAGTGGTTCTACTAGTAGTAGTGCTGCACGGAGTAACTGCTAGTGCGGGTAATGAGCGCCCTAGGTAATGTTATGTAGGTAATATACTTCAAACCCATGGCCAACTTTATACAAGACTGGAGCGTTCCGAGTCAAATGCTTGCCCCCGTCGTTCGTGGGGACGGACGCGAAGGCACTGACCACCTGTCAGACTGCCAAGTTTCAAGCTGGCCACGGCAAAGACTTGTGGAGGATTGATGAGAATCAATGCAGATGGAGGGATGGGATGTGCACGGTGCACCCGGCAATACGGCACTACGGCGCAAGGAGTACGGAGTATCGTGGTGAACAATGCTCGACGCTCGTGCTCTGCAGATGCCAAATCCTGTTGACCGCGTGCCGTCAGATTGTCCAAGTGCGTGCGTGTCCCTGGAGACACCACGGGACAGGTCTCGGCGGTGAAGGATGATGACAACAAAAAAGAGATGAATTGACCTTGATGGGGGAAGGGGGGCCTGCGGGCGGTAGAGATGGTGATGGATGAATGGTGTGGGCCACGCGGGTGGAGTCGAGGGCCGTCAAAAGTGCGGAAGTGTGGAGAGGACGAGTTGCAGTTTGATATTGTTTGATGTACGGAGTACGGAGTGAGGACAACGGAGTATTGTCGCTACCTGGTCTTGAGGTCGAAAACCCGCAAGGAACCTACCTAGTCCCGCCCGTGCCAAACGCTTCAAAGACTATCGGACCTCGATGCCGTCGAGATGTCATTGTTTTTAGTACTCCGTACCCTTACCTAGTGGATGCACGACGGTGCATCTCGACGCACGCAGCCAGTCGTAGGGCGCGACGGTGAGGGGCTCGCGTGACGCTTCATGGCTGACTGGGGCGACGCGCGTTTCGGCCCAAAACTGCGCCATTTGTCCACGACGCTAGCCGGACGCCAGAGGCCAGAGGCCCACCTTCATGATGACCCTGGCCCGATTACTGCACGGCGATCAGACCTAGGTACCTAGCTACCTAGGTACTTAGGTGCTTGACTTACAATCAAATCCCTGCAAGTTTATCCACGAGGAACCTGACGAATTTTCAGCAGTAATCGATAGCTACTTGTAAGTACCTACTTAAGTACTTAGAAGTAGTGGAAATATAAGTCAAATAACGGGGCAGGATTCGGTGACTTATCTTGATAAGAGATTTTGTCAGAGAACCAGGTACTTCTCTGCCCCATATGCCCTCTGTGAAAGTCATCACTCATTGGCTTTCACCCCCCTTACTATGTCACTCCTGGCTAAACCTTCAGGGTCTGAGTTGTAGGGGCCGTACGGAGCACCTACTAAAGACTTAGCACCTGGTACTCAAGTACCCAGGTACTTGTGCGACTTTGGCAGAGGCCGGAGCAGCGTCTGGTACGGAGTACGCTGGACTGGACAAAGGGTCCAGCCGGACATGCATGTGCACAAATTTCGTAATGCTTGCCTGTTGCTTGCCTGTGCTTGCCGCCGGCCGGCCAGCCGGTTTCGAGCCCCGGGCATGGCACAGAAAACCTGGGACTTGTCACTTGTTTGGTGGACTCGACTTGCCGTCGCCTTAGGTAACGTTAGTTGAAGCGCACAGTATTGATGTGTGCGCCGGCTTTGCGTCGCCTGCCATTATCGACGTCGTCATCATCATCAGCATGCCTCAGCCAGCTAGTCCCAATCCCGGCCCGAACTAAGTCCGGTCGTTGCACTCAAACCGCTCACTCACTCACTCACTCACTCACTCACTCCCAGCACTCACTCGTCAAATCCGCGTCCCCGTCACATCAATCAATCCACTCTCGAGCGCTAAGCCAAGCCCAGCCAGTTCTTGTCTGGCTTTGGTTATGGCTTAGCATTTTTTTTTTATTTTTTTTTGGGCTTTTGGCCTAATCATTTCTCTCCATCCATTTCCATCCCATCCTCCTTTGCCACCAACTTCCAACACAACGCTCCTCTCTTCAATTACCAGTGGCACAATCATTCCTCTCCGCGGTAGGCATCCCCAAGCGCGCACCCCTTCCTTGTCGGTCGGCCCTGTTGACAGCGACAAGAAAACAACGCGACAGCCTACAATCCCGCCCTCCACGCCGCACTCTCATCTCGCCCGTGTCGGGGCTGGCTCGAGAAAAGCCCTCGATAGCGGCGTCGTCGTCACCCGTCGCCCATTACTTGTCGCCCGTATTCCCGTTCATTGTTCTTGGGGGGGCGCTCTCGACGACCACTGGCACACATTTTCAGCCGTAACCTGTAGTCGTCGATTGCATCGAACCGTCCCAATTCAATCGCCCACCATTGTCTCTCTCCACGGCGTCGTTTCAGTCGACGTCTCGTTTTGAATCTCCAGGATGGTGGCAGTCGCTTGTTCTTCTTCCAAATAAATGACATGGATGCGCAGAATGCTGCCGAGTCGGACCAGACCAGGCCTGCTCCCGCTTCCCCTCAGCAGCGACCGAGCTCTGGGACTGGCAAGAAACCCAAGTCGCCGGCGCTCACCAAGGCCACATTGCCAGCTCGAGATCCCAAGCCAAAGACTTCTCTGGTTGCTGCCGACGATACTTCCCCTTCTTCCTTGGTTGCCCGCCCCGACGATGCTCCAGAGGACCACGACTCCGACGCCGAGACCATCGTGCTGCCGGGGAAAGATGGTCACTCGCCCTCAAAAGCCCGGAAAGTGAGACAAGAGGACAAGAGCGAAAGCGATGGCGACGCTTCTAAAAGAAACGGTGCCAACGGCAACAGAAGACACTCTCATGATGGCGAGGAACCATCCTCCTCCGTTGCAGCTGGCAGCCGGCTCGTCGAAGGTGCCAGGAAGAAGCGCCCGTCCGTCTCTGCTGGTTCCTCCGCCGACAAGGACCGTCGACCTCGCAACAAGGAAGCAGCCTCCAGCGGCATGAGCTCTTCACCAGTTTCTCCACCTCATCATCCGCACATCCAAAACCGAAACCAAATCCATCACCCTAATAGAAGGCGGCGTTCTGACGCTGCTCCGTCATCGCCATCAGATTCCGAACAGTCCCATCTTCAGGTATCTTCAAAGGCATCTCTACGCGATAAGCTCAAGTCAGGTGAACGACTAGTGCCGCACAAACGCAAAGCTCCCAAGGTCGAGTCCGACGACGAGGCCGACATTCGTAAGGCGCGTCGTCAGCGCACCACAAGCGCCGGTGTTGATTTTGGTCGACACAGGGATTCCAGATCTTCTCTCCCCAAGAATGAAGGCCGAAATCGATCCGTCTCCCCTGCCCATCGACAACATCGACGAAGCATATCCACACAATTTCCCTCCCAATCATCAAACGGCTTGGGTACCAAGAAACGACGCCTCCCGCCGCCTCTCCAGTCTACAGACTGCCAATCGGACGATTCATCCACGGGCGGCAGTCCCCATCCCCGCAGCTCCAAATTACGTGGTTTGGCCACGCCGGCTCCCGCCGAGGCCAATGTCTCGCCCGCCAAGATGGGACCTCACAAAAAACATCTCGACGCTCACGGCCAGACATTATTAGCCCGCGCTTGTGCCCGAGGTGAATACGACGGGGCAAAGCAACGGTTGCAGGAACGGCCCGAAGATCTAAACGTCGCCGATTACGCTGGAAATACGCCTCTTCAGATTGCCGCAATTAATGGATGCGAAGATATTGTGAAACTCCTCATCGACGCTGGGTGCAATTCAGAGTGTGTCAATTACGACAAAGACACTCCTTTGCTTGATGCTGTCGACAACGGTCATCTCGGCGTCGTGAAGCTGCTTCTCGATGCCGGCGTGAACCCGCGAAAAGCCAATGTGAATGGAGAGGAACCAATTGACCGCGTCAGCGATGATACTGACAATGCGGAAGAGATTCGTGCCGCACTTTCTGAAGCCAAGAAACGACAAGGTGACAGGCAAAGAACATCGGAGGATCGACACTCACATGCTGACGGTCATGATTCTCATGCCCCTGACAGCCCCCGACATTCGCCGGCCGCTATAACTTCTACGAGCACGGCTCGTAGAAGTGGAACCGTACGCTCTACCAAGACCAGGAATGATTTGCTCTACATGCCTTTAGATGACAAGACCTTGCGTCAAGCTGCCGGGCGTGGGGACGAGGAGACGGTTGCCCGCATCCTGCAAGTCAAGGAGGGATATGACGACCCCGAATCAATGGTAGCTGCGGCTAGAGGAGGTCATGACCTGGTAATCCAACTGTTGTTGGGCTTGGGTGGAGCAAACGCAGACCCCGGCCCTGTGGCTTCGCTTCCTGGCGAGTTCGCGACACCCATTTTGGCAGCGATTGGCCAAGAAAATATCAAGGTTGTAGAATTACTTTTGGAACAGCAGGGATTCGATCCAACCCGGCGGTTTAAGGGAGAAACATATTACGAAATCGCCAGGAGACGACAAGGGACGAATTGGAAAGAAGAGGAAACCAAACTCAAAGACGCCTACGACGAATATAAACGATCCCATAAGGATGGTCTTAAAACGAAATCCCCGGGTGGCCGACGGGACAAGGCTGCAAGGCGCGACGACACAAAGGAGGAACCGAAGTTCAGCAAGCGACGAATGTCAAGCCCGTCTCGAGATGTCGAACTCAAGAAAAGATCGTCCAAGTTGGACAGTCCCCGAGAGCAAAAACGGTCTAATTCTATCAATATTAGGGGCGATGATGAGTTTCCAACGAGGGGCCCTGGTCGACCTAAAAAAGAACATTCGGCTATCTCAGACCGCGAGATTTCACCTGCTCTGTCACACAAAGCTCAAAGGGCAAAACGAACGGACTCTGACGTTGCTGCCATGTCCTCTGAAGGGGAGGCAGCCAAACCAAGGCGCAAGCTTGTCTCAAAGGGTGAACTTCGAAGTGAACGGGACAAACACAAGCGGATTTCCTCACATAAAGAGCCTTCCAGCCCACGAGAAGCCCGAAGCGACGACATTCCTGAAAAAGCAAGGCTTTCTGAGAAATACCATGACCGTGCCAAGGCACTCAAGCGAGACGAATCGCGGGATCGACCGTCAGGGGACGGCTCAGCCAAGAGGCATCGGACAAGTGTGACGCCTGACCACCCGAGTGATTTTGACAAGGACGGCAACGAAGGCACAGTAAAGAGACGCCGCTTGGATGTTGAGGGCCAAGAATCTCGCCAGAAGCGGGTGTCTTCCGAAGATGGCCGACAGCGCAAGTCTAGCGCATCTCGTGATGGATCTTCTAAAGCGTCGTCTATTTCCAGCCACAGGGAACGTGAAGACGGCAAGAAGCGTGATTCTGAAATGAAAATGCTCGGACACTTGGCGCCCAGCGAGAAATCTGTTCGCGTCAAGTCTGAGGATGTGGACGTGCCAATGACAGACCTTGAGCCCCCAAAGGACACGGAATCTCCGGATATGGACAATGGAAAGCAGGAGGTGGAAGCAGAAATAGCCAGGCTCAAAGAAGCCGAGGAGGAGGCGGCCAAAAAGAAAAGGGCGGAAGAGGAAGAACAGGAAAGAAAGCGTATCGAGGCAGAGGAGGTAAAAAAACGGGAAGAAGAATTAGCTCGAAAGGCCAGGGAGGAAAAGAAGCGCCAAGAAGAAGAGGAGGCTAGACAGCGCCAGGAGCAAGAAGAACGTGAGCGTCGTGAGGCTGCCGAGCGAGAAGAGGAGGAGAGAAGGAAGCGGCTTGAAGAGGAGAAGAGGAGGAAGGATGAGGAGGAACGGAGACAACGTGAGGAAGAAGAGCGACGTCGCCGAGAACAGTTGGAGCGTGAAGCGGCCGAAGAGGCACGGCGTCAACGGGACGAGGAGGAGCGAAAAGAGCGCGAACGCCGCGAGCGTGCCCACCGAGAAGAGATGGAGCGCAAACGAGCAGCAAGGGAGGCTGAGCAAAGGCGCCTTCGCGAGGAGCAAGAGCGTGCTCGTCTTGAAAAACTTCCTCCCCTTCTCCGTTGGCTGGACATGCACCCGGGCCCAAAAACGGAGGCAATTGCCGGGAAATTCAGACACATACCGGGTTTCCGGTACGACACCATTCGGCCAGATGCGACGGGGACCGCTGAAGGCCGTGAGCAATGGCTTCTTAATACCAACGTGGCCCTGCTTCTTGGCGAGAAAGACCTTGACCTCTCTAGATGTGAGTATATACTCTGATTTGTCAAAACCGGAGAGAACCCCCTCAAACAGGACAGCGCAATTGATTAACGCACATCATTGCAGATACGGCGTGGGAACGGGCACCTGTCTCCCGCCTAGCTAAAACCATGATCTGGCGAACCGAGTGGCCTCGGTACTCATTACTGTTGGAGCAGCTATGGGAACTCGGTCGGCAGCTTCCCGGCTACTACCATGACACTGACCCTGCTCACCTTGACTTTTTCGCGAGGAAACAGCTGCAGGATGAAGCGCTGGAGAAGTTTTTGGCTCTGGACATGTTCTTCGTCAAGGTGAAGCAGCGCATAATGTTCCTGTTGAGTAATGCAGTAGTGGCTTGATTTTTACTAACCATGCTATTTCAGCTCTCTGACTTCTTATATACGGTGCCGAACATTCCGCATCTGCGGAGCTTACGAATTGCTGTAGAGTACCGCGAGCTACCGGAAAACGAATCCCAACTTCACGGGTGGAAGGTATTTTCGAAGTGGAAACAAGACCCAGGTGCCGAGCGCTTTCATCCTTTTGCTCCGCGCAATAAGTACTACATCAACGGCGTCTCGGATGGTGATGACTTGCCAGTTCCTCACCAAACAAGCAAGACACCCTTTCCTGAAAAACGAGTTCCTCGACGAGGCTTGGTGCGGGTGTTCCCCGAGGATCCTGATTATGAACAAATATGTATGGAACAGGGCCTAGAACACTTGATCAAAGATCAGCAAACACCATCGCTGCCAAATGGAGACCATTCGTCGCCGACGATGCCGACAGCGACGACGCCGTCCAAACCGTCCGTTAATGGCACCAATGGACAAGCGAATGGAGCTAAACTCAATGGGGTTCATGGCACTTCCGCCTAAGCTCAGCCGAGTTGGGTTGGCCAAATGAGAAACGCTGTCATGCCTACCGAAGAGGAAAAACCTTGAGGCAGATGAAAAACGCATGACGGAACATAAACGTTGCAGACTTTGATGACTGCCACCGCTGTCTGACAAGACGCTTTTGTTAAATCATCCCCTAGTGGAAACACCACTCACCGATTCATCTCGTTTTTCATTCGTCATGGTCCACGCGGGCGTCTATAGAAAATGGATTTGCTATTTCTTTGTTTGGCAGCCCGGGTCGGGCAGGTGAATCTGGTTGATTTTTATCTTTGAGCCCGGCAATCGGACCCGATGAATCAACCGGACGGTGGTCGGGGCGGAGCGGGTTGTCTTTTCGTGTGATCATGTGTAGGAGCAAAACCGGATTGGGATATCTCAAGGATGTCGGATTCACCGTGAGACTCTTTTACACTGATTTTTTGGATGGTTTGCTTTGTGCTAGAAGGGAAATGAAGCCATGACTTGGGTCGGCATGGAAGACGGAGGTGAAAGCATCGCTGAGGCGTTTTTTTGATGTGACGAGCTTTGGCGAGATACCTTTGTTTGGTTGTGTGCATGTGTGTGTAACCGTCCAAAAGAGACTGGGATACGTACAAAGTTTATTTTCATCATTGATACATGACGTGAAATATGGTGAAGACGAAGTGCCTCTTCCCATACGTGTAGCGCCAGCGACAAGGTCCCAAGCACATACCAGCACAGTATCTATTAGGTGGCTCTTCACGGTGCAGACGAGTTGCTGACCACTGGTCCAGAAAGTGGGCCGAACCCACCAAAAATTTTACCCCACCAATCACCAACCCGCTCTTGTGCCCACGAACGACAACTTGACCTCAGCAATAGATTCCAATCTTGATCTGCCAGCCGGCATTTGTCGAAACGCTCTTGCTGCGAACCTACAAGAACCGCCGACGCCCCAATACCACATCCAAAAGAATCGATAGCCCGGACCTCGACCTACTGGACACGCACGTACGTACTGCGACAGGATCGCTCGGCGTTCCGACTTGCCGCAATCATGTCGACGACCGTGGAAAAGGTTTGGTACCCTACCTACCCTCCAGAGCATTGATGACCGGGAACAGAAGCGCTAACTGTACTCCGTAGATCAAGGAAATCGAGTCCGAGGTGCGTATAGGCGAAGCGAGGGACGCGAACCCGCCAATGACCATCACCCATCTCCGTGAAATCACTGACCTAAACGACAATGGAAACAGATGGCTCGGACGCAGAAGAACAAGGCTACGTCCTTCCATCTCGGCCAGCTCAAAGCCAAACTTGCCAAACTCAAGCGCGAGCTCCTCACGCCGAGCGGCGGCGGCGGCGGCGGCGGCGGCGCAGGATTCGACGTTGCGAGGACGGGCGTCGCTAGTATCGGCTTCATTGGGTTCCCGTCCGTGGGCAAGAGCACGCTCATGAGCCGGTTGACGGGGCAGCATTCCGAGGCGGCCGCGTACGAGTTCACGACGTTGACGTCGGTGCCTGGACAGGTTATCTATAACGGTGGGCGTTTTCCTCCCTTGCAACTCACTGATGCTGGCCTACACGGGGACACCTCCCGCCCGGCTTCCTCTTTGTCTTGGTAAAGCTACAAGTAGAGAGGATGAGTCAAGCATGACCCTCTGCGCAATCAAGCTGTCAAGGCAGGAAAGAGCACGTCAATCACGTGGGAGGGAAAACCAGTCGCTAACGTGTTTAGGCGCGCCGTTGCAAATCATTGATTTGCCTGGCATTATTGAAGGTGCCAAGGACGGCCGCGGTCGAGGCCGACAGGTCATTGCCGTCGCCAAAACCTGCCACCTCATCTTCATCGTTCTCGACGTCAATAAGCCCCTTAGTGATAAGCGCGTCATTGAGGCTGAGCTGGAAGGGTTCGGGATCCGAATCAACAAGGAGCCGCCAAACATTACGTTCAGGAAGAAGGACAAGGGCGGTCTGAACATTACAAGCACGGTGCCCCTGACACACATAGATCACGACGAAATCAAGGCTGTGATGGGCGAATACAGAATTAACTCTGCGGATATCACGATTCGCTGCGATGCCACCGTGGATGACGTGATTGATGTCCTTGAGGCCAAGAGTCGAGCGTAAGTCCATCTCCCAACCCGCGAGAGAGGCTCTTCTTGAATCACCAAGTAAAGTTGAGCATGGCATCTCAAAAAGGTTTGCGAACGTCACGGCTGACCGAACGGAAAAGATACATTCCCGTCGTCTACTGTCTGAACAAGATCGATGCCATCTCCATTGAAGAGCTCGATCTCCTCTACCGCATTCCCAACGCCGTCCCAATAAGCTCTGAGCATGGTTGGAACATCGACGAGTTGATGGAATCCATGTGGGAAAAACTCAATCTGAAGCGCGTCTACACGAAACCCAAGGGCAGACAGCCTGATTATTCTGCGCCCGTGGTGCTGCGGTCGAACCGTTCTACCGTCGAGGATTTTGTACGTTTCTTGCCATCCGGCATTCTTGCCACTTATGACATGTGTCTCATTTTCTTTGCTTTTTTCTGCTCTCACATCTCAACTTTGGATCCCGCCCCGTGGCGCGATCGACTGGAGAAAAAGCAAAAAGAAACATTTTCACTGACTTTCGGGGACCATGACAGTGCAACGCCATCCATAGAACCATTGTAGAACAGTTCAAAACGGCTATTGTTTACGGTAAATCAGTGAAACACCAGCCGCAACGAGTAGGACTGGCACATGAATTGGAAGACGAGGATGTTGGTGAGTACACACACAGCCCATCAGCTTGCCCGCCTGATGTACGGAGTACACCGCCTACATCAACCAAGGCCTTGTAGGGGAATCGTCGCGATTGACGGAAGCGTACCGGGGCAAATGAGGAAGCCGCCTGCTCGTCCGCAGCGCCACGTCTGTCTTTGTTACGTGACGAGCACCGCTGCCAGGTCTCCTTGCCCTGGTTTTCAGCTCTGCCAATGGCCGTCTCCCACACCTTCAAACAGCAACCATGACAATGTTGACCATGCCGACAGTTACCATTATCAAACGATGATTACAATGATTAACTTTTAAACGGTGGGGAGGGCGCCGCTGGATGATTGGGGGGGCAGGGCCAGGACTGGTTGTTCCGCAGAGGGTGGCGTCGTGGTCATTGGTAGGGGTCTGTCGACGCCTGACCTTTTATCCGTATGACCAGGCCCAACTTCGACGACCGGCCGACAGAAGTTCTTGCGGGCTCTTCCATTTTCAGTTTTGACTCTTGATGCCGCAGGCTCTTCATCGTCCACACCGGTCTGATGGCCGACGAGCAGTAATCTCAGGGAGGAGCCTCCTCGTCGAGCGGCATGCCATCAAAATTGGCAGAGAGGAAAAGAGGCATCCGGCCGGCCGTGGTGAGTCGTGCCCACCAGCCTCGGGCTTGATCAAGGACGATTTGGCATCTCTGAGGAACGGGAACCACGGTTGGGGCGGAAAGGGCCTGTTTTGTTCACCCACGGCTCGGGGACGTGTCTCGGCAGGAAATTCCACAGACGAGCTGGCTCAAACCGACGCAGCTACTTCCCGGGGTGCCACAGCCTGACCAGAGTTGAGGAATGAGACTGGCGGACCCAAAACAAGGCTCAAGAAATTTACTCGTCTTTGACAATAGAACAAGAGGAGGGAAACTCAAATTGCCCCGTGTTGGCCATGTTCCGTTCCAGCCGCACCAAGCCCTTTCCCTATCCTCTCCGTTCCCGTGGCCGGCAACAATTCTGGCGGGCGCACGTACCAATCAAACCGGATTTTGTGCGACCTGTATCCGACAAGGTAGACAATCTCGTCTTGGCAACCAGACTTTTTTGTGTTCCATTTGCCATCGCGTGCGTTGCTCCGTCGCGATTCCCAAACAGGGCATCCGTAGCTGAACGGCCTCCCCTGTGCCCCATGTCGTTCATGTCTTGCGCATGTGCTTTCGTGTCCCGCCTACCGGAAGAAGAAGATTGCGATCGCAATGATCTGCAACCGCGCGTATGTACGGAGTCCGCAGTGTAGTACTTGCATACCTGCCCCTTCCTGTGCCGCCCCCGATGGGCCGAGAACTGTGGAATCCGACCGAGTACAGAGTAGTTGCTCTACCTACTCCGCGGACGCAACGTCGACATCGATCATGAGCAAGATGCGAGCGGCGGGGACGCGATGGCCCGCTTCATCAACGCAGGTCCTGCGGTCTGTTCCTCGGAGTATTCGCAGCAAGGTCCGAGGCCCACCTCCAAACGCAGCATGTATGTAGGTCCAGTGTAGTAGCTGCTGTCATGCAGACCGATCGGTCCAGGAACTACTCCGGAGTCCGTACGGACGAGGCAGAGTGATGGGCAACGGCCGAGTTGGAAACGAGAGGGCAAGGGCATCACGGGGTATTGGCTTGCATGCAGAAAGGCCGCATGTTGGGCCGCTTCCTCCACAGGATTTGCAGCCGACGCACGTTCGGGAAGTTTTGCCTCCTCCTCCTCGTCCTTGTTATTTGCACTGGGAAAGGGTCAGTGCCCCATGTTGATCTATGCAGCCTTTCAGAATGCGTCTCTTGCCGCCGGCATTGGTACTTACCACCCAAGTGTTTGGGCTGCCGAGTCCATCGTTGAATGAGGCTTTGGATGGAGTCGTCAAGAGCTTGCTACAATTGCCGAGGTTTCTCGTGCCGGCATCGAGGTGCAATGTTGCCGGCTCGGCCTGCTGCTTTACTACTTACCTAGGTAACTATATGGAACTGACTACGTACTCCGTATCGGTCGGCGAGACCTTGTAGGGACGACGACATCACCGCAGTGACTGCCCGCCCTGCCCTGCAGCCAAGCATGATGCCATGCAGGATACCCAAGTAGATGACAGAGAAGTGCCACGATTCCGTCATCTGGTGGAGCACTGATTTACCCCGACGTGGTCGTGTGGTGGGCTCAAAGATCGAGTAAAGACACCATACGCTGTCTCGCTCATCAAGTTTCTAGATTGTGTCGAAGCGTTGAACCGTCATTGACAGACTAGAGACATGTATATGTGCTGCTGTCGTCGCAGACAATCTCCTCACAACAGCAACCCTGCAAATCTCACGATGGTGTATTTCGTCGTCCTCGCTCCCGTCACCTTGAACATCACTGCCGAGAAGACTCTAATTCGACGGGAATCATAGTCGCCACTGGCGCGCTCTCTCGCTCTCTCTTTCCAGTCTGTGGCTGTGGACTTCTCCACCTTGCGCAGCAGCGTCACAGGTGCATTCCCCGGAAGATCCATCGAGCATTGGCCGCATCTAATCTTTCCTAGACCACTCATCACGTCTAGACTTGTCTTCTAGGACAAGTGGAGGAACACTCCTTGTGGTGAGTTAGAAAGCTTGATACCCGCTGAGAATCAAAGTCTAGTCCAAAGGGCTTCAGTTCCCGGGACCTGAATGTCAAGATGTCCGAGCGCCAATTTTCTTGTAAGTGACCGTCCCGGCCAAGCACGACTCTGTGCTCCGTACGCACTAGCAGTAGCGTTACGACCGATGAGTCGGGGAAAATGGTGGTTCCGTGCGAAAATCCTTGGGCATCGAGAAGGACTTAACATCCTTTCACTTGCAGCAACCTCACAGCTGTTAGTTAGCACGAGGTGAGAGCTGAGACAAATCATCAACAAGGATCCCAAAGCAGGCGTCAGGGATTTGGTAAGGCCTGGCCAACTGGAACTTGCCCGGAAGGCGGAACTGCTGCGACTAGGGACATGTGTACCATCCAAAAAGCCCGAAAAGCAGCCCACGCTCTTGTTTGAACCCCAACGAGAACAAAGGTTCACAGCTTTTGTCTTGATGCCTAATGATAGCCTAGCCGAATCGTATGTTTGCTTGCTGCGGGAGATTACGCACTAAGAAACAAATCGAGCATGTTGGACGCCTATTGCAACTGCGTAGTACTGAGAGCAAGGGAGGACTGTTGTTTAGCAGAGGGCACGTGAACATTAATTCGAGTCTAGAGGTGCTAGACTGACTGAGGGACAGAACGGCAAGCTGTTCGTTTTGGAGAACATTGTGCATGTGTCGCGCCACGCCGTACCGACTGAGCTCCGAGAGACGGAAATTTAATGCTCATGTGCCCAGTCAGTCCAGTAACAAACATCCTGTGCTCACAATCTAGCATTTTTCATAGGTGCAAGATGAATCACGTATAAGATCTGGCAAGAAATCTGGTTAGCTTGGTTCCGAATCGGATGGAGGATGGGATGTACATATCCCATGACCACAACACAGTCCTCAGCAGACAAGAATTCGAGGCCTTGCGGAATGATATCAGTCAATACATCTCCACTTGTAGTGCATTGTATAGTTCAGATTCGGTTCTTCCAAAGCAAACGAGTCAAGACAGTGTCTTGACACGCCTCCTACTTAAAATGTAACGTGTATCGAGACATGTGCGGCAAATCTGACCGGTCTGCAGACTCCCAGCTCGAGAAGAAAGGAACTCCGGTCATGTATACCTAGTATGGTTATGGCGAAGTACGCAGAAGATGGTGGGTTCGTAATTTAAGCCACAGCCGTAGAGCGCCATAACGAACTTGTCCGACTCTGCTGAAACAGGACTCAAGCGCGGAGGATGAAAAAGAAATCAATCACATCGGCCAATACTGCTCGGTAGATACGACGCCATCCCGTCGCTAGTCTCGGAAGAATCAACCATCGCTGCGGACCGAGCCAAGATGTCTGTAGACTATGGCGCAAGCTGTCAATATCACAGCTCACTGTACAGTTTGTGGCTGATCTTAGTGGTCTCGTTCCTACCCCGTATTCGAAAGACCATCTTAGCTAGTGCGAATGCATAGACCATCTCTGCTCGCAGAAGTACGGCTGTTATGTTCAAGGGGAGGTGAGTTCGAGAAGGAGATGCCATCCTTGAGTGTCGGACGGCTTATGCAGCCCGCAAGATACCTGTAAAAGTTATTGATTTCAAAGGGAAAATCTCTTGTGTGGCGTCAGCTGGTGGTCTGAAAAAGCGACAGTTGGACAGGGAACGCCCCTGGCACCTAATGGCCGGACTGTCAGGTGCCCACTTTCTCGATCTCTTTTCTCCATAAACGTTGCCTAAGAACCGGGACGGGACTGATAGTAACTTACTATTTGACCAGGGTGAAGAATTGAAACGCTACCAAAAGCTCGAGCGGGGATGACACGGGTCACCCATCTCCGGAGCGACAGCTCTCGTGGTTTCGATTGTATGGCCGTGACATGGTGAAATGTCTCGGACAAAGACAGGTCAAGAAAGCCTACTCCGTAAACCGTAGCCAGAAGGCCTCTAGCCTTCATACGGGCTACGCAGCGGCATGACGGCGCATCTGCAGAGCACAAGCAAACAGCTCCAGTCTGGGGCATCGAAACCTCGGGCCATCAGGCCAAGAGTTTGTAGCGGGTAAAGCAGCTTGGCAGAACATCAAGCCAGTGCCCGCGCCGCCGCCGCCATCCAAGCAATGTTCAACCAGTGGTATTTCTCACATGAGTTCTGTTGTCAAGCAAAAACAGTCAGCCAGTCATGTTCACGGATTCATCGGGTACGCCCACCCACCCATGATACAAGGCCCCTGCCCCTAATGAAGCCAAGGAGGGGTGTGACCACGTTTGAGGATAGATGACCGACTTCCGCAGGCTGCTGCTCAACTGGCCAGCGGCAAGCCCAGATGTGCAAATGCCTCGTTGCCGGTGCTTGTTCTGTATCGTCTGGCACACCATCCCTACCTGGGCTGGCTGGCTGGGTTCGAACTGTATACTTAAATCAAGGACAGGCTCTGTCCCGTTGGCCATGCCATGCGATGCCAATGCTAGGATTAGGATGGTCAACAGAGAGAGAGAGAGAGCCACAGGCAGTACTCCGTACCGCGGCAAGGAGGCACGCACAGAGAGAGAGGAGGCAAAGAGCTATCAGATTGTGCTACATGGAGCCTGCAGCGATGAAGTCGGTTGGACGGACGGACTATGGATGGACTACTCCGTATGTCCTCGGCACCCAGGAGAATGCAGCGTGCGTTGCGTGCATGTAACTTGCGCCGTACTCCGTACGTACGTATGGAAATGGCCGCCATGACGCGGCGTCCAACGTTGAAGGTCAGTTTAATGGCAAGCGTGGGCTCGGAATCACAAGTGGTTGCAGGAAGTTGGAACAGCGAGGAACTACAAAACCAGGAGGGGCCTTGAGCAGTGAGCACCATTGGGAAGGAGCGCTAGAGACTGGCTGCTTTGACTGGGGAAGCAACGACGGCATTGGACAAGGCATCAAGGGTCCACGGCCCAGGCGCCATCAATCATCAATGGATTGACTGAGGTTATTCCGAGCGACCCTGGCGCCATGCTCCTCCCCATGCCTGGACTTTCAAACTCTGCACGCCGTACAGAGTGTTGTCTGGTGCATGGCTTCAGGGGCTTGGAGCTTCGCCTCTTCTTTTGGCCTGCTCCTCCTTTCTGTCTGTCAGTTCAATCGTTCTGTCTCGTCGCCGCCTGCTCTCTACCATCCATGCCATCGTCCTTCTTCCCAGCAGACAGACCGTTGTTGACCTTGGCCTTGGCCTTGACCCTGACCTTGTCCCAGCTCGTGCGGCCTGCTGGGGCTTGAATGTCCCTCGATCCGGCCTCTGGACTCAGGAGCTGTCTGTTCATTTGGTCTTTGCGCATGCCGGGTCTCAGCCGTGACCAGCGCTGACAGCTGAGCATTGCTTTTTCCCCGAGTTGGTAAAATAGCTCAATCGAGCACAATAGCCGTCTCCCCTGCCTTGTTCACGTACATGGACCAGCATTATTGAATTGCTACGGAGTCTCCGTACTATAAGGATATACATCACAAGACGTACTCTGTACTAAAAACTATCTAGGCACTCCAAAGCGACAACTGACTGGCATAGTGCTTCAGGGTCCATGCATCTGGCCATGATGATGCTGATGCCCAGGAGCGAACAAAGCGGCATCACCGCTCCGATGACTCTTGTCCCACAGTCGATCCATCAACCACATATCGGTCTCGGCCATGTTCGCCAGGGATTCTAATCATGTGCGGTGCCTGTTTCCTGTTTCCTGCTTGAACCGGATATGTATTGGCGGGAACGGCGTCACTTGTGCGAAGTCCCAGACACGCCTTACGGCCGGAGATGCAGACCACCATCAGTCAACTTTGGAAGAGAGGGGGGCGGAAGGGTTCTCGGGCGATCCCCAGGAACTGGCCTAGCATGCTACACCCCAGCTCGGTTCAGTCGCTCAATTCAACCATCCACCATGGCCGTCTACCTAGATGTCGACGACGTACCGAGCGAGTACGGAGTACCTGACCAAATAACTACCTGAAGCCCTGGTTAGTCGCCGACCCTCTCTGCCTCTTTGTCTTGCCTCGACTTTCTGGGCCTGTTGGGCATTACCCAATCTCGTTGCAGTAAAGTTCCCCCCTCCTGTTATCAATCCTGGCTGGTGTTGTTCGCCTTGCCCACACTGTTATGCCGTTCTAAGATTCGATCCTACCCACCAGTGACCACAAGCTCGCCCACCTTGTGGCTCGACTTCACAATCAATCCAAACCAGCCGCCCCATTGGAAACCATTCTCCCTGCTCTTCCTGGAGCAAGGACGGACTCGAAGAGGTCTCGGTATCTATTAGCAAGGACAATATGCCTTCCCACCCCCTCCGTCATCCCATCCACCACCCCTGGGTGAACGGAAGGGAACCCCCCGGGCTCTATTTGTGCATGTGCGTGCATCCGTGTTCATGTCCGATTTTGGCTCTCAGTGTCTGCGCTCTGGTACTACCTCTGTCTACATTCATCTTGTGCGAGCCTCCAACCATTGCAGCCGCCCTCCTCTGGGTTTATTTAACACTTGACTTGTCAAAGCCCTGTACGTATTGTCCGTCCTCAACACAGCAGAGTACATATTGCAATTTCGGCGATTATTAGGAAGCAGCACAGTATATCTGGCAATTGCTGGTCTTGAGCTGTTCGGCGTTGCTCCGTTCCAGCCCTTTCCGCTCTCCCGCAGTTCGTTCAACAAGACGGGCTCATCATCTCTTGCCCGTCAAACCCCTCACGCGGACCTGTGAAGACTCAGAGCGTGTAGGGTCGCCTAGAAACTCGGCTAGCCTGTTTCAAGACCCAAATTTGCCAACCTAGGTAATTGGCAAACGGAATTCAGGTAAACGTTGCTGGAATTTCGACTGTCGGCGCTGCGGACGTGTAGTCCATTGTGGGACACCTTCTAGACATTCCAAAAGCCGGATATCTTAGCAACTCTCGTTTTAACGGCCTGCGAGGCAACAAGAAGTTTCTCTGGGACCGAAGCTCGCGGAACATTTCCCATACGCTGAACTCAGCCTCTCGGCACCATAACTGGCTGGGATTCCTTTATCAACTCTGAACTTTTCCGATCACGCAAATCTTTGGTCTTGCTGGGCCCTGCTGAATAGCTCAAAGGGCATGGGCTGATGCTGCGCTGCGTCTTTGTCTATTTCATCGCTAAGAAGGTGAGCTGCTTTGTTTCTTGTCTTCGTTTCTTTTCTGTATTCTGATGGACGCCATGGCTGTGGCTGGAGAACAGAGAACGTAATCGAAGGGCTATAGTCTCTGGCAACTATATATAACCGGCATTATCCTCCGACCTGATACGTACGGTTACATGTTACAGGGAGAAATCTATGACCGATGATCTGGAAACCGGTCAACGCATGAAGGAAGATGAACACAGCAGCCGATGGATCTGTCACAATGGGACAGAATTCAGCGGCGATTACTCAAAGCAGTGGCTATAATAATGACGGGTGGGCTACCGTTGGCTCATACAGTCAAAGTCCTTATGATGGCAGTCCAATGACTGAATATTCGGGATTTGGAGCGTTTGCTCCGCCAGGTGTGCACTCAGATTCGATAGCGAGAATGCCACAGCAAAGCAACCATCAACACCAACACCAACAGATGTTGCATCATTCAGCGACATCCATGGCTCACCATCAACTTCCCATGTTAAACACGGCGTGGCCAAGCCAGTTGACAAATCCAACTCCATCCGGAAGTTTTTCAGCGCCCGCTGCATCAATGCCCCCGGTTCCTCGACTACCACCCGCCATGGACACTCCAAAATTACCCAGCCAAACAGAGAAGGGTCGGAAAACGTTGACAACGGAACAAAAGCGGGCCATGTGTCAATACCACGAAGAGAACCCCGGAACGAGACAAGCAGATATAGGACTGAGATTTGGGGTCGAACGAAGGTAAGTACTGGCCATGGATATGGACCATGACGAACAACAATGAGTAGGCGTCTCTAATTTGCATCATTCAGCACTGTTTCAAAAGTTCTGAGGCACAAAGACCAGTATCTCAGACGAGACCAAGATCTGGATCCTGCCGCCCTTAAAAGAAATGGCAAAGCTAAGAATCCCGACTTTGATAGAACGCTCAGCAATTACGTTCGTCGACAGCAACAAAGTGGGTTTGACATCAAAGACGAAGAGATATTGGAGCAAGCTCGCCTATTTGCGCATGCTAGCGGAAATCAGGACGCTGTCCTCGGAGGTTTAACCAGCAGCTGGCTGCAAAAGTTCAAACAAAAGCACGGCATCGGTACATTGCGGCTTTCCCGGCGAGCATCTGAGACGAATATTCCCGATGGTACGCGCATGCCTGAGCACAACATTGTGAGAAATGGGGCGACATCGAATGAAATTTCGCCCGCGTCACCGACTCAACCACTATCGCCTTTGTCGGGGAATCGGAGTGACGAAGAAGTTAAACGAGAACACAACATCGATTTTGATTTTGCCTATAGACAGCATCCGCAAACAACATCACTTTCTACTGACATTCGAGATAATTCTGGGTCGTCGTTTTCCGGTGGCCCCCTGAGTCCAACCGGAACGTTTAACTTCTCCCCTGATCCTAACGTTGGGGGCTTTCAACCGTTAGGAGTTCGCACAGAGATGCCACCTGAATTCCATCGGGAGAAACGAAGCAACACTTTTCCTTCAATAGATGTCAACTATGGGAATCAACCAACCCCGGCAACGGAACCCATGACACCGCAACTTCCTCAGCCAACAACGACGCCGTCCTCAGCTCTCAACTCACCAGCAAATGATTGTCAAACAGTACCTTTTGCTATCAATACTGGACTGACGTCACCGCCAGCTTTGCATCGAAGTAGCAGCAGCTCAAGCATCGCGCCTCGATCTTCCAGCATATCTTTGGCAAACACGGGCGCCTCCATGACACCTGTCGACACATCCCCCGTGTCACCATCCCAAGAAGATGCTCGACGGGCTGCGAACACATTGCTTAGCTATCTTCAGAATATGAGCTCCAACGGGCAACTATTCCAAGCCAGTGACTACCAAGCCATGTTACAGCTTACAAAGAAGCTGGAGATTCATCAACATCAGAGCAACCGGCCATCTGCAGGGGGACTATCGAGGATACCAGAGGGCGATAACGAAATGACAGTGTCAGGCCCTGCGATGATGCAGGCAAGTTAAGACAGATGAAAAATCAGAAGATGACAAGACATGACCATCAGTTTGTTTGGGCCTTTTTACTTTTTATATTTTTTTTTTTCCGCGGCTGGAATTCCTATTTCCCGCCAATTTTTCCAGGGACGTTGCTTCGATATCGGGTGATTCGCAGATGTAGTGGTGAAATTTAACATTGGGGGCATTCGACAGAAATAACGAGCATCGTGTCTCCGCCTTGGCTTTTTCTCGACACGAATTTGACAGGCGCTTGTCCTTGGTCAATAAACGAGAATACCGCGGATCCGGGGCGCTTCGAGGATCCAAGCGCATGGATGAAAATATTTTCTACTACTGCGTTGTTTTTTAGTAGTTTCTTTAGTGTCCTCACGTTATGGAGGATATCGGGAATCAAAAGGAAGAAAAGGAGGCGACTCTATATACTCTGGCAACAGAATTCGGCGACGATATCAGTATCATCATTACAACTCTGCATTTTAGCACAGACTACTGGTCCCTGGCCCTACTCCCGATTTTCCAGAATACCCATTAGGACTGGCATAGATGATTTCACATGTTCCTTTTTCCTTTTTCTCTTCTCTTCTCCTTTTCTTCTTTCCTCTTTCTCGTTTTTCCGGTTTTCCTCTTTTTTGGCCCTTGATCTGGACTCATCGTCCCCATGTTCTGAAGACCTGCATTGATATGCTGTTCGCTCCATGATGAAGTAGTCTGTTGCTAAACATGTAGAAGTCGCAAGCTCTTGTGCGCAAGGAAAAGCGCTTGAGGGTGTTTTCTCCGAGAGTACAGGCAATGGATGGGAAATGGGGCAGTTTTTCAGCGAGCTTCACTTCGCAACTCCTTGCCCCTAGGGCAATGCAGGGATTGGGTTTCAAGTTATTCCTTGTTTACCATTTATTTCCTAGTTCTACTCACCTTTCTGCTCGATGCTTTACCTGTCCATGGTGTGTTTTCTCTCGGGATCAATGCTAGGGAAACGGCGGTACGGGAGACCTGGAGTACGAGGGTGTTGGGACAGGGGAAAAGGCCAACAGAGTGCCGGGGGTGTTTGCAGGCAAGGTTGGGCAAGGCGGACAAATGGCTGCTGTCGACACTGGTTGACGATGGCGGGAGGGATCCAAGTGGTTCGCTATGTACAAGGGTTCCGTGGTATATACATGTGCATTTGTCAACACCTCTTGCTCTCTTGTGGTCTATCGTGGGCATAGTGTTTGGCGAATAAGAAAGTCGGCTCCAAATACGGCCATGCCATGTGAAATTCATTGGGTATCTATCTCCTGGCGTGGACGAGCTGCAGAGGCTCATCATCCCAGTCTCTCGCGTAAGAGGTCGTCGACGCCATTCTCGCACAACTCCGGCATCAACCGCACCAGAATGAGCTCCAACACACTATACATCAAGTGCTTGTTGCAGTAATCGTCGCCCAGCACATTCAGCAATCCTTCCAACTCATCCACCGGTTCCTCCTCCTCATTCTCGCGCAATTGGCCCAAGGCTGCGCCCAGACCACCGCCCAGGTATAAGCGGCCGACACGCCTGGGAGCCATGTTCCAGAGGGCTTTTGCAGCCCTTCTGCGAATGGCACGTAGCTCTCTGTCCGAGGAAGGTGGGAGCAGGGACGACGATCCCGGCGCATTGTTGGGGAACAACGCGCCCCGGAGCATCTTGAGGACGGGGGGCAAATGGGATGGCGAGAAGAGCAATTGGATACGGCTTGAGAGGAGCCTGTCATGGAACCGAGTCAGCTACAATTCCGGCAAGCGAGCTACCGGGCCGCCGGAAAGAAACCAAATTCTGATATGCGTGCCGCGGGATCTTGTGATGAGTGACGAAGGGAAGCGACGGGGGCAGATGCGATGCGCAAAGCAGATGCGGGGGGGAAGGGGCTCTGCCATGAAGGAGTAGGTGGCTCATCCCGTGCAGGAGGCCATGGAGCCAGGTGTGACGAGATGTACATGACGCTTCGGGTGTGGTGTCGGGACGTTCGAGCGTCAACCTGTCGTCGACATCTACACCCCGTTCCACATGTGCACTTGCATTGCGGTCTTCTCAAGATGAGCATTGAGGACAGATTGATCTGTCACATAAGTAGCGGTGGGGACGACTCGGACGGCGGCCCCTTCTCGCACTCGTACGAGTACAATGTTGTCGCACAAAACCTCTCGTTTCGCCAGTGGTTTTCCAGTTTGTCTTCCGGGATGCACAGCATAGCGGATCTCGCAACGGACAATACAAGGATGAATCGACCCGCTTTGGATAACTTGATGAGACCCCGGTCCAGCCTGGGCGCTTAACAGCCGTGTCGGTGGCTGCTGCTCCTAGCAAAGGCGTACGCGAGGTCAAGCAAATCGGAAGCCAGAAACTCGGTTCCGGGTTGTACTTGGTTGAGGGGTACATCTGTGGCTCGAGAACCAGTCCTGGTCCTTCACAATCCATAGCAGCTTGCTTCTGGACACGCCCCAGACGAACGTTCTCTCGTAGCAGTGTGATGGAAGTCGCGTCTCAGAGACATTCGTCGAGAGTCGGACCATGCACGGAGCGCGACGTCCGTCCTTGCGGGCCGTCAACACACGATGCTGGAGATGCGGTGATTGCGGTTGCACACACAACGCATCTAGTGACCTTGAAGCTATGCGTGGTGGAGGGAGGGACGGGAGACAGCGTCGCCGATGGGTGAATATTGGGACACGTAAGAAAGGGACCAAAAAGTTCATCTTACCTATCCAGGACGCCGTCAAGCCCTGCGATGCGGCCCGGCCCATAAATTGCTCCGAGCTGGAGGAGTGACAAGAAGCCGCCTAGCCAGGGCATTCTTGCGTGTAGTTCAATCACGTTGCCCAGACAGCTCCATGCATTGAATGCCAACACGGGTACTTTGGCTGGTGGGGATGGCGCATCTTGTGCTGTATTCCCTTTGCCGGCTGAAACCTCGGGCGCCGGCTTCTTGTCGGTCGTCAGCCGTCGACGAGGTGGCAATGATGACGACACGGTGATCAGATTGAACGCGAATCGGATTGTAGACATGAGTACGAGCGCAACTTGAATGATGGAGACGAAAAATCCTTGGACAGACCAGCTGCGCGGCCCCTTGAGGAGAGTTTTTGCTCTCGAGGAGGCTTTCAGGCAACGGCTTCCTTGCCTCTTCTCGGCCAAAACACGGTCAACAATGCAGATGGCTTCAAACAGTAGCCACGGCTGGACTGCCTTGTTCGCGATGGCATTTCCAATAACTAGCTCGGAGAAAATTTGCCCAACTAGTGCTGTAAGACATGGATTCTCCAAATCCTCTGTTGGGAGCAGAACGGCGACAGTAGCCTGCACCAGCAGCTGCCGATATGCTGCTTCGTTCCTGAGCTGCTTGGCGGTCGTCGTGGGTTCGCCTGAAATCGGAACAGGTGACAAGAAGGGCAGCGGCCAAAGAGCATGGTACGCCTCCCGGCCATCAACGAGAATCGTTTGAGACGTCCGACCCGGGTGTGTAGATCGATACGCTAGCGACAACTGTTAGCAACTGAGTAGCAGAGAGCGAGTGTCCCCTACTTGTGATGTGCTTATTCAATATCCCTGGAATTTCATGCAGGAGCAGACTCTCCAAGTCCAACTTGCGCAGCCGCTGCTCCAAGGCGCGCGTGCAGTGTGCAATGACATGGATAATCTCGGCGACAAAGGTTTCATCTGGCGTGATCTTGCTGTACCAGCTCTGTACAAAGTCTCGTAGTATAATGGCAAGAAAGGCGTAGAGTTGTAGATCGACGTCGTTACGGCTCGTGAGGGGCGGCAAGAGCTCCTCTATTGGGGTTTGCGGATCTCGGCCTTTGTCGCCCGACTCCTGCGGCAGAAGCACCTTGCGGATGAGCGCCCGAGTTGCTCGATCAGACAATGGATCGGTCGCAGATGCACGATTCAGACGACGGGTTGCCGGGGCTGCAGCTCCGGCGGCAGCATTCGAGGCGCTATGTCTGTGTCGTGAAGCGCCAGTCCGAACATGCGACGGCTCGGGAATCGCTGATGTGGTAGTCATGACCAGGTCGGATTGAGCCGAAGCCGCATGACTCTCCAGGACGCAGCCCGTCGTACGGAGCAGCAGCAGCGACGACGTAGGTAGCTCTCAAAGCTGTCGGTCGGCAAGCCAAGGTTCGATCAATGCACAATGCACCGTGACGTGAAGCCGTCGGTCGTCCAGGATGTGGATGTGTCTCGTCACGGCCGGCCGTTGGGGTTAAAGTTGGGTCGCGCATGGGCCGCAGGCTCGAGCTTGGGCGGGTCGAGCGGGTTGAGCCGCCTGAACCTAGTAGTACTAGTAGTAAGTTAGTACGTACGTACAGACATTGGATGACTGGAACGATCAGCGGGTTGGCAACCAGACAGACGACAGACGGACGGTTGGCCGACTCGCAGCATTCAACTTGACAAGTCGCCCTCGCCATACCCATCTACCCAGTCGGTTTATTTGCAATTATGCTCACGCGTTGGAACTGTGCACATCTAGGGTTGGAAATTCCGTCAATTGCATAAATCTCACCCCGTGCATAACCTGGAACATTGGACGTTTACCCAGGCCGTCATCATGGCTGGCGCGGTTGCGTCAGTAGTCAACCTCAATGTATCTTGACAATTCTTCCAACTCGCAAATAACAATTCTGAAAAGCCGAAGTGGTCTGTTTTATTCCCTTGCGAGATTATGTTGTTATACAATACAATGCGCTTTACAGGCTGAATACAAAGCTCTGCTATGCTCCCTGCCTGCGCCCCCTGGCCCTCCTCCTCTGGTCTCCAGCGGATGATGGTCACACATCCTTTTTGGTTGCCTCATATCTGTTGTATCGTTAGTCAAGCTTGGTTCAAGGAGACAGCCCTGGTCGTGAGAATCTCGCACGCATACCTCTTGCCTCGGAAAGCCCATACTCCCCAATTGCCGCAACTAATATCCTGCGGGTCCATGTCGTTCAGATCCCATCTCAAGCTCCGGAAGATATTCTCGCCTGGCTCAAGCAGAATATCAAACTCTCCTTTCGACTTTTTATGCACCCACTCGACATCGCGTTCCAGGTCGAACTGTGTGTACCCAGTCGCAATGATCGGCACTTTGGTCTCCAAAAGAAGCGGCAGTGTCTCTTCCCATTCATGGCTGCTTGCCGGATGGCCGAGGCCAGGGTGGAATAGAACAAAGCAGTCGAAATAGGCATCATAGGGTGCAAAATGGCCAGTCCTGTGAATTGTGTGGTAGTAGTCGACAATCGTACTTATTTTCAACTTGTACCACACACGATCCTCAACAATGGCACCAAAGGGGTTCGAAGGCGTCCGTTCCGGTAGGGGGAATTCATCGTCTCGATTGGCCATGCTTTCTGGTCCAATGAAGACCAGATGAAGTCTCGAATCGGGGAAAAGGTGAGCCAATTGCGTCCAAGTTGCCCGAGGCAGCGATGATTCAGCTCGCGCGCCAAGTATGAATACCCTGACGGGTGGCGGCTCGGGGCGAAGCTGGTTGACTCCTGCACCTCGGCCGGTTCTTGGAGGGTGTAGGTTATATCTCAATGCTTCATCCAGTTAAGTCAAATGTACAAGAGCGTTTTTGTTTCGGTACTACTTACCACTAAAGCTCTTCAAGCCTTCCGGTGTCAGTCGCCCGCCCTTTCTTAGGCTGTAGGGACTCAATTCATGTAAAACACTGCCAATGGTGACAGGATACGTGAGGAGACGCGTGATTTGCCTCATGGAGCGGTCTGAGTTGACAGCATCAAACTCCCTGGTGTACATAAATGTATCCCAATTCGTCATATTCACCGCAGCCTCGTCCATCTGTAGGTCTGGAAGGTTGCCCTCAAAGAATACACGGCCAGAACGTAAATCGTGATCGTCCTCGTTGATCTGCCGCAAAGTGTCACAGATCCTCAGATGCTCCTCGTAGTGGTCCATCCAGTGCTCTTTGCTGCAATAGACGGGAAATCCACAGTCGGGACATTCAAAGTCAACATGGGCAGGAGGCATGGTCCCATTCAATGTCCCGGAGCTATCAGGTTTTGGTGCCACGGTCGGGAGCTTCGTCGGTTTATGGTCCGGATGAGGGCATTGTGCATGTTGTCTGATAAAAGCTGCCCGGCGGCGGAACTCGGGAACTGGCGATGACGAGAATGAATGAAAGAGGTCATCTTGGCTCAGTCTCGAACTTGAGCTGGGAGCGTACTTCTCAGGCGCTGCTGCCTCCGACTTCGATTCCGCGGTTGTTGTAAAGGCCCGTAAGGCTGGACTGTTCTGCGACGCACGCTTCGTACTTGTCGAGATCGACGCAACTGCTCTGGCAGGTCGTCTCGCGAGCTGCCTGCGAAGCGATGCGGTACAGCGGCCGCAGAGACTTGAAGCCACTCTGCGGAACATTGGCTCCATCACGTCACTGCTTCGCAGGCGTTAAATGGCTGGAACCGGCTGGTGAAGCATTTTGGGCCGGAGCTTACCAAATGTGGGCGGATAATTTGAAGGTTGTCGATCCGCCCAATGCGCCGCATTAATAGTTCCTCCACCACCCGGGCCACCAAACCAAAGTTTTGTGGTCTATTCCACTCGCGAATCGTCAAGCTTTATCCAGAGCAACCTTTGCGTGGACTTACGCCTCAACTCGGCAATTTGAGCACCTTGAAGCCGCGCAGGCTGGACTGCGCCCAGAGAGGACCATGGCGACTACTTCGAACATGTTCCTGTACTCGCTGACGGTCCAGCCGCCAAACAATGTCGTTCAGGCGGTCCTGGGTCAGTTCGCAGGCACCAAAGAGCAGCTCATTATCACTGGAGCTGGCTCACAGCTGACTTTGCTGCGACCGGATCCCTCCCTTGGCAAGGTTACGACCGTCCTGTCCCATAACATTTTTGGAATAATTAGATCGCTTGCTGCGTTCCGCCTGGCGGGCAGTAATAAAGGTATGTCTTGAAACCTGCCACGGCTTGGTTGGTCTGCAAACGTGGTTGTGGTATTACCAGCCATATACCCAACTCGCATCTTCCCCGTGGGCAACTCCTGTTCTGTTAAATGACGGCTCGCTAATTTTTCTTGGAAAATCAGATTATCTCATCATTGCCTCGGATTCTGGCAGAATCACGATTGTCGAGTATTTGCCGGCCCAAAATCGATTTAGCAGACTGCACCTTGAGACTTTTGGCAAGTCTGGTGTCAGACGAGTCATTCCAGGAGAATATCTTGCGTGTGATCCCAAGGGACGAGCTTGCCTCATCGCCTCCACCGAGAAGAGCAAACTAGTGTATGTCTTAAACCGAAGTGCACAAGCAGAGCTTACAATTTCCTCACCTCTGGAGGCTCACAAACCTGGTGTGCTGGTTATTTCCATGGTTGCCTTGGATGTCGGATATGCCAATCCAGTTTTCGCGGCTCTTGAAATGGACTACTCTGAGGTCGATCAAGACTCCAGCGGCCAGGGCCTGGAGGAAATCGAAACGCAGCTGGTTTATTACGAGCTAGATCTTGGTCTCAATCATGTTGTCAGAAAATGGTCAGAACCTGTCGATCCTACTGCATCTCTCCTTTTCCAGGTTCCCGGAGGCAACGACGGCCCTAGCGGAGTGCTAGTCTGTGGCGAGGAGAGCATTACCTACAGGCACTCAAACCAGGACGCGTTCCGCGTGCCGATACCTCGGAGAAAGGGAGCTACTGAGGACCCTTCACGAAAACGTACAATCGTCTCTGGTGTGATGCACAAGTTAAAGGGGAGCGCCGGTGCATTTTTCTTCCTATTGCAAACTGAGGACGGCGACCTCTTCAAAGTTACGATTGACATGGTGGAGGATGAGGAAGGGAACCCAACTGGTGAAGTGAAAACACTCAAGATCAAGTACTTTGACACTGTACCAGTCGCCACAAGCCTCTGCATCCTAAAGAGCGGTTTTCTCTATATTGCCAGTCAGTTTGGCAATTTTTCCTTCTACCAGTTTGAGAAACTCGGCGACGATGATGAGGAGCTTGAGTTTAGTAGTGATGACTTTCCAGTCGACCCGCAAGCAGCGTACGATCCGGTCTATTTCCACCCTCGACCTGCTGAGAATCTGGCCTTGGTGGAGAGTATTCCATCAATGAACCCGTTGCTTGATTGTCAGGTTGCAAACTTGACAGGGGAAGACGCACCCCAAATTTACACCGTCTCTGGTAACGGCGCACGAAGCACGTTCAGAGTGCTGAGGCATGGCCTGGAAGTCAATGAAATCGTGGCCTCGGAACTACCTGGCATACCGTCTGCAGTATGGACCCTTAAACTTAACCGAGGTGAACAGTACGACGCCTATATCGTCTTGTCATTTACAAATGGAACTCTGGTACTAAGCATCGGTGAGACGGTCGAGGAAGTCAGCGATTCGGGTTTCTCTACCAGTGTACCAACGCTGGCCGCACAATTATTGGGAGATGATGGCCTTATTCAGGTGCATCCAAAGGGCATACGACATATTCGCAATGGCAAAGTTAACGAATGGGATGCCCCGCAACACCGATCCATTGTGGCAGCCTCTACAAACGCCCACCAAGTTGCCATTGCGCTTAGCTCGGGTGAAATAGTGTATTTTGAGATGGATTCCGATGGCTCCCTTGCGGAGTATGACGAGAAAAAGGAGATGTTTGGCACGGTCACCTGTCTTAGCTTGGGCGAAGTTCCAGAAGGCAGGGTCCGCAGCTCATTCCTTGCAGTGGGCTGTGATGATTGCACAGTCCGTATCCTAAGTCTTGACCCTGAGTCGACACTTGAAAGCAAGTCAGTCCAAGCGTTAACAGCAGCGCCGTCATCATTAGCTATTATTGCAATGGATGACTCGTCATCGGGGGGCTCGACACTTTATCTCCATATCGGCTTGCATTCTGGTGTTTATCTGCGCACAGTTCTCGACGAGGTCACTGGTGAGCTGACTGATACGAGACAAAAGTTTTTGGGGCCAAAACAAGTGCGCCTTTTCCGAGTTACCGTACAGGGAACTACTTGTGTTCTGGGCCTTAGCTCCCGGCCCTGGCTTGGATATTCGGATCCAATTACCAAGGGATTCGTTGTCACCCCGCTCAACTACGTCGACCTCGAATGGGCCTGGAACTTTGGTAGCGAGCAGTGTGAGGAAGGCATCGTAGGAATTCAAGGCCAGTCATTAAGGTAAGAGATGTCCCATCTGTTCCCCTACCTCTTGAGCCAAAATGATGATACTTTGGGTTCCTATGCCTTCGAGCTATGAGGCCTTGAATACGCTTCTTTTCCAATTGTTCCTACTGAAATGGCACTCTTTACTCGCCCTTAAACCACTTTCCTGTTTGACGGGCACGTATCTAACAGCAATTAGGATCTTTTCTATTGATCGATTAGGCGATACGTTAAATCAAAAGGCTGTTTCCCTAACTTATACTCCTAAAAGACTCATCAGACATCCAGAGCAACCTCTTTTTTACACCATTGAAAGCGATAATAATACACTCCCGCCTGATCTTCGAGCGCAGCTTCTGACCGATCCGGCCGTCGTAAACGGCGATGCGACAGTTTTGTCACCAGAAGAGTTTGGATATCCTAAAGGCAACCGTAGATGGGCATCATGTATCAACGTGATTGATCCTGTCTCCGAAGAGCCGCAAGTTCTGCAGACAGTTGATTTAGAAAATAATGAGGCAGCCGTTAGTGCTGCTATTGTTCCCTTTGCCAGTCAAGATAATGAAAGTTTCCTTATTGTTGGTACTGGCAAAGACGTCGTGGTTAATCCACGCAGCTTTTCCGAAGCATACATTTACGTGTATCGTTTCCAAGAAGATGGAAGAGAGCTCGAGTTTATTCACAAAACCAAGATCGAAGAGCCAGCTTTGGCATTAATACCTTTCCAGGGAAAACTCCTTGCTGGCGTTGGAAAAACATTGCGAGTATATGATCTAGGTATGCGGCAGATGCTGCGGAAAGCTCAAGCGGAAGTAGCACCTCAGCAAATCGTATCACTCAACACTCAAGGCAGCCGCATCATCGTTGGGGACGTCCAACAAGGTGTCACATACGTCACCTATAAGCCCACCACAAACAAGCTTATACCTTTTGCAGACGATACTATTGCCAGATGGACGACGTGCACAACAATGGTGGACTATGAATCGGTAGCCGGCGGAGACAAATTCGGGAATATGTTCATCGTCCGTTGTCCTCCAAAAGCAAGTGAGGAGGCCGATGAGGAACAATCCGGTCTTCATTTAATAAATGCCAGGGACTACCTTCATGGAACGTCGCAGCGTCTCGATCTGATGTGCCACTTTTACACTCAAGATATCCCTACCAGCATGGCAAAGACCAGTCTGGTCGTTGGCGGACAAGACGTGTTATTATGGAGCGGTCTGATGGGTACGATTGGTGTTTTCATTCCTCTTGTTAGTCGAGAAGACGCAGACTTTTTCCAGAGCCTTGAATCGCATCTCCGGACCGAGGACCCACCATTAGCTGGAAGGGATCACCTTATGTACCGATCATACTATGCGCCTGTGAAGGGTGTAATTGATGGAGACCTCTGCGAGCGGTATACGTTGCTTCCCAACGATAAGAAGCAGATGATTGCCGGCGAACTGGACCGTTCAGTCCGAGAGATTGAAAGAAAAATCTCGGTAAGTAACATCCGAGTTGCCTCCACCACGTAGTCTTCTTTACGGTTTATACTAACAATTATTCCAGGATATCCGTACTAGGTCTGCTTTCTAATATATATCGACGCTTCCATGGGACAGATACCACCGATTGATGTATTGTACAATATGATCCTATCAAATGCTATTTAGCTTGGAGAGGGCGGCAGAGGCGTTGGTGTGTATTGTTTTTTCAAAGTCTCGCAAAAAGAGACTACTCGGGCATGCCAGGGTGAAAAGCGGCTTTCTGGCACGATGAATGAAAGACGAATATCCGTAATGCCCAGTTGCTGTCTGTGCAGATGGAACAAACACCGGCGTACAATATATTAGGGTCGCCAATAGGAGGCCAGGTTGTTCTTCGTCCTCGACAGCGCCTTGTTCCTCGCCTGCTCCCTTTCCCACGCCTCGTCGCCAAAGTATGCTTGCACCGAGGCGCCGAGATCATAGTCCGACTGCTCAAGATATACCTTGGCAACGTTGTAATCAGATACTTTACAGGATGTCATAAATCGCCGTACCTTGCTCTTTCTCAGCTCTTCGTCCTCTCCGCAAACCGGCGTGGGCGAGAGGCTGACATTGGCCTTGTAATATTCTCCCGGGATTAATATCGTTTTCCTTGCCTGCAGAAGGTAATCACTCGTGATGTTGTTGGCGCGCCTCAGCGCCGCGGCAGGAACGCCGTACCGAAACGACAACGACGTAATGCTGTCGTGGTCGTGGTCCAGAAAATGAAGGGTGTCGTCGGCCGCACTCTTCTCGCCCACGTCGGCATTCGCCCCGTCATTCCTTGCAGGCCGCAGCTTCGTGTCTACGAGTGCATAGGGCGGCGGTCCAGCATCCCCGGCCCGTGGAGGCGAAGGCGAGACCAGCGCATAAGACGGGGGATCTTTGAGCCCCTGGGGCAGAGGCGAAGGGGAACTGGATATCTGGCAGTACGGGCAGTACTGAGAAAACCTCGGGTTACGCTGTACATTTTGCAAGTCAGCGAGTGGGCGAGGCAGGGGCACGGCACCGCGGCGACAAGGCAAACACGTATCTGACCTGTATGCAGGTGCCGCATATCACTCTGCCACAGCACGATACTTGCCGATCGTCGGCCGTCTCTTCGGGCGGCCCTGGCCGGAGGATTGCTGCGCAGGTTGAGCAGGATGTCATGCCGGCGCAGGAGGGGCGGAGGGATCATGGTCGTCGCGGAAGTTTGGTGATGAACAGGCGGTTGGGGACTTGACTCTCGATGCGATGTAGTTGGACGGCCGTTGTGACCAATCACGTCGGGATCCGGCCATCCATTTCGCGGGCCGTGGTGCAGGCAGATGCTCGTTGAAGCACTGGACTTGAACGAAGCCAGGGATCTCAGAGCAATAATGCATAGATGTTTGTGTGAATGGAGAATGGCGCTCCCTCACAACGGCTTTGCATCTGATATGTTTTTGGACGCACCGGTATTCTAAAGCTGCATCCAGCCGACATGGCCGGGTCCCTCTTGTGCCGTTCACATGGCGAAACTGCCAAACGCTGAATTCGGTGTCGGGTACTAGAATATACCCTGTACTCGAATATCCCTTTATCAGCAGAAAGAACACCCTACAGACTCGCATAATACTTTCTCTACTTCATGAGCCAGAGCACGGCCTCAAGCAGTGAGTGTTGGGATCGGTGGTCACGTGTGGACAACTGGTACAGGGTAATCTCCCGCATGAACCGCAGAACAGAACCACCGAGTGGCCACATGCAAGGCATTCCCCCAGCAAGAACAACATGAGCAAGCCGCTGGCCTTTGGACTCGTCAACCAAGTCGGAAAAAAGGGCGCAGCAAAAGCGAAGCCGGCACCATTCAGAAAGACGTCCGCGTTCGGAGGCGGCGACGATTCGGATAATGAAGAACAGGGTAGCGGTGCCAAGGTTGAGCGGATCGACGGCGACATTGACGACTTCACAGCGGCGGCGCCCGGCTCAGGCACGCGCAAAATTTCAAAACAAAGGCCCGGCGCGTTGACTCAAGCGCCCAGGCTGAAATCAAAAAATGAACCGAGTGCCGTTTTTGCCGATCTCTCGAGCTCCCTGGCCTCGCGGAAGAACGTCGAAGCGGCAACAGAGCTCGACTCAAGCGTCTATGAATACGATTCCGTGTACGACTCACTGAAACCGAAGAAAGACAATGTGAAGGAAGACGTGGAGCGAAAACCAAAATACATGAGGAGTCTCCTGCAGGCTGCTGAAGTTCGAAAACGAGATGCGCTGATTGCGGAAGAGAAGAAGATTGCGAGGGAGCGGGAAGCCGAGGGAGATGAATACGCCGACAAGGAAAGATTTGTGACAGAGGCATATAGGAAACAGCAGGAGGAAAACAGGATATTCGAGGAGGAAGAAAAACGCAGAGAGGAGGAGGAGGCCAAGAAGAATGAGGGCGGCGGCATGTCGGCTTTCTACAGGAAGCTTCTCGACAAGGATGAGGCGAGACATACAGAACTTGTGAAGGCGGCGGCGGAAAAGGCCAAGGAGGGGCCCGCGGAGGAACAGGGTGACGATGAGGACGCCGATAGGGAGAAGGCCGAGGCCGACCTGGTCCGCGAGCTGAACGAAAAGGGCGCATCTGTCGCCGTCAACGAGGACGGCCAAGTCGTCGACAAGCGCCAACTTCTAAGGGGGGGTTTGAACGTGGGCGCCAAGAAAAAGAACGAAGCTCAAAGAGAGGCTTCACGAACCAAAGAGCCGGAGAGGAGACCTGCAAACGGTGCGCAGTTGGGGAGGAGACAGGCAATGAGGGAGCGCCAGACGCGTATGATGGAAGAGCAGCTGGAGCAGTCTCTCAAGCGATCAAGAGAGGCTGAGCAGTCACAGCGCGAAGAAATTGAACGTGCGACAAAGAGTCAAAAGACGCAAAGCGAGATCTCCAGTGCCAAGGAGAGATATCTCGCTAGAAAGCGGGCAGCCGAGGAAGCAAAAAGGCAGGCATCAGGGGACTAGACTTGATATACCCGGCAATATAAACCGTGAAAGTCCCATCGCCAGCCAAAGAGCTCTTTTATGATGTCGTGATTAGATACGAGTGTGTCTGGTCTCTGCTTGCTGAGACCACTTTATTCTATCGTTTATACCCCTTCCATTTCAATTATACACGTACCCCGTTGCCATCCCGCGGACATGGCGGGCTAGGTCGTTGACTCATGGAGTAGTAGCTCCGTTCATAGGAGCGATGGCATAATATCCAAGGCTAAGCATTTGCTGATACCCTTCTCGACCGGGGAAGTTGGCTGCCATGCCTATTGGTTGGGATTATTTTGCTCCTGGCGTATTCTGTTGATGTACGCGGCGTTGACTTGGTTCCACGCAGCCATGTATTTCTCCATGCATGTCGTCATGCAGGTCTGCTCGCTGCTGGACAGTGAGCTGCCTGGTTTAGGAATGCACTTCTCGAAGCAGTTCTCTTGGAGTTTCTAGAGAAGAGAACAAGTCAGCCGATGATGCACAAGAGGAGGCATTCAACAAGGTCAACCGTCGCGGGCCAATACACCCTTCTGCATACCTCAATCAGGACTCGGGCATTGGCCAGGTTAGCCTCAGCAAGGACCTGCTTCATAACAGACTGCTTGACCGAGCCGGAATCCATCCTTGGTGACAGCTTTGGTCTGTGTGATGTGGAAGATAAAAGGGAGATGCGAGCCTGTGCTGCGAATTATGACTGCCTCGAAGAAAGCTTGGAGCACTTGTCGCAAACTCAAAAGCTTGGAAAGGCATGTGGCTAGTGCAGTGTATCTCCAGCCACACAGTTCGATATTCGTGGCCCGTGGGAATGACCCTCGTGGCGCACTCGAGGCCAAAGCTTGTCCCAATCGTCACACGTTAAGGCTGGGCCGAACTCTAGGTTTCTTTTTGGCCCCATCTGGAAGAGGACAGCTGTGTACCAGCTTTCCGTCCCATAGTAACGAACCACCATCCAAACCTTTCCAGCAACCGGTCGAGGGAGACGGATACCTGGCGCCTTGAGTTGAAAAAGTTCTCGACGGCTGTCCGATCGTTTTATTTCTTTTTTATTTTCTATTTCTTTCTTGGCCTCTCCTTTACGCCTTGTCTCCAGCTCGAGGCACGCTCCACACCATGCAATTGTCATCAGCCCCAGCTGCCCTCCTGGCGGCCATTGTAGGGACTGCGCTGGCGACAGACCATACGGCAGACCTGAAGAGCATTTCGGTGTGTACATGAGACGATTTTTGTGTCAATGGAAGGATTCAGACTGACGCAGTCGGGGCTCTGCAGCTGCGAACACATGGCATTCAGCAGGTCAGTTCACGATATCATAGGGATCCGGAGGGTAACCAGGTCATACGTTACAATGCGCGAAAAGAGAAACTGACCAATTTCTGTTCACAGCCATACCTCGACACGGATATGCACAGCCGATGGTTCGATTTTGGAGGTGATACCATTATCCGAACCGATTCGTATGTTACTTCAACCTTGCAAAGACGCCTATTTTAGACGGCGCCGGAGAGGAAGCGAAACTAAACGGCATGAAATAGTTATATTCGGTTGACCTCCGATCTCCCCTCTCAGTCTGGCTGGCTGTTTTCGCGCGTGCCTCTGACGGCCACGAACTGGGAGATCGAGGTTGAATTCAAAATCTCTGGGAACAACCAGCTCTACGGCGATGGCTTTGCTATGTGGATCACTAAGCAGCGCGGCCAGCCGGGTCCCGTCTTCGGATCAGTTGATCGATTCGAGGGTCTCGGAATCTTCGTCGATACCTACAAGAACAACAGACCCGGAATTGTCTTCCCCTACGTGATGGCCATGTACGGCGACGGCCAGCGTTCCTATAATAAGAACGACGACGGCAAGGAGACTGAGCTGGCCGGCTGCTCAGCCCGCGGCATTCGACATGCTACCGTGCCGACCAAAATGCGTCTCACTTACATCCATGACAAGCAGCTGAAGCTTGACCTCCAGTACCAGCAGGAAGACGAGTGGACGTCTTGCTTCGTGGTGGACAATCCTCCTCAAATCCCCAACATCGCCTACCTCGGATTCAGCGCAGAAACCGGCGAGCTCAGCGACAACCATGACATCATCTCCGTTTCCACCAAGAATCTGTATAATACCCCCATCAGCACAAATGACCGAGCAGGACCGAGCAAGGGCCGGGCCTCTCAGGGCCACATTATCAACGGGAGTGGTAGCTGGACCTGGTTCCTCATCAAGATCATGCTGTTCTTCGTTGCTGTTGGCGGTGTGTACGTTGGTTACACTGCTTACAGGGCGAAGAATAAGAGCCACCGCTTCTAAAGTATTTGGAAAAATGAGGGTTGTATGGCTTCTCTCTCCAGATGACTGATGGATGCGGGAAGCCTGGGTGGATGTGGAGTTGCTGCGTGTGGAAGTGGAAAAAACGTGTTGCGATTTTATGAAGTTGGACGAGCACTAACAGAGACAAAAGTGAAGAGAGAATACCACTTGCATGGGCTGGCAATTTAATTTCCTTTGTGTTCGGTTGCCGCTTCGTCTGAGAAAATGCCCATAAAGGCTTTTGTTGGTTACCTTGGTGGTTGTGTAAGAGCGATTGGTAAGATGTCGGGACCGGAGTTTGAAGAGCAGTTTTTATCCACATTCCTCTCTTATGTACTATGTACTTGAACGCCTTTGATCAAGCAATGTGTTTCATGTGTCATTCAGTATCAGATTACGGTTGTGGTTTGGCCAGGAAAGAGCCTGCCCCACCTCACCTTGTCCCGCTCCTTCGCGAGGAAGGTACGAATCCGTCCATCGACGAAGTCCGGATCATGACGTCGTCCATGCTCATGCCACCAACTTGGTTGAGGAGGAGTAAGAAAGTAGTTATTCGGTACGGCTCAAACGATACTCATAATAACTGTAAAACGTCTAGAAAAGAGCATGGCCATCTTTCACGTTGTTTCCAGGAACCACTGCGAGCCTGGCTAGTAGTTGGAGCGCATCATCCCATCCAGGACGACGGCGCCGCTTTTTGACAGCCGGATTCAGACTCGGACAGAAGAATATCTCGTCTCCAGTGTCTGACTAGCGTCGCCAAGTCGGCGGTATTGGGAGTGCATGGCCGGGCAGCTGAACTACGCCGTACGGAGGGGCTTCTGAGGAGTGTGCCTGGTCAGCATTGCCTTGCTCCGGAGACGCTGGTCAATTAACAGAAGCCAGCCGGTAGAATTGGGGCTTGATTAATGACAACACAGGTCCACTGGCCGTGACTGTCTAAAATCACCAGGTGGGTGGTATCGCCTCCAAAAGAGTCCGGGAAGATTTAAGAGGCGAAAGCGTCATGGCGACTCCATTCAAGCGTCGTAAAGCCAAACTTGATGAGAAACGGTTCAAGGAGGCCGTGAAGCCGACAAAGCGCGTTCAAATTTCAAAAGGTCGACGTCAGCTTTGACCTCTAGCGGGCGCTGCGAGCGTCGCGCAGAGGCTTTGTACCAGAATATAGTTAGTACTCGCTTACAGTCTGGACGAAGAGCTGGCAATGCGCTAATGTCGACTTCAGCATATTACGGGTTAGCGCGCGATGGTCGAGTATCTAGTATCTGGTTTACTGGTAGGTACGGGTGTCTGGTGCCTATTGCCTCCCCACTGCGGCCCCTTGGTTGGGAAAGCAGGCGCTCGAGTTGAATATCCCCTCGACTCTTGGAGGGCGGGCAAGGATTGTCCTTTTGTTGTTGCGGTGCTCGGTGCCGTACTAAAGAAAGCACAACCATGGGCAGTTTGAAACGTCGACAAATAGAATAGCAACGCTGCATCAGCCAGTGTGTCTTTGCCCACACTCAACCAACACCAGACGCTAGTGAATGGTGGATGGAGCTTCTGCGTGCGAAGCGTCCGGCGGCCCGGTGGGGGGTTCGTGCCGAGCTGAGGGCTGGGAGTGCTGGCGGACACGTTGACAGCAGTCTGGTAAGCCGTGGGGGGACCAGCTCTCCTTCACCTAGGAGCTGCCCTGTTGATCGTTCCGCATCTGCATCTCTGCATCTCTGCATCTCTGCACCTGCACCCGCATCCGCATCCGCATCCGCATCCGATCCGACATGCTGCCCGCTGCCCACTGCCCGCTGCCCGCTCGCTTGCGCAATTGAGGACATCTGAAGCTGGCCGGGGCGGCACTTGCGAAACTCTGTCTTCTGTCAACGACTAGCTTTGGACGAGGCGAGAGCAATGGGCCGAAAAGACGCTTTGCTCCTAAACAAAGTGTAAATTGTGCCAGACGTCCGTGGTTCTGGCCTATCGAGCTGCTTCCCCCGCCGTCGTTGCTCCGCATCTCGTGTCTCCCATCCAACCACCGACCAATTCTCACGTCCAGATCGGTTCAAAGACCCGGCCACTTGAGTTCACTCGAGTCACTTGCTCCCGCGTCGGACCCAAACACCCACCTTGCGGCGCGATCCCCTTCGTTGCGGCTGCCTCCTGCGTAGCCGACTTCCGTCCGACCACCCTGTCACCGGTTGCCAGTCCAGTCTCTAAGCCTCCAGTCGCCTGTCGCTGTCACCTGTCACCTTTTCCGCTCGACCAATTCGACTCTTGTCGCCTTTCGTCGGCCTCGCCACGTGTGAAGCAGCAGCAGCAGCAGCAGCACCACCACCACCACCAGCACCACCACCGCCGTCGCCGCCGCCGCCGCCGCCAGCACCTCCTGCCCTATGCCTTCCCTTGGCTTTCTCAAGAAGAAGAGGACGCGGGATAGCAACCCAGACCCCTCCACCTCCAACCCCACCAGCCCAGTCGCAGCTACATCTCCGTCGAAGCCGTTCGATTCCTCTACACTGCAGCAGCGACTGTCTGGCTCACAGGCAAAGACGGCTCCCGGAACAGCAACAGCAACAGCAACGGCTTCAGCTTCGGCTCCGGCTCCGGCTCCAGCTCCAGCTCCAGCTCCAACTCAAGGCTCAGCTACCGCTGCTGCGCCTGCTTCCCAACTGCATCAGATGAATCCGGCAGACGCCCAAGGTGGCACCTTCGTCACCCCATTGCCCATGCAAACGAGCCAAACCGATTCCCAGAGCCTTCCCAGCATCAATAACCTCATACACCAACCCCAGAATGGTGCCTCTACAAACAATTACTCTTCCTTCAGCCCTGCTGCCCTAGGCGCCCAAATCAGTCATCCTTCCAGTGCAAGTCCAGGAACCGACCCTGACTATATGCAGCAACAGCAGCAACAGGCTTATCCGCAGCCAGCAATGCAACCACAGCCACAGCCTGGACAGCTGACGGTTCAGCAGCAGCAGCAGCAACATGAGCAGCGTATCCACCACCAGCACCAGGGAAGCGTCACCCGCGTCACAAAGGGGAAATATTCGTTAGGCGACTTCGACATACTGAGGACTCTCGGAACTGGTAGCTTCGGACGGGTCCATCTGGTACAGTCGAAGCACAACCAACGATTCTACGCCATCAAGGTGCTCAAGAAGGCCCAAGTAGTCAAGATGAAGCAAGTCGAGCACACCAATGATGAACGACGAATGTTGAGCGATGTTAAACATCCGTTTTTGATTACGCTCTGGGGCACGTTCCAAGATTGGAAGAATCTCTACATGGTCATGGATTTTGTTGAAGGCGGCGAGCTATTCTCACTGCTAAGGAAGTCTGGTGTGAGTACCAACCGACCGTCCGTCGAGGGCCGACGATGCAGAAGTGGCGACGTCTTATATTTCCGCGTGCTGACCGACAAACAGCGTTTTCCCAACCCCGTTGCCAAGTTTTATGCCGCCGAAGCTACCCTTGCCCTCGAGTACCTGCACTCGAAGAATATCATATACCGAGATCTAAAGCCCGAGAACTTGCTGTTGGACCGGCACGGACACCTCAAAATCACAGACTTTGGATTTGCGAAACGAGTTCCAGACAAGACCTGGACTTTGTGCGGTACGCCTGATTATCTGGCACCCGAGGTAGTCTCTAACAAGGGCTACAACAAGAGTGTGGATTGGTACGGTTGAGAGCTTCTTCCATGCATGAGTACGGCAGTATGAGTTTTCCAGCTAACGTTTTTCGTAGGTGGTCGCTGGGGATTTTGATTTACGAAATGCTTTGCGGCTACACGCCGTTCTGGGACAGCGGTTCGCCAATGCGAATATACGAAAATATCCTCAAGGGTAAGGTCAAGTACCCGGCATACATCAACACAGATGCGCAGAATTTGCTCGAGAGATTAATCACACCCGACCTCACCAAGAGGCTGGGCAACTTATATGGCGGCTCACAAGATGTCAAGAGCCATCCATGGTTTGCCGAGGTGACATGGGATAGACTGTCCCGCAAAGACATTGATGCTCCGTATACGCCACCGGTCAAGGCTGGTACGGGCGATGCAAGCCAGTTTGACAGATATCCCGAGGATCCTGAAAAATATGGAGGTGTTGGAGGGTCAGATGAGTATGTACATGGAACACAATGGCTTGTGAGACATTCCAGACTGACTATGCCCTTAGATACGGACACATGTTCACCGATTTTTGAAGCTGGCAGCTTATGTGGGATACGATGAGAGCCTTTTTCCCCTTTTACGCAAATGCGGACGACATGACGGGTTGGATGAGGAGTCAGGATGATGTAGTATATGGTATGGGAAACCTGGAAACCTGCCTCGGGCTGTCGAAGCAGGACATGAAGCGTGGTGACAGAACAATTAATTATTGGTGTGCGGAGTTGGGCTGGAACCTCGACTCAAGGAACATATTGCTTACACGGGGGCAAAAGACAAAACTGATCAAGCCGAATTTGAAACCTCGTTTTAGTCTCCGACTGCTAGTAATGACGCGAAGCATCTGTATGAATCATTACGTCATGATACGCTGTAAGACTGGCCGCGATATGAGGTGTAAGTCGTGGGTGCATTACGTGCTGGTGTTCGCTGCTGGTCAAGTCGACTGTTGCTGACCGGCTTGCGAGCAGAGTTGTCGATCAGTTTGACAAGATTGAGGCTGCGGTGGACGAAGGGACACACGTCGGACGAGCCGCGTGCGGTATGGACTACTAGTTCAGCTCAGCAAGCAGACCATGAAACGTTGGAATGTGCCGTGATTCGAACTACAGAGTCAAGAAGATGCCCATCGTCGCTATGGCCTATACGTAGTGATCTTGCCGAAGGTGTCCGCCATGCCCCAGATACCCTCCCTCAAACAGCTAAGCTGCACAATCTGTGAGTGATCTACAAACAGATTGACATCGGCGCCGAATTCCCGAATATACCAGTTGAACACGGCCGGATCTGCTGCCTCAAACATGAGTTTTTCCGCCGGGAGTTGGTCAAGGACACGCTGAATCACGTCAGTCCTCCACTTGGTGACGTTTTCAGTGATGCCTTCACTCTCAATCATGATGCGCTCGACACCGGCATCGATGAACCTCTTGCCGGCGCTGATGATCTTGGAGGGATCCGAAGGGCCCAACGACTCCAGCTCAGAAGCCTTTGTGTCGCCGCCAGCGCCAAACTGTATGCCGCACTCTGGTTTCGCGACCAAGCCGGCTTCGTGCACCTTGTCCACCAAGCGCAGCCAGTCATCTTGCGGCAGAGAGAGAAATCCGGTCGAGATCTCAATCACGTCGAAGCCGACCTCTTTGCATTTTTGGATATACCTATCCACGGCTGCCGCCGGCGCCGACTGGGTGAGTACGTGCTCAATCCAGCCTCCCTACACGAGTTGTTTGTTAGCCGCTTCCTTGCCCGCGCCGTGCGGTCGATGGCATGTCGGCCACGGCCAGCAGCCTGCAGCCTGCCTGCCTGCCTGCCTGCCTACCGTTGAGACATAGGCGTCATTCTCGTGGGCTATCTGGATGAGCTCCCTCAGCTTGTCTTCGTGGAAGAGGGAGAACGAGCCTCCTGCGAACTTGACGCCGTCCACTTGATGCGACATGCTGGCTTGGATTAGCGGACACTTTGATCTGAGCCGCGCCTGCCATGGGGGAACGAAAGCTCTGCTGGGCAGGCTTACATACGTGTCGAATACGTCTTGGAGGTACCTCTTCCCCATGACGGAGTAGTACGGGCCCCTGATCTCGGTAACGCCCGTCTTTCTCGGCTTCGGGGGGCGGGCATTGTGTCGGATGAAGCCGAACCCGTCGGGGTCTTCCAGCATGATGTGACGCCTGGCAGATTGGGACGACGCCGGTCTTGCGAATGAGAGAGGCCTGGAGGCACCGAGCTGTACGGTGCGGCCGTGGCGAGCAAGTGCAAGGCGGGCTGACGATGTGGCATATCGCATTGCCGCGGTGGACAACATGTTGTGCTGCTGGGCGATTGATTTCGGAGGCGGAGAGGGAGAGGGAGAGGGAGAGGGATGGCGCGTTCAGACGGCAAAGCAGCTTGATTTCTCCTGCGGGGGCCGAGTCATTAGTTGCCAGCTTGCAATGGCGGAATATGCTCACTGCTGGTCCCTTTTCTATGGGAGTTGTCATGGACTCATGGGCCATGGGCCATGGCATCTTTGGCGATGTCGACGTCAGAACGACGTCAAGCGGTGCACAGCAGCCGTGTTACGCGGCGCGGGGCATCGCCACAATGGTTTTCGGTCTCGACAAGTTGTTCGATTGGTACAATGGCCCCCGGATGCAATGTAGCAACCTCGTTGCAGCGTTCGCCGTCCATTGCCGGTTCATGATTTGCCTTTGTGTTGCTGCGCCGACTCGGGGTCGACGTGGGCGAAGGAGACCGACGACGGAAAGCGGAAAGCAAGTACGATTCGAACCGGGGGTCCACGCCGTGCCGAGTCTCTGAGACTTTGGCTCCTCTGGTTTGACGCCACTGTTCTGCTCGGTATTTGTTGAAGGCCGGCGGCATCTCTGCTGCGGACAGGGCCCTGGTAGATGTTACTATAGGAGGAGTCGAGGACACTACGCGCCGCTGGACCGTCCTGCGTTGGCCGCGCTGCTGGGAGGGTTTTGGCCGGGACTGACGTTGCAGCTCCCGCCGTGTCGTCCTGGGAAGAGTGACGTGGGAATGGAGGAAAGAAAGAATTGAAGAACCGGCATCGGTACGGAGTACAGCACGGGCAAGTCATGGCAGAAGCTGGATACAACCCTCGTCCAAGATTAGCTTCTCCTCTACTAGAACACATCACGATACCGACAGCCGTCTCGGGAAGCGATCAAGGGGTGACGCTGGACTCGAACTCTTCACCAGACAGCCCTGTTAGCCCCGATGCCGATGGGCCTCCTGAATTATCAGACGCATGGCCACCAAAGTGATCAAAACACCGCGTCTATGCATGGCTGACTGTATTAGAAACAGACTCAACCCAATCAAGTGCTTGCCGCTTGAAACCGCGCCGCAGTGCAGTGAAGCCCAACGGTGCATCCGACATTAGCTCTCGAGTGAGACCTACGTGCTCTCTCATCGCATTTCGAATCCGAGTACGCGGTAGTCACTTGCGACTCTCCCGCATTGGGCGTCTGAACTTCCCCGGTTGATATCGCACCGACGACCCGGATCTAGTGCTGAATGCGAGTTCCGGGGATGGTCCATGGCAAGGCGCAAGACATGGAGACAATCAACCGCACGTAGAGATGTCAAGAGAGTGCGAGGGACCGCGCTGCAGGGATGTAGGGCCGTTGTCCATATATTTACGTAACGTCGACTTGCTATATCTCGGGACTGTATGGATAATGGACGTGATCCCGAGTACTTACGCGGTGGCTTCCATGCCGCGGCGTATAAATCCTGACGATGAAGCGTGTTTCTGTAAGACGCCCTGCCCATCCATGTTGGTGCAGAGGCCTCTCACTATTCGCCAGGATCGCCCTGGGTACATGCGTAGATGACATTCTATCCCTTCGCTCGAGGTGTTGCATAAGCCACCGTGATGATGCTGCGTCGGAGGAGGTCAATATCCAATACTGTCCACGGCGTCCAGCCGTCCGCCCACGCATCTCGTCTGCTAGCCAGAAGGAACCCCTCATTTCAGGATATAGTTGGACGTCTTATACGTCGAGACTCTAACACTATTTAGTCGTCAGACCATTCTGTCAAACGGGGGAGCGGCGTTGGATCCCCCTCCCCTAATCCAACCTTGGGCACCGAGACCGTACCATTTCAGGAGCGTGCAAAGAGAGGAATCATGAAGACTGAAGAGTTCAATTACAATGCTGAGTCGAGAATCGTCCCAGACGATCCCTTTGAGCTGCGTGGCAAAAGCCGCGACAGCGCCAGGATGATCGTGCTCGACCGCTCTACGGAGAAGATTACGCACGCCATGTTTTCAGACATTTGCCAGTACCTCCGCCCCGGCGACCTCCTGGTACTCAACGACAGCTACATGCTCGCAAACATCCTGTGCTTCCAGCACGGCGATCAATCGACCCAGGTGGCCCTGTACGGCCACGACCCCGACGGCACGACTCTTGTCGGTCTATTCGGGTGGCCGTTGGCTGAGCCGGCCATGACCCTGACGTCAAAGGACAACGGCCGGCTCACCTGTACCCTGCTGGAACCGCTGCCCGACAAGCTCTGGAAGGCAAAGTTCGAACCGTTGGAGCTGGTCACGCCAACGCTGGTCGAATTCGCCGTGCGAATCGACGAGGTGGAACATCCCAACTGGGAGCCCTGGAAATCGGCGCCCCAAGCCTACCGCTCTGTGTACGCCAGCACACCCGGGTCGTTCAACATCCCCTCGGCTGGGCTTCACTTCTCCAGCAAGCTGCTGGCCGAGGTCGTCGCCAACGGAGTCGAGGTCGCCAACATCACGCTGCACGTCGGGGCGACGGAGATCCTCGCAGTTCGCTACATCAGCGAGCAGGAGATTGAGAACCACAAGGTCCGGTCCGAGTACTTTGAAGTCGGAGACGAGGCGGCCGCCCAAATCAACCGAGCGCTTGCCGAGGGGAGGCGCATCGTGGCCGTTGGCACGACCGTCATGAGAACCCTCGAGACACTGGGGGCCCAGCAGGAGCCCGGAGCGCCTATTCGGGCCCAGTCCGGGTGGACGGATCTCTACATATATCCCGGGTTCAGATTCAAGCTGGTCGACGTGTTGCTGACGAACCTTCACCAGCCGCGGTCCAGCCACATCGTGCTCACGGCGGCCTTTGCTGGAAAAGAGCTGGTCATGCGCAGCTACGCCGAGATGACTGACGGTGGTGAATACGAGTTTGATCTGTTCGGGGACAGCATGCTCATCGTGTAGCTGGAGCTGCGGGGACGAGACGAACAGGAACAGGCGCCGGCTTCGATTCGGTGCCTGCACATGGTCATCATGCGCTGTGAGGAGGACTCTTGGGATCTGCTGCGCGAGCTTCCAGCTAGTTGCTACCTGTGACGTCGTTAGTTGACGCCGCCACGTAATGAAAATGGAATTTGTGCAATACAGGTCAATTGACGCGGATGAATGCTTTGGTTTTCCTCTTTCCAGCAAGGCGCCGACATGCTCTCCTCTCTGGATGCTTGCCAAAAGTCACGGGGCTGGGGATGCAGCCGACCAGGGTTACGTCGGCGCACCGCACATTTCCGGACTCGTCCTCGTCTGACCGAGCTCTCTTCAGCCGTACTCTGTAGACGCGTTCCCCTGTTTCGTTGCTCCGGGTTGCTCGAAACCCTTTGCTTGAATATCTTTGCTTGGTGCAAAAAGGGCGTCGGTCGAGCCAGATTGACGATTTTGCGCCCTGGATTTCAAGGTTGAACGAAGGCGCGGGGCTCGCAGAAGCGCCGAGAACCCGACGAGATACGAGATGGACGACTACATGTTTCGGTATTATGTGGACGAATGTAGAACCGTCGTCGAGGCGACGAGTTACGTGGAGATATTCAATTACTCGGTGAGTCCTCCCCTCTCTGCCGGTTGAGGTTCCCCCTGAGGCATGGGGTAAAAAAAAAAAAAAAAAAAAAAAACAGAGACTCGGAGAATGGGATGGGTGGGTTGACGCGTCAATCGTGTGCAGGATCCGTTTTACAACTCGTGCGAAGAACACCCTCTTACGGAAGATGAGTTTGACAATTTCTTGCACAGACGGGTGAGAGTGTCTTCTGGATCGATCCTCTTCTGTAGTTATTTTGGCGGAATCGAGCTGGACGCTGACCAACTAACCAGGGTGCCTTTGCGCCGCCGGACAAGATGCGCCACGGAACGACCCTGTTGAGTGGGATTCGGCTGATGTGAGTGTGTTGCTGCCTCGGGATGCCTCCAGGGGATCGTGGACGGACTGACGGACGGTTCTTAAGTGTCCAGAAGAATGCCAAGGACAAGGATACGTTTACGCCAAAGGTGATTTCGCTGCCAAAGGACTCGTACGAGGACATGGTCCGGGTCCTGAAGCTTCCTTTTCGAGGCATTGAGACGACGGCCGTGGTCGGGCCGTTCTTTTGGAGCTCGCTTGATCAGGATGACGATGATGCTCACTTGCGTACGTGTCTCCTTTCTTTCCTTCTTCTGTTCTTCCCTCTTCAAAACTCACACACCCCGACAGCTCACGAGAACAACGAGCCGACGACTGAACATTGCCATTAGAAATCATCCATCGCAAATCCGACGTCCGCAAAAAGGGCAGAACCCGCGGCTGGGAAATGATGCTTTCGCACTCGTTCAAAACACGCATCACGACGGGATACCTCAAGGGCACGCCGTCATCAGACGTCGCCTCCGTGCTGCAACACCTCCGCGCGTGTTCCGCACAGGTCGGCCACCCGATGCTGCTGCCCGTCATCATCCTCTCGTACGACTTATCCGCCGCCAACGACCAAAAGCAGCGCGATGCGAGGGAGTGGGTGCGGCGTCTGGAGAACGCCGTCTCGCTACGGAACGAAGTCGAAGAGCATGAGCAGTACTTCCAGGACGGTCTGTTGGAGGTAGATGGCCTGAATCGCGATCTCGTCGAATGCCACGGCCACGTCATGTGGAAGAGACCGCAGGCGTATTGGGCCGTCATCGAAGAGATGGACAAGGCCATGGGGCGGTACCGCGACAGGATGGGCATCGTGACAACGACAAAGTACGGTCTTGCCACCGGCGAAGCAGAGCGCCTCGAGGGCGCCAAGACGAAGCACTGCAAGGAAATGCTCAAGCTGCATCACAGCATGATGGCGCGGCTCGAGTTCTACAGGGTCAAGCTGAAGGGCTTGGAGAACTACATCCACACCACGCTGGAGCGGCTCAAGGTCCAGCGGGAAGCGGTATGCACACACAAGAGTCCGGCGCCTCCAGCCCCATGGCTAGTTGGTCAGAGGCACACTGACGGAAGGGAGGGAGATAGTTGTACAACATCATGTCGCAGCGCGAAGCGAGGCTGAATCTCGAAATCGCCGGAGAGCAGCGCCGCATCGCCCACGCCAGCAAACGCGACAGCACGGCCATGAAGACCATCTCGCTCATGGGAACGCTCTTCCTCCCCGGCACGTATCTCGCGTCCGTGTTCAGCATGACGTTTTTCAATTTCCAGGAAAGTACGGCACCCCCGTCCCCGCCCTACCCCAGGATCGTACATCTGCCTCGAAACTGATGCTGCCATCGCCGCCAGCCGCCCATCCCGTGTCCGTAAATCTGTGGATCTACTTTGCCGTCACGGTTCCCGTCACCGCCGCCATCGTAGCGATATGGGTGTGGTTTGATCGCCGTCGCGAGGCGCAGTATGCCAGAGACGACGAAGACCTCGAGCTGACTATCGACAAGATGGAGAAGGAAATCATGTTTCATTTGAGGAAGAGGACCATGAGCAAGACCCATACGTGGAATTCGCTTAGTTCCCCGCCTCGCCCGTGATTTCGAGGTTTCCGGACATGGTTCTGTGAGTGGATGGAGACGACAACACTTTTGAGCTTGTTATCCAATTACGTCACTGCAGGGTGTTGGTTTTATTTCTTTCTTTTTCCGCACTCCCGGTGGAAACAAGGGAATATGATCCTGTCAGAAGATAAAGAGGGTATCGACGCACATGAAAAGCAGCCTCTGGCTGCGCCAATTTTATATGCGACAGTTGCCGCTCCTCTCACAGGTCATGCCTTACGATTCACGATTGACGAGTATATGTACGCAACAACTGTCGCTGCTAGATTGGATGCGGAATACAGCCTACAGAAGCCATGTTTGACAGCTGGCAAATAAGCCCAAAGATTCATTGCTTATCATCATGCTGCAGCTAAATAATGTTCCAGGCTAGCTAGAACAAAAAAAAAAAAACGCCAGACCATGCAACGAAGCGCGCGACGTCCTGCCGCATATCCAAAACCAGTCACTGCGCCATAGTCATGTTGAAAACCACTGGCTGCGTGTTACAACCGAATGTGGCCATCTCCACCAAACCATCTGCGTATGTTGGAGTTATCCTGAGAGTTACCAGCATTGTCGTTGTCCCCGCCCATCCACTTGGGTTTCTTGATGTCCTGAAACCATTTGGGCGCTTCCATGCCCTCGAATGTGTTTTTCACACGGTTTCCTATGATTACAAGCATGTTATCGTCTTCCATTCCTTCGTCGCTAAGAGGAGCCCTTGGAGCTTGTCCTGGTCGGCGATTGTTGGACGGGGACAAGGGTGATCGACTGGGCGCCGCAGCGTGATTCCTAACTGCGGGAATGGAGAGGGTGGGAGCTGGTCTGTTTCCTCGTCCACCTAGTGCGACGCTTGAAGCCGTGTCCCCTCGTCGACGGTATATCGCTGTGCCTTCCAGTTCTCGTTCAATGAGAGCACGACCTTCTCGCCAAGATCCAGTCCCATATGCCGGCCCATTTTCATCGCCCTCGTCAATGACGTCGATGCCGACAAAAACACGTTTGACTTTCCCGTACAACCCGAACAATGTTGCCACCACAGGGAACAAGACGACAATTGGAAAGAGATCATCAAACCACCGACCAGGCGCGGTCTTTTCGAGTAGTTGCCCCAGGAACTTGAAGAATATCGTCTTTTCATATACCTCTTTGGATAAGAAAGTCACAAAGTTGTACGACAGCGGGATAGTAAGCTTGGCGACCTGCATGGAGTACCAAAATGCCGATTCATAAGCCGTGTTCCGCTTCACAAGGGCCCGGCCACGCCAGACTTTGACTTCTGTCATGGAGAGAAGCGCTGCCGCACACATGTAGCTAATCCAGAAAGCAGAAACGACTTGTCCTGCAAACCCAACTTCAGGCTTGTCGCCCACCCAGTGATGTACCACACTGAGGCGAATGACGGACAATTGCGGGAATGTATATCGAACCAATTCCGACCAGACAACGCAAGCAGAGGCGACAGCTAGGAATAGACCAAATGCTACTTGTGAGTAGGGGACGACATGGTAGTAAAATATGTATCGAGTATATGGACTCAGAATTCTGGTCCTCTCGCAAACTCCCGCGTGCGGTGACGGCTCTCCGAAATTTAGCTTCTTTGATGCAGCAGAATCTAAAATCATCTGCAATTCCCCTGCTTCGTGCACCAAGCCGTTCCATTCGTCGACATATCGAGATCTAGCATGCCTAGCCCGAACAAAGCCTCGAGTCAGGTCGGCCAAATACTTTTCTGTGATGACAGGCGGAATGGATCGACCACTAGCGCCGAAGGTGCTGAAGCCGGATGGTACCTGAGACGGCACGATGTTGCCCATGTCTTGAAGCTCCTCGATCCATTCCTGAAAACTCAAAGCGCTGCCGGTCTTTCGGCGACAAAGCTCTGCGACTTGAGCCTCAACTTCCTCTAGGATGACCAGCGTGTCTTCCATGCGCTCACGCACTTTTGGGGCTCGCGACTGCAATCTCCGTAATCGGCCGCTGATACTCGCATTTCGAATTAGTCGTCTTGGAATCGCAACAAGCCCGTGACCCATGAGATAGATGGCGAGTACAAGGCCCCAGCAGTAGGCAAGAGTCATCACAAGACTCTGGACCGATAAAAGAGAGGGATTATATGCAATAAAGAAGTAGACCAAACCAACAGCACTGGCACCGAGGACAATGGCGTAAAACTGCGCATTTTGTCGGAGGGAGTACTTGAGCTTATCGTTCGGTTCGTGGTAGCCGGCATCCGAGTATTCACCTAGGATGGGCAAAATAGCCCTGTGGTCTGTAAGTGTACCGCCATGGCAAGCAAAAGACCTTGGAGAGTACCGCACCAAGTTAGCACAAAGGTCAGCCAATATGTTATCCGCCACGACACCAAGACGACTCGTTCGGGGAGCCATATTCCTCTGGTGGTCTCATCGTTGGTAGCGGCGCTGGATGCCAGGTCTATGGGAACGAGGAGGACAACTATTGACGGCAGCCATAAGGCGAAGAAGATGGGAACGAGATAGAACCCGGGGGTCGTTCGCAGCGGCAGGTAGTATCGCAAGATCAATAGGACGATGACGGAAATGACGAGCAGCGCAAAAATCGAAAATAGGATGGAACCGGCCGGCGCGGCACTGCTGGTGATATGAGCCATGGCGAGCGACCCATAAGCGAGTCCATACAGGCGATGCGAAAGATGAGGTTGGTTTTTTTGGAGTTGAACGAAAGACGCAGCCGGTGTCCGCCAGGTCGCTACTGCCTGTTGGGATGGAACATTGTTAGCTTGCGTTGGCCCCGTGGCTTGCAGGTCCCATGACGCAATGGTGGTGCAGAAGGCCTGCTGAAAGTGCCCAGGACGGCACGATGGGTGCCTTATATGTGGGGCACCAGCAGGTTATGCATCTCGTGCAGGCAGTGATCAAACAGTCTGTGCTGTGCATGTGCAGGCTGCGCACCTGAGCCCAACCAATTTAATTGATTCGCGCTGTGTCGCGTTTCCACCCGGAGCCGTCGCGTCTAGCTTCGGTCTTCTCACCAGTTGACCTCCAACCCATCACCACCACACTAGGATCGACGCCATAATTGACGACTGTAGCATTCAGCCTTTCTCACAGACGTCAGTCATGGCTGCCCTGCCCGATCTCGCTGAGTGTAAGTTGTCTGTGTTCGATTCGGTTTGAAAAGCTGACAATTTGTAGGGGTCGTTGACGCCAACGATGCGCTCAGCTTGAGCCTCGTTTCCCCTTCCAAGTCAGGGCTCCGGCTCGTCGGCTCCTTTCACCCCAACTTCACCTACCCCATTTTTGGTGAAGAAGAGAAGATTTTTGGGTACAAGGACCTGAAGATTAGCTTGCGATTTCGAGCAAATGATATGCGGCCACATTTGGAAACAACCTACAGGAAAAAACTTAGCCCTCCCGCCGGAGTCGAAGAACCTACTGATATCAAGGCTGTGTTTCAAGAAGGAAATCATTTGCCAAAGGGTACATCTCACTGTCGAGCAAGCTGACCTTGAAATACCTACTGACCTCCATAGTTGCTTTCGTCAAGAGCTCTGATTTTGAGGATAGTTCTCAGCAGCTTGGCGATAAATGGACCCCCCCTGGCACCCTTCAAGAGACTATCGACGGACCTGACGGCCAGTATGAAATTTGGAGAGGCAGCCTGGAAGATCCAGCTATCAAGCAGCTGAACTCTCGCATTCAGATCCTGGTGCCTCTGTTTATCGAAGGTGGCTCGTACATTGGCCAGAACCCTGAATCGGACTCGCCCGAACTCGACCTGTCCGATGCAAACCGTTGGACAGTCTTCTTTCTCTACCGTACACAAAAGTCAGATGAGCAACCGGATCAAAAGTTATACGTCTTCGTTGGATACTCCACAGTCTATCGATTTTTCTACTTTGGGCGACCTCTTGCTCCGCCACCCGAGTCTGGGGATGAGTGGGAATTGCCGGATGGGAACTTTGACTTGGCAAAACTCCCATGCCGAACTAGGCTCTCCCAATTCATCATTTTACCGCCATTCCAAGGCAAGGGCAACGGAGCAAAGCTGTATAAATCGATATTCCAATACTACCACAAGCACAAGCAAACCCACGAATTCACAGTTGAGAACCCGAATGAAGCATTCGATGATCTGCGAGATGTTTGTGACCTCACCTTTCTCAAGACAATCCCAGACTTTGTCAGCTTGAAACTGGATCCATCTGTCACGATTCCCAAGAAAGGCCCCGTGCCCAGTCTGGTTGTTGGAGGAGACAGGCTCGAGGAAATCCGCCTGACTGCAAAGATTGCCCCTCGACAGTTTCATAGGATGGTGGAAATGTACCTGATGTCTCAGCTCCCTTCATCTGTGCGACCTTCTATGGCGCTGGATGACGACCCCCCGGTTCCTATACAGGCGGACAAGCATTTGGAGAGGCTCTGGCAACTGCTTGTGAAGAAAAGACTGTACAGACACAACAGAGAAGCTCTATCTCAAATTGAGCAATCCGAACGCATTGACAAGCTCCAGGAGACTTTGACTGGTGTTGAACTAGAGTACGCTCGCATTCTGGCAGCCCAAGAACGAGCTAGTGGCCATAGCCCTGTTCCCAGTCAAACGAGCGGAAAACGGAAAATAGATGACAAGTCTGGAGATGAGAGCCAAAGCAAAAAGCCCAGAGTGGAAGACGCTTGAAGTAGGTGCACCGGCTTGGTAAAATGTTGTCTATGCACCTGAAGATTTGGTTGGCGTTTGTGTTATGCAGTGCGAGATAATGACTCGGGGCAGGCTTCAGAGGTCAATGTACAGTAAATCACGAATGACAATGGGCTTCCTATACAGTTCCTCTGCGGCGTTGGTACATTGAGCAAGAAATGGGTCTATGCTGTCAACCACGACTGGTAGGAAACCTTTGCCCTCTGCGTCGCAGAGTTTCCACCTTTGGTCGGTTAACCAGTGGTGTTGAATCTGGTTCCGTTGACTCCCTGGACGCCTTTGCCAAGCTGGCTGGCAACCACCGTAGCTTCACGGATGGCCCTGGAAATCGTTCCTCGGGCTCGCCCCTCCTCCAACACCAAAAGACCACCGATTGTGCATCCACCAGGGGTGCAGACCTTCTCCCTGAGAAGGGCCGGGTGCTCACCGCTCTGGACCAAACCAGTGGTGCCTCGCATGGATTGAGTAGCCATTCTTTGGGCCTCAGCACGGGGTAGACCCATGGCCACGGCACCATCGATGGCCGCCTCGAGCATCAGAGCAAACATGGCGGGGGATGATCCGCAGAGAGCTGTGGATGCATCCATGTTATTGGAGGGGAGGTAGACTACATCACCGATGCGTTTGAAGATCCATGTGACAAGGGTCTTCATGTCAGGAGGCAGAGGCGGATCGGACATTCCGATGACGGTCATGGACTCCCGGATAAGGGCGGCGGTATTGCACATGGCACGAACGACTCTGCATCGACCGTCGTCCGCCGGGCTTGTCGTTGGTACTGATCCGTGCAGAGCCATCTCCATATGCTCAGCGGTGATGCCAGCACAAACGCTGATGAGAAGCTTGCCCTCTAAAGCATCCGCCATGCCGGGCTCGCCCAAAACATTGTTCACCATGTATGGCTTGCAGCTCAGAAGGACGACCTGTGCCTGCTGGACGGCAGCAAGGTTCTCATTCTGAACAACCTTCACCATGGTTGAGTGCTCCCGCAAAGCAGCCTTGACTCTCTTAGCACTCTCGGCGCTGCGAACGCAAGCAATGAATCGTGATGGGAGGGCCTGTGGTCGTTCTTCTCCTGGGGTGGAAGCGCTTGATGATGTGGCTTGAGGACCATTTATCTCGGCCAAGGATGTGAGGATGCCGTTGAGAATTGCAATTCCCATGGTGCCTATGATTCCGTATCAGATGACGTACTGCGAAACTGGCAACCAAAAGAAGCACTGACCACATCCCAACACCGTCATGGTGAAATCGCCATATTGAGGACTCATGTTGCCCTGTTACCGTGACGTCAGGGTGCAGCACTATGTTTGAATTGAAAGCGGTGTTTTTAAGTTTGTAGCCAAAGTGAGAAGATTTAGGAAGTACAACTTGTTTTTAAGAAGACGGAAACTTCAAGCAGAAAAAAGACAATGCGCCTTCCTTGCACTTGATAAAGCGATCAAGTGAAAAAGGATTGGGCATCGAAGAGTGAACCGATGCCATCCAACTGTGGGGCTGGCCGGCGAGATTTTCCGGCGCTTTAACAGCCACTCTGTGCCGTGGCTTTACCGTGGCCAAGTTGTCACCGAGCAACCCGCCAATGCCAAGGTCACTGAGATTCACTTCTCAACGAGTTCTTTGCCAAAGACGCCGCATGCCACCTCTTTGCCACTGGCGGCAACCTGGTTCAGGACTGTGTCACAACACATAATGGCGGATCCATTTGATGTTCGTATGCGATTCAGCTTGCAGTTGCAGCGTCTGAATGCCTCTGTGGTTTCTGCTCAAAAGGCTGCCCAGTATGCCTTGAAATACAAAGAAATGGATGAGGATTTGCACTCCTGCATCCTCGAACAAGTCGAACGGGTAGGATTTATTTTGGAAAAGCCTTCGTGTGAGCATGAGTGCGTGACTAACATGTTGCAGAATAACATGAATACCCGCGCAAATATCATGTATTTTATCGAACATTTTCTAGACTTGGCGCAAGACGAGCATGGTGAATACGTTCGCATGATGCAACGCGATATTATTCGAGTGGTCGATGCCGTTGCTCCTGATGACGGATCTGGGGCCACGAATGTCACCCCCCCCCCCCCCCAACAAAGCTTTTTTTCCCACTCGTATCCGTGAGCTTCTGTCGTTAACCTCGTATTGTAGGCTTTGCAGGGTCTCCAGACCAAAGGGCATTTAGATTCTCAAGCCGTTAGCCAGATAGAAGACGTTCTGAAAGAACGCGAGACTAACGAGGCCGATTTGAGTCCCGCATCACCACCTAGCGATGTGGGCATGACAGATAAATCAGATGCCCAGACGGCACCCAAGTCGGGATCAAAGTCAGCACCACATCGCCTAGATAAACGTCAAGTCGAACAACGCATAGAGGAAGATAGGGAACGTCACAAGCGGCAACGGGAGAGCATCTGGGCCATCCCGAAGACTGAAGACGCAGAGATGAACAAATTGTGGGAAGAGACCAGCGATTTCGGCGAAGACGACGACCGCCTAATTTCCGAGGAGGCTGATGATTTTGCCAAAGAAATGGAAATGCAGCAGTGTCCCCATAAACGCGCTGGAAATGGAGACCACCACTAGCCGCAGCACACCGGGGTCTATTTCGTTGCATTGCATGGAGTTCCGGCGCAAATATTGCACGCTCGGACAGTTTGTGTCGGTATGAGCTTGTTACTAGGAAGGCATTTGATACCCTTGGTAGGTCGCTGCTGCTCCCGCGTGCTTGGCATCGTAGATATTACAGTCGTGTCAACATGTTGTCAAAAAAACAGCATACAAGACAAGAAATTGAAAAGCTTGGTTTTTGCTTACTCTGAAAGGAAGCTCCATTTGAGATACTAGTACACATGACGATTTTGTACATGCAAATCGGCCTTCTATTATGATGAACCTGCCAGCCCAATGTTGCAATTCAATGGCATTCTCTCTACTCCATGATAACAGTAGCACCAAGCTCCTTCATGCTGGCAATGATTTTCTCAGCCTCCTCTTTGGGAATGTTCTCCTTCATCATCTTGGGTGCACTCTCCACAAACTTCTTGCTGTCTACTAAGCTAAGTCCGAGCAGACTCTTGACCTCCTTGATGATCTTGGCCTTTGCACCGGCATCAAAAGCTTGCAGCTTCAAGGTAAAAAGAGACTTCTCGGCAGCAGCAGGAGCTGCTTCTTCCGGTTCCTCGGCGGCAGGGGCCGCAGGGGGGGCGGCAGCGGCGAAGCCACCCATGGGCATATCGGGGATGTTCAGTCTGGTCTGGACATTCAAGGTCAGCAAAGGCAATCGAGATTTGCAATCGACATCCTCAATCCAACGCTGAAGCCCACCTTTAGACTAGATACCAAGTCGGCAGTTTCCAGCAGAGTCAGCTGGCTGATCTGATCGACAATCTCGGCAATCTTGGGGTTTGTAGGAGCGGCCTCGGTCGAGTTGAGCCGCCTTGTCGTCGGGGCGATCCGAAGCATGTGTACAGGGAACTTGGCAGAGCCAAAAGGGCGAAATTGGCGGGCACAGCTCTGCGCCGCATGCCGACAGGACATTGCCATGGTTGGTGATGTGTAATGGGGGCGGGATTGCTCGGATTCGTGGTCGCGATCATTCGGTCGCGGACGTCTCTGTCAATCAAAGGAGCGATCGATAACCTGAAGTTTTTCGAGCTGCTGTGGTTCCATCTCGGCGCTGATTGGTCCGGAAAAACCGGTGTGATCAGACCCGGTCCAGCACCCCTGCCACTTTCGAAATGGAAAAAAAAAAGTTATCTGGGTCTGGCAAATGTGCGAGGCTAAGATGGCTCAAGCAGCACTCATAGAGTGAATTTGTCAACAACGGCGCAATCATGGTAATGATTGACGTCTCACGGCAGAAGAGGTCGCTTTTGGCAGACGCGACCGTCCGGGATCTTCTGCCTCCGGAATTACTTGACACCATCCGGCAGCAATCGACGACAAAACTCTTGGATGCCGTAACGCAGGCGGCGCTGTGCCCGCCACTTACAGAGCGAGTCTTTGTGCATTTTGAAAATGTCTTTCCTGACATATGTGCACGTTTGGTTCTCAACGCAACAACTCACACACTTCGGATAAGAACTGCAGCATGTTTTGCGAGGTTACTACCATTTGCGCCGTATCTCGCCTCTTTTCTTGGATGTACACACGATGTTTCTACCATCAGAGCGCAGCCTTCATCCTTGCAACTGTTGCTGCCCGCATTCGACCAGTCATTGTCTGCATTAGATGGGGAAAGCCTATTAGAAAGTCTCACTACGGCATGGAGACTTTTGAATTTCGATTTCGGGACCTATAGTCTTCTTGCATCAGCTTCACACATGCAGACTCTGTTCCGCCATGAGAGCTTACCAGTCAGGTACCTGGCTATTCGGGTATTCTGCCTGCTGCTACATGCCTCGGATTTCAAGTTGGAGGCTTTGGTTCATGAATATGTTGGAAAGGAAGAAGCAGTTATTGGAAATCTGGATGGCGTGTCCTTGGACTTTGGGTTTCTCTCTCTGTACGAGCAGGACCGAGCGCAACGGGTGCTTAAATTACAAAACCAGCTCAAGCGTGAAGAAAACACTGATGGTGAAGAAGAATGTTTGCAGACACTCACCCCGTACGTTGTCTCGTATGGAAGCGCTCTACTTCCTCGACCGCGTGGTCCTGTTGACGACTCTTCGCTCGTCATGACCAACACGACAATCAGAAATCTCGAACGTCTAGCAAACTTGCTGCGAAGTGCGGATCCAATTCTCGTCTATGGGACGGCTGGGGCTGGAAAGACGTCACTCATTCATGAAGTCGCCACACAACTCGGCATGTATTCCAACATGGTCACACTTCACCTGAACGATCAAACAGACGCGAAAATGTTGGTGGGCTTGTACGCAACAGATAGCAAACCAGGAAGCTTCCAATGGCGGCCAGGTGTTTTGACGACAGCAGTCAGGGAGGGCCGATGGGTGTTGGTTGAGGATCTCGATAGAGCTCCGACAGAAGTCCTCAGTACTCTCCTTCCTTTGGTTGAGCGCAGAGAATTGCTCATTCCAAGCCGTGGAGAAAGAATCAAAGCTGCCTGTAGCTTTCGGCTCCTGGCTACTGTCCGAACATCACGAGGACTAAATGGCCGGGAGAGTTTACCGTCCCTGGTCGGTATGCGGTTTTGGCAAACGCTCAACACGGATTCGCCAACTCGGCCAGAGCTCGAAAAAATCGTCCTACAAACATATCCGATACTCCGGAAATTCGCCCCCGGTATTCTCGCTGTTCACGGACGATTAGCTCAACTCGGTAGCAATGATAGCCTCATGTCTCGCGGGCGGACTGTCATGGACCGTCAAGTTAATCTCCGCGATCTTTTGAAGTGGTGCCGCAGACTTAAGGAAAGCTTGCTTGCTGCAGGTTCCAGAAACGGGGACGAGCCCATTAGCGAGACGACAAGGGACTGGATGTTCATGGAGGCACTGGACTGTTTTGTCGGCAGCTGTCCCGATGTTGAACTGGGCAAGCTCCTGACATATGCAATTGCGGAGGAGATGCACTTGTCCAAAGATCGGGCAGACCACTATTTGTCTGCCAATATACCCCCTTTGGAAGAAAGTGGCCGTGCATTTTGTATCGGACGAGCTCAGCTACGAAAGAAGAAATTGCCCTCCAGGTTACAAAAGTCAAAACGTCCGTTTGCTAGCACGGCTCACGCGAAAAGGCTGTTGGAGCAAATAGCCGTGGCAGTCAAGCTTGAGGAACCAGTATTGCTGGTTGGTGAGACCGGTATAGGGAAGACCACCGTTGTCCAGCAACTGGCGGATTCATTAGGCCATAAGCTCATCGCAGTGAACCTATCGCAACAGAGCGAGGTTGGCGACCTGCTTGGTGGATTCAAGCCGGTAAATGTGCGCAGTCTTGCCGTGCCACTGAAGGAAGAATTCGAGGACTTATTTGCTGCTACGGGAATATCTGCATCCAAGAACCAGAAATACCTGGAGCACGCTGGCAAATGCTTCGCCAAGTCACAGTGGTCAAAACTGTCCAAGCTCTGGAAGGAGGCTCCAAAAATATTCACCAAGATCGTGGCTGAGCTCGAAGATAGCCAGGGAAACCAGACCGAAGCTAGAGATGGTGACGCACAGCCTACGAAACGTCGAAAGACGCAGTCAAAGCTGCAGACGCTCCTAGAGCTGCGACCTCGATGGGACTCGTTTGCGCGGAGTCTGGAACAGTTTGATGTCCAGATATCTGGGGGATCTGGCGCCTTCGCCTTCTCTTTCGTGGAAGGCAATCTCGTCAAAGCTGTTCGTAACGGCGACTGGGTGCTTCTAGACGAAATCAATCTTGCATCTCCAGATACCTTGGAAAGTATTGCGGATCTCCTTACGGGCCCTAATGAGCGACCTTCGATTCTACTCTCGGAGACGGGAGAAATCGAGAAAATTGCGGCACATCCAGACTTCCGCATATTCGGTGCCATGAATCCTGCAACAGATGTTGGAAAGCGCGACCTGCCCATCGGGATTCGCTCGCGTTTTACCGAGCTCTATGTCAAAAGCCCCGATACAGACCTGAAGGACCTTCTCACCATCATCAAGACCTATATGGGCAGTCAAAGCACAAAGAGCGATCAAGCTGCAGATGATATTGCACGGCTGTACTTGAACACCAAGCGCATGGCTGAGGAGAGGCGATTGGTTGACGGCGCAAATGAAGTTCCTCACTTTAGTTTGCGAACATTGACCAGAGTCTTGAGCTATGTCCGTAACATTGCGCCGCTGTACGGTATTCGCCGTGCGCTGTACGAAGGCTTTTCTATGGGCTTCCTGACTTTGCTTGATAGAAACTCCGAAAAAATGCTATTGCCACTCATCTATCACCACCTTCTGGACAAGCGTGGCAATCCACAGTCACTGTTATCACAGCCCCCCAAGCACCCAAATGACGGTCGCCAATACGTCAAGTTTCAGAACAGAAACCATGATCGCCATTACTGGTTGTTTCAAGGCAACCAGACTCCAGTCGAACGAGGAGACTACATCATTACCCCCTATGTCGAACGAAATCTTCTTAACCTGGTCCGAGCCACTTCAACAAGACGATTTCCTATCCTGATTCAGGGCCCAACATCCTCGGGCAAAACCAGCATGATCGAATATCTGGCTAATTTTACCGGTAACAAGTTCGTTCGTATCAATAATCACGAGCACACAGATCTTCAGGAGTATCTAGGAACTTACGTATCAGGGCCTGATGGGAAACTACGCTTCCAGGAGGGACTGCTTGTTCAAGCTATGAGGCAAGGTCATTGGATAGTGCTTGATGAGCTTAACTTGGCACCCACGGATGTCCTTGAGGCTCTGAACCGACTCTTGGACGATAATCGCGAGCTTCTCATCCCTGAAACCCAAGAGATTGTGAGGCCTCACGAAAACTTCATTTTGTTTGCGACACAGAACCCCCCCGGCTTATACGGGGGCAGAAAGGTCCTTTCACGGGCCTTTAGAAACAGATTTCTGGAACTTCATTTTGATGATATTCCTGAGGATGAACTTGAGTATATCCTCCAACAGCGAAGTCGAAACACTTCGCCCCCTGACTGTCGACGTATTGTGACGGTTTACAAGGAGCTTTCGCGGCTTCGGCAAACAAGCAGGCTTTTTGAGCAGAAGGATAGTTTTGCAACTTTGCGAGATTTATTTCGGTGGGCACTCAGAGAAGCCGATACGAGAGAAGAAATTGCGGCTCACGGTTATATGCTCCTCGCCGAAAGAGTTCGCAACGAAGACGAACGCATCGCTGTCAAGGAAGTCATCGAGAAGGTCTTCAAAGTCAAATTGGATCCCCAAGAACTATATTCTACCTCCAAAGCCCCCGAGCTCAAACATGTGACGGAGAGAGAGAACTCTCATGGCGTCGTTTGGACTCATGCGATGCGGAGACTTTACGTTCTGGTCTCTCGAGCGCTGCGGAACAATGAGCCTGTCCTACTGGTTGGAGAGACAGGTTGTGGCAAGACGACAGTCGTTCAATTGCTAGCAGAGACTCTCAACCAAGAACTGCACATTGTAAACGCTCATCAAAATACGGAGACTGGGGATCTCATCGGGTCCCAAAGACCCGTCCGCAACCGTGGTGCCATTCTTGAGGCTATACGTACAGATTTGATGGCAATTTTTGAATCTTTAGGTATGGGGGTTTCAACGTCTGTGGAAGAAAACATTCAAAAGTACAACAGTCTGCCTCAAACAGTCAAAGATACAGTGCCTCAGTTGATTCGCGATCGTCTGGCAGCAAATGAGAGCAGATCAAGAGCATTGTTTGAGTGGTCTGACGGCGCACTGGTCTCGGCCATGAGAAATGGTCACTTCTTCTTATTGGATGAAATCTCGCTGGCGGACGACTCCGTGCTAGAAAGACTAAATTCTGTTCTCGAGCCCCAGAGAACGTTGCTCCTGGCAGAGAAAGGCGTTGATAACGCCTCGGTTGTGGGTGCGAATGGATTCCAATTCTTTGCTACAATGAACCCTGGCGGCGACTTTGGCAAGAAGGAGCTTTCGCCTGCCCTGAGAAATCGGTTCACAGAGATCTGGGTACCACCATTGTCCGAAAGTGAAGACATATACGATATTGTCAGGACCAAGCTTGTGGATGGATCCAACCATCTGGTCGATGCCATGGTGAACTTCGCGTCCTGGTTTGCTCACAATTTCCGGTCCATGGCGACAAGCGCGTTCTCTGTTCGAGAAATCCTTGTTTGGGTTCAGTTCATCAACAGCTCTACAGCCAGCGACCCCATCGTTTCATTCGTCCACGGTGCTTCTGCCATCTTTATCGACAGTATTGGTGCGAATCCCTCAGCCATGCTAACCACCGACCTGAAAAGCGTCACTGCCCAAAGATTGGATTGTCTGAAGAAGCTTGGTGACCTAATCGGTCAAGATGTGTGCAAAATTTACCCAACCGAGCCTATTCTTTCAATAGCCGATGATTTTCTATCCATTGGTGACTTCAGTATACCCCGTGATCCAATCGGCGCCACAGACCCTACTTTCGCTTTTCACGCCCCTACAACAAGACTCAACGCGATGAGGGTCGTTCGAGCATTGCAAATGCAAAAGCCAATTTTACTCGAAGGCAGCCCTGGTGTAGGCAAGACAACGCTGGTTGCCGCACTGTCTCAGGCGTGTGGCCGGTCACTTACAAGGATTAACTTGTCTGACCAGACTGACTTGATGGATTTATTCGGCACCGATGTTCCCGTTGAGGGCGAAGAGGCCGGAAATTTTGCGTGGCGAGACGCCCCTTTTCTCCAAGCGATGCAAAAGGGTGAATGGGTTCTTCTAGATGAAATGAACCTTGCATCACAGTCTGTTCTGGAAGGCTTAAACGCATGTCTCGATCATCGTGGTGAGGTTTACATTTCCGAGCTTGATCAAGTCTTCAAAAGACACCCTGACTTCCGTCTGTTCGCGGCTCAAAACCCTCACCACCAAGGAGGTGGGCGCAAGGGTCTGCCAAGTTCTTTTGTGAACCGTTTCATCGTCGTCTACGCGGATGTCTTCAAAGACGAGGACCTGAAACTTATTGCTTCTCACAACTTCCCCCAGGTTGGTGAAGAAGTCATTGCCCATTTGATTGAGTTTGTGTCCAGGCTTGAGCACCACATCGTGGTCGAAAAAGACTTTGGCTCTCAGGGCGGTCCCTGGGAGTTTAATCTCCGAGATGTGCTCCGATGGCTACAACTTTTGAGGTCTTCCGATCCTTTTCTCCAGACTTCTCAGATGCAAGACTTCCTTGACATTATTGTTAGGCAACGGTTTCGCACATCAAGAGATAGACAAGAGGTGGACAAGTTGTTTACTCGTGTGATCGGATCGGAACCACGAGCCCACAATCACTGTCATAACTTGAACTCACGATTCGGCCAAGTGGGGCTTGCCCTACTATCAAGGAACTTGAATGTACAACCGGAGAGCTTGCCGAATATCAATATCGTTCCTCGGCTTGCCGAACTAGAGTCTATCATGATTTGTGTGAAGCAAAACATTCCATGTATCTTGGGTGGCCCTTCAGGATATGGCAAGTCATCCTTGCTGAGCTATGTTGCTGCACTGTCCGGAAAACCACTTGTGGTATTCCCAATGAACGCAGATATCGATACTATGGACCTTGTCGGTGGTTTTGAACAAGCTGATCCTCTCCGCGAAGTCAATGCAGCCTTGATGGATCTTCGCGAACGTCTGCAAGATTCCGTCATGACTCTCGTCCCATCAGCCGCCCCTGGAGAAGTTTTACATTTGTTGCATCTCCTTGACAGACACAACGGTGTCGGCGGCAGTCTGGATGCTATTCTTACCTTGGTAACATCCTTGATCAAACGAGTGTCGTTGGACACCACGGTGGGAGCAGCTCTCGCAACGGTAAAGCAACTTTTGGAAGGGCCACTAGTTCTTGCGAACCCACGGTTCGAGTGGCTAGATGGTGTTATTGTGAAAGCTTTGCTTACCGGCCAGTGGCTTGTTTTGGACAATGCCAACATGTGCAACGCCTCTGTTTTGGATCGACTCAACTCTCTGCTGGAACCTAATGGATTTCTGAGCATCAATGAGCATTGCCAGTCGGATGGAAAACCAAGAATCATCAGGCCTCATCGAGATTTCAGGATCTTCCTCACGATGGATCCCAAATATGGCGAGCTGTCGCGAGCTATGAGAAACCGAGCTATCGAGATTCATATTCATTCTCCTCCACCAGAATCAGCGTCGTGCTTGGACAAAATTTCCGCGATTGAAAGCGGGCTTCAGAGATATCATCACTTTAAGATGTCGTCAAACGGCGCTGCTGGTGCCACCTCGACAGGAATCCTCCGAGTAGCCGCGGAAAACCTCTCTCTGGATGATGTAGTACTTCTCGGTCGATTCGTGAGTCAAGGTGCCGCTGACGAGCCGTGGCTCTCCGCTGCGACCCATTTGCTCCAATTCCTGCAGACAACTCAAGGGTCTCACATTTTGCGTGACTTGATGCAACTTCACTCAGCATGTTCCGCTCGTACTTTTGAAGACTTTCCTAGGACGCAGTCCATTCATCCATTGAACAATGAAATTGCAATCAAGTTGCTGGAGAACGAAACATCAGCTTTTTGGATGGGAACACGTTATGAGACTTCTCGCCGTCTGCATTACATCCGTCAAAACATCCAGAGACATCATAGCCAAGCTCACTCTGCGAAACTAGGCTCTTTGAGTCGCTTGCAGCGCTCTCTCATCAGCGAGCGGGTTGCAGCTGTGTCTAAAGACTCAACTGTTAAGCTTGCCGTATTCCTCTCCTCGATAATGGCCTTTATCGAGGGATACCTGGATCAGGCAGTGGACTCAATCGAAAATTTCTTTGCTAGGTGCCAACTACTTGAAATCCTCGGGCTTTATCTCGAGTTGACAATTTGCCTGTCTTCCAGCCATGAGTTTGACGAGGCCTACTTTCAGGCTCATGTTGGCCTTGGTGCAAGGAAGCTCGAGGAATTCAGCCAAGCGATGACAGGAGAGGCCGACTCTACTTTCCTATCCCTGGCCCTTGGCCAACTGCGGCGTGATTTTTACGCCGACTTCCAACTGTCCACCGGTTTGAGCATGGAAGTGCTGTGGTACACGTTCAGACCCATCCCCATTACGAACAGGGCTGTTTTCGATCGCTCAATTGAACTGGACCAGCTGGCCTTGAGATTCGATACTCTTCGATGGAAGGTATCCGCGTCCATTGTCGACTTATCTAAAGCCCAGCAAACTCTGGCAACGGCTTACAAGATTGTCAGAGATGACGCTGTTCCTGCAGAACAACTGGTGGCAGATCTGATCGCGGCAATCCAAGACCTCGAAACTCGTACTGGACAACAAGCGCAAGAGACGACTCCATTTTTTGCGACTGAGTTCGAGCACCTGAGACAGTTGTCTATGCTTCAATCCTTGGCTAGTGGGAATTCGCGAGTTTCTGAGCTCGATAATCAACTGGTTACTTTGTCAAACCTCCCCACCAAGGCCATAATGACGCTTGCTAGTGCCTCGGATAAAGCATACAATCTACAGTCTCTTTCATGCCTGTCTCACCAGGGTATCTTCGCTTGGGATGGGAGACTGACCACGTCGCTGTGGCAGAAACTCCATAGCTTGAACAGCGTCAATCTGAACTCCCTGGCGCTGCTGGAGACCGAACTTCCGGTTGTTGGGCAGCATTTGGTCAGCTTAAGTCGAGAAATTTTTGCTAACCCTCTTGTTGATCTCAATAATCTGCTTTGTAGGTTGATCCTAGAAACCTTTGGAGCTCACAGCCCTCAAGTGAAAGAGACCTTGGGTACTATATTCTCGCTGGTTGAGGACAATATCAGCTCAATTTCCTCGCTTGCTCTGGAAGGAATTGGTTCCAACTCCACTTTCAATGGCCTTCTTCAAGACATTGACGCTGTTCATCTTCGACAAGCTACCGCGGATCATTTCATTCCTTCAGTTGTGGGCATCATAGCTTCCAGAGCCGATCCGAACAAGGCTGCCTACTTCTCAGCTCTTGCATGGGTGCAATTCAGCATTGGTTTGGGCAAGCTTTACATCCCTGACCGCATCTTCGATCCACAACTTCGGCCGAAAGTTGAACTCGAGTTCTTCGAACAGCTCCAGGCTTCTCTGCAAGCAAAGTTGGCCGCCTTGAAGGCTTTCCAAACCAATTTCACAGGACAAGACACAAGCGCCAGGACTCACTTAGTTCATCTACAACTTGATAAGCTTGGTCCAGCACCAGAGGAAATCCAGCCTGTCTTTCGTCCGGAGAGGTCCGAGCTCCACCAACTTCATGCTGAGTTCTCAAATATATTGAAGACAATCACCGGCCCTGGCCTATCTGATGTCATGAAGAGTCTCGCCTCAGACTCAGACGACAGGGTCACAAGTCTTCTGCAGCTAATTCGGGAAAACATTTCTCGATTGGTTGATCGCCTTTCTTCCCGATTTGAAGCATATCAAGATATGGGACGGCCTGCTGTTAGCATTCTTCGTTGTCTCTTGGTCGGGCTTTCACTTTGCGACACGTCCAACGCTGCAACTTTAGAGCCATCTACTTTGCGACTTGTGGAATCCACGCCATTTTTCGGCTCGGGGGCTCAGGATGTCCCGTCCGACCGCGGGGGAGCCAAATCGTTCGAATTCCTAAGCCTGATGAGCGCCAATGTGGCGGTTGGTGGTCTTCGGAGTCTCTCCACAGCTGATCGAGAAGCTGTGTTCGCGTGTTTCCACAGCTTCTATGATGACTGGAACAAGAAGCTGGATGCCGACAGGAAAGCCGAGGCGGCACGAACTAGCATGTATCGCTTTCGAGGCACACTGGAAGATGAGGAGGAATTTGATGTGATGGAGTTCAATGAGCTATTTCCCACCTTTGATAATGAAGATTCCACTGTTCGCAAGGACATCAAGCCAGATCGAGTCCGAGATATATCGCTGAAGGTGGCGGATGCGCATCGCAAGATCTTCTTTGAGCAACAAGACCCCCAGGATGCGTTGCGGGAGTCTTGCATGGCTACCGGCCAACGCGTCGTCGATGAGCTTCAAAATCACGCCAACATCGATCACAAACTCAACTCCAAGATGTTGACGAGCACATTGCTTCTTTTGGGCGAGAAGACGGACGAACTTCAATCATCATCCTCTACTGAGACATACAACTTCTACACCGACGCCAACTTGGCCGAAACGCGGAAGCTTGTTTTCTTGGCTCACCGAATCAAGGCCCGCTTCCGCGAACTACAACTGGTAGATGAAATCGGTCACATGCAGCCTTTAGCCGACGTGATCCAATCCTGTGACAAGCTCTTGGAGCAAGTACATGGTGAACCCTTGGCCAAGCTTCTACCAAGGATCGAACAGCTGCATGCTCACGTTTACGAATGGCAGTTTGGGGGATGGGCTAGCAAGACATACGCCGTCCTTTCTCTTCACAACTCGCTAACCGAGACTGTCATTCGATGGCGGCGTCTCGAGCTTTCGACATGGGCGAACCTCTTTGATATGGAGCTGAAGAAATGCCAAGATGATGCTTATTCTTGGTGGTTCGTCGCTTATCAAGTTGTAATTGCCGTTCCACTAACCATGGTAGACTCGCGTTCTGAAATGCAAGTCTATGCCAGGTCGTTGATCGAGAATCTGGAATTATACTTCTCAAGCTCGATTGTTGGCCAGTTCAAAACCCGTGTTTCCCTGCTACGTCAATTGTTAGGCCACCTCAACATGTTGGCGCAAGACTATCCTGCTCTAGATGTAGTTTGCGTCGCCGTGGACAACTTTGTGCAGTATTACACGCGCTTCGAAAGGACAGCCGATGAAGCAATCCGAAAAGGCCGAACGCCAATCGACAAGACCATGAAAGATGTGCTCCTCATGGCAAGCTGGAAAGACACTAATATCAATGCTCTTCGAGAGAGTGCCCGCAAGTCTCACCAGAAACTGTTCCGGCTGATTCGCAAGTTCCGAGGAGTGCTGGGCCAAGAGATGAAGGTGTTCATGGCGCAAGGGCTTCCTGACGAGGCTGTGACCACCGCACCAAGAGCTGACGCCGAACCTGTTGCACCAGACTTGCCAATAGTCACAAGTAGTGCGCTGAATGCGTCCCTGCCCGGGTGGCTTGCGGGCCATAAAAGGCTTGCCAATTTGCCAAAGACCCTTTCGGTAATGAGAAAAGTCACATGCAGTCCCGAGATGTCAAGCAACATGTCGAAACTAGTTGCAGATTTTGTCAACGAGCTGAATACGTCCATGGCCGAGCTGCGTAAGGAGACGCCATCAATTGCCAATGACGAGAACAAGGACCAAATCAAGCATCTCAAGACGAGAAAACGAAAGCTCCTTGCGGATACGCTACGGGATCTCCGAACGATGGGATTACAGCATCATTTGTCGCAAGACAAGTTGGCCGAGCAGAATTCATTGGCTGTTGTTTTGTCGTCACTCGCGACAGTCAAGTTTCCCGAATCAGAAGCAACAAAGGAAGCCGAGTACTATTTGCATAAGACATTGGATCTCGCTCCCAGGGCTAGGGAAGCTGCCCGAGAACATTCCGAGGACCTCACCGGCGCCGAGGTGACGAGAAGTATAGGGTTCGTTGAGGGTCTGATTAGCCTCAACCTCACCCAACGCCAGAGCCTGGGGGCAGTTACGCAATCCAGAGAGGGTTTGCGACAGGCAGTTCAAGAATTCAAAAATCTGGGCAACGATGAGAAGAATGGTAGGCTTGTCCTCCAAAGATACGATGGCGACTGGACGCACCAAGTACAATGGCTCGACCACGGCATAAGATTTGCCATCCGAGTTATTGAGATGCATGGAAAAATTGGAAAGATTGATAACGAGAATATGGTCCAGGAACTACAGGAGTGGGCAACGCGCATGGCGGCTAGAACTGCAGCGACCAAAACCTTGGTGCAGTTGCCCGTTGGAATCAGCTCATTGGCACATGACAAGTTGAGAGAACTTGTATTAAGGGATTTGGATGAGATTGATCAAAGACTTGGTCAGTTGGTTGAGACACGTGCAGACCTGGCATTTATTCTCTCTCACCTTGCAACCTGGACCCGAACCGAATCCGTCAGCTACGACATCTCTATTGGAGACACGAAGTTGGATACATTCGCCGACGCTGTGTCTTGTCTAGCTGACACAGTACTCGTCGCCATTGAAAATGCCGAGAAGAAGGGTGTCGCCGTCCTCAGGGAGCCTGGCGTGCCGGGCTGGTTAACGAAACACAGCGAGGCCTTCTTTGCCATGATCAAGCAGTTGCGGATGAGCAATGTAGAGCGAACAATTCGCCATTGCACTAGTTTGATGCGACAAATTCAACTCGACAACGGGCAGACTAGCACCGCAGCCGTGTGCATCGTCAACCTTGCTTCCCCGATACTGGATCAGTTTTTGACACTTTGCTCGCGTTGTATCGGCCAGGGGTTGGAGCTGCATCGCGCCTCAGCACACATGGCATACAATTTGACCAAGGCCTTTAATCAGCTTGCTTCTCAAGGCTTCTGTACGCCTCAGGAAAAATCGGATGAAACATCAGGCGATGCTGGAAAATTAGAGGCAGGCACTGGTCTGGGCGATGGTGAGGGCGCGCAAGATATCAGCAAAGATGTTCAACCCGATGAAGATCTTACTGAACTAGCTCAAGAAGCCAACGAGGAGAAGAGTGAGGACATCCAAGACGAAAAAGACGCGGTGGATATGGCAGACGAAGATTTGGAAGGGGAGTTGAATAGCGTCGCTGGAATTGACGAGGACGAAGGTTCTCAGAAAGATGAAGAGAAGGAGGCAGAAGAGAACGACATGGACGAAGAGGCTGGCGACGTTGATGACCTCGACCCCACAGCAGTCGACGAGAAGATGTGGGAGGGCAACGATGATGAAAAAGCCGAGAAAGATCAACAAGGAAACGAAGCAAAGGGTCAACAACAAGATGAGGAGCAAGTGGCAGCTGATGAGGATACCAAGCAAAAGGACGCAGAGAGGGAGCCTGAAGCTCGTGAGGAGGGAGAACAGCAGAAGGACGGAGAAGACACAGAAGAGAGTGAGGCTGAGGAAGAAGATTTGCATGCTCAAGAGGAGTTGAATCGGCAAGACCAAAACGTGCAGGAGAACGACGCACTTGAACTTCCCGAGGATATGGAGCTGGATTTCGATCAGAAAGAGGAAACTTCAGATGACGATGACTTGGATGATCTGTCCGACCCTGAAGGCGAAGCTGATCAGCCAGAAGATCAGGCGGCTGAGAAGGACGAAGTCGATGAAGATATGGAAGATGCAGCGGGGCAGCAGTTGAAGCAAGAAGCCGGAGAGGTAGAAGACGAGATCAACGAGGACGAGGAGGAAGTCCCTGCTGGTGCTGATGAAGTCAAAGAAGATGTGGAATCCGATGTCGATGACGAAGCAGAAGACCAAAGCAAGGAAGAAACGGCTGAAGACGTGACCCAGCCTCCGCGGGACAATGCAAACACGGATGTTGACAATGCTGCTCCCAGCGATGCCAAGAGCGCCGGGCTAAATCAAAATCAACCTCAAGAGTCGATGGATATGGACGATAACTTCCAAGCGCAAGTGGCGGAACAGGAACAGGGAGATATGGGGGATGGCGCAGCCGACCAGGATACCAGCACGGGCAGCAAAGGCGCCACGTCTCGGTCGAACGAAACGGTAGACAAGAGTCAGCAAGCAGGCGATGCTGAAAATTCTGCTAGAAGCGATCCGTTTCGCAAATTAGGCGATGCGCTGGAGAAGTGGCACCGGCAGAATGCAGACATTATGGACTCGAACCAGGAAGAAAGCAAGGATCGGAAGGCAGATGAGAAGGAAAGTCGCGAACAAGGTCGTCAAGAGTACCAGCACTTGCAGAACGACGATGCAGCCGCCGATGCGCAAGCAATGGGCACTGCGGAGGAAGATGAGGTGCAGCCCATTGATGAGACCATGGCTGTCGATGACGAAGGCGAGAGGGATGGCGCGACGAGTCACCGAATGGAGGAAGATGCAGAAGATGAAGTCGAGGAGGCCACAGACGAAATGGACCTCGGGGATTCTGGCGAGAGCGACACTCACGATGCGGAGAATGGCAAAGAAGCCGACGATGGCCGGACCGGCGTGCAGACTCGACAAGGAAACTACAAGCAAGAAACGCCATCCGAAGCGGATGCTGATGCAGGAACAGCAAAGGGGCAAGAGCAAGATGCCGGGTCCATCGAGGAAACGTCGGAACAGCTGTCTACGACTCGCATTTCTGACGAAGCGCGGAGTCTTCGCGATTACGGAGAGTGTGTTCAGCAGTGGAGCGAGTTCCAGACCAAGTCTCACGGGCTTTCATTGAATCTGACGTCTCAACTACGCCTCATCCTAACGCCGTCTCAGTCGACCAAGCTCTCGGGAGCGTTCAGGACGGGAAAGCGTCTCAACATCAAACGCATTATCCCGTACATCGCCTCGAGCTACAAGCGTGACAAGATTTGGATGCGCCGGGCTATCCCGACCAAGCGGACGTACCAGATTCTTCTCTGCGTGGACGACAGCAGGAGCATGGGGGAGTCCTCGTCGGGAAGCCTGGCCATGGAGTCGCTGGTGATGGTGTCAAGGTCTCTGGCCATGCTAGAAGCCGGGCAGGTCGGCGTGGTCGGGTTTGGCGGCGACGTCTTCACGGCTCACGAGCTCACGGAGCCGTTCGGCGCGGACGCGGGCGCCAGGGTGCTGCAGAGGTTCAACTTCTCGCAGGACCGCACGGACATTGCGCTGCTCATCCGACAGACCATTGACAAATTCCGCACGGCGAGGCAACAGGCCGGGGGCGATTCAGATCTGTGGCAGCTGGCTCTGATTCTGTCCGACGGTCTGACACCGTCTTCGGCGCACGACCCTATCCGCCGACTTCTGCGGGAGGCGATGGAGGAGAGGATCATGGTTGTCTTCATCATCATGGACGACACGGGCAAGAGGAAAGGCGACAGCGTGCTGGAGCTCAAGGAGGCCAAGTTTGTCAAGGAGGACAGCGGGGAGAGCAGGGTGACGATTGAGCGGTACCTGGACACGTTTCCCTTCCAGTACTACTTGATTGTGCACCACCTGGAGGAGTTGCCGACTGCCCTGGCCGGCCTGTTGAGGACGTGGTTTGCCGAGGTGACGTCTTGATAGTGGGCGTGAGTGGTCGAGGATATAACTTACATGTACTGGCATTTGATGGAGTTTGATCTGCGACATTGCATGGCTTGGAGTTTGGGCGCTCAGACAAGGGATAGACAGATTTCAGGACACGATGCACGTACCGAGAAGTACCGAGTACCTTTTTGCATGGCGCGGCACAGGAAGGAAATACCTACCAAGTACCTGGGTACATAAGGTGGCAATGGAACGATTGATCAAGTGCCCGGCAGCCCGATAGGTAGAGCAAGTACTTTATGCGAGAAACTTGTACTCGGGTACATTGGCGCGGCAGGTCCAAGTACTGCGTACCTACCTAACTTACTTAAGCGGTACCTAGTCACCTACCTAGGTAGGAGGTAAGTAGGCTAGGTCCGCAAAGGCCATGATCCAATCAACAATGCCTCCTCCCCCCGCATTCTGTGTCATTGTTTCACAATAACCTCACTTCTCGGCCTCCAACGACAAGGGGAGGATTTTGTCTCACTGCCGCGTCGCAAACACAGTGTGCGGTCGAGTTGGCATCTGTCGCATCGAAAAAGACCTGCTGCAGACCCTGTGCCACCAGCGTCTTCTGTCTCTCCAAACCACTACGGAGTACCTACTGCGGAAATCAATATATATAAAAAAGGGCCCTTCTCGTTGCACACGGACGACCGCCATCACTCCGCATCACGGGGACATGAATCCGCTTCACCCGACGCCGCGCATCCTGGCCTCGTCCTCGTCCTCGTCGTCCCCTGCCGCGCGTCTCCTGCTTCTCCACCCTCGCTTCCTCCCGCATCCTCGGCACTTTATCGCCCCTCCCCGTCGAGCTCCCACCGCCACGCCCGACTTCACCCCGACATCGTCATCGTCGTCGTGCAATCCAAGAGCGCACCTCTCGCGCCAGCTTCGCAACATGGCTGGCTCTACAGCCCCGACCGAGCTGCGGTTCAGTAAGCCTCCCCACTCGCTCAATTGACCTCCCGCGAGTATCCGAGCTGCAGGTTTCGCTAATCCGGCCCCTGTCTCCCCTCTCATCGTGTAGAGAACCCCGCCATCCTGTTGGTCACGACTCACCACAGACAGCCCCGGTAGTTACTGACCGACGACGTCCGTAGAGTCTGCGATCTGCAAGAAAAGTTCCGCGACGCCATCCCCCTTCCCTTCTTCTCATCAACCTCGTCCAGCATCCATCGCCGAGACTAACGACGAGACGCAGCGTCGCCACCACGACCAAACTGCTCACCTTCGCCAACGCCGTCAACATCCCCGTCCACGCCACGACCCAGACGGCCGCCAAACTCGGCCCTACCGTCCCCGCCGTCGCCGCCCTCCTCCCCTCCACGCCGCACGACAAGACCATGTTCTCCATGCTCATCCCGCCCCTGGCTGCTGCCCTGCCGCCCCGTTCGCGCGTCGCCCTCGTCGGCATCGAGTCCCACATCTGCATCACCCAGACGGCCCTGGACCTCCGCGACGCCGGCCACCTCCCCTACGTCATCGCCGACGCCGTGAGCAGCTGCAACAAGACAGAGGTCATCATCGCCCTCGACAGGCTGCGCGCCGAGCACGGCGTCACCGTCACCTCCTCCGAGAGCTGGATGTACGAGTGCATGGGGGACGCTTCCAACCCGGCTTTCAAGACCCTGATTGGCGTCGTCAAGGCTGCCGTTGCCGACACCAAAAGGGTCCTCGAGTCGCTGCCGCCCACCTCCAAGTTTTAGAGTCGTTTTAGATTTTTCCTTCTTCTTTTCCCCATGTGTATTTGCACAATACCACCTTTTCACTTTCTGCCGCGAATATAAAATCCTAGGGATATTTTGTTTGACAACTTCTTTTGCTACTTCCTACACTGCCTGCGTCCCGGCGTCGTGGCTGCAGGTGCCTCTGGCATGATTCCGTCCGTTGCGTCTCAATGTGAATTACTTCCTCTACTGGTCCCCCTTCCCCTTGAACCTTCGACGCGCCCCCCTCCCATTCCCCTCTGACGAAGAGGAAAAAAGGAGAAGAAAAAAGCCGGGGAACCGACAACACATCTTGCAAGCATAAGCGATGTACAAAGCTAGAAGGAAAACTATCATACATAGCCATCACCCTCCCGTTGACGAAGTCTTGGACGCCTTGGTGGCCGGGGTCATCCACGAGAACGCAGAACCCACTCCAACTGGGTTGGCAGATCGTGGCAGTGTTGCTCCCTTTTGATACTCCCGACTCGAGCTTTCCGCCTTGAGCTCTGCACCTGAGCTGACAGACCGTCTAACGTCCCAACGGTTGGCTATGCTGACGCCGCCACCTCCATCACAGTTCAGGCTGGCCTGGCTCTTGCGTCTGCTCTCGGTCGACGATCTGGGCGGCAAGGGCGGCTCATACGAAGTACCGGTTCGAGCAGAGCTAGAGCTTGATTTGACAGGTTTCAAAACTTTCATGTTTCGACCACTGCGACCGGCCGGCTGGTAGCCGCTTAGGAGGCCTGTTTCTCGCTGTGCCCCATCTGCCCCGGCGCCAGCGCCTTGTCGCCAGGAACCCCATATTCCAGTAGAGGTTGATGACGTCTCCCGTCGGGATACCTCTGAAGCGTTCGTGCCATCTTTCCCGCTCGTTTCGGAATAGCTGGCTTCTCGTCCGTGATTGTCACCATCGCCACCATGCTCTGAAGCTGCTTGCTGCTCCTCTGATTTGCGAGATTCGATATCCGATCCATGACATGATATCGGCTGACTCGGCGCTGCTTTTTCGTGCTGCGTCCCTGGAGAAGACGCGCCAGTCCTACTGTTATTCAGGGTCCGGCTGTCTCCAAGAACAAATGGTGTTGCGTTGGCATTCAACTTGGGCTTTCCGGGTGCTATGCTCGTCGTGTATATATACTTGAAAGTATTTTCATCCTCTGGCCGCACAAACGGAACTCGTAGCCGTTCTTGTTCATTTCCATACAGGACCATGGTGTTTTGCGAGAAGAAAATATCCGCTGAATGGGCCCTCAAGGCGTCGCTTCCAATATAAATCCGAATACCCTTACGATCGCTAATCGTACTGGAATGCTCGTTTCCTGTAACCTCGAATGCAACCGCCATGGAAGGGACTCCGCCTGTGGAACTTCCATTGGGGTTTTCGTGGCGCGTAACCACTGCTTCAGCCAGATATACATCAAGTCTGATTCGATCAACTCCGTCACTATCTCGTTGCACTTCTCCCAAGAGGTCCAGTTCCTTGAGCAAAGACGAATCGACAATGGACTTTTGCGAGCCGGTGCAAACGTCTGCGTACAAAAGAGTTCCATGAGCGAAGTTTGTGGTTAGCCAGCATCGAACGATTGATGGCACGGTGCCTAGCACATAGAGAGACACAGGTGGCCCGGGTATCTCAAACGAGGAAGAGTCGTCATCACCGCCTGCGCAGTTGGTATCGAGCCCAAGACTGCTCGCCCGACCAGATGCTACCGAAAGGTGAGAGTGAACTGAGTGGCCAGCAGAGCTGTGTCTTCCATCAGATTTGTGAGACAGGGTGCGTTCCATCATAAGGCCGCTGCCAGGTCGCAAAGGCCCAAAGTCCCCCGAATGCCGATTGCTTTGGCCACCCCAGCTGGAGCCATGCAAGGCACTTTCATCGAACCTAACACTATTAGCTCGCGAAGCCGCACCCCGTCGCACGGGTTCCTCTTCAGCCGGGCCGAGATGAAGTGAGCCAAGCAGTTGTTCCCCCTGGACATCCAAGTCATCAAAACCATCATTGTGTGACGTTTGGACGGGCCCTGTAGTCCAGTTAGTGTATTCCAGATAGCTAGAGTCGTCAACATACCTTGGTGTGGCGTACCACCCAAAATTCCTGGGAAGGGGGAATTCCACACTGACTTCAAAGCTGAATCGTCCGCACTTCGCTTCTCTAATCTCGACAGCCGCTCCGCATGATTGCTTTGGGTATATTGAACTTGCTTCACCTCCATCTGTAGGCTATACAGATCATCACGCGAAATGGGAAACCGAGCATCCATTCTTCAGGGGGAAAAGGAAGAGATAAAGTAGGTTGCACCAGATTGTGCCAGATTGGAACAGCCCATATATATCTTGACTGGCTAGATGGCATGTGAAGACAAAGGCGTGAGCGAACGAAAGTACTTGTTGGCAAGTCTTTCTGTACAGTACTCCAGTGAAATGGGCTCCGTCACCCAGGAAGATCAAAATGATGAGTGTGCGAACAGAGCTGTTTGGCGCCTGGCTAAACTCCCTTTCTCACTTCACGACGACTCGTCCTCGCGCATCGCAAGGTGAGACCCAGAGGTGGCCCTGAAGCGGCGACGGCGATGGCCTTGCGCGCGCGCAATGGCTGCACAACGCCGAAGAATCTAATGGCACTGATTCGTGGACGTTGAGCTTCTAGGGACGGTTTGCTGTGAGGATATCAGGGCGTTGCGTCGACCAAGGCACACGGGAGGGAGATGCTTTCGAGGGAGTCCGGAATCGTTTAATGTCTGGAAATTGAGATGTGCCAGATGCGTCACTGGGGAAAATATCAGTTACTCGTGGTCCCGTACTCTCGTATTAGACTGCTCGTTCGTATCTGACGGTCGGATGCTGGCGTAACTTGTGGTTCTGTTGAGTCCGTCGCCGGGGTTGGAACGAATCGAAATGCGCCAAGTGGATAGGTATCGAGGTGAGGAAGGGTGAATTTGAGGTTGCTTGAAGTGTTGGAGTATTCAATCAGGTTGTATTTGGGTCAAGTCGCATGACGGGGGGCTCTGATGAGGAGAAGAAGTGGTTGCAGTGTTTGTTGCTAGAGCGCTGTCGGGAGATGAGGTGCGAGTCGAGTCTGGTACCCGGTACGGAACGGTCATCGCCCAACCCTTCCTGCTCCTTCCTGGCCCCGTGGGCAAATTCGCGCTAAACTAGGCTGGGCCCTATTGGGAGGAGGAACCATGGGCAGGAACGGTTCCGGAAGGTGCAAGCTCCTACTCCGTCCTGTTTGGTACCTTCAGGTGGCGCACGGGCATTTCGGTACTTTTAAGTACTTAGGAGGAACTTGCGGTACGTCGGGAACGACATGGAAAAACGTAGAATTGAAAATGAACAAATGACCATGATCTAATCAATGTTTTTGAGATTGACCTGCTTTGGGGGTACCTAGGTATGGCATCGGAAGTGAGGACCCTTGGCATCGCCCACGTGGGTTCATAACACCCTCCATGGGGACTGGCGATTGCCGGCGGCCACTCACAGTACCACTTGTCGTGGTTTCTGTAACTGGGTAATCGCTACATATCGGGGGCTTTCCGCAAAGATTTGCATAATCATACATCCCTGGGGCCTGAGCACATAGTGTCTCTCTGTTCAATTCTCTGAGCATGCGGGGGACCGTCGGGCTGTGACTACATTTTCTCTTCCACTGATCAGCAGAGAGCTGCTTCGATCTAGGAGCACAAACACACTCTTTAGATATCTAGACTCTAAATCTAAACCAGATTCCCGCTCGCTAACCGTATCACAATCAATTAATTCTTGAGAGGGTTCAGAACACGGTAGTCAGGGAATACATACCCTGTTCTGTCATCATCAGCCAGATTTACCCATTCTTGTCCGATAAAGCCCTTCAACTCATCGTAGAATATTCTATAGGCGTCACCGCTCATATGAAGACCATCTGGAAGAAGATGGTCCAGTCCACCCTGGTTACCGTTGTCACGAGAGCCCAACCAAGGTCCACCTGTTTTATAATCGTTTGGCGCCATGCTGATGGCCTTGTCCATGATAGCTCTCCACAGATCAACTAATACGACATTTGGATGCTCGCGAGCAACTTCTCGCACCTTTTCCGAGTACGAGGCACTGATCAAAGATGACCGAGTGGCGCACTCGTGGCCCCTTGCAAGGTCAACCCTTGTCAACTTCATCTCATCCACTGGAGGAGGGGAAACCAATAATATCTTTGGTTCGTGTGCTTGAATATTTGGGTGCGTAATAATTTTCGTCAGGTTTTCCTTGAATTGATCGATGGGGACATGCTGTGCGGTGGTCGGAAGGGGCAGCGATGCATCGTTGGCGCCGAGGAGGACTACCTAGAACGAAGGTTGGCTAAAATGTGGAATGGAAGGGCTTACGATCCATACCAAGTATTCCAGCTTAGGCGAAGTTGCTGTCGGCTCCGGAAAGATGCTGGAGAGAAACTTGACGGCGTTGGCAGTGTTCCAACCCGAGAAGCCTCGATTCACGACATCAAGCCGCCTAATGAATCCTGGGTGAAATTTCAGTATCGACGACATACGATGAGACGAAGCGGGTCACCTTACGTGACTGGAGTGCGGCCTGCATGGAAAACCCGTCTTGCAGATCGACAGAACGCTCCACTAGCGAGTCGCCGAATAGCACAAGCTGAGGATAAGAACCCTTCTTGCGAAGTTAACACCATGTCAGAGGGTCCCGTGGTCTCACTTACAGCCATTTTGCCCAGACTCCAAACTGTAATCAGTAATTACCATATGCTCGGTCCATACAAGGCGCAGAGATGCTATGGGTCCAGGATACGTAGGTGAATCCCAAGAATAATTTGAACTCTAAGATGGGACCACTCTCAAGGCTCTGGGAAACAAGGCGGTTGAAGGCGCGCAGGTCAAAGTTTTGGGCTGGATGCCGTTGGGCTGGCTTGGTATCCTCTGGAGTCGGAACAACGTAACACGACGGGCCAGGGCCCAAGGGCGCGGGAAGGCCCACCCTCGGGACCTTAGCCGGCGTATCGATAAGCATTCTCACAATTGACCCACAATTTTTTACGCCAGCCAAAAAAATTTGGGCGAGCAACTACTGAAGAAGTAGATCCTCAATTCTACAAGCCGCAAATCTGGTTTGCCAACACCAACCACGCCACATTGAGCTCGTCTTCTCGGCCGAAAGGGTCGAGAAGCGCTGAAGTCATGGCAAGCTCTCTCGCTACACAGTTGGCGCAAATTGCCGCCAGCTCTAAGGCAACTCTCAACATCAAAGCCCAAAAGGCCGCCCACTCCAAGTCTCTCATCTGGGAGCCCCGTGTCGCCGCTACTCAGAGCTACCAGACACTGTATACGATATGCTATCCCGGATTTGAGGAGCTTTGCCAGCTTGATAATCGGTTTGCACGATTCCAGTCGACTATCTTTGGTGAAGAGAGTCAGAACCAAGACAGAACCCAGCTGTCCGCCAGCGAGAATGAGGAACTCGATCGTCAGATTGAAACCTTCCTACGCTTGGCCGGAAGCAAGTTAAGACTGATGCCAACAATCAAGTCAATCGAGTGGTTAATACGTCGATTTCGGTATGCAATCCTTCAATTTCTATTACCCATCATTATCCTTGTTCTGACCTGACTTCAGTATTCACGAGGAGAATACGGCCCTTCTTCTGATGACTTTTCTCCCTTATCACTCTATTCCTACATTTGCAACACTTCTATCGATATTACCAGCCAAGGTTCCACATGAATTTCGATTTCTCGACCCGTACATCCGGTCTTTGACCCCCCCACCCCGATCAGTTCTCGTTTATCAGACAGTTCACCATCCCGAGTTCCTTTCTTCCGTATCCGAGTACACGATTGAGTCATGCAGAAGACAATACCAGTATCCAGCCTTGATTATGTTTTGGGGGGGCCTCATGACCGAAGCTGTCAATGGAATGTTGGATAGGACAAGGTCTGGTCGTGCCTCTGTTCAAAGCCAAAACACTCAAGACCTGTTACACAGGCTAGGCCCAATTTTTGCCGAGTCTCTCGTCATGAAGAAGGTTGCTGGCCTACAAATCGCGTCCTACATGGCGATGGCTGTCTTTGTTTCCAAGGGAAATTTGGAAGATAACGCGGTGACAGCTTTCATGCAGCAGACAGTCTACGGTTGGACGAACGAAACGATTCGACCCGGCCTTGTATGTCTCGTAATCATGGCGCAATTCAGATCGGCGAAGCAAATGAACAGCAAGGTCACCAAGGCGCTGATGAAGGTTCAAAATATTGGCCCCATGCTGGTCGAGATTGGCAAGGAACGCAGAGTGGACAAGTTGGCAAATGGGCTTTGCCTCGCCTTGATTGAACGATTTTCTAAGAAGGGGGACTCCCGTGGACTGCCCACCATCATGGCCATACTGGGCAGCCACATACTAAAGGACAAGCAAATCGCAGTCATCTTCAAGTCGCTGCTCTTGGCCGCTCTAAAGCTCGATGACAATAACGACGAGGATGGCGCGCTAAGGCGAGAGCTGGGTTCTGCTTTGATTGCCCTATCGCAAACTATGGGAAAGTCCGGTGAGATAATTCAGTCAGTTATCCAAGATGTCGATTTCGATATTGAGGAGTTAGAAATGAAACTGGACCTCTCATTTAAAGCGAAAAATCTTCCCGCCTTTGATGCAAACACAACAACTGAGCAATTAGACAAAGTCAAGAAGCCCCGGGATTTGGGCGTCGTTGTCGATGAGCTAGCTGCTCGAAAAGAGTCACTTCCGCCTTGCCTCTTGCCCGAACCAAACGAATTATTCGAAGAGTTTAGCCATCTTTTCTTCTCAATCGTATCTGAGACTTCTCAACAAATCGAAATGCTGGTCAAATTTGATGGAATTCCCCATCTTAGACGAGAAGCGGCCTTAAAGGATTGCACTTACTTCAGCTTTTTCATTCGAATTTGGTGCGGTCCGTATCCCGCCCTGGCGCGTATGAGCGCTTTAAATATGGTCAAGAACAGGCTCAAGTCTAGTGATGCAAGCAAGATGGATGCGCAAGCCCTCATTCCGTATGTAGTTACGGCTCTAAGCGACCCCTCAAAACGTGTTCGACAAGCAGCTGCCGATGTTATCGCCGTGGTCACCGACCTGTATGCCCCCCCCGTCTCAGCCAAGTCAATGAAAACTTGGGGTTCCGGCTTACTCTACGGAAAGACCAAGGACAAGCATCCTCTTATGGTCGACGTGATCGCTAAGATGTTACACTTGCAAATCCTTCCTAGCATTGAGGAGTGTGTTATGGACCACGAGCACATATCATCAATTCTCAAGTCGGCTATTGAGCAAGGTAAATACCAGGTTTCTCCTCAACCGGCCTTGGACAAGAAAGATCATATGGGACAATCGGCCAGACTGGCAGTACTGTCATTTTTTGCTTCTCACGCCGAAATGACGCCATTGATAGTAGTCAAGAACAGACTTTTGAATTCTCTGAATGAGATCAAGGGTGTTGGAAATACATCACGTACACAGGTGTTGCTGCCGTTACTGAAATGGTGGACAAGTTTGAGTGAATCAGAAATACGAAGGCGATGCACTGCGGAGAAACAAGATATTTCCACTCTGGACTCTCGGTTCGTTGATGTTGTAGTGTCCAATGACACTGAAGGTCTCGAGTTCCTCTTCAACTTGGTCAAGGATCCTGTTCAAAGAGAGAAGACGGGCCTCATGGTCGCCATTTTTGCTCGTTTGCGGAAGATGTGGCCGTCCATGAAGGACCCTGTCAAGTTCATGGTGGCAGAGCAGCTCTTGGCAATCTCACAAGAGTCTTCTCCTTCCTCGGATAATGAAAGCTCAATTGTTTCAGTGGAAGCCGCCGAGCTACTTCGGGCAGTTCCCCTTACCACCGACATTTTGTCCTTCTTCCTAGATTCTATCCAGACCGGAACCAAGATGATCACGGAGCCGCCACCAAACAAGCGCCGCCGCACAAGCTCTACTGATACCGGTCGAAGCCTGATCACCCAAGTCACACCTGAGCTTAGCCAGGCCCTGCGCAAAGTTACGTTTGTCCTGCAGCTTGTCGATAAGTCGGATCCGGTCTCGCACCCCGACTTACTGGATGGCCTCTTCACAGCTCTGTCAGAATTGCAACACTTGAGAACAGTGGTTGGCTCAGAGCTTGGCTATCTGCAGAACTTGATTCTCCGTAGCCTACTAGCCATGATGCCCACTTACAAGACCGATAAGGAGTTGAGAATTGACAGTTCTGGCGGCTACGGTGATTTGCTTGTTAACTGCATCCAGAAGTCGTCCAGTCCTGTAGTTCAAAACGCTGCGCTCCTGTTGGTTGCCAATCTTGCCACGACAGCTCCTAATCTTGTTCTTCATAGTGTCATGCCCATCTTCACGTTTATGGGGGCATCTGTGCTGCGACAGAGTGACGACTATTCTGCGCATGTAGTCTCTCAAACCATCAAGGAGGTCATTCCTCCCTTGATCGAGTCACTTCGTCAAGGAAAAAACGGTCCTGTCGCCGGTGCTTCAGACATCCTAGTCAGCTTCACAACCGCCTACGAGCACATCCCATCTCACAGACGGCAAGGCTTGTTTGTGGCTCTCGTCGAAACTCTGGGACCTCGGGATTTCCTCTTTGCCCTGATCAGCATGCTAGTCGACCGTTATGACACAAGCGAGGCACTTTTGTCCTTTATTGTTGATCTCTTGAACAACTTTGACATTAAGACGCAGCTGGAAACCTTCATCAAAGTTGTGGACCTTGTGTCCGACCTGTTCAAGCCCAAACCCTGTATGTCATTTGTTCTTCTGGGCATAACTGATGATAGGGACAGAGACATTGAAAAGGTTGCACTTCGGCAACTTTCGGCACTCCCTAGCTTTCTGGCCAACAAGAAACTACGGTCCCACATTGGAAAAGCAGCTGATCGGGATGACATGGACACAGCTGAGGTGCGAGAGTTGTATGCTACCTTACTTGAGAACATTTTGATCCTGGCCGACACCGTCAAGGCGAACAAGACTCTTCATGGACGATGCGGGTCTACCCTTTCCAACTTGCTCAACTTACTATCTATTGGAGAATTCATTCAGGCAGTGGAGAACTTGCTGGACCGACCGGATCTTGGTTTGCGCCAGAAGGTCCTACGTGCCCTCGAAGTTCGGGTTGAGGTGGAAAGCAACACCGATCCCGCTTCCAGGAATGCTCTACTAGCATTTTTGCCGCAGCTCACGGCTGCCATACGGGAATCCAGCGACATTCGGTATAAGCATACTGCAGTTACTTGTGTAAACAAGATTGCAGAAAAGTATGGCAAGAAGGATGTCGAGGCCGTCCTCGCAGCGGCTGAAACTATTGCCGGCGAACACTGCCTAGGCCAAGAGGAGCAGCGTCTCCGTGTCATGGCTTTGCTGTGCTTGACGTCTCTTGTCGACGTGTTACGGGATGCCGTCGTTCCAGTCTTGCCTATTGCCATCCCAGAGGCCGTCAAGTATCTTGAGGTCAGCCTAAGGAGTGAAAATGTTGACCAAGAGCTTCACTCAGCATGTTACGGCTTCATGAGCTCTCTCGCGGAGCATCTCCCGTACATGCTGTCCACGTATCTTGACAAGATCCTTGAGGTGTCCAGCCGATCAGCTGAAGTTGAATTGGATGACGAGACAAACCAGGCCCGCACAAACTGTCTGGAATTCTTCGCCAAGAGGCTGGAGGCTAAAGAAATCTTCACTGCCCTGGAGCGCAATTGGGAAAAGGCCACGGCTGCAGGGTTCTCTGTAAGTATATTGGCACCATGCTGTAGAACAGTGACTAACCGCACCCTGCAGGCCGTCAACGAGTCTCTCGCGATTCTTTCCATTGCAGTTGACAAGCACAACAAGTCCAGTATTACAAAGAATACACCAGTTCTGTCAAGTATCATACTCAAGGCTTTTGACCTCCGTCGACAAGTGCACGCCAAAGGCGACAAGAGCGAAGCAGCTCTACGAGAAGTTGCCGACATGGAAACCAGCTTGAACGAGACGGCTCTCAAGATGATTTATAAACTCAACGATGCCGCATTTCGACCATTGTTTGTGCGAATCGCGGAATGGGCAAACTCGGGTCTGCCCAAGAGTGATGAGACTGGACGAAGTATCCGACAGTATAGTGTCTACGGCTTCCTCAACACATTTTTTGGAAACTTGAAGTCAATTGTCACAAACTATTCCACATACGTGATTGATGATGCTGTCAAGATTCTCGAAGCTTCGGATCCCAAGTCGGTTGAGGACAGACAGCTGTGGAGTCGGGTATTACAGGTTCTTGCCACGTGTTTTGAACATGATCAAGATGACTTTTGGCAAGCTCCGGACCATTTTGGAGCCATTGCGCCCGTTTTGATGGCTCAATTCCTCCGGGCCGGCTCCGTAGACGCGTCAGAGCGTTTGATCCCAGCAGTTGTGGAGTTGGCTGCAGCCGCCGACTCACAAGCAAATCAAAAGGAGATCAACGCGGCTCTCATGAAGCACCTCAAATCAGAGCAGACTGCGGTCCGGCTGGCAGCAGTCAAGTGTCAGCAGGCATTGACGGATCGGCTGGGCGAGGAGTGGCTACTGATGCTGCATGAGATGCTGCCCCGCATCAGCGAGTTGCAAGAAGACGACGACGAGATTGTGGAGAAGGAGACGCATCGATGGATTGTGAAAATTGAAGACGTTATGGGCGAGAGTCTGGATAGCATGCTGCAGTAGTAGCTGCAGTAGTAGCAAGCGAAGTGGTTTTCGCGACATGTATGTCGACGCTGGAGATACAACGCTGGAGATTCAACACTAGAGATACAACACTGGGATTTTAAATGTACCTTGGGAGCAAAAGCTTCATCTATTTGCACATACATCTTGTCGTTGTCGTGGGTGCTGAACAAAAGAGGTACGGGGAAGCATGTCTAGATGGATAGCGGAGCGGAGCTATGGAAGAATCTGTGATTGACCATAGAATACATCAGTCGCTGACGAGTACAATGAAGAGGATACTACTCGGCATCTTTTGACGTTTTGTGTCTGTAGTATCAGGAGAAACACGAAATGTGAAAAGGGGCCATGGCCCATGGGCATAAACGTGTGTGACGAAACGTTTTGGCTTCCTGTCAGCCAGTTAATTTCCTACAGTGTACGGAGTACTCCGTACGGAGTACAGGGTGCCGGGTGCCGGGTGCGAGAAACACAGTGTGGCCCGCACAGTCTTTTCTTCTCCGATACATTATCGTTTGCTTTTCAAGCACACTTTGTTCTGTTCTTCTCCCAGTCAGCCACGTCCTTGATCGGACCCAGATCGATTTATCCAGGCCCTCGTTCCAACTACTGCGGTATCTCCCGTAATACCCATCATGCAGACTGTTCTTAGCGTTTGTTGCTGAGGTCCACTTGGAGGTGGATGTCAATTGACATGATGCCATCAGGCTGATCTCATCTCCGAGCGGCTGGTTCGACAACAAATTCAAATATATATAGCTCCCCATCGCCTCCGTACCGAGATTCAGCTTTAACTTTGCATGTTCCTGGGGCGTGAGGCAAAAATGTACGGCCTTGTGCGCGCACAGTGCCGTTCGTTGGTGAAGCTCTCGTCGCATGTGCCTCGAGTTGTAACTCGTGCACCATCCAGACGGCATGCTTCAGCATTTACTACCGCCAAAGGTAAGTTCGCATGCAAGCATACAGTCGAAAACAACATACTCAAAGCATACCAGCTCCCAATAACAAAGAAAGAGTCGTCATACTCGGTTCCGGCTGGGCCGGCTACGCAGCCGCCCGCACCCTCTCCCCTTCGAGAGCCACGCGCATCCTCGTCTCCCCTCGATCACACTTCGCATTTACTCCTCTTCTCGCGTCGACAGCCGTAGGGACCCTTGAGTTCCGTGCAGCCATTGAGCCGGTTCGTCGGCTCGGCCTCGACGAGTTCCACCAAGCATGGGCGTCCAGCATCGACTTCAAGAACAAAACGATTCGCGTGGAAGCCAATGAGCGCGGAGACGTCAGTGCCTCCACCAACAGGCCCGAAATCAAAGGGGAAGAATTCGACGTCGAGTATGACAAGCTTGTCATTGCCGTGGGTTGCTACAGTCAGACTTTTGGCATCGAGGGCGTCAAAGAGCACGCCAATTTCTTGAGAGACGTTGGCGATGCGCGGGCCATCCGACTGCAAGTCCTGCAGGCCTTTGAGACGGCAGACCTGCCGACGGCCAGTGATGAGGAGAGGAGGAGGCTGTTGCATTTTGCAGTGGTGGGCGGCGGGCCGACGGGGATTGAGTTTGCCGCAGAACTCCACGACTTAATCAAGGATGACTTGTCGAGGATGTACCCCACGTTGCAGAAGCATTGTGCCATTACCGTATACGATATCGCGCCAAAAGTGCTGCCTATGTTTGACAGTAAGCTGGCTGCCTATGCGACTGAGACGTTCAAGAGACAGGGCATTCGAGTCAAGACGGAGCACCATCTCACCCGTATCCGTCGACAAGGACACTACTTGATGCTGCGGATCAAGGAAGAGCCAGTGGAGGTTGGCGCCGGCATTGTCGTCTGGAGCACAGGCCTCATGCAGAACCCGCTGGTCAGGACGCTCGTGGAGTCGGATATCGAGGGAATGGGCAAGATTGCAAAGGATCCCCGAACAGGCGGTATCGTCACCAACTCGAACCTCCAGGTCCAACTGCAAGGCTCCGGAGATGGGTCGAAGACAACCACGTTGAAGGACGTATACGCCGTTGGCGATTGTACCTCCGTCCAGGGCGCGAGTTACCCTGCCACGGCACAAGTCGCCAGTCAACAAGCTGTGTACTTGGCGAAGCAGCTGAACAAGGGCGAGGTGGAAGTCTCGAAGCCGTTCAAGTTTAGGAACTGGGGCGTCATGACATATTTGGGGAGTTGGAGGGCGATTCACCAGAGCGAGGCCGATAATCTGAGGGGATGGGCGGCGTGGGTTCTTTGGCGCACGGCGTATTTGACGAGGAGTATGAGTGTGCGGAACAAGATTTTGATTCCGGTATACTGGGTCATCACCTGGATTTTCGGAAGGGACATTTCGAGATTCTGAAGTAGGAGCAGAGATGGCCAAGCATATAGAACGGTTTGACAGACATTCCTCGCGTCATGACTACCTGAGGAGAATCTCGTTGGACTTGATTTATGTGGGCAGGTTTATTCCAGCTCGAAAAAAAAAAAAAACCACCCCGGGCTGTTGGCTTCGATATCATGATGGAAACTAATTCTGCTCCAAGCCGGAATAGCAACCGATCCCCCCCTCGGAGCAAAACGATGAACCTGATTGAATGCAACCCGTAGAACCAGAGGATTCATTGTTGTTGGTCGAAGGGAGCAATATGGCCAAATTGAGCAAGAGGGGCGAGCAGCAACACGACCAAACCAACTCAGCTCAACTCAAGTTGAGAAGACACGGCCGGTCCCAAAACAAGCGGCCCTGCACCTCATTTAGGCACAAAACGCAATCTACGTGAATCGCCATGGAATGGAGTGATGGTGAGTCTGTCGCCTCACCGAGGCTTGGGACTCGGGAGCTTGAAGGAGCTTGAAGACCCGCCCACCCGCCTTCACCCGCCAAGCCAGCCGCCATTCCTCGGCTCAAAGCCGATGCTTTCCCTTCCCTCAGAGCGTCGTCTTCATGCCGCCCTCAATCCTGCCTCCGTCCGCCCTCGAATGGCTGACCATCGCATCGCATCTGGATCAATTGGCGACGACGACTCGTCCCCTTTCCGAATTCGCATTCAAAAAAGACTTGAATCGCTCAACCAAACCTTGAGACTCACGCCGCTGTCGTTGCAATGAACACCGTTCGGTTCGTCAGACCCATTGCGGCTCGGGTGCCGTTCCAACGCTCAACCTTGCCTCGCGTGGTTCGCGCATATAGCTCCAAGTCTTTCGAGTACATCAAGACGTCTTCTCCCAAGCCCGGCGTCGGCCAAGGTACAGGGTCCCCAACAGAGTCCGCCGAGCCTGGCCACTGATTGATGCTTATTGTATGTAACCTTGCAGTTACTCTCAACCGACCCAAAGCCCTCAATGCCCTCTGCACTCCTTTGATCGACGAGCTGAACGATGCTCTCAGCGACTTCAACGCCTCGGACGAGACGTCCGTCATTATCCTCACCGGCTCGGAGAAGGCCTTCGCTGCCGGCGCCGACATCAAGGAAATGGCCCCTCTGACTTTCTCCGAGGCCTACACCAAGTCCTTCATCGAGTCATGGTCTCTTTTGACCACAAAGATTAAGAAGCCCATCATTGCTGCCGTCTCCGGCCACGCCCTCGGCGGAGGTTGCGAGCTTGCCATGATGTGCGACGTCATCTACTGCACGGACAAGGCCAACTTTGGACAGCCCGAGATCAAGCTCGGGACCGTCCCGGGCGCTGGTGGCAGCCAACGCCTGACCCGGGCCATTGGCAAATCCAAGGCGATGGAACTTGTTCTGACCGGCAAGTCCTTCTCTGGCGCTGAGGCGGAGAAGTGGGGCGTCGCCGCCAGAGCTTTCCCGACCTACGAGGCCCTGATGGAGGAGACGCTCAAGACTGCCGAGACCATTGCTGGACACTCCAAGGTTGCTGTCCAGGCCTGCAAGGAGGTTGTCAACAAGAGTCAGGACCTTGGACTACGGGACGGTCTCGAGTTTGAGCGACGTGTCTTCCACAGCTTGTTTGGTAGCCAGGACCAGAAGGTTGGCATGAAGGCCTTTGCTGAGAAGACCAAGGCCAAGTGGACTCACTCCTAAACAGACAGTCAAAGGAGGAGGAAGCCGGTCAGCCAGCCAGCCATGTGTGTACGAGACAATATATACAGCAGCTACATATTTCGTTGGTCACTTGTCTGTGATTACGTCCTTGTGAACATCAGCAACGCATCACTGGCGATTTCAGAGGCAGGCAAGCGGGCTGGGGTCTTGTTTAGCTGCTTGCGCAGCAGCTACAGGGCAACACCAGCTCCAATGAGCCGACAACTCGTTTCTGGTCGTGGCTGCAAACGTCTTTACGCCAGCCACCGCCAAACGGCGCTGCTCTCGTGAGTTGCGCGCCAACAAGCATACTCTCCATGTCGCGGGCTCGTACGTATTAGCCGAAATGAAGGTATCGTGGACACTGGCCATGTTTGTCCCGCGGTGAGCCGACACGCCGAGACGGTGAAGCAGCAGCGCAAGCCCACATGCAGCCAATAATAATTGTAGTAGTAGCAGCGAGCCCCGCTGCAAACTGCGGGCTGCACCAAGCCTCCGGTCAGCTGGTTGTCGTTCTTTTGGGTCCAGACAGACATGATGACCTCTCTGTGCTTCCACTCTGCTTCCGCCACGCCACAAGGCGGCTTTCCTCCCCAAGCCGTACCTCACAGCCTGCGAGCTCTCTTGACTCCGTGGTCGGTCCTTGTAATATGAATGGATTCTCGAAAGCCCAGCCTGGATCTGGAGAAGGAGCTCACGTGCTCGGTAGGCCCGACTCCGGCTCGCCGCCTTGGCACTCAAAATCCATCCTGAGCTGACCTTTTGTCTCCCAAACAGATCTGCACGGAGCTCTTGTACCAGCCTCTGACTTTGCTTGATTGCCTCCACACCTTTTGCGGAGCGTGCTTAAAAGAATGGTTCCGCTTCCAGGCTGCAAAGGCCGAAAAGGCACCCTCACCGCCAGCTCCAGGGGAGGCCATATTCACCTGCCCGTCGTGTCGCAGCCCGGTGCGCGACACGAGGCACAATGCCACGGTTGTCACCCTGCTCGACATGTACGTGGCCGCGAATCCCGCCAAGGCACGGTCCGACGCCGACAAGGGGGAAATGGAAGCAAAATACAAGCCAGGAGACCAGGTGTTGCCAAAACGACATACACGGGCGCGGACTGCTGAAGAGGAGAAGGCCGTGGAAGAGGATCGTCGTCTGGTAGACGAAGTTCGAGAACTGAGTTTGCGCGAGGTGACACCGGGGGGGCAGCCTCAACGAGAGAGACGTCAACGGCCTAGGCGAAGCCGATCCGTTAACCGGAGATCAAGATCAAGCAGAAACCAGAGCTCGAGCCCTCGTCGTCGAGAAACCGGAGACGCTTCAGGCAATTCCCGTGGCGACGACTCCAGTCGTCAGGGCTCGGATCAAAGTGCCAGCGACAGAGAGCACCGGAGAAGGCGGCGCCAAAGCGCCAGCCGGCAACGTCAAGTTGAGCACCAAACATCCCTCAGATCGTTGATCGGATCATCGGAGATGAGCGAAAGGGACATTGAAAGAGAAATCGAAGATTTTGCTAGGCAGATTCAAGAGGAGGGCCTCCTAGATGGGCTTGATTTGGATAACATTGATTTGTCCCGAGACGATGATTTGAGCAGGCGTATCACCGAGGCTTACAGGCGTCGACAAAGGGAACGACCTCGCAACGAGTCTTCCCGCCGGCCCACTTCAAGCAGCAACAACGCAGCTTCAAGGGGCTCAGAGGGGGTTCACACTGACGCAAGACTCAGGGCCCCCGAAAGCGGTTCCAGATCCCGCGCCAGCTCAAGGTCAACTAACGGCGGCGGCCAACGCGAGAGCAGGAGTAGGCCACCTCTGGCCGGGTCTACCAACCTCGAAGTAAGGGATCCTGCGACACGACCACGACGGAGGACTGCTAGCGGGGGGCGCAGTGCTACGGCACCCGTGTTTTTGTCAACTGCAGAGGCTCGCCCTGCTACTCGATCCTCAACAGACTTGGCACTACGACCGCAAACATCGGACGCCCCTGGGCCTCGACAGAGCTTCCGTGAGGGCCGCAGTTCCAGTACTCCATCAGTACCGGCTTCTTCTCAGGCGCCCAGTGAGTTGCCAGCATTAGCACCTGGTAACAGTAGCATTGCTTCATTTGCTAGCCGAGTGCCTCAATGGAATCCTCATATAGCTGATCCTTCCTCGGCAGCAACGCATGAGCCAGCGGCAGCACATTTCAGCAGACCCCATCTGCCGGCAGAGTTGGCCATTATTCACTCCGTTGTTTCTAACCCCATGAGCGGCCCAGCTGGCACTTCTGCTCATCGGCGAACAAGATCGCAGTTGTTCCCTGAGCCGTCCATCTCGTGCTCAGAGTGCAGCAAGCAGCACATAGAATATGAGTTGCATTACAACTGTGGAATATGCTCCGGCGGCCAGTGGAACATATGTCTTGAGTGCTATCGATCTGGTAAAGGATGCCAATATTGGTTTGGTTTCGGCTATGGGGCTTGGAAGAAGTGGGAGAATATGCGGCAGAAGGGCGATGAGTCGCTAGCCAAGCCGCATATGCTCACAGCATGTCGATATCTGCCGCCTCCGTCGACGCCCGGCGGTGCTGATGGAAGGAAGACGCTGACAACGGATGACCCTAGAGGTAGGCTGGAAACAGGAACGTTCTGCTCTAGATGCTTCGCGTGGACAAACGACTGTTATTGGCGTTGCGATGTCTGCAACGAGGGAGACTGGGGATTCTGCAACAACTGTGTCAACCAGGGCAGTTCATGTACACATGCACTTCTGCCCTTGACCCATGAGTCGCCGCAAGCTACCGGCCGACCTCGTAGCCCGAGATGGACAGGCCGACCCCCTGCTGCTACAGTCTATACGGGACCCCAAGCGGCAAATATTGGGCCGTTCAAGCCTCTGACTTTCCGTACCAGGTGCGACATCTGTCAGGACCCTATATCTCCGTCCCACGTTCGATACCACTGCTTCAGCTGCAAGAGTGCCCTTGTTCCCGAAGCACCGCCAGGTGATTACGATATATGCTCGTCATGCTACAATGGCTTAGTTTCCACTGGCCAGATCAGCATGGAGAACGGCCACGGTGGTTGGAGACGGTGCTTGAATGGCCACAGAATGGTAGTCATCGGTTTCGCAGATGGCAAGATCGGACAGTGGCGATTCGTCGAGCGCGACATTGTAGGTGGGCGACTGCTACGTTTGGAGGCCTTTGAGGATCCTGAACGCAATGGGCAAGAGTTACAGAAATGGTCTTGGAAGGACGGGCATGAAGAATGGGAGCGTCCAGTTACAAGAGACGTGTCGGCAACTGCTCCTGCTACTGTCGGACCAATGTCATTCACACAAAGCTTCCCACCGGATGGCGGCACAGGAATGAGGGCAAACGCGCGTTGGGCCTGGTATCCGCGGGCAGGATCAGACGATGAACTGTTGTTTCCTAAAGGTGCAGAGATTCAGGAGATTGAGGACGTAAATGGTGATTGGTTCTTTGGCACATATATGGGCGCCAAAGGTCTGTTCCCGGCGCCGTATGTGCGGCTTGGACAGTCGAGGTGAGACGGCATGACTGACGATTGCACAAAGTACGAGGGGAGAGGTGGACGACAGCATGTTTGGGGTGCATAGTCTTTTGAGCATGGCATGGCATAATGCGAGGGAGCATACATTATGTAGCATGGTAAATGAAATTGAACAAGACCAGCAGAGAGCATTGAGGGCGAAACACTACTGGTACGAGATGTCAGGTCAGTTTATCCATGACGACTGACCGACGGTGGCTGCGGCCAACAAGTTCAGCCGGCCAAATGGCGTGATCGCTGACCCTGCGTCGGCTCCCCTCCCCTCCCCACACCGGAATGCGGAATGTCGCGAGCCCAGGGCTCTGACGACAGACTCACAGACTCACAGACAGACAAGCCAGACACGACGACCCGGCTTATGCCCTCGTCGACTCGCAAACGGCTGCCGCTCAATTCACGAACCACCATCCCTCTCGGACTGCACCCTGCACGCCCTTGCCGGGGGAGACCATGTTTCGACGCAGCGCCGTACGGTTGGCTGTGGCGGCGGCCAAAGCTGCCGAGCCGAGTGCTCACACGCTTGCCGTGTCCAAGGCCCAGGGCATCGCCAAGGGCCTCACTGGCGGTACGCTTTCGCTCCTCAGCCATTCAATCTTGGCTCAACATCCATCGGGCAGCAGCTAACCGGCCGCAACGCAGCCGTCGGGAACACCCCCCTCATCCGCCTCCACAGGCTCTCCGACGAAACCGGCTGCGACATCCTAGGCAAGGCCGAGTTCATGAACCCGGGAGGCTCGGTCAAGGACCGCGCGGCCCTGTACGTGGTCAAGGACGCCGAGGAGCGCGGCCTCCTGCGCCCGGGGGGCACCGTCGTCGAGGGCACCGCCGGCAACACGGGCATCGGCCTCGCGCACGTCTGCCGCTCCCGCGGCTACAAGCTCGTCATCTACATGCCCGACACGCAGTCGCAGGGCAAGATCGACCTCCTCCGCCTGCTCGGCGCCGACGTCTACCCCGTCCCCGCCGTGGCCTTTGACAACCCCCAAAACTACAACCACCAGGCCAGGCGGCACGCCGAGTCCCTGGACAACGCCGTGTGGACGAACCAGTTCGACAACACGGCCAACCGGCGGGCGCACATTGAGACGACGGGGCCCGAGATTTGGGCCCAGACGGCCGGCGCCGTGGACGCCTTTACCTGCGCGACCGGCACGGCGGGCACCCTGGCTGGCGTCACGCGCTACCTCAAGGACGTGTCGGCGGGCAGGGTGAAGAGCTACCTGGCTGATCCGCCGGGGAGCGTCTTGCATTCGTACATGAGCTCGGGGGGCAAGTTGGTTGAGAGGTCGGGGTCGAGCATCACCGAGGGCATCGGGCAGGGGCGCATCACGGACAATTTGAAGCCCGACATCGGCTTGCTGGACGGGTCGCTGTACATTTCGGACGAGAAGAGCATCGAGATGGTGTACAGGTGTCTGGATGAGGAGGGCATCTATCTGGGCGCCAGCTCCGCGCTGAACGTGGTGGCGGCCAAGGAGGTCGCCGAGAAGCTGGGAAGGGGCCACAAGGTCGTCACCGTGCTGTGTGACGGGGCGTATCGGTACGCGGGCCGTTTGTTCTCCAGGAAGTGGTTGGCCGAGAAGAAGCTGCTGGGCGCGATTCCTAAGCACTTGGACAAGTATATAGCCTTGCCGTAAGACGGGCTCGGCGACGTGGACGGGTTGGGCAAAACCCCCCTTCCCCTTGTTGTACATGTACAGGATATGTAAAAAACTGGAATCATACATAGATTTTTATGATACATGCCGAGGCGCATTGTGTTTGCCGCCTCTTTTATGGTTTATGCCCCTGCGGCCTGGGCTGCAGCTGCTGGCCAGTTGGGTGTGGTGCCCATGACTTTCTCATACTCGTCTGCCCAGGCTTCTGTTCTCGTCTCGCTCTTGGTTGCAAAGTCTTGCAGGTGCGACCTCAGTGTGTCGAGAATGGGGGGCAGCGACTCGACATCATCGCCTAGCACCTCTTGAGCCAGCTCGATTCCCTTGATGTTTTGGGTCAAGACTTGGATGTAGGCGCTCCCGTTGAGGGCCTGGGGGATGATTTTCTCGCCATCGTCCCTAGCCCTTCTCTCCACCAACGGGTTGAGCTTGGCGAATTCGCTGACTCCAAAAAGATCCTTGTCCACAGCGCCTTCCCATAGGGCAGACAGGAGGGCGACCTCATCCCGCAACAGGGCCATGTCCCGCTCGGCAGCCTGACCTACCTTGACTGCTGAGGCTCGCGAAAACACCGCCAGTCCCCGAACGAGCCGCGAAAAATGTAGATTCTGCCGTGTGCTTCGAAATTCCGGTCTCTGCAACAGATCCAGCACCGTCTCCACCCACCTCAGCGCCCGTTTCGTTTCGCCCGCATCCCAGGCGCTCTCCGTGATTTTGTCATTGGCAAACGCGAGAACTCGGACGGCCGTCTCGGGAGTCCGAATCACCAGGCCTGTCTTGTCGAATTGCTTCGCGCACTCAATGACTGCGAATATGTGTCCCCTTCTCCCTGCGACGCGTACGACCTTGCCCCAATGGTTGGCTTTCAACTTTATGCCTGCTTTCTTGTAGCCGGCCAGGAGCGTGCCCAGGTTCGCCCAGTCTTGGGCACTCTGCATCTTGTGCAAAGCTCTCGACAGGGCCTTTTTGGAGTTTTCGACTTCTTTGAACCGGTCGATTGAGGAGAATTTGTGTTCTAGGCCTTCGACTTCGATGATGATGGGGTTTTGTTCTAGTTGTGATCGTTTCTTGGGGTCAAACACAAGCTTGCGCTGCTTTTCGGGGAGGTATGCCGGCAGGATGATCTTTTCTTGGATAGAGTTGAGGATGCTGTTCAGTTCGGTGTTGTCTGTTTCCGAAAATACGGCCCGGACAGCTATATACATGTCAGCTTTTTTAGCTTCTGCGTCTCGGAGCAGACACAAAGTGAGGGCAGCGTACCGTTGGAAGCCGTCGAGCTGAACTGTCTACGAGGAACCTTGGCCAGGCGTGAAGACCCTGCCTGGTGCCTCAACGACGATATGGCCCACGCCATCGATCGATTCGCCATGGCCGCCTCTTTGGTGAAGTTGTAAACCTGCCTGTTGTGCCCAATGGTTAGTTATTATAGTTGATGCAGTTTCAAACTTGATGTGGCTGCCGGGTGGGCCGGAGAAACTCGTGCGCCGGCCCAATCAGGAGCACCAATGGCGGGCCTCCCGGCTAGCCGTCTCTTGGATGGGAGCTTGGGAATTTTGTCATCTGCTTCAATTCAGCTCTCGACCGACTCGGGCAACCATGAGTTTCGCACCCCTCAGGCGGCCAGTTGGCTGCCTCAAGTCTGTCTTTCGTCGGGCAAGGCAACAGAGGGCTACACAGCGTAGTCTGGGCACCGCGGCCGTTGCTCCTACGGTGAACCAGGCCATCAGCGAGAGGCAACGTACGTAGGGCAATTCAGTTTTCGCCGTCTGGGTGCTAGAGACGTGTGCTAACTGCTTCTTACAGGCGCTTCTCGCGAAAAGGTCGAAAGGTTCGAGATTTATTCCCAGATTCCGTCTGTCCGGTCGCTGAACCCGGACCCCATGCCCATCCTGCGTCGGCAGCAGATCGCTCAGCTAGATCCCACGGGTGCCAGGACACGTCTGTTTTCCAAGGATCATGCAGACAGTGCCAAGGTTGGAGACGTGCTCATGGTGACTACTCAGAGTGGCGAGCCATTTTCGGGCGCATTCATTCAAATCCGACGACGGGGCGTCGACACAGCCATTTTACTCCGAGGACAAATGATGAAGACTGGTGTGGAAACGTGGTTCAAAATCTACAGCCCCTCTGTTACGGGTATTGATATCATCTGGCGACGGCCGAAGAGGGCGAGAAGGGCGAGACTGACGTATATGCGGAAGCCCAAGCATGACATGGGCAGCGTGGATCACCTGGTATCGGCGTGGAAGAGAGAGAGGTATTCCTTGCGATCCAAGTCCAAGCAGACTGGCGGGGGAAAGGCCCGGACATGAGCGGGTGACTGGTGGCTGGCACACGGTGACGGGGTACCTTGATTGGGTTGTCGTAGGATAAAGAGGTATTCGCATACTTGGTGGTGTACTGGCGGGCATGGGCGTGTCAAAACATCCGCGTCTACCTCCTGATGTGCTCCGGTGAGCTGCTTGCCTGCGTGGGACAAGATGGGCGAGTTTCTTTGGAGCATCAAGTCATGCGCTTGGCTAGACTAGTTTCAGTATGTGGAATTGCCTATTCATGGAACGTGGCTTTACAGTGATGCATGAGATGGCTTGCACACCGAGTCGCAAAGCAAGATTGTGTGGAACATGAGACGTCAGGCACAGCCTCGCATCGTGGAGAAGCGGCGACTTCAAGACGTGGAGTCGGGCGGTCGGTACGGGACTAGCAAATAGGTGTTCCCGTTTCCGCTTGGTAGACTGCATTATAGTTATATCGGGAGATGGCAAAAGGAGGGATCTGGAGGACGGCCGACGTGAGTGCTCCTGTGCGGAGACGGTAGTGCTCCTATCAACCCAGGGTATAGAGGTATGTCCTGATGATTGATCGACCGGATGGATTATGCGTATGCTCGCGGACAACAGGCGTCCTTGATCAACCTACGACAGACGATGGGGTTTCAGATGTCGCGACGGCTCGGTAGCGGGTTACAGGTCCAGGGTTGCAACCAGCACGCTTTGGATGAATGCATAAAGCACCAAGCCCGAGCTAGAGCCCACTTCCCCGGCTGAGACGGATGCAACAAGAAAAAGGGATGAAGCTTGACAAGAGCGCATGACGCAGTCTCCTGCCCATCCGATCCGGAGTCCGGACAAGCGGAAACCCCGCGCGGCGCTGCTCTGAGACTCTGGGAGAGCAGTCTGGATGGACTCGGGACTCTGGAGTGACGGCGAAATCTGCATCTATTAATACGTCGCGCAAGCCCATACATAAAACGCAACCCAACGCCCGCGCCGCGCAACATGCAACAACATTATCCTGGCAGCTGTCCAACGGGCACATGATCGACCTACCTGGGGCACGAGATTGCCTGGTTCCATCTCGTCACGATTGACGACCGAGTAACGTTAATAGATTGAACGAACTCATCGACACACATCACACATTCATCTGAACCACATTGATTGATTGATTGGCCCTGCGCAAGTGGAGCGCCCGAGAATTGACAGCTTCAACGGAACGGCACATGAGCGCCCAACAACAAGACCCAATCAGTTGCCCTCGACCAATGGCAGCGCTTCCCTCGGGCGCATCGGGAGACCTGGAGGTCGCTCCAGATGTCGCTCCGCACCCAGACCAGCCCGTTGAGCGGGGCCCGTTGCCGCCGCCCGGCAACCTGGAAAGTGCTGGTCAGGGCGGCCCATTTTGTTTACACAATTCGACGTCCTGCAACCACTTGGACGGGTGCACATGCGTCCTCGACAACGACGCGACAACCTCAGCATCGACAATTCGATCCGCTCGCTCCTCCATATTATCAACTGCGTCTACGAGCTTGACTGCTGCGGATTGCGATTGCACGCGTTTCCCTGCCACTCACCCTCATTGCCGCCCTCAATCCGGCTCGTCCTTCCCCGCCAAGCGGAGCAGGCGGGACAGGGAGCAGCTGCATGCTGCACGATTACAGCGGTCAAGACACGACGGGCCCCCGTTGGGCTCCAAGGAGAGGCGTTCAAAACATTCAAAGGCGGATTGGAAACGTCGACGATCAGGAAGCGGCGGTACGGCAGACGCTCTCGCTGCGGTTGAGCCTGCGAATGAACTCAGTCTGGCCAAGATGTCTACTCTCGAGCAGCAGAGGTGGATTAATGTCCAGCAAAAGACTTTTACAAAATGGTACGTCGACGGACATGTATCTGACCAAGTTATACTCGAGCAGTCCAGGTGTGCGAGGGGGAGAAACACACAAGAAATTTTCAACAGGCAACTTGCTGACACCGCAGCGACCCCCTAGGCTGAACACAAAGCTTATATCGAGAGACCTCGAGGTCAAGGATCTTGTAAAGGATTTCAGCGACGGTGTAAGCAGAGCATTTCCCGTCCCCTGGGTCAATCTTTTTCAGAAGGCGTGACTAACTTCACGTGCCAAGGTCATGCTCATCCATCTCCTGGAATCACTATCGAACGAGTCTCTCGGCCGCTATGCGTCGAAACCAAAGCTACGCGTGCAAAAGTTTGAGAATGCCAACCTAGCTCTCGACTTTATTAAGTGCAGGGGGATCCAAATGACAAATATTGGCGCCGAGGATATCGTCGATGGCAACCGAAAAATTGTCCTCGGCCTCATCTGGACTCTGATCCTTCGATTTACCATCAGCGACATCAATGAGGAGGGCATGTCTGCCAAGGAAGGCTTGTTGTTATGGTGCCAACGAAAGACTGCCTGCTATGACGAGGTTGAAGTACGGGACTTCAGCGCAAGCTGGAACGACGGGCTGGCTTTTTGCGCGCTCCTCGATATCCACCGGCCAGACCTGATCGACTTTGACTCGCTAGACAAGCATGACCACCGCGGAAATATGCAGCTCGCCTTCGATATTGCCCACGAAGAGATCGGCATCCCACGACTTTTGGATGTAGAGGATGTGTGTGATGTGCCCAAGCCTGACGAGCGCAGTTTGATGACGTACATTGCCTATTGGTTCCATGCCTTTTCGCAAATGGAAAAGGTCGAGAATGCCGGCAGACGAGTCGAGAAGTTTGTCAACAACATGCAGGGTGCCTGGGAGATGCAGAGTGCCTACGAGGAGCGGATGAAGGCGCTCCTTGCGGCTGTGCGCGCCCAAGTAAAGGAATGGCAACTGGCCGAGTTTGAGGGGACGTACGCTGATGCAAAGGCGCAAGCCAAGGACTTTGCTGCGTATAAACGGGGGCAAAAGAGGGACTGGGTTGCCGAAAAGAGTGACCTCGCGACCCTTCTCGGGAATATCAAGACAAAACTCGGCACTTACCGACTCCGGCCGTACGACCCTCCTGCAGAGTTGAGCTTGGATGCGCTGGAGCGAGATTGGGGCACATTGACAAAGGCGGAAATGACGAGAGCACAGCTGATCAACGAGACCATTCGCGAGTAAGCCGCCACTGACACAAAGCAATCCATGTTGGAACTCGAATCCAGGCAACGTGACTAACATCATGGGAACAGCATCAAAAACGCCCTCCGAAAGTCATTTGCAGATAAAGCTAATGACTTTGCAATGGCTCTAAACACAATGCAGGTAGCCATCTCTGGTCTGGACGGAGACGTCGAGGACCAATGGCACCACGTCAAGAAGCTGAGCGACAACTTGGCGCCTCTGGATCGCTATTTGGAAACAATAGAGGCTGTCGACGCCAAGTGCCACGAGGCCAATATCGAGGAAAATGACTTCACAACATATACGTATGATGAATTAGCGTACGAGCTGGGACTCGTCAAGTCATCGGTACAAAAGAAGCTGGCATTCTTGGAGAATCAAATGGTGGCCCGGAACATGACCAACCTGACGCCTATCCAGCTGGAGGAGTTTGAAAGCGTTTTCCGTCATTTCGATAGAGACGACTCAAATTCTCTTCATGAGATTGAGTTTGGCGCTGCCCTCGCGTCGCTTGGACTAGTATTTTCCGAGGAGGAGATGCATGACTACTTCCTGGAGACGTCTGGTGGGCGGGATGAAGCAACGTTTGAACAGTTTATTCGATTCATGGTGGATGTCACAGAGGATCAAAACACTGCAGAGCAGGTGTTTCAGTCTTTCCGCGAAGTTGCCGATGGCAAACCGTACGTCACGGAAATGGACTTGCGGCACAGCCTGGTCCCCGACGAGGTCATTGACAAACTGGTCGAGATCATGCCCAGCCACAAGGGGCCGGACATGTCTCAGGATCGCGGACAGCCCCAGTATGATTACATTTCATTCATGGAGAAGATGATCGACGTGGAGGAGACGCATGACGATGTGCCCAGCGGAGTTCTGCAGGACCGTACTAACCTGGGCGACTCAAGTCCGCGGAAGGGTCCCAAAGCAAATGGTTTTTTTGGGTGATTGGCGAGATAGGCAGGCGACAATACATTATTACTCTTTGGTTTCGTGGCAACTTTTGTACAATAATAGTACACCCATGCCTCGTTTTCTGGACACGATGCGACGTCAGAGAGGTCACCTCAAGTTTTGATTGGGTATTGGAGGTACTGGGCAAGGCACCAGGAGGGACCGGGTTTAGATATTTGATTTCCCTTTCTTGGACATCCAAGGCAAGCGACGATCGCGTTCAAGGTACGCGGGGTGTGGGTTTAAATTGGGCATAAGCTACGGGATACGCAAAGAAGATGCATCTACTACCCCCAGTTAAAGTATCTGGCCTCTTGTGACCAACTCCGAGTGCATCAGGAGATGCCGCATCATCAGGGGCTGTTGGGGATCGGGGGGGATGCATACGATGCTTCAAAGACCTGTAAAGAGGTATTTTTAAAGTTGAAGATGTACGACGAAAATAATGGCCAGCTTATTTGCCCTGTGTTTTAAGGGGGAGGTTGATGGGATGGATGGACGGCCGGTATTGTAGGGTTAGGGCTATCCTATTCCGTACCGTTTGAGCGTTTGAGCCAGGGTCGGCTGAGGGACAAGTCACAAGTCAGCATACGGCAATTAGTACCTTGTATCATGTGCGAGATGCTCTGTGCTCTGTGTGCCGTGGTGATGATAATACGTGATGGGTGTTGGGTGGTTGGGAAAGTTGTGCATTCGAAAAAGAAGGGTTGCGCGTTTATGTAATCTATTTTGCAAAAAAATATTTGCAGCGCAACTGAGACGCATCAATCGCCGCCTTCGACCTTCGCCTCGGTTCCCCGACCGAGCCTTGCGCCTCAGCCTGTTTTCGGCCCGATCAACCGGCCAGCCGTTGCATTTACCTGATCGCACCGGCCCTGCAGGCGCAACATTTCGACCATGGCAGCAGCGCGCGCGAGGCTCCTCCGGGGCGTTGCCAATGGCGGAGGAGACTGCAGCCGCGTCTCGGGTCTCTCGGGTCTCTCGGGTCTCGTGGCCCCTGCGGCTTGCCGTGGCCTTGGGGGGGCCGCAGCTCGAGCTCGTCTTTCGTCAGCCTGCCGCTCATCATCATCATCATCATCATCATCAGTCTCGCCGCAACGCCGCTCCGTCGGCACGTCGAGGTCGTTTTCCGGCACTGCAGCGAGTCGTGCCGCGAAGCTGACGACCGACTCGTACCCTGGCTTGACGAGAGACTCTAGATTCTCCAAGCTGACTCCAGGGCATGTGGCCTATTTCAAGCAACTCCTCGGCCAGGACTCGGCCGTCATTGACGGTATCAATGCCGACGCCGCTGCCGACATTGAGCCCTTCAACGAGGACTGGATGCACAAGTACAAGGGTCAGTGCAGGTTGGTGTTGAAGCCGGGGTCAACCGAGGACGTCAGCAAGATCCTCCGCTACTGCAATGAGAACATGCTGGCCGTGGTGCCGCAAGGCGGCAACACCGGGCTGGTGGGCGGTTCCATCCCCGTCTTTGACGAGATTGTCATCGGCATGGGGAGGATGAACACGATCCATTCGTTTGACGACGTGAGCGGCTCCCTCGTGCTGGACGCAGGTTGCATCCTGGAGGTGGCAGATCAGCACGTCGCCCAGCAGGGCTACGTCTTCCCCCTGGACCTGGGGGCCAAGGGTTCGTGCCACGTTGGCGGAAACGTGTCGACAAATGCCGGCGGCCTGCGGCTGCTGCGTTACGGCAGCCTTCACGGCAGCGTTCTGGGCGTGGAAGCCGTCCTGCCGGACGGCACCGTCATGGACGACATGTGCACCCTGCGCAAGAACAACACGGGCTACGACCTGAAGCAGCTGTTTATCGGCGCCGAGGGCACGCTGGGGATAGTCACCAAGCTGGTCGTGCAGTGTGCCCAGCGTTCGCCGGCGGTAAACGTGGCCCTGTTTGGTGTCGAGTCGTACCAAAAGGCCCAAACGGCGTTCCGCGAGGCCAAGCTGCAGCTGTCGGAGATTCTGTCGGCCTTTGAGCTCATGGACGGGACCAGTCAGCGTCTCGTCCACCAGGTGCGCGGCGGGACGAGGCCGCTGGAGGGCGACCACCCCTTTTACTGCCTCGTCGAGACGAGCGGCTCCAACGGCGAGCACGACTACGAGAAGCTGGAGAAGTTCCTGGAGCATGTCATGTCGAACGAAGTCGTTGCCGACGGCGTCGTCGCCCAGGATGCCACCCAGATCAAGACCCTGTGGAGCTGGCGGGAGGGCATCACAGAGTGCATCGGCCACTTTGGTGGGACCTATAAGTACGACGTCTCCATCCCGCTGCCAGACATGTACTTGATTGTCCATGATGTAAAGGCGAGGCTGTCGGAAGCCGGCCTCGTGGGAGACACGGATGACCACCCCGTGGTGGATGTGGTTGGGTACGGCCACATGGGTGACTCGAACCTCCATCTCAACATTGCCGTCAGACGATACGACAAGGAGGTCGAAACGGCGTTGGAGCCCTACGTCTACGAATGGATAGAGAAACGACGCGGGAGCATCAGTGCAGAACATGGTCTGGGTCTGGCAAAGAAGAACTACGTGGGCTACAGCCGTAATGAGACCATGATTGGACTTATGAGGCAGATCAAGACCTTGTTTGATCCGGTAAGCCATCCCTCATCGTCTATGTTTCCTGCTTTGTTCCGTCTTGTTCCTCTGCTTCTTTGAGCAGTGCAACAGTGGCCCAGGTCGTGGCATCCACTCTCCCTTTCCAGGCGCGAGCAAGGTCGAAGCTGACGTCCCCCCAGAACGGCATCATGAATCCGTACAAGTACATCTAGTCGTGGACACGAAAGGAAGGCTTCCAAGAAGGGATGGGAGGCGTGGGAAGGTAGGCGTGTATGTACAATATAACTAATGCACGGCGACGCTCGGCGTTGTTCCTCCGTGCCAACCGGCGGCTGCACGTCACATGCCTCGCACGCAGCTGTACTTTTGCCGGGACGCCAAACCACAAATATTTTGTTTTTTTCATATCAATCAATTAGAGACATTGCGTCCATGGGAGAAGTCGGAATTTTTACTTTTACGTGGTGACGGCAGTGCTTGTTGCATACGCTAGACACGGCCACGCATGCGTCGTCTTGCATTGGAATACAGTGGCCTTGAAGACGGCTGCGGCCGCTTTGCCTTGACCAGACTACGAACGAGTAGCCAAGCGTATTTCGAACCCCTCCGATGGCATGTTTGACAACGGAGCAAGGCGGCGCCATTGCACAATGTGCCGGATGCTGGGAAGTGTTGTGGGGATTTATCGACTCACCAGGCATCTATCTGAGCCGCGATTGCTTCCCCCGTCCGTTTGACGAGCCACAGGTTGTGCGGTGTTGACGGCTTGTAGTGGACATGCTTTGGCGTTGCCGATGGCCGTGTTGCTGCTGCCTGATTCCGGGGTCAAGCTGTGTCTTGCCACCATTGCGCTCCTTGACAGACAGACTGGACAAAAAAAGAGATATTTCCGACGCTCTGCGTCGAGTGGCTTTCAAAGAGACGTGAAAAAAAAGCAAAAGTGTTAGTCGAGCCGGGAATCGAACCCGGGGCTGTAGCGCTTCCATTGTCAATGTGAAGCCACCATGTTAACCACTACACTACTCAACCTGTAGTTATGCCCTCACGTGCGTCTATTGATTTATATTACTACTTTCAAGCTACGCCACAGCACATTCGGCACGAAAAGAGTCCCAAGACGATGGTATGAGCTGCTCGCAGCAATACGGATATTGATGATTCTTTCTGTTTCTGCGCAAGTATCTTCCTCCCAGGGCAATCGGGCTTTGATAGCGAAACAGAAAGCCAATCCGCCCGCCATTGGAGACTACCCATGTCGGCATCGTCTCTTGGACCAAAGATCATGGAAGGATTAGCACGGGCAAGGCTGGCATGGCATGGCAGGCAGCAGATTAGTTTGAGAAACTGGCAGGTACCTCCCGTTGGGATGAGTGAGTAGTCACGTGTAGATGGTGGTTGTGGAGGAGTAACGTTATACGATGGCGGACCGTGTATTGATAAGTACTGAGAGCATCCCCCAACCTGAGCGCTGGGGGCTAAGCAATTGGCAACTGGTGAAGCTGTGCCGTTTTCTATTCTAGCACCTCAGCACCTCCTAGACGGGCGACGGGCTGGTTGGTGATTGGTGAATTAATGGAGCCAACACAACCCACGACAGCGTCTGCGCCACCATCTCCCCAATTGGCACCAGCGCGGCATATGCTTTCGCCTTCACGTTTCACACTTCACGTTGCACATTCCACATGGTTGTCGGGCCGTGGCGGGTGTCGGCGTGCGGGCCGCACTCCGAGTTGGAGCACACATGCCGTTGAAACCAATCTGATCATGGCGTCTTGGATTCTGCCTTGACACCACCTCTCCCAGCTGCCCTTGTTCCCTCTCACGAACCTCTCCTGCGGCACCGAGTGTCATTGTGCGTGGCGCCCTTGCTCCGTTCCGCGCTCATTCCACACGGACATCATCAGTGTATCAAAACCCAACCGTTGTCGCGTGCAATTACCTCAATTCACATCGACATTCTTCTCATCCTGAGCACATCTCTTCTGATACAAGTTCGTCATTTTCGACCTCTGTTTCCCTCTTTCTCTCGCAAACGCCATCGTGCCACACCTCTCGGTTCTGCGTTCCCACCACTGTTCTCAAGACTTGGGGCCATGCACCTGTTGAGCTTCGCATCATGCCAAGAAAAAAACCTGAGCTCATCCTCCCGGTCAACTCGCACTTGTGCCTTGGCCAAAGACAACAACACATGCCAAAAAGGATGCGTCTCATACGTATCCGAGGCCAAATACCAAGTACCTAATTGCACTCCGCGGCCAGAGTCGCCGAGTCCGTTTCACAGTGATGCTTTCTAGCCATCTCGGTCCTGCAACTTTCGCTTCCCCGATGATGCAGACTCTGTTTCCATTTCAACGTCGTCGCTGTCCAACCCATCCAGTTCCTCCATAATCTCCCACTCAACTTTTACCGTACCATCGTCTGAGCGTCGAATCCCGTGCGTGCGACGCATTCTGCCCAGTCTAGTGCCTTCCACCATGCTGTCGAACCAAGGGACTCCGAAAGAATATCGGAGGGCAGTGCCGCGGTTCGCCGTGGCCACCTGCCTGTCCTCAGCCTCGCCCTCACTCTCCTCTGGAATGAGTCCCAGGTCTTCCAAGTCCTGAAAATCTTCTCGGAGCAGACTGCCCAATGTGAGGTTGATGTATTCGGCCTCGCTCCTCGGCTCCTCGGACCAGTACGATAGAGGCGTGCCACAAAATCCACAGAAGTGACGCTTTGTGTGATCTTGGCTAGGGTGGGTGTAGACACGTCGAATCATTGTGTGAGTCTCGTCATCAAAGAATGCAAATGTCGTGCTGTGTAGCCATGATAGCGGTACTCGGATGTAGGCCGCCAGAGGTGTGGCGAGCGGCTCTTCTACAAACCATGGTTAGTCGATGCAAGACACCATGAGCAGACGCTTTATTTATTTTCTTGTCGGTCCTTAAACTGCAGAACAGACAAAGACTTGGATCCGCAACTCACGGTGTGACCGGTCTGTGCTGAACAGGACCTGTACCTCGTTTATGCCATCCTCTGGGAGAGCGATGATGTAACGGTTCCTGCCGCACAAGCAACCGCCCCGCAGAGGCCGCAGAGCGCTCATGGTTGATTCGAGAAACGGCAACGGTCGCAGCCGCAGCGATGCAGGCTGAGACGGTCTGAAGGTGAGCTTGCGACGAGGTGGTGAAAATAAAGATGACGGTAATGACCCTTGGACGCAACACGCCTGAAGGCAGAAGGAAGGTCGTCGTGCCTGGTAGAATGAGGGAGACGAAATGCAAGACTGGTGGAAACCCAGAAATACTTAACTGGGCGGTGGGGGTGAAGACGCAGACGGTGGGGCAAAAAAAAAAGGCTCCGAAAGCTCTCGGACCACTAGGAGGTAGATGCTTAAGTACTTAGCATGTTAGTTAATTGTTTGCGGGCGTCTCCTCTTCAAGGTTGCGGGCGCCGGAATTAAAAGGTCGAGCGGACGACATGCTTCACGCTTTTGAGGAGAGAAATAAAAGGCAACTCCTCCCTAGGTAAGAACTGGAGTATCTGGGCAGTTTCTTTTCACGTTGAAGTACCTGCCTTCCGACTTGATGCCGCTCCAACGACCCCGATGAGCTAGTTACTGTACGTGCGGTCACCACGGCCACGTTGACAGCTCGTAGCTCGAGCTCCCACGGGCCGCAGGCGTGGCGGGGGCGTTAAAAAGTGGTTCCTATTACTATTATACTTGGTACGTACCAGAGAAGTTGCCTCCGCTACTGCGAGGCACCTTCTGGTAAGTACCTATACTTAAGTATGCTGCTACTTGCCCGAGCCAGGAAACCAGTTCTCAAGTATTAATGATGCTTTGCTTTTAAAATTGTTTCAACTGCGTCTCTCCGAATTTCTGCTCTTTTCCTCCCCCGTCAATTCAACTACCCTCCCGCCAAAAACATGTCCCTCATTACTGACACTGACGAACAAAAAATCACTCGGCCTCGGCGTCCGCCGACTCCATGCACAAGCCCTGCCAAAAGGCCGCCCAGGGTGCCCTAGAAGCACGCTATCGCCACGTTGACTCGGCGCAACTGTGCCAAAGTGAGACCAACGTCGGGGCAGCAGTCTAGCAATCGCCCACCGAGCGAGAAGACGTCTTCCTAACCCAGGATTCCCGAGAAATCACATCAGACCTGCCTGGAGAGTATTGAAAAGGGTGGGCGGCAAGGCCGGCTACGGCTACGTCGACCTGTTCCTCAGGAGGTTTGCATTTCCAGCACGGGACGAGAGTCGCGCGACAGCTACGGGGCACCTTGAAACAAAGTAAATGTAATTGCGTAGCTTACACTCCTGGTGCCAGCGGCAGGAAACGGTTCAATACTGCGAGGATGACAATATCGTCCTCGCGGCGTGCAGTCCGTCCACTCTCCTTGGGCCGTCACGAGGGAAGCCACGGACAGTAGGAACAAGCAAGTACATTATCCAAAAGGGCGCCGCCGTGTGAATAAATCCAACTAGATGCCACCTATCGCTTTGCGCCCTTTCGAGACCATTCCCGCAAGTCATTCTTCTTGATCTTCCCGGTGCTCGTCTTTGGCAACTCCTTTACCACCTCCACCTCTTTGGGCACCATAAACCTGCTGATGTTGCTTTGATGCTTCGCCCAAGAGATGACATCTTCTCCCCGTACAGTCTTGCCCTCCTTGACAGTGACGTACGCCTTGGGTATTTCGCCCCAGTGGTCGTTGGGGACAGCCACAACGCCAGCTTCGAGAATGTCCGGATGTTGGACCAGCATGCTCTCCAGGGCCACCGAGGATATATTCTCCCCGCCGGAAATAATAATGTCTTTGGCTCGATCGAGGATCTGGGCGCTGCCATCGGGATGCCATACGGCCAGGTCTCCGGAGTGCAGAACGCCGCCGCTGAAGAGCTTTCGAGATGCCTCGGCATCTTTGTAGTACTCTTTGGCACAGATGTTGCCAAGAAAAACGATTTCTCCAATCTCTTGGCCGTTCTTGGCGACGTCAATGAGCACACCTTCCGGCTGGTCGGGTTTGATGATGCGAATGGGTAAACTTGTGACAAAGCCGTGGCCTTGCCGGGCCATCTTGCTGTATTTTTGCTGCGGCGGAAGGTTATCCCATTCCGGGAGATGATAGCATTTCGTGATTGGGCCATATGTTTCTTGGCTTGAATTAGATTCTTTTTGACATGGTTCGTCTTTTTTTTTTTTTTTTCTTTTTTGGAGTCACTCACCTGTCATTCCGTACACGTGGACAGGTATGAGGTTGAGATCGGTCTACAACGACCATCAGTTGGGAACATGGCTCGTGTGGTCATGCCAAGGCGCATTCTCACCATTGACTCGAAAAGATGAGCAGATGGGGGGCTGGCTGCAACCGTTACTTGGACGGGGTTGGGTAGCTTGACGGCTTCCTTGGCGGCCACCAGAAGCGTATTGACGGTTGGGGCTGCATTGAAGTGTGTGATTCCCTCCTCCTTCAACAGCTTCCATATAAGCGGATAGTCGATCTTTCGCAGGCACACATTCAAACCTCGCACAGCCACGACAGACCAGGGAAATGTCCAACCAAGAGCGTGGAACCTGGAAGCGGGAAACGTCAGTTGTGGGTTCTCTGTGCGGAATTGAAGGATCTGGCATGGCAGGACGTTACAATGGCAGAGTCCATAAATAGCGGCATCGCCCGTGATTGAGGCCGGATTCAATGATATTTCCCATGGCCGCAAGATATGCACCTCTGTGGGTGTAGACGACTCCTTTAGGCCGTGACGTCGTGCCAGATGTGAAGGGAATGGCGATGATGTCGTCTTCGTTGGTTGCCTTGGACTGCAAGCCGGCCCAGGCATGGCCGCCTAGCTCCTCATCATAGGCAAGGCCCTCAAGAATGGCTTCGTTGAATTGACCGCATGATGGACCGTCCGTGGCATCCGTGTCCTGCGAGCGACGAAGTGGTCAGCGGACTCTTTCCCTTGCCATCTCACGACTCCCCCTCACCGCGCAACTCGCGCAGATGCGACTCACCAGATCAACAATCAGGGGGATCTTGGGGTTCTTTTTCGTGAATGCGGCGAGCAAATTCTCAAATTCCTTGTCGACAATGATGCAATCGACTTCGGCGTGCTCAAAAACGTAAGCAATATCGTCCTCTTTCAGTCGATAGTTGGCGGGAACAATGACGGCGCCACCGGCGACAATGCCGTATATTGACTCCAAGAAAGCTGGCGTGTTGGGTGCCAAGATGCCGATGCGAGTCAGCCTGTGCTTCTTGAAGTAGTAGGCCAGACCGCGAGCTCGGTCTGCAAATGTTTGGTACGAGCGGCGCAAAGAGACGCCGCTGGGCGTTATGTGAAGGATTGCGTCCGCATCAGGCTCGACAAGGGCGGCACGTTCGAGGAAGAAGGTCGGTGAGAGATGATGAATGTGAGGCGGCGGTTGAGCAGGACCGATCAAATGGCCGAGGATGGACCGGATGCGCGAGGGCGGCCCGGACATGGTGATGAGCCGAAGCCGTGTGAGTGGCAAGGGGGAGACTCGGGACTCGGGAGGGACAAGACCATGCGGAAGGGAAGGAAGGAAGAGAAGGAAAGGACAGCAAAGGAAAGGAAAGGAAAGGTAAGGAGAGAAGCCAGGATTGGCACCAGGAAGGATGGCAGCAGTCAAGTAATATACGGCAAAAATATTCTGAGCTTGGTCTGAGCCATTGCCGTTACGAGGAGTCTGGACTCTGGAGTCTGGACCATTGCCGCTCGCTCGGCTCGCAGCCGCGGTGGGCCGGCACGAGCTTCCCCGCAGCCATCAAATCATGTTTGCAAGTTGCACGACGGTAAGAGTGGTAAGTAGCAGTGGGAGGTGGCAGTCTGCGGTTCCGAAGTCGACAGCCAGATATAATTAATGGACATTCGGGGCCCCAGGATCCGAAACGGGGCAGCTCCACTCACCAAATCTCGGCATCTCGCCGTTGTCATCTTCAGTCAACCCACGGCGGACAAGGACACTGACACTCGAGCCCTGTCAAGAGTCAAACCCCTTGGTAAACTCGCTTTCAGCTTCTACAGCATAGCATAACATAGCACGCACTGCCCACACGCATTGTCTCGGGGGCCCGGGCATACGTGCGTTCTTTGGACCCTGCAGTCTCCGTCATGCATGTCTGTCCGTCCGTCTCGTGCTGTCGGTCCGTCAACGAGAAAGAAGATTGAAGCCAGGTGTGCTGCAGCCTGCAGCATGAGACAGACAAGGGACCCACAGGGGCGGCCGCCCACCACCTACTCCGTTCCGTACCTTCTAAAGTTGATTGAGCTCATGCACTTGGACCACTTGCACTCCCAGCTGTGTCCTGACTCCTGAGTCCCGACTTCCAACTCCCAACTCCCGTGCGCATACTTGGCGTAAGTAAAGTAGTAAGTTACCCACCTACTTGTACCTTGTACCTAGTACCTAGCGGAGGTAGCGGCAAGCTGCCTGGTGCGCAGCAGTCAATGCATCGGTTCCATGGCATGGCCCTTCTCCATCCATCTGCAACTCAACCTTATCCCTTTGTCCCGTCATCCTTCATGCCACCCTTCTATTGCATTGCCGAAGACCAAGACTTCTCATTTCTAGAGCGAAATGTCGGCCCTTTAGATCACTCGACGCACTCTATATATGTGCCCTGACGTTGCCCGCTTGTGGCCACGGACAGGTTCAGTCATTCATTCCAAGAGCTCTCGCCAGCTTCTCGCCAGCTTCGTCCCGCTTCTCAGCATCGCCGAACCCCCGCCATCAAGTCCCCCTTGGCATGTTATTCTTCCCTCTCCAGCTTCTCTTAGCGTCCCATCATTCTGTCAGATTTATCGCACAAGGATTGATCAACTTTGATCATTGATCGCCTTCCACATGCCCACAACTCCCCGGTAAACCCTCCATGTCTTCGCAAAATTCCAAAGGTTCCGACGCCATCCGGCAAGGCGTTCCTCGTATGCCTTCCTACACCGACGCCGCCCCCCGAAACGACAGCCACAGGCCCGGCCTGCCCGAGCGAGCGCAAACGTTCCATAATGCCTCATCACCTGACCATGACGGCCCTGATGCATTCGACACCTCGGAGCACAGTGAAAATGACGACAATACGGAGACCGCGCGGGCTTCCATCGAGCTGGACGTGTTACCAATTGAGCTGATAACTTTCACGGACAGGTACGATAAGTACAGCGGTGGCTTTCTCAAGGCGACTCCCGGTCTCCCAATTCATTCTAACATCCGTCAGCTTCATTGAGTCACTAGGCGCCAAGGTGCACTCTACGCCTCCAAACATTGAAAAGCTGTCAAGGTTGTTCCAGGAATTCTATGGCCAAGCATCTTCGCATATCGCCACACACATCAGCGCTCTTGCTACAAAGCAAAGTCGTGACATCTCACCTTCTCCATCAATATCATCCATCTCGTCCGCTGCAAGTCGCCTACGTTCCAAAGCAGCTTCGCCGCGCGCCAAGGATAAGCCCAAGACGGAAACAGAACGTCAAATGATTACATCCGAAGAGCTCGCGAGTCGAAAAAAAGCGAGGAAAGCATTAGAGGCAAAGCGAGGCACGTTGGAGGAAGCTGTTGAGCGAAGGCTGTGTGAGGGCATCTATCACAAGATTTACCGCCACCGAACTACACATGACGAGGCTCAAGACGAGAAGCTTCGGTCCAAAACGGCCGCTTTGGCTTTGGTGGGAATTACTCCTGTTGATTTGGGCGTAGACTACGGCGAGGGAGCGGCACGAGATCCCGAGATAGCTGCCAAGGTGACGGAGCAGATGGGACACTCACTCGGGAAAGCACGAGCAGATTTGGTTCGAATGAGCGAGGCTAGATATCCCTTGGCCAAAACAAATCACTTGAAAGCCGCGCACAAGAGCATAGTCGACACACTGGCCGAGGTGCACCCGTCCGCCTCAGCCGACGAAATAATGCCAATGCTGATATATACACTGATTACACTGCCGCCAGAAAATCTTCACATCATCAGCGACCTTCATTTTATTCAGTACTTCCGTTGGGAACCAAAATTGACTGGCGAGGCCGCGTATTGCCTAACAAATCTTGAAGCAGCCATCAGCTTTCTTCAGACGGTCGACCTGTCTACCCTGCGAGAAGACGAGCTTCCATCTGGGCCTGCAAAGTCAGACAGTTATGTTGGCACTTCCAAGACGGAAACCTTCCCACCTGCGTATGGAATCACCGCGCCCTCCCAAAGTGCTACCGAGGCCAGCACTGACAATGTCACGGCCACGAAACCGGCGGCTTCGCCCTCGGGCCTCAAGGCCGCTCAGGTCTTACGAAACAGAAGACTTAGTGACTTGGTCAATACCCCGGCACAAGCATTGGGCGCTGCAAGCGGTGCCGTGATCAGCACAGCGGACCAAGGGCTCAAGACCATTTCCAACAGTCTGGGCGACAGTTATTCGTTTCTCCTCGGCAAGTTACGAGAGCGTCAGGAGAGCCCCAAAGAGTCTATTGTTGTCCCTCGCACCCTGGACGACGCGCGTAAACTTGTCAGCACTCCACCACTGGATGAGGACGACAACGCTAGCGCCACCAGTTCCACCGCTGGCGGCTCCGAAGATACAGAACAGTTCAAACGCCCATCAGCCCGTGAAGATCGTGTCCTCAGTCTCATCGGCGGTCGACGAGACACTAGTGTTGATAGTGTCAGAAGCGGTCATTCATCCACCAAAAGAGTCGGCTTCCTGGAGGACTCCAGGACGTCAAACACACCCACCCCGGGAACACCAACAGCTCCCGCCATGCTCGAATCCGTCCGTAACTTGGGCAGCTCATTCAACCCCATCGGTCGACTTTCCAGCATTGGCATGATTCGCGGTTTCGGGCGCACCACAGCTACGCCTTCTGGCAAGGATTCCACAGAAGGCGGCGACTTGGCGACTGTGAGTTCCCTTCGCTCCCAACACAGTCTACTACTATCACATAGATCAAGGTATTAATGTATTCCAAAACAGCCCTCGCCAGAGGTTGCAGCCGTACTCCCACCCAAACAAATTACCGTTCCCAGGATACCTCCCCCCAACAAGCGCTTCATGGAAATCCAAAGTCCCGGGGAACTGAGACTAGGCGAAGTTCGGGAACTGCTCAAAGACTACCGACGATTGGCTGGCGTTTTAAAGAATATGGGCGCTTTTGATGAGAAATAGAACCAGGAAACGACATCTTTGTTATTTACATGTTTACTAAGCCGGGCCGGGATTTGCGAACGTTTTCCTGGATATGGGACCTATTTATTCATGGCGTTTTCTTTACGTTGGGCTCCGGTGTTATTTGGCTTCCATATTAGAACGACATGGGCATAGTACTGGCAGGAACAGAAGCAGTTGCCGAAAAGTAGGGCACGTAGACTGAGACATACTTGCCTCAGGATTGACTACAGTCAATACAGCATGACTCGTTTAATCTGCGATAAAAGGCTCTATGCGTGTACGCTGGGTTTGCGGATATACCAGGGCTGTCCCTCAATAGCCAGACCATAAAATACACCGTGACAAAATGGATACGCTTGCTAAGCGCCCCAAGGCCGGCCTTCCTTTACTTTAAAATTGGTGATGCCGTCCGTACGGTTTTCCACGCGACCCTATGTACAATCATGAATAAACAACGAGGGCCAAATAAAAAGAGCAGGGAAAGGAAAAGATAAAAAGGTGTAGTCATCAAGTGGAATACGGCATTATCCCAGTTGCAGACACGATTGCTGTACAAGCTGGTTCCCATGGATCTACCTAAGACACTGGGGAAGAATCTGCTCTCCGATTCCATGGCCTTGATCCAGTACTGGGCAACGGAGCCAATTCATCTATTTGTTCGTCGTCGGGATTGGGCTGAGAAACAGTTCTCGCCGGCCCGAGAGGATGACCATGGACGTCTGTAGAGCTCATGCGCTGATGCGATGGGCCCTCCCGCTGAACAACAGGTCCAGGATGTAGCAATTTCGCAACAATGTTGCTGTTGACTCGGATATGCTCGTGGCTTGGAGTCCGAGTCCGAGTCAAATTGGTGTCTTGACGCTGAATGCCAGATGCAGTTGTTCCATGTGTGATAGCTGTGTTAGTTCTCGCCAATGCTGCTTCTTGCTCTTCTGCTTCTTTCTTAAACCTTGACTCGCTGGGAAGAAGGATAGCCCTGTCGAGACCATAGGGCAGGCCGCGATGACGACCACGAATTTCCATGGCCACGATAACCAGCTTACCAATGACAGAGAATTGGGAGCATAGAGAGGCATTGACCCCGATGGCACCCATGCTCAGCCCCACAGTACCATAAGCGCTCACGACTTCGAAGAGAATGTCGAACAAGGAGAATCTGCCCGCCACAATCTTTGCACCCTCACTGATAGTGATGATGAAAAATCCCAGGAAGACGTACCACAAGTCGAAGGACAGTTGGCGACGCAGATGAGTCCCAACATAGGACAAAGCACTGGCATCCTGGTCGTCTTCCACATGACTCGGCTGGTACATGCCAAGAGACTTCTCCTCGTAGACATTTGTGCGACGAATGGAAATAGCGATAGGAAAGACGGAAATGTACATCATGATCAGGTAGAGAACTGGAATTGCCGGGTGAATCTGCGACATGGCAACGGCAGAGAAGCCAGCTGTTCTTGTGGACGCAGCTTGAAAAAAGCCAATGACAACCCGGTTGCTAACACTCAGCTTAGCAATAGGCTCGCCGCCAAGCTGATTAGTCTCGTTGTTAGCCGATTGACTTGGAAGACACAGTGGGAAATTGAGTAATGTTCCAGACGGATATCACCTACATCGAGAACCATGAAAAATAACAAGTCGACGGCGTTCAGCACAACCAGGATCCAAAACAACCACCAGCTTGGACCAGAGGGAAACAATAGTGTGAAGCAACGCCGCGGATGATCGAGTAGAAACCGAAGTTCCTCCCATATTCCCGAGCCGACAGGGGCGAGCTTGGCGGCGATCCAAATAATAAAGCGCAGCATGACCGGGAAACCTGTATTTCCAATGATAATAAAGAACCACATTACCATCAGGCAAAAGGCGGATGTGTTGAACGAGATCATGCTGTCAGGTGTGAGGGTGAAGCCAACGTCCATAAAGGCAACATTAGATGTGAAAACCCCCCACCAAGTTCTTGACACGCCATCGGCAATCACGATATCTCCATAATGGTTATTATGCAGTATAAAGGGCAATAGACAGGCCAGAATTACTAGATGGAACCCCCAAAAGTAGACCAAAAGGACGACTGCGAGTGTCCTCAACGATCGATATTCAATCCCGCCAAGTTCTTCGCGCTGTTCCAGAGTTAAGCCAACAAAATTCGAGTTTCGGCCCATAGTAGGTGTATAGGAGAGGTATGGCATATCTTCGGTCTTGGAACTGGACAGCACGGAACGGATATTGTCCAGTGTTCGCGTGCGGACAGGTTTGGCCGGTCTTGCATTGTCTGCATCTTCGTGAAACTTGTTTTGAGAATTGTTGAAGATGCGGGGCTTGCGAAATCGTAGAGCATCCATGGTACCACCAATCGCTTTGATATTGTCTTCGATCTCTTCCCGGCGGCGATGCTTTTCAGGTTCAGCAATGACGATCGTTGGCTGTCGTTCGCGTATAGGGCCCGGCTGAGCGGCATTATTGGGAGAGGTTTCAGCTGTCAGCGAACGCGCAAGTCGGTTATCGTCTTTATCCAAGTCGCCCGCTTCGAGTCGTCTAGGTCCCAAGCCACGCTCTGCATCTCGTGGGCCAGGGATACGGAGGACCTCGTCATCATCTTGATTGCGCTGTCTCTCCACAATCGCAATGTGCTCGGCATTTGTCCGTCTTTGAGGGAACTTGGTTTCCTCGTCGCCCAGTCCGTCGCTTCTTTTGACAGTATCTGCAAAAGTGATGGCCGTGTGGCCTGGGAGGCTACTCTTCTGATGATCGCCAGCTCCATGTTCTTGGGGCGAGTCTTCTGATTTCTCCAACGAGTTGGGCTCAGTTACGTCAGGATGGTCATTGGTGGCGGTCGTTGTGTCGCTTCCGTCACTCTTGTTGGCAAATTGAGCGTTGTGCTGGAGTTCATGACCGTCGTCCAAGAGAATGCCATCGTTTGTGATCCTCTGTTTTCGGCCATTATGTGGCATGAGTGTGATATCTCGACCATTGACGCCTTGCTCAGCGAGATGCGTGTCATTTCGGGCTTTCGATTTTGATTTGGTCAGAGTTCGGCGCCGAGATCGAATCTCTCGTGCCCAACTTCGAAAACGTTTCTCAAACCAGTACAAGCGCAGAAATACCACAAAGCCATGGAGTGTGATCGGATTTGAAGTGATGGAGAACAGATAGATCATAGCTTGTTGAAATCCATTCAGACGGTTCAAGTCGACAGGGTTCAGCCCGGCCTGCGTATTCGCACCGCTGGCAAACATCAACGCATCAATGTAGGCCAGTTCGCCCTTGCCACCGGCAAAAATGGCAATCGAACCTACGATTGTTGCCCCAATAATCCAAAAGTCTGTCAGGTTTATCCAAATCAGTAAGTTGACGGTTGAGTCAAAAGATACAGAAAAAGGGAAGGGGGGGCACTTGAGTGGGTTTGAGTTACATACAATGAGCAGTGATGAAGCTGAAATGCGGTTTCTTGGACATAAACGCAGGTTTAACAGCCTTTAGCTGGCCCCAAACGTGGGAAACGGTTTTTTCCAACATGGTGAATGAGCGAGGTTGGTGATAGTGGATAGACTCTTTCGACGGACGAGGAAAGAGATAGTAGAAGGGGGTGAGGGTTGGGTATGAGCCTTTACGGGGGAAAGTTGGGTGGCTAGGCGGGTGCGTCGTCCACTCTCTCTTGGTACTCAGGATGAGGTTTTGACGTAGCTGTGCCACAGCAACGTCGGAAGAGATTCTAATTCAGTATAGGGCAAATACCTTGGTGGTAGGAATGCGATACCGGGGCACGGCCGCTTCGGGTGCTGTCAGTCTTGGCCTATCTCAGGCGTGAGTCCAATCGAAGGACTTCACATGCATAGAGGGACAAGGCAGCATATTGAGCGTGACGGGAACACAACAGGGTGAAAGGTATAATCTTCTTCCCGTGGGGTTTGGGCAAAAAAGTGGCAGGCCGAATGAAGCCAGAGATGCGAAAGGGCTGCAGTGTTGTTTACAACAACAAAGAAGAAGGGTAGTGGCGCTTGACACAAGTCCAAGAAATCAATTGGCGCAACCGGAATTATGCCGCCAGGGCCATCTTGAGAGTCAAGAGGAACAATTCAGGGTATGACAATACACCAATCAAATTCGAGGGTCTTGGCTGGCTCTTCAGTCAAGACAAAAAGATAAAGAGGTGTGCCGAAGAACCGAGAGACGGACGACCAAAAAAGACAGTCAAGGATTGACAGATGTGCCGGAAATCTTTTCAGCGCTCTTGTCCGTGGCAGAGGCAGTATACGAAACGCCGAGGCTATGTGTGTGCGTTTTTTTTCTCTTCTTCTTGTCAAGGTCAATTTCCCAAATGAATGTTGTTGAGCGTCCGTGCTGATGCGTTGGCGGCACAAAATTCCCCTGTCCAGGCACAAGCAAGGGACCACGTTTCCCAAGACCGCATTGGTCAAATCGAACCACAGCCCTGCGGACACGTTGAGTCGAGATCCTGATATGCAGGAAGCGAGATATCACCAAAGGGTGGCGACAATGTGCAGAGTGGACGTGATGGTTGGTCAGACGGGTCGGAAAATTCTAGACTATGGTGATCTGAGAGCGGTTGCGGATGGAAGGTCCCAGGTAGCGATGGAGCACGTCGCTTCGAGAACAAGCGCTGATTGACGCAGTGTCTTTGAATTGGTTAAAGATTCTGAAGTGCCCGAGACACAGTCGTGGTAATGATTCCGATCTATGAAAGAGGCGACGTATTTCGATAACAGGAGCAGTAGGAAAAGGGAATGCCGGTAGCAGAGTCGAGTCGATGGATGGAAGCGCCCGACTCCAACGACCGTGCGCTTTGTACCAAGTGTTGCATGCGGGCTTGGTAACGTGGTCAGGAGATCTAGAGCTACTTCGATTCGTTTCTTTGTTGATGTGCCGACGTCGCGCGGTGACACCGAAGCCGGATTCCAGATTCCAGATTCCAGATGCCCGATGCGTACTCCGTACCGAGTAAGGGTTTCCGGAACGTGCGCGCCTTGGGTCTTAGGGTCCGACGTGGTACGACGAGTACCGCCGCCTGGCCAGAGTAAAAGCCGGTGAAGAAGTAAGAAGAGGGGGCGAGGCCCGGCGTGGAGGCGGCAAGGAGTGAGTGAGGAAATGGAAAAGAAGAAAACGAGTCGAGGCGAGACGATGGCTCAGGATGCAAATACCTAGGCAATGACGGCCAAGGCACATGGGCGGGCGAAAAGGCACTTTCCCAAGTTGGTCCGAATATCAGGTGCCTCCTAAGTACCTGCCTACATCAGGTACTTACATGACTTCATTCTCGGGAGGCGTACTACTCGGTACTATTAGTAGCCAAATTCCTGGCAAGGAGGGAAGGACCCGGAGCTGAATGCCGGGTGGAAGGGGCGAAGCAGCCTAAGCTAGTCCTAAGCTAGTCCTGTCCTGGGGGCGTGGCAGTGGAGGATCCGATGTCTGAACTTTACAACGCCGGACGGGCAGGACCAACTCTCAGGCGCAAGACCCTGCATCCAACGATGCCTCGGCAGCCGGGGCAATGCATGCAAATATTGGCAATGCCCGGTCCGAGAATGGTATAACTGGCTTTTGTTGGTTTCTGGAATTGTTGCACTTGTTGGTGGTTGAGTGGTGGACTGCGACACCTGGGTCCTGAATGCTCAGTGTGAAGGGAAGGAGCAACCGGGTGCGGCAACGAAAACAGAAGTAAAATAAATGAACTGATACGGAGTATAAAACCCGATTATCCACCCAGGGAGAACGTCGCTCCCTTCTGCTGCGCAGCCGGCACTCGGTATTCCGTATACAAAAACAACAACAGACGGGGTTCCCGTGGAAAACTTGGCGGGTACGGAGAACTCCGTGCGTTACGTGCGACGAGTTGATCTCGCATCGTGCAGCAGACCCCAGGCCAGCAAATAAAATGCCCGCTCCCTCCTGATCCCTGCCCACGTCCGCACCATGTCCGTCTCTTTTATGGCCATTTAATTTTTCTTGGCATCAAATTCAACCGTACGTTCCGTATAGGGTATTGCTTTCAAGGTCCATGCCTTTTTCGCCGTGGGTCCCTCCTCCCTCGGGCCATGGCATGGCATCTCACACATGGCACGCAGTCAGTCAGCCAAACCTCATCTCATCCGGCATCCCTCCCTCGGCCGGCAGTCCAAAGGAATAAAACAAGCATGGATTGTCAACGTGTTCTGCCGTGTAACCAACACCCAGCACCACCGCCAGCTGTCTGTCCATGGACCCTCGGAGCAGTCTCAGGAAGTCCAGGCCAGGATATGGTGTCACCGCACCTCCGATCAATGCCTTCAGGACGCCCGGCTGTCACGCATCTCGGGTCCGGGCCACCCTGCAGCTCCTCAGCACAAACCATGGGAAGGAGGAAACAGCTTGGCTTGCATCCCTTTGTGTCACTGGACCTCGTAAAGACTGGTCGGTGCTACTCTGTATGAATACATGGCATAACCACGAGTCCATGACATTGTGGCCCCTCATCAAGCCGCCAATCCTCCGTCTTACCACAAGCCACCAAAAACCAATGAACCACGATGCGCTTCACGCGCCTTTGAATCTTTTGCGTGCTACAGTCATCGGCGTACAAATTCATCATTAGCCCTTTTTGGAGGTGCCTCCAATCGGGACATCATTCTCCACGCACCAAAGCAACCGAGGCGGCATCTCGGTCGCATCAGGTGCGCAAGGCTTACCTGCGGCACGTAAGGCCACGTCAAGTCAAGACCTTCACGTCGAGTTCATGTCCACGATTGCATTTGCAGCACACCGTTTCGGATTCTCTGCTTGTGCGTCAATTTTGTCCGTGTACGGCGGTATATACGTCCAAACGCTGTAGCGGCAGGATGCCGACTTCCAAAATCACCCAAACCCCTACTCCACACATCGCCGTAGTGTCTTGAAGCCACAAGACGCCATCACGCCCCCTCATTGTTGCCGAACCACTCAGGACCCGATGGCTTATGTCAAAACAAGATCAGCAATAGAGGCTCCCTCCATTCTCTCGTCCAATCCCCCCTGAAGAATACACTGCTATCCTCTTTCCCTTGCATTCAGATGAAAAGAAGACGTCTTAGTGATCTTTAGAAACTAATAAGTAAAAAATGAATGAAAGCCCCTGCCATTTCAACGCTTAGCTCGCAAGATACAGCCTACACGCCGAGCTTCCCGACGTCGAGAGCTGTACTCTGTAGTGGGATGAAATTCGTCCGATACATGTAGCTTCTGGCAAGTCCAGCGAGGTAACGCCAATTTTAGACAGGAAACAAGGTGTTCAGGAGCATTGCGCTGGAGGTTTTTGAGAATCTTTGAGCCGCTCAGGTTGTCTGGTACCGCCACAGATGGACGCCTTGCCAGGCAACAAGTTATAGAGCATAGGCTTTCAAGGCGTACACATTATCTGAAAAGACAGTCATCTTACCGCCTCTATCCCTGTGATAATTAATGACAAGATCTTGGCAGGCGTAGAACTTGCAATAGTTCATAGTGTACAGCTAGTTCTTGCCCAACTTGTGCTTGCTCTAATAACTCTTCCAAACTGCGAGGAAATCATTCCTCACGTAGACGATTGCCTGAGAAATAGCCGTGCAGGTATAATTCTAACTTGAGCTGCCATCATCCTTGTCGACTGGGAAGGTTTAGAGGGAACTAAGCGCATAGAACGGAGGAAAGATTAAACAAATCACCCTCCGTGAGGGTGTTCGAGATCCCATGGTCCGTCTCAGCATGAAATCCACTCCCAGACAAAAGGAAGACGGACACAATTCGGAGCCGATTCTCAAACACAATCCGCCCTGCGTGGTACAATAGTTGCAGTTGGACTTGACGCCTTGCCTAGTTAAGTTGTATTGATGCAACGCTGTTCCACCTCCGATGGAGGTACGCTGATTCTCACTCACATGCCGCTGCACGCAGCCCTGATGCCAGAAACGTTCGAGCCCTCGGGTCATCAAACTGGGCTGAACCCTTGCGCAAGACGGTATAAAAGGTCTTGTCTGAAAATGAAGTGATCCGGACAAGTTTCAGTCTTATCAATATATGATACCTAAGAACTGAAGTTCTTTTCCGTTTCCCTACATATTTCTCTGCTTTTCGTCATGGACAACCCTTTCGATTATCTGATCTCCTACCTGTCTCTTGTAAATTCGTACTAACCTCGACTTGCTGGCTAGTTGTGTTATGCTGAACGAGAGAGGTTTTGTCAAGCTTGGAGACGAACGTCCTTGATGGCGTCCTTGAGTATTCGTCATGGAACCGGTGGGCATAGACGATTAAGAAGTTTAAATCAGAAATTCTGTCGTCTTCTCGGAGAAGAAAGCGTTACGGTGAGGCCAAGCTTGGAATGAGTCTTAATGGAGGAGGTGACCTTCCGGAAAATGTTGGCGGGCACAACACAACATGCACTTCGTCCAGAAGCATCAGACCCCATTCCCGCCCCGAGGAACTTCACCATCTTATCAGCGCCGTATGAGCGAGCCCGAGATTGAGTCACCATGGAGTAGGTTGTAACAGTTAAAGTAATGCCAGGGCTGCCGGTGAAGACTGATCCTTTGGAATCAGACGTAAAAGCAACAATGTCGCCTGGGTTGACATTTTCCCATTTCAGAAATTCGTCTCTCCACTGCACGACCGACATGGAACTTGTGCAAAGCACAATCAAGCCACTGTTGGCTCGGCTATTGCCAAGCATCTTACTGAGACTCTTTCTTGGCACAGCCGAATCTAGGTGCAGGGCTTTAGATCAATCTCCAGATTCGAGTCGACCTCGTCTCTGCCAGAAATGGTACTCCTCTTACACAGGGTATCCTAGGTTCAGACATTCCTTTCGGACAGTTCTACATCCTTGCCAGCAACTTCGAATGAGTGCGTAACCTCTTGATCATCGTCGTCCTCTTCATTGAGGGTGTTCAAGAAGACGTCGCCTTCGCTCACGGCCTGGTCGTTTTGCTGTTCAAGACCTTGAGACAAGCCATTTTGCCTGTTTGACGGCAGCGTTCTGGGTACCAAGAATGACCAAACGGCCAATCTTGGGGGCGGCCGAAGGAGTGATTTTTTTTGCGCCCTGGACTCGCAGCGGTCCAATAACAGGGATTTTTGTGCAGCATTTGCGGCATCTCCGGGCCCAGACTTTGCAAGTAATACTTGGTGTTCTTCAACACAAGCTTGACTCTCCCATGACTCTGTGTACAACTCGTGATGAATGATCGAATCTCGTCAGCAGGGGCGTCTTGAGAAAACACTCCAGGGCATTCGGTGGGAGAGGGAGAGATGCCGATGCCGATGCCGACGGAGACAGCGACGTGTAAACTATGCGTTGCGAGGGCGCGCTCGTGCATGAACATCGGTCTCGAGAGCGATTCGGCCATGGTCAGGAAATCATGCGCTAGTTCTGCCAAGGAATTGAAGCCCTCCAGAATGATCCTGCCGCCTGGCCTTTTGCCGATCGATCCAACGCGGACGGTACTGGTGATCCTTTTTGAGGACCGGGTCCGAGAAGTCACGGTCGCCAGAAATGTGCGGGAGCAGCTCTCGAACGGCATGTCTCTTCTGAAAATGATCTAGGGAGAACAAGTCGATGGTTTTGTCGCTGTCGCGCTCGAGGACCGCGTCGACCGGCTCGTCATCCTCCTCAACTTCATCGGTGCTATCGAGGCAGCGAGGCGTGGCGGCACCCGGCGTTGACGCGCGCGAAGACCTCTCTGCCTTCAACGCGCCGTACACGGCTGCCTCTGCCTTTCTCTTTGGCGGCATACCCCATGATTTGCTGCGAGTGTCGGTGCATGTCCATGGTGAACAAACACAAAGTCACAAATGATCAGAGGTACGTACCGATGCGCCACCCAGACGTCAGACGTGGACTCGTAACCCGCCCTGCCGTAACTCACGTCGGAAACCTCTCCCGTGACGCTTGATTTCATAGCCTGCACGCGTCGACTCATTCGCAACAGAATAGACAGCAAGCTGCAGTGATTTCGGGCCCGCACGAAGCCCGCACGCATGAGCAGCCACCGGGACTCAACGTCCGCACTCGTTCAACGAACCCCGCCAAAGCCAGGCCGAGGCCGGGCCCTTTCTTCAGCAACCACCCCTCATCAAACCGCAGTCTCTCGCCAACAGTGAACACGGCTCGGCACCAATCTCGATATTTCTCGAAAGACAAAACACCAAAGTGCGGTGATCATGTGGTAAGCAGCGCAAGATACCCTTGGTCCGTCCCAGCCCCCCGCTAACCCCAGCCAGTAAACACATCCTCAACGCCCAAGTCTCGATCCGGTCGCCATGCTGTACGTCCCCTCTGCCGGAGGAACATGCCGCAAACTTCAGGAAACAGCCAGCTGACCGACGTGAGACCTAGGCCGCAGGTGGTTCGACTGCGCAGAGTGCCACCGCGAGCAAGAAAAACACCCCCTCCTACAGAGCTTCGAGATGGTCTTCGCCTGCAAGAAGTGCAAGAAGTGCTTCCGCAAGGACACGCAGGAATTCGAAGAGAGCGACGAGTACTGCCCGCACTGCGACAATCACTTCGTTATTGATGCCAAAACCCCAAAGGCTGCCCTATCCGTGGAAAGCGAAGACGTGAGAGTCAATAACAAGATGCTCAAGGACGAGCGCGTCCGACAAAAGGATTACCGTACCATGTTCGACCCGGACGAAGATGCCGACAGGCTAGGCTAGGCTAGCTTGGGCGGATTCACTTCTCTCTATCCTTACGAGTGCCTTCGCCTGTGTTTCAAGCGGTGAACAAATCGAAGAGAAAAAGTTCTGGCGTTGGGGAGCTTAATTTATTTCACGTTTATTTTGCCAATGAGGGTCAAGCTTAGACAACGATGCAAGGCAACTATATCAGGCAGCGCATATGTTGATACAATGGCGTCGCGCGTCAAACCATGGCAATGCCCCTAGCAGATAGCGCTTTCCTCTACACGAATTCCATACGTTCGTCATTATTCAGCAGCAGAATCGTCTTGTCCTCTTGTGAGAATTGCGGCACTGCCTGTTCCGGGTGTCCGTCCAGTCTTCTTTTTGGCGGCCTCTTCTTGTTTCTCCTGCTCGATTTCCTTCACATAGCCCTCGATCTCATCAGTCGGCAAAATTTCCATGGCAGCGCCAGGGGCCATAAGAGCAATTTCAATATTCTTCGCGCCAGTCTGGACTACCTCGAGGAGAGATTTGATGGCCAAACGAATGGTAGCCTCTCGGTCCATATCCTCCTTGTAATTGCGTTCCAGAAACTCACGGACAGTCTTGCTCGATCGACCGATGGCATTCGCCTTCCTGTACCAAACAGTGATCAAAATCAGAGTCACTACATGACATTGTCGCCAGGATCAGAAGACATACCATGCTGAGTAAATACCAGACGGCTCAGTCTGATACAGTCTGGGAACCCTGCTGCCGGGATCAAAACCAACAACGAGCGTGCTGATACCGAACGGTCGTACGCCACCAGCCTGGGTGTATCGCTGCTGGACCCCCGCCACATATTTGGTAATATAGTCAATGGTGACAGGGTCCTCCACGGACAGACGGTGAGACTGGGCTTCTAGCCGGGCCTTGTCAACGAGAATTCGGGCATCGGCATTCAGACCAGCAAAGGCTAGGGCAGTATGGGTGTCCAGGAGCTGGATCTTGGAAGGGGTGATCCGAGTATCTTGCAGCTTCATGGCCGATCGCTTCTCGCATCCGAGGACAACTACATCCTTTCCTTTAACGCCAACAGCACAAGTTCCTACCCAAAAGGGTTAGTTGCCGCGAATCCCGGAACGAGCAGCTCTTCTCCCGGTGCCACGCGAACACACCTCTTTTCACAGCTTCCCCAGCATATTCGACCTGGAACACGTGTCCGTCCGGGCTATTGAAGTGTTAGATGGCAATGACAGCTTGTAAAGTTGGCGGCTGATTTCGAACCTGAAGACTAGAGGCGGAGACAAGAGTTAGCCGAGCGAACAAGTGAAGCAATGCCAGGGGACGTAAATACCAGAGAGAGCTCTGTCGTAACCGGAAGCCATCGCTGCAAGGCAAGATCAATTGTCACGTTTTTGCAGTGCGTCTTTGTACCTCGTACTCCAGATGCCAAGAATCTATGCGAAACCAACCAAAGAGGACGTTGTGTTGGGAGGAGCAAGACGTCACCGCAAATGAAGGACGTATGAAGTCCAAAGGAAGCTTCGTCAGACTGGGAGCCTGCCTGCCTGCGACGGCCTGACTGACTAGCTGGAGCTACGGACGGGTGGCCCGTGGGCGGATTAACTCGTGCACCGGCGGCCGACATACAGTGCGATGGAGCTATCGGGGCCACTAGACACTGTATCACTGCTATCCTGAATCAACGGTTGAGCTTTTATAAGTACACAGTCGCGTTGGTCAAGGGACGTTGCTGTCTGCCAACAGGTCAATTTGGCGCGTAAATTTCTCGAGTCTTTCCCGCCATGTGCTGGGCTGTTCTCAGCCCAAGGACCAAGTACAGTAGTCAGTCTATTCTGTCAAGTCTTGACGTCTCAGCACATCATTTGCAGATATCGCCAGCCGCCACGCGCAACATGCAATCGCCTCCAAGAGGTGAAGTGCCGTATTTATCTATACGGTGAACAGGCGTGGGTGGCTTGGATATTTTGAACAAAGCGCCGCGATGGAAAATCCCCAAAAGGTCGTCCTGGCCTCAGTATAAGCCATCGCATCTTTGAAATCCATTGGAGAGAGTGACAGAGAAAGCGTAGCTCACCAAACCAATGACTCGAGACAAAGCCCGTCCGTTCGTCAGTCCAAATAGGCAAATTCTCTGGCGGAACAATACCCTAGCACACACGCCGTCCCGAACCCAACCAACAACCACTGCGTCGAGAAGAACCGAATCGCCTCCTTTGCCCCCCTCACAGCATGGATGGATCTGATGCATCATGTCATTGCGGACACCGGAGAGCACTGAACAGCGGATCTAAGTCAGGCCAATTGACGCCCCGACTTCCCGTATGGGGAGGCGTCATGCCGCTGGTGATAATTTCCGCCAGGCCCTTGCGGTCTTCTTCACATGCGAGTGATCATCCATACTTTATTTGCCTTGGCTCGGTTTAGACGTGTGCTAGAAACACGGCGAGACCTGGAGGGGGAAAAGGCCCCTGGTTATGCGAAGTGAATGACACTTGATGTCATGTCCTTTCAGATGATCCATCGTCACCGTGAAACGGTACTATAGACAAGGGCCGCCATGCGGCGCATAAACGATCTAATGGTATATATACAATGTCCTACCCCTCTCAGCAGCGCCTGGCTGATATTCGTACATGCCAGTGGTATCAACAAGGCAGAAGAAAACAATGTATGCAGTTCGCAAGTTGAAAAAATAAAAAAAATAAAATACAATAAAATAAAAGCAAACACCATGTCATCCATCCTCGCACCTACCCGGCTCAAAATTCCCGCGCGCATATGGCATCGGGAAATCACAACGCTGACACGTACCAGTGGGCGGTATCCTAGGTAGCGCTCATGTCGATTACTTTACACGCCCTGGTCGGTCATCAAGCGGTGATGGCGGGAGCTGGCTCCATCGGCAAGGCAGTCCGCGACTCGCCCGCGCCCGCGCCTGCGCCAATTGTACTTGGTGCTGGAGCAATCTCGGGATCCGGTATTTGTATGTCAAGCTGGGTGGAATCAGGTGGTCAGGTATGAGAGCTCGACGATCTTTTAGCAGCAATGTATTTTTATACTCACAGACATGTACCCTGTTTGTCGGAGCGAAATCAACTTTGGTGGAATCGTGCCCTCCTCTGATGCCATTGTCTTTTCCATCTCTTGGTTCCACTTCTCAATCCACTGTTCGAGATTATTCAGGCGTGATTTGGCAGCCGTCAGACCGAAATCATCCCAGAGCCAGCCAGTCACGAGCCCCAGGACGCTGTCGAGCACGTTCCGAAAGGTGAAGGGATCGAATAGGGGTATCAGCTCTCCGTTCAGCTTCTCAATAACGCGTCGAAACTCTCGCTCGGAAATGCCAGCTGGGTCCAGGATTTCAGGATATAAGTTGGAAAAAGTCGGGGCCAGGTCACCGGCCACAAGCCAGTCTCTCTTGACACGGATTATTCGCGTAGTCGCATGTTCGACGGAGTCGAGAGGAACATGGGGGTTCAGATGGGGAAAGCATGGGTGCTGAGGGCCCCATTCCTCGCCTGCGTCTGGTTGTACATCCTCCCCCATGATCGAAGAGTTGGACGAAGAGAGGGCAGGCCCAATGCCGTCCGCGGCGGAAACGTTGGAGACTCGAGGGTCCATGACATCTGGGCCGCTTTCAAGATCCCTGGAGTATGGTCTCCTGGCATCATCATTCTCCGGCGCCATGGTCACCTTCTGCTCGCCTTTACTTTTTGCCGAATGGCGAAGAATAGTTGTCTGTTCAGGTTGTCGGTCGTTGACTTTTTCCGCCCTTGGTCTCGAAGACGTTGACGTGCGGTGCGCGGGACGGTTTCCCTCGTGCGATGCTCGAACGGACGACGGAAGACCAATTCTATGATCGCTTGTCGCGCCGAGTTCGATTTGGAAACTCGCACGCGCAGACTGTGAATATCTCGAGCGTCGCTGTTCAGATACAGTCAGGAGCGGGTAGTCGCCAGCAGCAGTTGCCACGGAGTCTGGTATATCCAACAATGTGTCGAGCGCAGGGTGCTTCAGAGGCAACGTGGGAATAGGCGGTGACGATGGTCGGCGCTTTCGAGGCTGGGGAATTCGAGGGGTAGAGTTGGTCGGATTCCAGAGGCGGGCTGCAGGAAGCCGCTGAACTCGTGAGGCAGGATCACTTGTCGCGCTGGGGCGACGGCGAAAGGGTGACTGGAGAAGGCTCGGCTTATAAACTTGACCAAGCGCAGAAGGTTGCGTCGCGTTCAAAGCTGCCGCGGCTGCTACTGCAGGCTCTGCGGCGGGTTGGGATGAAGCCGGGGGACAGACAGGTTGCTGGGAATGAGGTCTTGGCTGACGGTCCGCCGTCTGATCCAGGGCGGGCGTTTGTGTCGAGTAGAAAGAGGGCGGAATTGGGTTTGGCGTCGTGAGAGAGTCCGGATCGGCACAGCCGTGAGGCGGGTGCTGACATGGAAGGCGCCCGGGGCACTCAGGGGTGGCCAGGGAAGCCGCGGCAGGCCTGGGGCGGGCGGTGGATGCTGTGGTGGGAGAAGCCCGTGGTGGTGCGGGCGGTGGTCCTCGGCCGATTGGCGCGTTGGCATTGGCGTTGGCGTTGGCGGTGGTGCGCCCGTCCGGGTCCTGAAATCGGGATTGAGGTTTTCGCCGCCAGAACGGCCACAAGACGGATGACATGCGGAGGATTTGACAGGTTGGCAGTCTCACCAGCGTCCAGAGACCGGACACGGAACATTGAAGCCAGCTCCCACCGCCAGTGGCTCATCCGGTGGACTCGACCGCTGTGGGCTGGTCCGCTGAGCGCAACAGCGGGGCTCGGGCTGGGTCCAGAAGTCCCCTCAGTTCCAATCTCGGGGCGAGAGCGAGGGCGATGCCATGGAGAACGCGTCTGGTCCAGGAGTGTGGTGACTCGGGCGAGACAATTTGGACGAGGTTTATTGGGATGCCAGGCCTATAAACGGCTCGATACGTGCCTAGACCCAGATGTGCGTGGCAACGACCCAGGTAGCATCCGATGTCCACGGGCATCACATAAAACCACAAGGAAAGGCGCGGCGTTGGGGGAGGTTGTGAATCACGGCGGGCCGCGTTCCAAGCCCCTGACAATTGACAGGCCCCGTTGCGGCGTTTTGGCAGCATCGCCGGCAGTCTGGGCTGGTTGGTTGGTGGTTGGTTCGGTCATCCATCTCTGCATCGTGTGCCTCGACAGCCCGTGACGGGATACTCCGTGCTCCGTCGTCTGTATAGCGTTACGTATTCAGGTGGTTCACACATTTCCCCCGGCCAATTGAACGTCGAGTTTTCGCACAGGTCCAATTTCAGAGGATCCCGGCTTCTGCACAAAAGCATGTACGAAGGACGCTTTGTGGGTTTCCTAGGGCTTGCGGCGCGTGGCGTGCGTCACGATAAAGTCTGACCGCACCGAGCCCCTTGGGGGAAATCGATTCGACGTGGTCCCGGTGTGGAGGAGAAGAAAACGTCAGGGCTGGTGTGATGGTGATGCCGTTCGTTTGGCAGCGCCATTGATACGTGGTCCGGGTAAAAAAGTGTGCGGTTTGTACGGAGTATGGAGTAGAGGGAAATGAATGTCCGACGCACGCCAGCCAAATGATGATGCCTGGCATCAAGTACGGTAGCAGTTGTGATGCCATGGAAGTAGTACTTGAGAAGCCATCAAGGTGAGGTAGCGGCCAAGGTACCTAGCACCTGGATGCTTGCCCGTATCTAAGTACCTGAGTACCTTGAACTCGTAGGTTCTCACGTAGGTGCCCAAGTCGGTACTCCGTACGCAATGGAAAATCCGCTGAGTCAGGAACATGCGGCCACGGAAGTTGCTTGGCATCTCAACCCCGGCCAGCGGTCCCGAGGCCAGACGACATCGATTCCGTAGTTACATTGTTATAATCTGTACTCCGTAACCATCCATGATCAAGTTCCCAGGTTGCTACCCCAGATTGTCGGGAGGGGCACTGGAGCGGAGCCGCCCCTGCGAGCGCTGGGAGCGCTGGGAAACACTGGGGCCGGCAGGCACCAACCACTTGGGCCACCAGTGACATGCCGGCGCATCAGCGATTCAGCACTAATACCGGACGTAACCACCCGGTCCTGGCCTCCTAGGTGCCCATCCAGTCACCACACCCTTCTGGGTTACGCCGACGCGGCTCCCTTTTCTCCATGCCAGCCTTGGACTTGAATCTTCTTCTTCGAAGCCGCTTCGTCTTTCCACGCTCGCCCATGCTCTCATCGTCGTCCACTACCCCCTCTTCTGCCCGACGAGTCAGAGGCGAGCGCAGCAATGCCCGACGACATCCCACGCACATCAACGCTGCCCCAGGTGTCAGCGTCAACCTCCAAACATCCCCCGGCTGCTTCCAACACCCGCAACGACGTCACCATGTGCGCCAAGTCGACAGCTTTTGCCACGGGCATCAATCCCACCAGTTCCCCTCCCGGGCATGCCGTGCGCCGTTCCAAGACCGCGGACGAGGGCTCCTTGCCGCGACGAAAGTCCTATACGAGCAGATCCGAGGCATCACTCGACGGCATGCTCTCCGGCCCGGCCCGGCGGGGCTCCAACTTCTCTGAATACAGCCTGAGCGAGGCACGCGATATACTCAACCCCAGAGCCCAGGCCAGTCAGGAACTGCCAAGTCCGGAATCCTCGTCCCTGGCTTCGTTGTCGTTGGCGTTTGCTTTGCTGCCGGCCATCGCGGGGGCCCTGTTCAAAAATGGCCACTCCGTCATCACAGACGTCATGCTGCTCGGTCTGTCTGGCGTCTTCCTTCACTGGTCCGTGACACAGCCATGGTACGTCATGACCACGATTTGTTGGCAGAGGAGAGATTTTTTTTTCTTTTTTTTCTTTTCTTCGTGTTCCCAACATGCCTGACACATTGCGACGGCTAACTGTGCTTTGTCGTCAGGACCTGGTATCATGCAGCCCAGCAAGTTCGCATACACCAAGAGGCAGATGCAGAAACTGCCGTCGAGGACGATGTCCATTACCCTACGTCTGCCCACGCCACTCGCAAAGCTGCCGACCTGGACAACGTCCCTGAAGAAGAGGAGGAGGAGGAAGAGAAAGAGGAATCGCGACACCAAAATAACTCGCCGACGGCGGCGCAATCCAAGATGGGAGGAGACCTTGGCGGCACAACGCCCCAGCAACAAGCAGCTCTCCGAGAACTACACGTGCACGAGGTGTTGGCCCTCCTTTCGTGCTTCCTGTTACCCCCCCTGAGCGCATACCTACTCCATCACATCAGGGCGCAACTCAGCCGACCATCAGAAGGACTCGTCTCCAACTACAATCTCACCATCTTCCTCCTCATATCTGAGCTGCGGGCCTTTTCGCATGCCCTCAAGCTCGTACAGTCGAGAACTCTTCACCTGCAAAGAGTCATCCACGGGAACCCTTTTGCGTCGCCGGCCCACACAGGCGCACAGATCGAAGACGTGACGGAGCGACTGAGCAGACTCGAAGCACGATCCCTAGCCGACGAATTCGTCCGACAGCACAGCGACGGTCTCGACCCAGGGCAGGCAGAGCAAAAGGCCACCATGGCGCGGGATGTGCGCAACGCGATCCAGCCGGAACTCGACGCGCTCAACCGAGCCGTCCGGCGATACGAAAAGAAGGCAACCATGCTTCAGTACCAGACGGATTCTCGATTCCTAGCGCTCGATTCGCGAATGGACGATGCAATTGCGCTCGCCGCAGTGGCCGCCAAGAACAGTAGCTCCAAGACGGTCCTCACGAGGGCAACCGAGGCAATTGTTGCCATTCTCCTGCTCCCCTTTCACACCATTCTCCAAGCCATCACGCTACCACTCCGGCCGCTCCTGGCTTTGATCCATCTCACGAAGAAGGCTCCAGGGGCCGCGGAACCAGGCCGCGCGACGAGGAGCGCCAAACAGTCGTCACCCAGATACAGCGGCGACAGGGTGCCGCCTCGTGTCATGAAGAGATGAAAAAGTACTCACTGTAATTCACCGGGGGCCACGGGCGCGACGAAAACCCATGCAGGCAGAACATTTTGTTTCCCAGCGTCCCAGACGCCTGGGCTTCCTCCACCCCTTCTTGTCCGCCCCTCTTTGTTTTTATCTATTCACGAATTACATCCCCCGGCCTACATGCGACGGGTGTACTGGGAGAGTGATGATGATACCACCGGAAATGATGCTGGAGACTTGGAGTAACAGGGGTATTCTTTTATTTATTTTTTTGACGGCCACCACGACGAATCATTTTTGGGAACGGGGGTTTGGGGGGCTTTTTTCAGTTTAAAAAAAAAACGTGGCATGTCGCATTGACAGCTTGCCAACAGCCACCGTAGACTAGGAATACGCATTCCCATTCGTCATCTACATCAGCAATCTCGCTCGGGTGTCTCCCCCTCGAGCCATTCATTCATTCATCTTGTCGGTCCAGGAACCCAAGAACCGGCCCGCACAGACCATGCGGTCTTGGTACGGCCATGCCATGATGATTCATGATTCCATGAATGAGCGCCCTCAGTCCCCAGGCACATACGTACGTGCATGGACAGCTAACTACATAGGACCCTTGGATTGCGCCACGTCGGCTGAAGAAGAGCCTGGCCCGAGACTGGCGTGTCTCGGGGAGAGGAGGAGGAGCGCGCCCGCCGCACAGACGATGTGATGTGGTGGTGCCTCGATAGTTGTGGCGTCGTCGTCTGTTTCTGCGGCTGCATTTTCGAGGGGCCGCATACGGAGTGACGCCGATGCGATGCTCGGATAGGCCATGACTTCTGTTCAGTCACTTGAGTGCTGCTTCGCTCACTTACACCGTTACAGGTCGTACGCGGCCACGGGGCAGAGCGTTTCCCCCGGAAGCACACAGGTCGTGCGCCCAGTAAGCACGTCGTCGTGTTGCACGTGTGTCCCGGGCTTGCGGATCAGCAGTACTCCGTAGTCGCGGCTCTCTTCTGTGCTCTCTTCTAGACTTGCATTGTCACGGCGTCAGTCGGAGCTGACTTTGGTCTCGCGTCGAACTCGGACTCGAGGCTTTGTGTGGCGGATGCACATGGGCGTTGCCGCGTCGGCGCAGGCCCAAAGAAGACGGCGACGGAGAGGGCAGGGGAAAGGGAAAGGGAAAGGGAAGGGGAAAGGATATAAAGAGCCTAGGGGCGATAATTGTGATGGCTGCGCGAGTCACGCATTGCATGTTGCTGGGAGGAAGACATGCATGTATGATGGTGATTTGCTGCGCCGGACTGGACGCATCCACGCAGTCAAGTCACGTACGGAGAGGCGCAACCATTCGACGTCTCCCGCGTGCCTCGCAGAGCCATGTGATAACTGACGACGACTCCCGCCGGTCAACGTTGACCGTGACCGGCGCCCCCCCCCTCGCGTCGACGACGTAGTGTGGTGTGTAAGGACGCAACGAAACAATGCCAGAGAGAAAGAAGAGAGTTTCAAGTAGCGCCAGTCCCAACTGGCCGACCTGGGACATGGCACAGCTCGCATGACGGATGGCGTCGGATGGCAAACCAGATTGGCTGGCGACAAAAGGTTCAATCTGATGAAACCTTGCAGCGGCTGGAAATCACAGCCCAGCCGCCATCGGGGGTCGCGCACGGAAACGGGCACCAGGCCAGGTTTCATCGGCAGTATTCCTGATATTGGATATTCTTCAAAGCCTTGTCGGTCCTCGGTCCTCTGTCCTCTGTCCTCTGTCCTCTCAGGCCGAGGCATAACTAGCTGGCGCAGCTCAAAGTTCACCATGCCGAGTGTCGCACAGTCGCGGCCTGGCGCATGACACGGAAATCATATAGCCTGCTGAGGCACATCCGTAGCGCGTCACTTGATTACTTTTGTGGCCGTCGACTTTGTTTTCGTGCGTGTGACAAGAGAGAGTACACAAGGTCCGTACGCCGGACACAGAACCAAGCAAGCAAGCAAGCCAGCCAGCCCTCGACGTGATACTCCGTCCGTATAGACGACCGTGATGGCAATTCGAGCTACACAGCCCCGGTGAACGGTGAACCCTGGGGCTCGGAGAAGGGCGTCATCGGCTCGTGTATCCCGCAGATTGGACACCACAGCATACACTTGGCCACGAGTTCCCGTGCCGTCGCCGCCAGTCACCACGGGCCGACGGTCGACGGCGGCCTTGGGTGGCATCGCATCGCCTCGTAGCGCGTTCTCCGGTGGGTCGGTTTAATCTTGCAACGCGTTGCCGTGAACATGTTGAAACTGGATCGAGGTACGTATTCCGTTGAGACGGCGTGCGGATCCAACAATGCCATCGGGAAGACGGACGGGATCTGCATTCGCAAGTACTACTCCGTGGTACTCCGCGACAAGACGTGGTGTCAAGTCGTTGCTGGTATCCGCACTCCGTCCCATCTCACGTCCACGCCTCGCTCGACATGCACGGCGCCCGAGTTGGACACGCGGGCGGCCGCCCTCTCAGCTATCAATCCATGCAATACGCCAACTCCAAAAGATTACCCCGGCCGCTGCCGTCTTGGTTACGAGGCGGCGGTGTGCGTGTCTTGTTTGTGAGGAGGGAGTCGTCAAACCTCTGGGCAAGTCTGGTCCCGTACACATCTGGCCAAGACGTGCTACTACTTGGTAGTTGTTCAAGTCTTCCTCATTCCTCCAGAGTACATACCATTACCCATCCCCATCCTCGTACGGAGTACACGCACACTCCAACGCCATCCGATGCAGCAGTCCACATCAATTTCTCTCACACGTCCTTCTTCTTCTTTCCGGTTAGCCCCATGACCGCAGACTGACCGCGTAAAATCACTGCCAGGCAAACTGACCTGACCTGACGCGAGGCTGCTGGTTGCGGAACTGCTGAAGCTTCAGCTGCTGACAAATGAAAATAAAGGAGGACACTGCCACTGCCGCAAGAGGGTACGGAGTCCTGCTCCGTATAATAAGAAGGGTTGGTTGTGTGAAAAAAAAAAAAAAGCGCATCACATCGGCAGCATACCCCTGCGAGACTCGTCTCCTCGTCCTCGACTTCCCAGGGGCCAGAACTCGAGACATTACTCAGTACTCCTTATGCAGATGGATGTATACGTAGCCGTGGCCTTGCTTCTTCGTCTCTGCCCTGCAGGTCTTCTCCATAGCCAATGCCGTATCATTGTGGCAGCACACGGAGTACTTGAGATGATTTCCCCCCTCTCACATCTGGATCTGGTTTTGCTGATGTTGGATTTGGAGACTGCAGGTGGTTCGTCCCAGAGAATACATACGCATGTTTCTCCATGACCACGTCGTCCATGTACTCCGTCTTGTTCTCCATGCATCGTGCTTGTTCTCCAACAACTGCATTGATTGATTAAAATGAGAAGATCCGACTGCGTCGTGGGGATTGCCCACTGAGACGGACGTGGAACACCTCAGCTGACAGATTGTCACTCTGCCTGAAAGCATGCGTAAAGAAGTCCGAATCCTTGTACGTGGTCCAAAATCTTAATCTTTGCCAAGGTGCTGGTTTGATGCCTGTTGCATCTCTCTGCGAGGCCGAGGCTCTCACTCCGCCTGCACCAGCCATCGCCATCAAGTCACACCACATGGCGAAGGCGACCAAAGGATTCGGTCGCCTTCGAGTCAGCTACTAATCAAACGAGCCTCCATTCCGGAGTGGATGTCACACTAACCGCAAGATAAAAATCGGGTGGCGCATACGGCTGTACCTGAGCTAGCCATCGTGAAGAAGAGGTTAAGCGGGCGAACGGCGTGGCAGCCAGCGACCAATCCAGCCAGAGCAAAGTTGAGGGTCCTTCTCGGCCTGCCTTGGCCTCGACCACGTAGCCATGCGAGGTTTCGTCAGTGTCCAAGGTTATGTCCGTACTTCCTGCCCCTGCATCCCTGCCGCTGGCGCCATGGCTGGGCCATGGATGGGTATATTACCCATCGGTTCAGCCCGGAGGACTGCTTGCCAGCATCGCCTATTATACGGAGTATGGGAAGACAGCTCCACGCTTCCGACCCAATGGCATATGTACATATGTACGGATACTCCGAGCCCGTACGTCGGTCGGTACGGATTAATTTAGGACGTCCTCCGTACGACTGATTCGAACAGGCCCGGCTCCTTTCTGGGAACTGCCCCTGTCCTCGCTGATCTGGGTTGGCCTAGCTCGCCCAGTGAACGCGGTGCCGGCTGGGGCGTATTGATCTGGTGGTGCCCGCTTGATACTCGAGACACTCCGTGGAGGAGCAGGTGTCTGTCTCTCGGGTGTCTCTGATCGTGGCCTTTCCCTCTCCCCGCATACCGGCCAAATAACAAGCTTCCTCAGCATCATCAGCCCAAGCCCGCCACGACATGTGAACTGTGAACAAGCCGCCGGGCACCGGGCTTTCCATCCATCATTGTGTAACCTGCGAGTAGGACGCACCATTAATTAGTTAGCATGTGGACAAATGAGCTGCTCCACACGCTCCGTCGATGTCTTCGTCCTACCACCCACCGTCTATGCTCATGCCCGTCATCCACATGGTGCCCTCCACTGGAACCCCAGCCGGGAAATTGGCCCTACAACCCGTTGGCCGGCTTGACTGGCTTTAGTGTTTTGTCTCCGACCACTGGCCCGCTTGAACCGGGGTTGTGTTCACCTCGATTTGTTCGTCTTGACGCTTGGATGACGCCAATGCAGTCCATTCCTAGATTCCAGCGACAGTCTTTTACTGACCTGTTTGCTCTTGTTCTTACTCTGGACATGACCATGCGTCCGAGAAGAACTGGCAAGTCACTCGTCACCCAGCCCTTCACGCGCCGCTTGGCGACGGGTGAAGACTTGAGACTTGTCTTTGTTCTGTCACGCATGGTCAACCTCCAATTCTCCCTTCCGCTTTTCCCTTGCGCTCCGCGATCTTGATGCAGCCGTTTCTTTTGCCTATCAGCTGCAAGATTGACGAGTGCTACACGCCTTCCTTTTCCCCTTGGACCTACATGCCGATCTTTCACGTGTCGTGACTCGTCTTCTCGCTCGTCTCGTTGTCTGCAACCATTCCGTGGAGTAGTTGTTCTCTCCTACCATACTGTCCGCAGAGCATATCGTCCTGCCAAGTGCCATTAGCAGCAAATACATCCTCCAGAGGGCGTAATTACCAGTCGCTGCTTATTTCCTTCTGTTCCGCCTTTTGGACGTTCCGCTGAGTTGTCTTCTGTTCTGCCGCGCTGCTCGTCCTCTCTTTCTTTCTTCATTTCCTCCCCCAAATCGCGGACGACGCCTCTTGATCATGCTTCACGGGCTCGGGTAAGCCGCTGTGAGCATTACCCGACCAACTCTACCTTGTCTTAGTCTCTGAGCATCTCAAATATTTCGACCCAACCATGCCGCCCAAAGCATTACGCTTGTGGGCTTTGCTGTGTTTGGCCTTGGTCGTCCAGTTTGCAGTTTCGCATAGTTTTGCTATTCTTAAGAGAGATGACGGTTCGCCGCCCACGACTATACCAGCTTCATCGTCACCAGCACCGTCGGAGACCAATTCCGCCGGACAGGGCGGTGATGGAAAAGATCCAAAAGAGACAAAGGAACGTTCGCCTTCGTCGTCGCCAAGTCGCGCAAGTGGCACTATTACCGACGCGTCAATTTCCACACACCGTCCGACGAGTACTCCTCTGCCCACCATTGCAACTAATGGATCCTGGGACAACGCCACATTCTTCAACGGTACGAGATTCCCCGTGGCGCGACTGACGGGTTCTCTCCTCAATGCTGACTCTTCTAACCAGCAACGATACCGAACGGTCAGCTACCACTACCGCCCCAACTTACTCCTGGCTGGGGCGTCGCAGGCATCACCATGCTCGTGACCGGAGGGACTTATACACTTGTTGGCATAAAGAACAGATGGATCCACACATTCTTCTCAACTGCATATATGACAGCCCTTGGCGTAGCAGTGTTGATCGTGTACGTTATGAATGTTCCCGTAAGTAACGCGCTGCAAGGTGGTTACGTTGTTGCTGCGATCACGTCAGGTTGCGCCGTCGGCGCTGCAGCAATGTTCTTCAAGGAACTTACCGAAGGTTTCGGATGTGCTCTCGGCGGATTTTGCATCAGCATGTGGCTTCTCTGTTTGGTTCCTGGCGGACTCTTGCAAACAGTTGCCTCGAAAGCCATATTTATTGCCGTGTTTACAGTCGTTGGATTTGCATTCTACTTCAGCCGATGGACACGGGACTGGGCTCTGATTATCATGATATCCTTCGGGGGTGCTACAGTCACTATTTTGGGCATCGATTGCTTCAGCCGGGCTGGACTCAAAGAATTCTGGGCCTATGTATGGGACATCAACGACAACCTGTTCCCCCTTGGGGCGAATACCTATCCCGTGACAAAGGGTATCCGAGTCGAGACAGCAGCTGTGGTAATCATCTTCTTGGTTGGCATAATTTCGCAAATCAAACTGTGGAGAATTGTCCGTCAGAAGAGAGAGAAGAGGGCTGTCGAACGCGCCGAGGATCAACGCAATTTGGAACATGAGGAAGAACACGTTGGACGCCATATTGAAGAGATGAATGCTCGGGAACGGCGGAGATGGGAGCGAGCATATGGAGAGGGGAGCGTCACAGAGTCGCGCGCAACCGAAATTGAAGATGCGGGGAGCGAAAAGAGACTCCGTTCCAGCTATGTTGGATCAAACCAACGTAATTCTGGCGAGGTCATCGAGATGGCAGACATGTCAGAGTCGGATTCATCGAGAAATGGACAGTATGTACTGATGACGACCGAGGGCACTGGCGAGGGAAAGATCACAGTTCGGGTGGCTTCCGAGGACGGCCCTGAGTCAACGACGGATGTTGAGGAAGAACGCCTGGACGAAAAGGGGCCCTCAAGGATCGAAGGGAGGGTGCACACAGACGGGAAACGACACTCGAGGGGATCCACGGCTGGTAAACGGGCCTCCCATGCCCACAGAGCAACGGCCGTGCCAGAAGTGGTACCATTGCCGTTTACTATTCCTGAAGCAGCTGATTCTGCGTCCGAGGGAGACCGATCTTCGATCGCGACCTTTGCAGATGATGTGGAGGGGACAGCAGCAGAGCCATGGAAGCACAGGTCTCTCGCCAAGAGGCTATCTCGTGGATCTGTGAAACTCTTGCGAAGCTTTTCTCAGAGATCCGGTCGTACAGGAGGTGTAGGAGGCGACTTGACCCCCGATACAGGTGACAGCACCGAAGAGCTTGTTTTGGAAAAGGCCTGCAGACGCGAGGATGACGAAGAATCCATGGCAGCTACTATTGATGATGAAAGCGTCAGCGGAGGAAATTGTCATTCAGCAATTGGTGAGGATGAGCTGCGCAACTCCCACGAGAATGACGAAACGAATGGACGGAGCATTGAGATTAACGCTCAGCTCGGTAAGAAAGACGACATCCCACGACAGGCTGTCGATTCGGCGAAGCCCAAAAGCAGCTCTGGTCCAACGTCAACAAAAGCAGCCTCCAGCCCAGTCGTTGGTGCTCGCGAGCCGGTTGAGGATACCGCAACGCCTAGAGACGTATTACCAAAGCCGGAGGACGAGACTGCGGAATTCGATGGCGAACCGGCGGCCGATTCGCGTCCACCCGAAGCTTCGGAACCAGCCAAGTCGGTTGCAACAGTTTCATCGATACCTGTCAGCTTGACCAAGGATCGCCTGCCTAGGTCGTTTTCAAAAGCCGCCATGTCGTATAGGACGAATGAGTGGGCAAAGCACTTGAGCAACGCGGAGTGTCCCGAACCTGATGCCCTTCAAGTGGGCACTGGAGGAGCGAGCGCCGAGGCTCAAGACTCCGGCGAGAAAGCTGCTCCCGTTAATGTCGAAGAGCTCCAGACGACAGCTACGGACGGGGCTCCCGCGCCGGCTACGAGGCGACCAATTTCTCAAGCTTCGGACGTGGTGAAAAATACTCACATGAGCAAACGCTCCTCAAAACAAGAACAACCACCTTTACCCACACGTCTCACACAGCCGACACCTCCCACAGCATTAGAAACGTCCGTTGAACAGCGAACATCACTATTGCCCGTCGTAGCACCAGCAACTCTGCCCCGGAAGTCTTCTAGCTTTCGGCATTCGCTGTCTAATTGCATGCCCATCGCCGAGGAGAACGCGTCTCAAGCTGCAAATTTACCCATCGTTCAAGATGAAGCATCTGAGGAGCAGCAGCAGCAGCAGCAGCAGCAGCAGGACCCAGCTTCTCGCAACGCGTCAGCAATTGTTCTAGACAGTCCTCGGGCAGCAGCAACAAACCGATATCCAACGCCAGGCGTAGTTTCGTATTCGAGTCCTCAAACTCTCATGGGGCAACGCGAAATGTTCCTCCGAAACAAGTCTCAGGGAAGTCTGTTGAGCACACCAGAAACCGCGAATCAGGGACCTGGCAGCGACGCCGGCTCGCTTTTCAACTACCCAATGTATGCCGCCGCCCTCAGCGTGCCCGATCCTGACGATGTTCCTCTTAGCCAGCGAAAGGAGATCATGCGCCAAGGCAGCTTCATGTCCTTGTCGCGCTCGCCGTCCCAATCTGTAATAGCATCGGCACAGCCCACGTCCGCCTTTGAGAGGTCTGAAAGCGCCGTCTTCGACTCCCATCAACCCAAGAGAGCATCTACGCTTCCCACACAGGCTGCACGAGAGGCCCAGCTGGCCAGTTTCCGGCAATCCGTGCAGCATGAACTCCGTTCGGGAACACCAATCATGATGCCTTCGGGGCGTGAGCCTTCATTCAAGTCGTCGACTTTATTAAGTGGCGGTCGAGAGGCAGAAGTGCAGCGCAACATCGAAATGCAACGGAGTGTTCTGATGGGACAGAAAGAGGCAGAAGCTCAACGCAGAGAGATGCAGAGACGGGAGAGAGAATACGCAGACCGCGCATTTGACGAGCGGATGCGAAACGGAGACATGCTCGACGCTCACCGAGAAGCCATGCGCAAATTGCAGAAAAGTGCTCGCTAAGCAGGAAGCGAGGCAGGAAGGCGCCTTGTTGCGCGCCTTCCCTTACCGTGCATGACCATGACGATTGTTTACGGAGCATAAACACCGGTCTTTTCGGATGTTGAAAGCGCACAAGTAGTAGAAGCAAAGCTGCTCTCGATTTTTTTATTCTATTCATTTATTTTGTTTTATTTTTTTGGTCTAGGTTCTGACGAATTTCCAAATTGTTCTGATACCATGGCGCATTGGAAGGGGTTTTGATATTTGCAAGCATTCATTCTTTTGACTTGTCGAGTGCATCGGCACATGGGAATGGTGCCATGTGGCACATGGGCCAAAACCGGAGTTTACTTCCCTGCTGGATGGATACATGGATCCTATCTGATAATATATGCACAATGTTAATCCACGAGCACTCGGCTCGTCGACCTTGAAGGTGTTTAATTACTCTGTAGAGAAGACCTCATTCTTTATCCGCATCCGTCTTACTCCGCGGCATATAGCCAAGGTATATAGTGTGTGGCTCCCGAGTCCAACGACACAGTTGAAAAGCACATTCTTACCTCCTTCGTCTGTTGTCCGTCGTCCGTCGTCTCGCAGTAACACCCATTTGTCGCTTGCACCGCCTCGCGCTAGCTTGGGATAGTCTCAGTCTTTCGCGACACCGCGGTCTGAACCTGAACTTTCCCAGCCACCTCTTTCCTGGCAATGCGTAAAGACTCGGGTTGGCCGGACTTGGCTTCATCGCCACACCAGACCGTCGTTTGGACATTGACCTCAGACAGAGCTGGCGCGTGATAGGTCTTCGTCGACGGCGGACCTGACTGAACTGGATCGAGATGTGATACAATCTCGACGTTTGGCTGGCTCTTGTTCCCCACGAACCATCCTCGCAGAGATGCCGGCACAGCAAGGTTGTAGCGAGTACGGAATAGGAAGGGGTTGTGGCCAGGGAGTCTTCTTTTACGTGGAGTGGCTTGCTCAGTCTCTGTGAAGAAATGAGCATCTGGTCGTCTCGGTTCGCCATTCAAGGGGCTTCCAGGCCCCATGGACACAGTTTGGCTGGACGGATTGGATGAGGCAGGAGCCCCGGCCTTTGACGGCAGGCTGTGTCATGTCAGCGTCGGCACAAGGTTCTTGGGGTGAAAAGAAAAGAGTCCTGGAAACGCATTACCTGGTTAGCATTGGCTGCAATCGACTGGATCCAAAGGAGTTTCCGCTTGTAGTGACCGCCTTGTCGGGATCATACTCGTTGTGTAGAACCGGGAAGATGGCGCCCAATCCAAAGAAGAGGGAAACCTGGCGGTAGTTGTTGATGGCATCTTTGGTTAGACCGAAAAAGACGAAAATTGGAATAGCGGTAGCAATTGGGATGTAGCAGTTGTTCATGTAAGTCCAACCAATCTGACTCGAGGGGAAGAATATGATTGTGTTCCATGGGAATGGGGAGGCGTGGTTGTGAACTTGATCGTAGCTGTACGGCTTAAGGCCTTGCATTTCCATGATGTTGAGTACAGATAGCGCCATGACGATGGGGAGAAACGGAACCAGGATGGAGATGACCATGAGATAGAGCTTTCTCCGTGTCCTTTGGCTCCTCTGCTGGGCCACACGGTTACCACAGAGTGCTGTTTCGGTCGTCTTGCGAACTTGACGAAATCTCTTGTATATCAGGACTAGAGAAGAGGAGGATTTATATCACGTTAGCCCCCACATGCTCAACTAGGGTCAAAGTCAGGAAGCGGCACCGATTCTGCGAGGCACTTACTAGCATACACCGTCGTCATCAAGGCGAAGATCGGGGGTGGCAGTACAAAGAAGATAAGAAACGGCCAGGAGGGATGCGGTATCCAATTACACCCCATCAGCGTGCCAACCAAATAGCGCTGGGCTGTGAGCGGCCAAGTCAATGCGAGCTGGAGAATGGGAAAGGGGAAGATGATGAGAGCTTGGATCAAGTTGCGGCGGCGTCTCTCGCTCGTTGTAAGCGTATTGGCTCGCATCAAGCCAACTTGTTGAGCCAGGTTGCGCATGATTGCCAGCAGGCAAGTGACAAAAAGCCCAATGCTAATGTTGTGGATGTAAGCGTCGAAGTCACACCAGCCGTAGCCAGGCCACCATGACATGATGTCGTCGTTGCGCCAGATGAGTGCGTTTATGATGGTTTCGAGGTTCTTAACCTGAATATTGAGGATAAACACCACCGCAGCAAGCTCGCCGTTGCGGTACAGAAGGCGAAGGGGAACGAGGCAGACCAAGTTGGCCACAACGGCTAGCACCACTCGGCATACCAGGTTGGCCGTCAACCCCGGCGTAGCGTAGGGAGGGAAGGTCGGAGCACTTGCTACGATAGTGACTGGACCACGAGCATGGTGAAGGTGAAGATGGAGTGGTGATGTCTCCATGCCGGGAGTGTCCCTGAGGAGTGGCGGCGGGTTGGAGTTGGTATGATGAAGCGGATAGCTTGCTGACGATAGTATGAAAAGAGCAGCTTGTGCCAATGCGAGAAGGCGATGGCGGATCGAGACACGAGATTGAAATTGTGTTTTTTTGCCCAAAAAAAGCTCCCTCTCCCTCTGTGATACCCGTACACAAGGATCGACATTCTATCTATTGTGTCACTGCCCGCGGAAGGGTAGTCTTATACTCGGCAGGCTCTTGACAATTGGCAATGAGAAGAGACAAAAGGACGGTGAATAGTACTCCGTACATGATGTCAGTATGTGCAGGATACAAGCCTCCCATTGAGCAAATACAAGGATATTGACAGTTTGCAAGTGATAGTCACAAGGTTCAACCCACGGTGGCTGTCCTTGCTGTAAGTAACACACAGCCTGGACATGACGAGGACACAAACAACTATCACGGTAAAGAAGCAAGGCGCGGTGCATACTCCGTATTTGCTCCGGAAACGTGGTCGTAGCCACATTCACAATCGACGGGAGTACCCGACGCGGCATCTTTTGACTTGCAATGGCTGTTGTCCAAATTTGCTCGCCATGCTGAGCAGCGAGCTGAGGTTATTGACGTGAGTCTATTGTCACCCAAATCGGGAAAGCAATTTCACAGCCTCACAGGGAAGGAGACGGGAGAGACCCACCGTGGCTTCGACGAGAGACATCTGAAAGAGATCGAGCTGCAGGTTGCAGTCTCGGCAGATGAGCGGCACGGAACCCCATTGGGCTGGCTCAACCTGGAATCTGTCGTCAATCATGGAGTGCGTGGCGGCAGCCACGTTGTACCGGCGGAGGCGGCCATTTGCCTTGAGGGAGCACTTGACGACTGATGGATATGCCCTTTTTGGTCCTGGTTAGATGCCGTTCTTGTCGACAAGAAATTTAGACGTGCAATTAAACGTGCATACTTTTCACGGAGTGGAGCATGGAGGAGCTTTGGGTACTAGGTACGTGCCTACTAAGGCACCTACCTAAGGCACCTACGTAGGTACTTCAGTAAGTCTAGGTACTTAGTCTGGGCCGTTGTTGACTCTTGGCCCGAGAACTTAGTACGTAAGTACGGAGTACTCGCTGCAACACGTATATCCCCCCTCGCCCTCGCAACTGCTCGCTTGGTTTTTGTTCCTGTGTTCAAGAAGTCTCATCTCATCCTTGCTTGCATAAATTGATCAACTCACAAATGGCCAACGGCAGACCCTACGATTCGCCCAGATTGACCACCATTTTCGCGTCCTTATGCACCCGAGACAGGTCCGCCAATCAGAGCCCGTTGCGAGACCGTCGGGTCTTACTTAGGTAAGTGGGTACCTTAGGTTCTCAACTACTTTTCAGTACGCACTTAAGTTCTTAGTTAAAGTGCTCCTTAATTAGTCGCCGTGACGCGGTCTGACGCGACGGCCACCCTTGACCCCTCAAATTTATCATGCCGCGACCGCGGATTAATTACCGGCACCGAGATTGAGCAGTGCCGCACCACAGACCACAGCCTGAGTACAAGGCAGGGAAAAATTTCCTCTGCACACTTGCACCACCACTTCCTCAAACTCGAACCGTCCCTTCGCCCATCACCATATCCCATCGCAACACAACGCCAAAACAACCCATTATCACAATGTCGTCCTTCTTGCTTCGCCGCGCCACCGCCGCCTCTGCCGGCGCTGCCCGTTCCTTCAGCACCTCCTCTCCGCGATCCGTTGCACGCATATCCATCATTGGCAACCTTGCTGATACCCCCGAGATCCAGCCCACCAGCACCGGTCGCGAGATCCTCAAGTACTCTGTGGCCAGCAACACCGGCCCCAGGGATAACCGCCAGACCAGCTGGTTTCGTGTTACTAGCTTTGTTGAGGGTCCCCGAAAGGACTTTCTGCTGAGTCTGCCCAAGGGGTGCGTCGCTTGCTTATGCTCCCTTACCATGCTCTTCGCTTTCCACCGTTTGCAACTGTCGCCTCGCTGAACCACTGCACCGCGGTACGCTGGAGAATGCTCTTGCTAATGATGTCAACGCAGCGCCATGGTTTACGTTGAGGGCGATGCCACCATAAACACTTACCAAGATTCCAATGGCCAGACTCGTAGCGCTTTGAATGTTGTTCAGCGTACGTGTCAACGTTCTCCTCGCCAAGGTCTCCTGATTGACTCATGACTACAGGTAACATCGAGGTTCTGAAGCGCCCCCAGAACGCCGGCCAGAACGAGTAAAGCCCCCCGACTCAAACTACAAGATAAGACCAAGCAAGTACGCCGGATCCAGTACGAGGCCAATCAAGACCATCGCGTGTCAAAAGAACTTCTCCTCTCTACTCTGAATAACCTACCCCCATTCAATTTTTCTCGACTAGGGTCCGGCCTGTAAGACTCCTCTTGTACAACTATGGGTGACACCGGGCCATGTAATGCCATAAACAGCATTTAATATATTTTAAACTGTCTTCATCGCGCTTGACTTAAGTGGCTGTCTATACTTTTGTGTGAAATTCTGAGCGTTTTGCGCGCCAGCTCTGCTGGCCCTCACTTCTTGCCTAATGACGCGCCATTATATCAGTGACACGCTGTCCATGCAACCGTATCCAGCAGCAACGCCGCCCTCTTGGCTGTCTTCACCCTTGGTTCTGAGCAACCAGCCTGCCTGTTCATTTCGAATGACCTCTCCCGTCTCTTGGTTCCAAAGACATGTGCCGTATATCCCAAGCTCAGAAATTACTCTACCGTTTTCAACATTTCCGTTGCGCAGTATGAGGTTGATTTCTGCTGGCGCTTTGATAAGCTCCATGAGAATGTATGAATTCCAGTGAGCATCTGGCACTTGCTTCAAGAAATCGGGAATCGCGCTTCCGTAGATGTTGTTTCCGCCGCCCTCCCTCTGTGGCTTCAAAACATAGTCGACGCACTGCTCGGGGTCGAGAGCCTTCTTTCGTGCCTCCAAGCCCACGTCCGACGTGTCCATTGGGTAAATGTTGGTGAACGTGTTCCATAGGGCAACGGCAGATGGCGTGTCATCTTGTATGAATTTACTGAGGATCGATGGCTCAGATAACGGTCGAGGAGTTGCGAGGATCTGCTGTACTTTCTTGATGCCAGCTACTTGCGTGAGGACTGTGGGGCACTTGATGGCATGCGAGCGTTCAAGGTGACATCTAGCGTCCCAGGTTTGCTGATCCGGATAGTCCCCAGGACCATAGCCAGCTCGGACGTAGACAACAGCAACCTCAAAAACCTTGCTCCTGTTTGTGGGGAGAGCATAGAGAAGCTGGCGCTTGCAACTTTTGGCAAGAGACGTGTGCTCCATGATGTCGGTGAAGGCTAGCCGGAAGACGGGTATGGTCGGCGTCGACTTGGATATTTGATACTCTAGATGGCGCTGGTCGAAGACATTGCGCTCGCCACCTTGGACTAGAAAGATGACACACTTGTCGTGTCCCAATTCGGAGTCTCCATACGCATGATAAGCCGCCTCGATCCCGCCAGCCAAACCGCTGATGGCATTGTTCTCGGGAAGATCCAGGGCTCCTGGAGCCAGGGGCTGGCTGATGAGAGGATACTCGGTCTTTGCCAGAAACTTGTGCAGCTTGGAGGTGCATACAGATAGGCCGCCGAAAGACGCGGCAATGGTGTTGAATTCTACCTGCTTTGCCTGAGCCGCGGGCGGCTCGCTAGACTTGTCCTCATGGACCATGTAATCAGATCGGAAGAGACCCAGCGAGAGCGGCTTTGTCCAGTCAGAAGGGGTGATGGTCTGGTGGAGTTCTTTAGACGGCGGTTGCCTACCTGTGTGTATCCCTCTGACTTGACAGTCTCATGAACCGCCCACAAATCGCGGACAAAGTCATCACCGTCAATAACCCTAGGCGGCAGGAGTTAGCAGTTCGCTAGCCCGGCCCCCCCCAAAATGCGTGGTTCGGTGAACTTGCTGCTTCACGACACCCGCCAGGAACGTCTCATCTCTGCTCACGGCCGCATACAACTCGTTATATGCGTTTTGCGCCTTCTGACCTTGCATGAAGGCTTGCCGGGGAAAGGCCGTCGGAAACAGTGTCACAGGTGCGGGCACAGCAGTTATCTTGGTTGGATCTGCTTCCGGGGAAATGACCGCGGGCGGCGTCCGAACCGCGAGACCATTGCCAATTGACCAATCCTTGATGACCTCGACAAGGTGGTTGAGTTCCTCAGCTGTTGTTGCTGGCGGATACTGCTGGCAAGGCTCAACGTCGCGGCCCGTGCCCATGGCTGGAGGACAAACGAATGGAACAGAAGATGAGACAAGAAGATTTGAATACCGGTAGACGGACACCCACCCCAAGGACATGCAATGCGGACCAGGTCGTGCTTGGGTTGACAGCAGTGGACCAGTGGTTGACGAGGGTTCGTTCATTTGCGGTTGTGACTTGTGAGAGCAGATTACTAAGTTAATGGCTTGCTCGGAGTAGTGACTTGGTCGAGCCGACCTTGGAGTGGGTAACTACCTAAGTACCTAGGTACTTACCTAGGTAAGTAGCGGAGGCGCAGGAACATGGTGCTTTCGCGTACTCCGTATAGCTCTGCAATTTTCAATGTGAAAAAGGAAAGCCGCAAAAATGCAGCAGTGATCTGTGAAAAGCCCGGCATCTTAGTTACGAGCCTCTACACATGCTTCAATCCAAACTGCGGACGGTGAGGAATCTAAGCATGGACGAGGCCTGGCCTCTTCTCAGTGTTCAGAGCCTGTACTGGCACCCACACACCGTTTTGGCCGCCCAACCTCACAGTCGGCAGCGCAGCTCGTGATAGACCCAAGTGGTTGGTTGTACGGAGTACCGTCGAGGTCCTTTACAGACTGTTACTATTGCACTATTGTCGAGCGTGCAAAAAATATGATGCCGTGCAGCATGCGAGAAGCAGTTACTTTGGCCGTCACGTGCCAATTCCTGTAGTCGCCCCGCCGCCCGCAAACGGATTATTGTGACAACTCTTTCCCTCGCCACTATAGACGCGTCGAAAATTTGCCTTTTACAAGCAGCAGTCAGTTGCGAATTTTGACGAAAGCAAGCGGCCGTATGTACCGAACGGCAACCCCTCTCTCCAGTCATTCATAGTAATGCCTCGTGACTCATGACTGCTCATTCGGGGCGAGATCATCACTCATCCCCCAAGGAGTCCTCCGAATACCTCTCTAGATATTGAGACTGCGCAGATTGCAGGTATGCTCACCTCTAATCATGTGTTTTACTTCTTCCTAGTTTTTCGCGTCTAGCAAATTGGCAAATCCATATGCGCAGACTCAAGTTTTGGACCTGAAATGAGATGAAACTTTTTGACCACCAGGTGAACGTGTTTTGCTTCAAGATTACCAACACTAATGAAACCATTGTACTCAGATAAAGCCGGCTCATAGACTTGTCATGTCCTCAAATGGACGGAATACAGTCGACAGATCCCTTTCTATGGGACGTTGGCCAGGTTGTAAATGAGCTGTGTCACCTCAGTCGTCCTTGCACCCGCAACCCTGAGATGTTGGCTGCAAAGCTCCTGGAGAATGAAGTTGATGGATATACACTTTTAACTTATGACCTCGTTGCATCCGCTAACTCACACGACTTGCGAAATGAACTTTTCCGGACCCTTAATGTCCAACTGGCTCGACATAAAAATGCGTTGGGAGAGGCTATCATGAAGCTGCGGGCGAGGAGCCCGGAATTTCGCCACTGGAAATTGGATAACTTGGAAAATGACGGCCACGAAGAACCCGACGTGCGTAGCCGTGGTCTGGACGGATTGTATTCTGCCCAGATGACTCCTCAGTCCGAACTTTTCCTCCCATGGACGGCCCCAAGGAACGAGCCTGACAAAGCTTCTTCTTCCACTTCTCTGCCACGCCAGACGGTGGATCAGGGATTCTCGTTACGCAAAGCCGGCCCGGACAAGCTCGGTACAGATAGCGACAGGATCCATGACACGGACGTCGGCGCTGCTCCTACGATGGAATCGATGTCGCGGCTCGGCGAGCTGTCGCCTGTCACTGACGCAAGCAGTCATGTTAAGCAATTGAAAAGAAAAAGAGTTGCTCCTGAGTTAATTCGAGAAGAGCCTGTTCATACGCTGGCAGCTCCGATCGCAACTGAGGCCGATTCAATTTCTCGAGGTTCATTGGACTCTTATCCCTGGGATACTGCTGATGCGTTTGCATATCTTGGACCCGGAGCCATTTCCAGTAGAGAGGTGAAATCGCATTCAAAGGGATTAACTCTCCAGATCCGAGGGGAGGGTGATGCGCTTTGCACACCAGCACCCACTCGATTCCCTCCTGGCAGACGGCTTGCTATCAATAGGATTATGAGACGTTTCTTGGTGGGAAATGGCAGGAAAATAGCTATGGCGGATGCTGGATTGACACCCGACTCTTTGAGACAGCCATCTACTGAAGATGATAAGATCCTCGACCTAGATGATATCCCAGATGAAGTCGACGAGGAAACCCAGAGAGAGATGGACGCTGAAAAAGCGGAACTAGATCAGATGACTGAAGACCTCGAGGGGAGGCATGGCTCGAAAAGGCTGTCACAAGATCGAGTGCGACAGCTTCTCGACCAATCTGTTTCCGAAATGGTGAAGGAGTGGACTGAGAAGAAAAGGCCAAAATATCAAAACAAAGCTAACGCATTGTGGGTTGATGCGTCAAGACGGGGCGCCAAGAGAGATCGCATTTTGAAGGCTAGGGAACAGGCCAAATTCTATGACGACAGAATCAAAAAGTTGGAGAGAGGCATTCTGAAACAAACTTGGGAAAATGAGAGGCAGGTTCGATTTCAGGCACGCTTGCTGGAGCAAAATATCGAAGACAAAATTTACCAGTGTTGGCTAGCAGACACTCTGGAGTCTCGGTTCCCACCGCCCAAGTCAAGTTTGATGCCTCAGCGTCCTGTTACGCATCCAAAACCAAGGGAGTTAGATCTATCAGACGGAGAAATCTTGACTAGTTCAGATGAGGAAGCATTCATCGTTTACGATGACGAACCTATTACACCAATCACACCGGTCAAGGCGGCTCGGCATGCCATTCCCAGCAGACTCATTCGAACACCAAGTCCAATTCTGATCGATTCTCCGGATTATATTGATCTTACTCTCATCCCATCTTCGCGAGCCTCGTCTCCCGTTCAGCTGCCGACGACCGATGTTGCCCTGGCGGATTTGGACACTCCTACGAAAGTGAGCCCTGACTGTACTCCAGAAGTCAAAAAAGAGCCTGGCGCGGACGAGTCAGTCCAGCAGCCACCAGCCTCGTCATGGGCTGAAAAATACAAGAATATCAAAAATATCGTCAGCTTTCCTACCAGCCACTGGACCAAGGAGAAAGATCGGTTCGCCCTAGCAATCACTCTGCTGTGGAAATTGGGGCACTTGCGAAGATCTGCGATTTTTGAACACGTTCGAGCCTGTGAGGCGCATGAGTCATTCAAAGTTACAATTCTGAGGCATATATCTCATCCTCTCAAAGACCTGGATCGCCTGCGTATCGCAAGCCCGGAATCTTTGGCATTCGATGTCTCCAGGACGTTTCTGTGCTTTCTCAAAACAAAAAACCTCAAAGAGACTCGATTAGCAGATCTTAAGTCCTCGCAAATCGCAAAACTCAAGGCAAAGGAGAACCACAGCTCCTGGAAGATTTTTCATGCATTTGTTAGAGAAATGGCACCACTCTTCCCTCAAGACAACCAAATATATAGAGAGGAAGCATTTGATGATGACGAGGTCCTTGGTGATGATGCCGGAGAGGACGAGGCGTCTTTGCTTGAGCAATCGAGCAAGTCCAAAATTCCCCGAAAAGCTGCCCCCAAGGAAATTGTGCGCAACAAAGAGGCTGTGGATCTCAGAGAGCGCGAAATCCATCGACAAGAGGAGCAGGAAGCCCGAAGACTTCGACTTCGCGCAAATTTGGGAGCCAATGGCCAGCTTTCCTCCGACAAATCCCGATTGATCATAAACGAGAGTAAGCAAGACGACCAGTCATTCATTTATATTAATGACCACATTGGGATGAGAATCAAAGATCATCAAATAGACGGCGTTCGATTTCTATGGAATCAAATCATGCAGGATCCTGAACTTCGCCAAGGATGCCTCTTGTCACACAGTATGGGCCTCGGAAAGACAATGCAAGTCATAACTCTACTCGTGGCGATTCAAGAATCGAGCAAGTCCTCCGATCAGACTATAGTCTCGCAAATTCCGAAAGATCTTCGTCAGTCAAAGACTCTGGTTGCATGCCCATCCGGACTGGTAAATAACTGGATGGACGAGATTTTGATTTGGGACCAAGATCGAATTTTGGGGGAACTTTATGTGGTTGATTCGGGGTACACTATCGAAGAACGCGTTGGTGCCGTACGAAAGTGGTCCCAGACTGGCGGTGTTTTCGTCATCGGATATCCAATGTTGCGACAAATGGCTGGGTTGGACGAAGAAGGATCTCTTCAGTCCATGTTTGACGAGCCAAACATTGTCGTTGCTGATGAAGCTCACATGCTGAAGAATCCTACCTCGAAGCTTCACTTGGTTTGCTCTCGCTTTCAGGCAAGCAGTCGAATCGCCATGACCGGGTCACCATTGGCCAACAATATTGAAGAATATTACTTCATGATCAACTGGGTAGCGCCAAATTTCCTCGGTCCCGTGTCAGAGTTCCGTGAAATCTATTCGATTCCTATCCAACATGGCGTGGAGCCAGGAAGTTCGGGCGTCGATAAACGTAAAGCACTGAAAAAGCTTGCGGCCCTGAAACAGATTGTGGCTCCAAAAGTTCATCGTGCCACAATGATGACCTGCATGAAAAAGGACTTGCCACAGAAGCAGGAGTTTGTTATCTGCGTCAAGCCCAAGCCTTTGCAGGTTAAGCTCTATAATCTCTTTGCACAAGTCATCCGTGGGGAGTCAGCAGATGATGTACAGGGCGAGATAGAGTCTCAAGGCGCAATTTTCCGTCTCATTAATGACCTTGGATTGCTCTGCAATCACCCTTATGCATTGTATCAAAAAGCGATCGAGAGCCAGAATCCACCCAAGACGAAAGAGAAGACAAAGGGAAGCCTTCCTCCCAGCATCACACCTGCCGTGTTAGCAGAGTTTCGCGGAGTTGAGGCCAGCTGCCCATCCTTATCCACAAAAGTTGAGCTTCTCACACGAATATTAGATGATGCCCAAAGGTCGAAGGACAAAGTGCTGGTGTTCAGTCATTCGATACCCACATTGGACTACTTGTCTAAGCTATTTCAGGGTCAGAACCGTCGCTTTAGCCGCCTGGATGGCAAGACTCTTATATCGAAACGCCAGGATGAGATCAAAAAGTTCAACTCGGACCAAACAGAGTTCTATCTCATCTCCACAAGAGCTGGCGGTGTTGGTCTCAACATCCATGGCGCTAATAAAGTGGTGATCTTTGATTTTAGATGGAATCCAGTGCACGAGCAACAAGCTATCGGGCGCTCGTATCGAATTGGCCAAACCAAGCCCGTCAGCGTATATCATTTTGTCGCCGCAGGAACGTTTGAACAAGACCTTCATGGGAGGGCGATTTTCAAGACACAGCTGGCGACTCGTGTTGTTGACAAGAAGAACCCAGTCAGCTGGGGGAATAGAGCTGTTGATCTCACGCATAACGTCAGAGAAATCAGGAAAGAGAACTTGACACAGTTTCAAGGGAAAGACTCTATTCTTGACAAATTAATTTCGTATGGTACCGACAACGATGTTATTCGCAAAATTATGTCCACCGAGACTTTTGAGGAGGAGGACGTTAAGGCTCCGTTGTCGGCGGAGGAGCAAATGGAGGCTAACGACATGGCTGCATTGAACGCACTTCGAATGACAAATCCCGAAGAATATAGGAGAAGGCAGCAAGAGATAGAAGACAGGCAAATTCGACAGCTGGCCTCACATTTGGTCCAGGGTTCATCATTCACGAAGGACAGTGAGATGGCTCCTGAGGTCAGGCGTACTCTGCAAAGCGCTACTGACATTTCGCCGAGCTTAGTCTTACGCAACCAAAGTCAGACCGAACCTCAAGTGTTACCATCAGCATCACCGGGGCAGATAATGGAAAGCGCAGTGCTGCCCTCGTCTACTCATGCTTCTGGGGTATGTTTACAACAATCTGTTGAGCCATTCAATTCACTAACGTTGTCTGTAGGGAAGCACGTCAACGCCGGCCCTTGTCCCCATGCCTGGGGCTTATACCTACTTTGGAAAGGATACAACTGAAATCCCGCAAGAAAACGCACAGCAAGAAGTAGGACAGAGCACTTCCGTGTCTGGATCACCAAACTCGACCGCAAAACACGCTGTGAACCCCTTCACTTCTCAGATCAGGAATCCCGGGAAGGCCGAGCTTAAGCAGAAGTTGTGCAAGAAGCTGGAGACCTTACCTCGTGGATCTCTTCCCCGTTCGGACACGGCACAATTAAAAGTTGTAGAAAAATTAATCGACTCGATAGATACAATTCGCAGGGACCACAAGTTTGGGTTTCTGCCAGATAATCAGCATTGGCGAGCGCTTGGCAATTTTGCTGAACAGGACAAATTTGTTTTTGCCGTCATGTCTGGGCAACTCGAGGCGTCGTATCTGGCGCTAACTGATGCCCGGGAATTAGAGAAGTATATCAGCACGTTGGATAGCCCATCATCAGGAACGTGTACGGGCCAGGGTCAGGTTGAGCCTTAGAAGCATGCGGCACAGGAGTTCAATCCCTGATTTAAAAGGATCGCATGGAATGAATAGGCAAGTTACGACCGGAAAGTCGAAAGGGAGGGAAAGGAGTTATTCATTGTGTATTCTGGAGGCGTCTAGATGGCAATTTGCATTTGCTTGCGATACCCCGCAAGGCCAAAGAGCACACATGAGAATTGTTACTTTTTTAATTATTTACCATAAGCAGAGTCATGAGTCACACCCGAGCACATGGCAGTGGCCTTTTATGGTGACAGGTTGATGGACGAAACTCGGACAAGAGGGGCAGATTCCATCTGAGCCGGGATTCGGAGGACGAGGTCGAACATCGCGGAGAAGCGCCGTGGTAGGGCGTGGCCAATGGGAGCTGAGATTTTTGACAGAAAAATTCCTCACTAGTACTAGCGCAGGCCGGAGCAGGCGAGAATTGCGCCAGTCAAGCGACTCGGAATGGCCAGAGCCGTGGCCCATAGCCAGGGGTGGAGTGGCATCCCGGCTTACGGATGGGCACCAGAGGGAAAACCAGCGGACAGTCGGCGAGATCCCCGCGTCTCGCCAGCCAGCCGTCGACCCCGTGACAAAAACGCTTTGCCTCACACACAGCAACAACCCCGAAAACTTCTCTTCCAACATCACCTCACCATCCTGACTATCCTGGCTGCCGCGCATTGGCTATCCACACGGTTTGGCACAGCTTCGCAATTGACGTAGACGTCCTCGACGGTGCTAACTGGTGCCGTCTTCAGAGCCGTTTTGCCCGCCTTGCGTTGGACCCCGACACTCCGAGATCATCGGGAAGACCACTGCTGCTGTCCAGGAACAACTGTCCAAAGACTCAATACAATCACAGAAGCATAAACATCATCTTCCACGCCATGGATAGCATTCTTCGCCAGTCCAAAGCCATGTGCCCTTTCCTCAAGGCCGCCTCGCCTGCCACTCTTCGCGCCTTGTCTACCTCGGCTCGTCCCAGGCCTTCTCCATGCGGCGGCACCATGTCCAAGCTTCAGGTTTTTGCTCACCGCTGCCCCGTCATGGGAAAGGCCATGGCTGTTCAGTCTGCTAGAAACAGAGGTGCTGTCGCCACTGGACTTCGTGCCCTCGCTGGCCAGGCCAAGGCCGACAAGGCCCGCATCCATACCAGCCGCGCCCATGAGGCCCGGGCTGTCGACGCCCCGATCCTGGAGAAGCGTGAAAAAGGTACGCTCAAACTCTGACGCTGTGCTTCTCTTTCTCTTGGGTCCATCGCTTTCTCATTTGGTTGTAGTTGATTGTTGACCACAACTTACACAGGCTTGGCCCATGGCCATACCGGATCGGTTGGCAAGTTCAATTATGAAGAATTCTACACCTCCGAGCTGGATAAGAAGCACAAGGACAAGTCTTACAGGTACTTCAACAACATAAATCGTCTGGCAAAGGAGTTCCCACGTGCCCACATGGCCAACAAGGACGACCGGGTTACGGTTTGGTGCGCCAATGACTATCTTGGCATGGGCCGAAACCAACGAGTGTTGAACAAGATGAAGGAAACTTTGGATGAGTACGGTGCCGGTGCTGGCGGTACTCGAAACATCTCGGGCCATAACAGGCACGCTGTTGAACTAGAGAGCACCCTCGCCAAACTTCACGCCAAAGAAGCTGCCTTGGCCTTCAGCTCTTGCTACGTCGCAAACGATGCAACACTTGCGACCCTCGGGAGCAAGATGCCCGACTGTGTCATCTTGTCGGATAGTCTGAACCACGCGTCCATGATTCAGGGTATCCGTCATTCAGGCACCAAGAAGGTCGTCTTCAAACACAACGACGTTGCAGACCTCGAGGCTAAGCTTGCGTCCCTGCCTCTCCACGTGCCAAAAATCATCGCTTTCGAATCTGTGTATAGCATGTGCGGTTCTATTGGTCCAATTGAGAAAATTTGTGACCTGGCCGACAAGTACGGCGCCATCACATTTTTGGACGAGGTGCACGCCGTGGGCATGTATGGGCCTCACGGAGCCGGCGTGGCTGAACATCTCGATTGGGAGGCCCATGAGAGAGGATCGCCTCGAGGCACCATTATGGATCGCGTTGATATCATCACAGGCACTCTCGGCAAGGCTTACGGCTGCGTCGGAGGCTACATTGCCGGCAGCTCCAAGTTGGTTGACATGATCCGATCTCTGGCTCCAGGCTTCATCTTCACAACCTCGCTTCCGCCCGCCACCATGGCTGGCGCCAAGACGTCCATCGAGTACCAGATGGAGTACGCTGGCGATCGGAAGCTGCAGCAACTGCACACACGTGCTGTCAAGGAAGAGCTCAACAGTCGGGACATCCCAGTCATTCCAAACCCATCTCACATTATTCCCATTCTGGTGGGTAATGCCGAGTTGGCCAAGGCGGCATCTGATATGCTGCTCCGGGACTACCAAGTATACGTGCAGTCGATCAACTATCCCACGGTTCCCGTTGGACAGGAACGGCTCCGCATCACGCCCACGCCCGGCCATACCAAGGAATTCCGGGACGAGCTTGTCAGAGTCATTGATCAGGTCTGGACCCGTCTTGGAATCAAGCGTACCTCAGAATGGGCCGCAGCGGGTGGGTTTCTCGGAGTTGGTGAGCAGGGCAAGGTAGAGGAGCCTCTTTGGACAAACACGCAGCTGGGCGTTGAGCAGGCAGCAAAGGAGATCATGGCTACGGGCCGTGGCTTCAATGGTGCGGGCTTCACCGAGACACTGCTTGAGCGAGAGATGAGAGCTGCAGCGCGTACTCCTGGCGTCGCGGCTCACTGATCTAGGCCCAAGGAAACCAATTGCCACTGCATATTCAATGCTGGAGGATTCGTATGCATTGTCATGCGTGGTCTCGCTGGCACAGAACTTTGTTTTGGGCATCGTGGTTCGCTACACGATTGGATATCGCGAAGCTGCCCACTTTCACATGCTCACTGTTTCCATTCTCTTGCAAGAAATGTTGAAGTCGATTTATTTCCTGCATGCGCGATCCACGAGGATGCTCGATGGAGCAGTCCACAGGCTAGGCAAACCAATTGAATCGTGGGCTGCATAAGCCACCCCTAACTAGTCTACCAAGTGCCGCATGCATCTCATCTGTTCGACGAGACCAAGCTTTTTCCAACGTCGTGACTCTGACTCTGTAGTGTGGGCCAATATTGAACCCATGACCAGGAAGACCTAACCCGGAAACCCTTTCCCAAGCCACCAGGGGCTCTCGGGGGGGGGGAAAGCGTACGTCGTCACGCCGCAAGATGGGGAAGAGACGGGGAAGCAAGCAGGGCTAGATCTGTGGGGGATGGTTTCATACGTATTAATTACTACGTACTAGACTTTATTGCTAGTGCGTGGCATGTGAAAAATGGATGGGATGGGGAAAAGGTGACCAGATTAAGCAGGTACTTGAGTGAGTAGGCACTCCGTAGAAGGCAACTTGGAATGTATTGAGTCGGTGTCGAAGCACGGTACTCGGTACGGAGTAGAGGGACTGACTGACGGACGTCGTGGTTTCAGCGGCAAATGGTCGTCGACAGGCACAGACAGACAGAGTCGTCGATGGCGTGGATGCCCTCGCAAAAGGGGGCTCATAGGCTGATCAGGACGTCTTGGGCCAAGGACATCGAGCCATGGCCCATTGGCGCAGCCATCAGCCCCGGTAGAGAAAGGCAATGACGGCGAGGATAGTGCCATTTTCGGGGCGGAATAATGCTTCGGGCGGACAAGGAGCCAATGAGGGGCGCGGAAGAGTCAGGCCAGGGACCAGCACGGGGCACCTGGCGCCTTCCGAGGAACGTGAACGTTGGAGCGATGGAACGGACCTGCGGGGCAATCATGGCGCTCCGTGCCCGCTCCTCCCCCAGCCAGTCGCATTGACTACCGCGGACGGCTCGTGCGCTGCTACTCGACTCTGCGACTGCGACTCTGCGACGGGTCGACGACCACATCGCACGTCGTTGGGACCCCAGGACTCGAGTCTCGTGGTGGCCAGCCATCCACCCCACCCATCGATGCAATGGACGCTGCATCATCAGATGCGTGGGACCAGCGAGGGACTCGAGCTCGTCCGAGTGCGTGACATTGACAGTCTGTTTTTGTGTCGGTGGCTGAGTCCGGCTCTACTGCGTGGGACCAAGTCCCGAGAAATGCCCTCAGGTCAGACTGCTCAAGTGGTCCGCCGACGCCTTGGACGTCAAACACAAACTAACGAGACTGCCCAGGTGCATGTGCTTTTTGATGATGCGGGGGACGTGTCTGGGAGTTATTACCCCTTTGGCTTCCTCCCCATACGCTTCCCCGGCTTTCTCGGTCCCTTTGGAAACCTTGAATTTGCGTAGTCGAGTCTTTTCCGAGCCCCTCATGATGCAGCGGTGACGGCCAGCTTCAAGATAACATCAGCACTCAACATCGTCAGCCCGGCCTAGCTGTTCCTGACCCGAACTGACACGTCGTCATCACATCACTAGCCTCGCCCAAAAAAAGGTCAACATGCAAGCAACACAAAAGGGGCCAAAGGCTTGCACCACGTGTGCCAAAGCAAAGGCCAGATGCATTCCCAGAGTCGATGGTGGGGAGAAATGCGAGAGGTAAGCAACATTGCGCTTGCTGGTTTCCAACTTGATTTCTGTTCTTCACTTATCCTCTGCCTGGATTCGCGTGGGGTTTGAGATAAAGCCTGCCGGAGTAAGAGAGCAGTGGTTCTTTCTCTTGTTCGCGCACATGGAACCGTCCGTCTTTGTCTAACGCGGTCCTTGCATCAAAACAGATGCTATAGGCTCAAGAAGGATTGCTTTTCGCGGCCGCCTGCCCCGCCGCGGGTCAAGAAGCGACCCAAGAGGTCGAGGGTCGCTGAGCTCGAAAAAAGGCTCAATGAGCTGTCATCCCAGTTCGAGGGCGCGCAGTCGGGCTCTGGCCAGAGTGTCTCGGCTGCGTCGCCGCCACAGCAGTTCACCAAGGCTTCCGAAAAGGCCGACATGTACTCGTTTGAGCACCTGTTTCCGTCTCCTACCCCTACCGGCGATGATGGCCACGAGGCAACGGCATGGAGCCCCGAGGTCATGAAGGAGTTTGATTCCCCTTGGCCCCTGCCCACCGAGAGCGAGATGCTTCTCATGGTCTACCGCGAAATGTTTGCTGAATATTTCCCATTTGTTCTCATCCCGCGAGAGCTGTCGTCCGCCGATCTTCGACTCCAGCGTCCGTTCTTGTGGAAGGCTGTCATGGTGAGCGCTACTATTTTCGATGCTACCAGACAGGTGAAGCTTGGGGAGGCTCTTTTAGCGGATATCGGCAAGGCTTCTCTTGTCGATGGAACAAGAAGTCTCGATATGCTCCAAGCCGTGGAGCTGTTGACTGGATGGTACGTGCTGCATCGTCATCGCCATCGTGGCGCACCGAGGTTTCTGACTCCGGCCAACATTTCATTGTTAACTTGATTTTTTCAGGTGGTATTTCGCTTTGAGGAGCTCTCAAGTTACAAACTTGCTCTTCTTGGCTAGATCCATGTGTGTCAACTTAAGTGCCATGTCATACGGCTCACAGGGTGAAGATGCCAAGTATGGTCCTTTGGACCACCTGAGGGCGTACGCTGGTGCCTACTACCTCAACACCATGTAAGTTGTCTTGACGACGCGATATCCCTTTTTCCTTTTCGCTGAGGGCTAATTTTTCCGGGCTTCAACCTTGATAGCATCTTGACCACGAATAAGAAAACCGATGTGCTCATGAGCACTACACAACTCGATCTCTGCTGCAAAGTCATCGAGACCTCAATGGAGTGCACCTCCGATGAGTATCTCATCAAATTAGTCAAGATCCAGCAACTCGCGCAGACCATTACAATCACAATGTCTGCTGACAGCATGACTCCCATGTCGTTGCCCCTCGTCATGGTTGTGCAGTCATTCCAGGACCAGTTGGACACCTTTAAAGCCTCTCTTCCTCCACGCCTCGCACAAAATCGTGAGTTTGAAGCTGTCTTGTCTATGTGTTGTATTCCAGTCCAGCTGACCGAGTCTCTAGCGACCCTCCTTTGTCACATCTCCGTCGCCGAAATTCTTCTCAAAGATATCGCCATCTCTGACGAGCGTTGTAGCCCTGACAACATGCAGGTTTCCGACCGCCTTCAGCTTCTTTGGTCTTGCGTCAAGTCTCTCAGCAACTTCTTCGAAGTTCGGTTTGCTGAGCCCGAGGTTGAGAAGCCGCGTTTTCTATGTATCATTGCCTCCGACCTGGCTTACACACTCATTACGGGCATTAAACTTTTGACACTGCAATTGCTTGGCTGGGATGTGGCGAGCGTCACCAAGGAACTGAACATGGTGGTTATTTTTGGCAAGCAAATCGACCATCTAATGGAGGTGATTGCCAAGCGAAGAAGCGGTCTCTTGTCTCCAGACCGCTGCGGAATCGAAGACCCCCTGGAACGACTTGTACGATTGATGAGGACGGCGCAAGAGCTCGTGCACATGCACATCAACGGCGGGTCGCCGCTTCAGATGTTTGACGACATGGGCACCGTTGCATGGCGAGACATAATGAACGAGGCGCCTTGGGGCGTGGACGACAGTCAGGAACTCATTGACTTGGCTTCGTGAGACGGGCTGGATTCGCTTCGGAACACAAAAAGAGAAGAGAACACAGGAAGGCGCACACCACAGTTCACGTGTGAGCTCTGATTATGAAAACACGCGTTGTCAAACAGCGCTGTCGCCACGGGTCTATTGGGACCCGCCACACGGCTATGACTGACATCAAGAAATGTGAGAAGGCGACAGCGGGGTGGAGTTCAAAACGGAACGGAGGCATTAACAGGACTACTGGCTCTGCATAGCGTATGATGATATATCCTTTTGGTTTTGATTTGGGATTTTGGTTGGGGATTTTTTTCTCGGTTTAGCGGGCTCGAGCACCGGCGGCTTTGCGTCAAGAGAATGGACAGTCGTTTCTGCAGACCCGTCGTTGTACTTTAGTCTGACAATGTAAGATTGTGGAACGGTGACCATTTCACGGTCTTGAATAATAATATTATAAACTGATATCTTTTCTGGCGAGGAACCCGCAGTCTCCATTATGCAACCTCATGCGATTGATGCTGGGGGATGGAACTGATATGCATGCTTCACTCGTCCTCGTCCACGACATCGACAGCCGCAACCTTGGCCAGCGCAAGCCAGTTCAAATCGCCCTCTGCTGTGGCCTTTCGAATCGCAAACAGCTCGTCCAAGAAAGCCGGCACAAACGAGCCCGGCCCCCTGACGTGGTCTCTCTGGGCAGCCATCTCCGCGGCGACGCCAAAGACGACGGCTCCCGCAACAGCCGCCACCAGCATGTCTTCCTCGTGCGCGGCCGCCATGGCACTCACCGTCGTGCCGAGTGTGCACCCTGTGCCGGTAACCATGCCCAGGTACTCGTGGCCGTTGTCGATGCGCAGCGTCCGCCTCCCGTCGCTGACCAGGTCGGTTGGGCCAGTGATGAGGACAACGCTCCGCCGTTGACGGGCGAGCGAGCGGGCGAGCCGGGCGCTCTGCGGAATGGTCAGCGACGACGACGAGTCGACGCCGCGCTGGGTTACGCTGGCGCCGTGCACCGTCTGGATCTCAGCTTGGTTGCCTTTTATCACAGCGAATGTGCCCGATGCCAGGAGCCTTCGCACGGCGTCGCGGCGAACGGAGGTCGCCCCGGCGCTGGTAGAAGGCATGCAAACATGTTAGAGGTTGCACGTTTCCGCACGTTTCCAGACGAGAGGGGATTCGGGAGCATGCTGCGTACGTACCCAACCGGGTCGAGGACCACGGGCCGTTTGGCCTCATTGTACGCCTTGACAGCTTGGACGTGGCTCTCGAGGCCGTCTGGCGTCACGGTGCCCATGTTGACGACGAGCGCGCCGCCGAGCCTGGCCAGGCCGGCGGCTTCTTGGGCGTAGTTGGACATGATGGGGCTGGCGCCCACGCAGAGGGCTACGTTTGCCGCAAAGTTTTGCACCACCTACATGTGATGGACACCATGTTAGGTGGTTTCCCCATCAGAAGAGAGAAAAGCAGGGCCGTGGGGAAAATACCAGGTTCGTCATGTTGTGCGACAGAGGCTTCTTCCTCCCCACGGCCGCAACGACGCGGGGGATCTTGGCCGTGACGACCTTGGCCAGCAGGTCCCTCGACACGGCGGCCGGGTCATCTGCGGCCACGATGGCGCTCACGACGGCGATTCCGTGGAGGGCCTTGTGCGGCGAGGCAGAGCCTGCGAGGACGGCGGATGCGTTGGAGGCGTTGATGCCGCCGATGCAGACGGTGGGCGTGGACGAGTAGCCTGCGGCGTGGAGGGCGGCCAGGATGCCCGCGACGCCGGAGGGCCCAATGATGGACTTTGTGTCCTTCTTACTAGTATGCCGACGAGGCAGAAGGAGAAGAATCAGAATCGGAATCGGAATCAGACTCAGGGCGGCGAGTGGCGGACAAGAGCATTGGCCTACGTGGGTGTAGAGTAGACGGTTCCAAGACCGAGGTAGTCTGCGCCTGCTTGGCACGCCGTTATGGCTTCTTGCTCGGAGCTGGCTGTCACACCGATGATTTTGTTCGGTCCCAGGAGTTTCCTTGCTTGGTGGAATTCTTTTTTTGATTTTTTGCCCCGCCTCGTAGGAGAGTTGTTAGCCCGCGCGTGCTATCCATGAATGTCTTGTGCGTGTGCTGCTCACCCATATCATCCTGTCCGATGTGCACGCCCTCGCAGCCAATTTCAAGCGCCACATCGACCCGGTCGTTGATCAGGAGCGGAACTCGATGGCGCTGGGCGAGCTGGTGCAGCTTTTTGGCGGTGGCGACGACGTCCTCTCTGGCGCTGTGCTTGTTGCGATACTGGACCATGGTCACGCCGCCTCGGAGCGAGGCCTCGACCACGCTGACGAGGTCCTTGTCTCCTAGGATGGCGGGCGTTGAATCGGTGACGAGGTAGACGGAGTAGTCTGCTTCCATTTTCGACGGACTGGACGAGAGGGTTGTTTGTAAATTGTCGAGATTGACGAGCGTGGCGGTCGTTGATGTAGAAGGAGCGGGTGGCTTCGTTGCCCGAATGGGTAGGAGATTTGTGGGCCGTCGTGGCGGGCCGTGGCCTGCATCATTGTTCGAACTTCGATTGCAACTTGGCAGCGACAACGTCCATGGCTTCTTTGTTTTCAAGGTTGAAAATCCGCCCCTTTTAAACGTCACTCTCAGTCGCCGAGTCCCGATCCGGGGCAAACAAGCAGCATGTCGGCCACGTCCCCAGTTTCGTCCGACTGTTGTCCTCGCCACGGTGCTTGTTGAGCCATTCACTTCACGGGCCACACACATTGTCCAAATCGCTGCGTCACAATCAACGTCGAGAACAGAGAGGGCACGGTCAAGCTACAGAAAAGTGAGGACGACTGTGGCTTCGCTCTAGATTCATTCTACTGGTTCGATGACTCGATACTACTCGTCGTCTAGCTCAATCCCCGTCCCCAGAGCATCTCGTACTGAGCATCTTTCATTCGTTCGTCATTCTCGTGAGCGGACTCAGGAGCCGTCTGTAGGCTCGTGCTAGGCTGCTGTTGAGCCCTTGTCTTGCGTGTATGCGAATGTAAAGACTGTGGCAATATTTGGTCAAATCTTGATTTCCGGGCAACAAACAGCCCTGCCGGGAGGAACACATCCATCACAACGGCTCAACAGGCAGGGAGATCTGACTTGGCTGGGACGCCGCGATGCTCTCCGCCTCGGTACTCAACCTCAGCCACATCTGGCTCCGCTGTTGGGTCGCATTCGCAAGGGAGCGCTTTGCCTCGTCCCTCAGCTGGCGGAGGACCTTGAATCCGCCCCTGATGTTGTCCGTCTCGTACCCCTTGGCTCTGAGCACACTGTTTGCCACGCGGGAGCTGTCGCCGTCGTAGCACAGGAGCAGGACACGCTTGCCTTGGAGGAGGGACTGGAGGTCTTGGTGGGGGAGTTTGAAGGTCTCTTCAAGCCTAGTCCATAGCCCTTTGAGGATCCTGGGATCGGAGAAGGGACTGCCTTGGTCTGCCTGGACGAACGGCACGTTGGTGGATCCGGGGACGTGGAAGGCCTCAAAGTCTGCAGCTTGGCGAAGATCAATAATCGTGGTGTCGGATTTGGGTCTCGCGGTGCTGTTTTCTAAAAGCACGTCGCCGCTCATTGTCTTGCTGACGCCATAGAAGGCACCGATTGCGTCGGCGGCGTCTCTCTCCCAGGCTTCGTCGTATCTGTGGACGTCGACGCCGAGGAGCTCCTGCGTCACAGCATTCAGCGTGAACACGAGTAATGCCTGTTCCCTGTTCAAGAACGTACCTCATTTTTGATGGACGGGAAGAATGACTCGCCCAGTTTGTCAAAGTACTCATTTACGTACTGGTATGGCAAGTCGCAGCACAAGAAGGCGCAGTGAATCTCGCCGTCCGACCCGGCCAGCTGAGACAGATTATCTTCTGCCTTGCGCTTCTCGATGAACTGGAAGAGGCCCTTGAGGTTGAACCCTGAAGAGGGTCCGCAGACAAGGCCCTCTCTAATCATGTCCAAGGACAGAGAGTATGAGTCGTGCGACCCGACTTCCTCGACATGGTCAACGGCAGCTTTCCACGGGAACTCGACGGGTGCTAGGAGGGCGTATGAACGAGGTCCCGGGACACGGTCACCAGGTGCGGTGCAGACGCTGTTTTTGATGTCGTTTCTGTTAGCCGTCGTAACCGAGCGCAGAGCGACCCGGCTCTCGCACAGAACAATGACGTACCCGAGTCTGAAAACGCTGGGCTTTGCACTCCGAAAGTAGGTGCCCAGGCCGGTCATGGTACCTTGAATGGCAAAAGTAAGCAAGGGGCATTGGCATGTCTGCCATGGTGAACAGGACTCACCTGAAGTGCCCATGCCTGCACAGATGACGTTGATTTCTGGCAGTTGCCTCAAGATTTGAGGCCCAGTCCACTTTACGTGAGACTTCCAGTTCTACACGAGGTGCACATCAGCATCCACCATCAAGCATCAAGCATCAAAAGGGACTCTGTGGCGACACTGACATCGTCGTTTGCATATTGGTCGGGGTTGACCGTCGCAGAGTCAGATTCTTGAGCCAGTCTCCCAGCGGCTCGAATACCGCCTCTCTCATCGAGCGGTTCCGGTTGCGAGGGACCACCAAACAGGGTGCTAGAGCCGTCAGCACTGTGTTGTCGAGGTAGAAAAGAGGAATCCCAAGCATGACTTACATGTCAATCCCGAAGAGCTGCATCAGGCGAATCTTGGCCAGGCTCGTCTTGTTACTCAGAAAGGCCCGGACATCCGGCAGGCCATAAAAGGCCCGAGCAATCATGGACATGGAAAGCACCGTCGACCCGGAGCTGTACTCGACAATCGTCTTGGTCTTGCCCGGTACGATGCTGCTTTGAAGGAGATTCAGGGCTGCAAGGCGGCGGCGCGCGAGCAGTAGTCAGTCCAGCGCAACGCTTGACACTCATGTTTGATTGAGCTTGCATGTCTTGGTCGGGGGGCCGTTCCTACCTGGCATTGATTTGACGTTGTTCGCGGGATGCATCGACATCATCTTGGCGTAGATGCGAACGCCTTCCGAGCGGTAAGGGTTGAGACAATCTGGAATCTCAACAAGGGGCATCGGCGGCGACGACTCTGGATCGAAATACTGCCTCACCGAGTCCGGGCCCTTGTACACGTTCAAGAAGTTGTCGTTCCCCATGGCTGGCGACTATCGTCTGCGTCTGAGCTGTCTGTCGACGTCGGGTGGTATCGTCCCGTCTTTCTGGATCAGGTTTCCTGTCTGCCTTTGTTGGTGAGGAGCTAAAACACACATACGTTTGGTAAATGTCGATGTGGATATGGATGTGAATAGACACACGTACATATATACATGTATGTGTGTCCCTACGTACATATGCGTATCCTGTCGCAGCGCAGACTAACGCCCACCCTTATTATAGTGTCTTAGACTCTCAGCCTTGATATCAGTATCGAACAAACTGCCACCAAACAGAGCAGCACGCAGTCACGTATCCCCTGGCACTTGACGTGCTCGTGACTAACTACCGCCGGCCACAACAGACCCTGCGGCAGAACGAACAGGCGCAAACCCAGTCAAAACAACGCAAAACCCGCATCAGCCTCTGTAGCATTGTGGCTTCCTGCGCTCACCTGCCGGCTACGTCCAATGACACGAGGTTGCGAGTCGTCTGATCGTGATGGCTCAACCCGAATACTGGTCCTGGAGTTCACGTCGGCTAGGTTTCGTGCTGTCATGGTCTTCAGATTCCTGATTCCAAATTAGCGGGTCTCAGCGCAAAGTTTCCTCCGAAGTACTGCGCTTAGGCTTGGATACTATTAGACCGTGACAGGTCCTGCTCCGGGCTGATTAATTGAGTGTGGATTCGTTTCCCGCTTCCCGGTGGACAGATTGAGTTCCAACCGTGGGGATACCGTCCGACGGCGCTTCGCGAGGAGTCGAGGACCTTGTTGTCCTCCCGGACGACCTGTCACGGAGCTAGCAACAAAGAATTCGACTAGGACTGTACCCATGTCTGTCTATCAAGGTGCGGAAACGGTCAATCAGGTGTTTTGGGACTAGAGACGCAAGCCGTGTTTGTGTGAGAAGTAACCGACTCTAATTCTTTCGTCCTATCACAAGTTGTTAGCTAACTTCCGTATATACAACCCGACTTGAACAAGCCATGGAGTTCATTTTCTTTACTTCGACTCTCTTTGTCCCCCTTCCTGCTCTGTAGTCATTTTTCTGTCCTACCTTTTCCACGTCGAAAGCACACCCTGCTGGTTTAAAACCCCCTTCAGGCAACCAAGACACTTTAGAGTCGAGCCAGTGTATTATATCCAACCTGGCGCTGCTGGTGGAGACGAGGCGTTAAGCCTGGATCCTGACTCCGTCCCGGCGGGCTGATCTCCTCCCCTTTCAATGTTAACCCATTCTGGAACAGGCAAGCTGGAGTTCTCATATATGCTCAAAGTCCCTCAAGGTTGCGGCAGATACCGAACCCCTTTTCCAATCATCACTCCCGACAGGACGTGTTTTGCGATCCCGGTAACCGCGGTTGTTCACCCTACTATGGGATCGCAACCTCGTGTTGGCGGTGCAAAGGCCGCGCAAGGATTTTGACAAACGAACGGCGGCAACGGCCCAGCTCGACTGGATACACCCTGTCTTTTGGACAAGCTTCCGCTGCCGGGGCCAAGTTTTTCTATGTGTCTCCACTAATCCGACTTTCCTGGCCGGCCATGTCGTTAAGCTTGTTCCGGGCGCAACTTGTAGCCCGTAGGTCGTGGACATCAATGGTTCGTTCAACTGTTATAGTAACGGTTGCTGAACGGCAAGGCCTGACAAAGAAGGGACGCCGGATCATCCATTTGTCAGGAGTTGGTGTGTTTTACTGTCCAGCAACTTGGCAATTGCCCTAGAGTCTCGAGCCTAGAAAGATCTCGGCATCCTGGAACGTATCGTTATACATACAGCACATAGTACAACACGGATATATTTCTCCATAACATACCTAGGGGTAGAGGGTACGGAGCACCTGCTCAGTCGCCATCAAACCTTGTCGTTGATGACCAAGGGCCGGGGGGGTAGGGCCCATTGCCATTCGACCGGGACGCCCAATATTAGCATGCGGTTTCACGCGTGATCTTTTGTTGGCCATGCAGGTTCGCAGTATTCGTCATTTATTTTGCTGTCATCAATGCATTTTTCAACCTACTTGCAAAAGCCGATCGACTCATTCCTGGCCGTGCCAGAGTCGCATCCTGTCTCGACTCTTGCGACTAGTTCGTTGTCCCTCCCCAAAACTCGACTCTGGTCTCCAGGTTTGATTGAGGGCTACCGACCGAGCCCGTAGCACACCTCTTCTACTTTGGAATCAGAGCCGATCAAAGACAAGCAATGGGAAAAGAGTCGGTCCAGGCCCATGAGCCCGTCATGGTGGCGCAACCTGTGCCAGCAGACTCGTCCTCCAATGCGTCTGCATCGTCTGACAGCGAAGGCGAGGTCGCCAAGGTACACCAGTTCAACGAGCAGACAAACTATGTCCCCAAGAGAACAATCATCACGGTAAACCGCCCCGCCTCTTTTCTTCTCGGACGAAAGAAAACTTTGGAGTCTCTCGACTTGTTGCTGACAAGCGCCAGATCTTCCTTGCCTGTGCTAGCGTTGACCTTTTGGCTCTGATGGACCAAACCACCCTCGCGACAAGTTTGTACATCATAGGACGAGCTCTGGGGTCAACAGACCAAGTATCATGGATAGCCAGCGGTTACTTCATGCGAGTTGCTCCCTCCCCCTCGCCGTGTCGGAAATGTCTTTCTCGCTCTCGCTAATGCGACCAACAGAACGTCTACCGTGGGACAATTGCTATACGGCCGACTCTCCGACATTTGGTCCCGCAAGGCGGTGTTGCTGACCGGGCTCGCCATCTTCTTTGTCGGATCTCTGGCGTCGTCGCTTGCTCAGTCCGTACTGCAACTGACTGTCTTCCGCGCATTCACTGGCATTGGAGGCGGCGGCTTGATGACTGTCGCGCAGCTCATTGTCAGCGACGTCGTGCCCTTGCGAGAGAGGGGAAAGTACCAAGGGATCCTGGTAAGACGTGTCCGGTCCAAGTCCAGCACTTTCAATATCAGTATCAGTATTGCTCCCCGGCAAGCTGACCATATTTTTCTGTCCCAAGGGTGCTGTCGTGGCCATTGCAAACGGCATTGGGCCCATCGTCGGCGGCGCCCTTTCGTCAAAGTCGTCTGAATCATGGCGGTGGATTTTCCGGCTCAATCTTCCATTGACGGCATTCACGACGGGCTGTGTCATGTTTTTCATGCCCTTGAAGAAGGTTCAAGGCGATTGGAGGCTGTACGTTCTCTATTGCTCCATCGCGTGGCCTGCATCTTTTGTTTTTTGTTAACACATGTCCAGGAAACTAAAGGCGGTCGATTTCGGCGGCATCTTGCTCGCATTTTCCGGAATGACCATCTTTATCCTGGGCATGACTTGGGGAGGCCGTGAGTACTCGTGGAATTCTGCGCAAGTCATTGCGACCATGGTGGTTGGCGTGGTTGTCTCGGCTGGCTTCATCTTGTGGCAATGGAAAGGACCCAAATATCCTCTTGTGCCTCGTGAGTGTCTGACTTTGTAGCTGTCAATTCTTTACTCCCCTTCGGATTCCGAGCTGACGTCCCTCAGTCCGCATTTTCAAGTCCAAGATCGTCAATGGCGCGTGTCTGACAATGGCCATCAACGGATGGAACTTTGTCATGCAAGTGTACTATGTCCCGTCATTCTACCAGCTTGTCTACGGATACTCTGCCACAAAGTCGGGAGCTCTCCTTTTGCCCATCACCATCATTCAAACCCTCAGCAGTACTCTCTCCGGCTTGGTTGTACACTGGGTCGGCCGGTACCGGGAATGCATCTTATTCGGCTGGGTGTGCTGGGCCGTTGGTCTCGGTCTCATGTCGACTTTGGACGAGACCACTGGACTTGGCAAACAGATTGGGTACGCGACATTGATTGGTGTTGGTGTTGGCAACACATTGCAGCCGTGAGTCGATGCCGGGCGCCGCGAACTTGATGATAGTCTGGCCATCTGACGACTCGCACAGGGCATTGATTGCAACCCAGGCAGGCGTCGAGCGGCGCGACATGGCAATCGTCACCTCGTTCCGCAAGTCAGTGTCCCAAATTCCCGAGAAATCCGCCCCCAAGCCGGTCCATTGTTAACAGCGTGCCATAGCTTCGTCCGAAATCTCGGCTCAACCCTTGGACTTGCAGTCTCTGGAACAGTAGTGTGAGCTAGACATTCGCATCTAACCCTTCCTTCCCCTACCCCTTTGTATGCCGAAAAACATGCTGATTATCCGCAGCAACAACATTCTGGCTGGCGCATTCTCATCCCTCAGCCTGGATGCAAAGGCAGCCAGGTTGCTCCTCAGCAACCCGCAAGCGTATCTTGGAACAGTGTCTCCGGAGGAAGCAGGCCGTATCAGAGCTATTCTTTTCCCGGCATATCAGCGCGGCTTCCGTATCATTTTCATCATCGGCGCATCATTAGCCGCATTTGCATTTGTCCTGGCATTTTTGCTCATGCCGCAGGTGGAGTTGAGTAGACCAGACGACCAAAAATTAAAGGAGGAGGCGCAAAGGGCTCATGACGAAAAGAAAAGGAAAAGAGACGCTGCTTAGATTTCACAGTTTGTTGTTTGTCGAAGCCTCTTTCACTTTTTTTTGTTGGCCTTGTGCAAGGGAAAGAGGTCAAATGTATAGCCGCAATAATGCATGTACCAATTTAGACAAAAACCGACGGAGGGAGAAACTAGTACTTATAATAATAAGACGGAGGGGTAAATAAACGATGCTTGATTTTCCCCTCAGTTCTCTCGACGGGATTCCTAGGCAATCACTCCACTCATTCTGCTTATTAATATGGACGAATTGCTCCTTCCCCTTGACAGGCCTGTGTCATGCCAGGGATTTCCTAAGATGAAAAACAGGTTAAAAGGTACTTGATAACAGCACAGCCGCAGTTGGTATTGCCGCATAAAGATGGACGATTATCAAGTGGGCGTGTAGCGTATTCAAGAAAGCAATTTCAGATAATTTGCCAACTAAATACACAACTAAAATGAAAGAAATAGCTAAAAGCGCATGGTTGGAACTTGGTCGTAGTCGCTTCCCGAGGAAGACTTGGTCACACGCATCTTATTAGTTTTAGCCTGCCCCACATCCAACTTCATCTCGTGCTCCCTCCAAATTGGAGCATCAAGCCTCCATCCAAACTCGCGCCCTTCCAGCGCGGCGCAGCCGTCACAATGACTCGATTTCGACCATGTATAGACCTGCACGCCGGCCAGGTCAAGCAGATTGTTGGCGGCACTCTGGACAGCGCCTCGTCATCCCTGCAAACGAACCATGTGTCACCACACCCTCCGTCGTACTTTGCCGAGCTGTACCGGAGCAACTCACTGCAGGGCGCTCATGTCATCATGCTGGGACCGGGAAACACGGAGTCAGCCAAGCAGGCGTTGCAGGCGTGGCCGGGCCACCTGCAAGTAGGCGGCAGTATCAATGACAGGAACGCAAAGGAGTGGCTGGACGCGGGGGCTTCGAAGGTTGGTTCGCAGGAGCCCGGCAGAAGACGAGTGCAAGCCGGTGGCAACGTTGCGGGCTAAGGAAAGTGCCAGGTCATCATCACCTCATATCTCTTCCCGCAAGGAAACTTCAGCCAATCGAGGCTCGACGCTGTTCTGGAAGCACTGGGCGGAGACAGGAGCAAGCTGGTCATCGATCTGAGCTGTCGCCGCCGCGGGGAGGACTCGTGGTTTGTGGCCATGGACAAATGGCAGACAGTCACCGATATGGAGGTCAATCAAGGTAGGCGGCAGGTCTCCAGGGTTATGGCGTTTACGGAATCCGTTGACGTCTCGGCTGACGGCGGAAGCAGAGTCTATCAGAGCCCTGGAGCCGTACTGCTCCGAGTTCTTGATTCATGCGGCAGATAACGAGGGCCTGCAGAAGGGCATAGACGAGGCATTGGTGGGCAGATTGGCAGAGTGGTGCTCCATCCCCGTCACTTATGCTGGTGGAGGGCGGAGTCTGGAAGACTTGGACCTCGTCGACCGGCTCAGTCGTGGCAAAGTCGACTTGACTATTGGCAGTGCGCTGGACTGTTTTGGTGGAAATGGAGTCAAGTTTGATGATTGTGTGGCTTGGAATAGAAGAGCAGGGAGCTCAGCCGGGTGACTGGTGACACTTGGTTATTTTGCAGAAAAGATATCCGTGCTGTCCTAGCCAGATTACGTCGCGTAGCTAGCTGGTTGTATAGGTAGCTAAGCTAAGCTGCCCATGCGAACATGTTTTGTATTTTTGTTATTGAGACTTATTTGTTAAACTGGTCAACTAAGGATGAGAATCACAGCTGTTCATGTAGTAATTTACGACGGGGCATAAAGAATGATGTAATGGAGCGGTTCGCAAGTTGGGATTGCGCGAAAGAACAATGATGGGTGGGTTCAAAAAAGAGGGAGAGGCTAATAGCGGAATTGTTGGCCACGATATGCAAGGCAGCTTGGGGTCGATACGAGTTTTTTTTTAGTTTTTTTTTTTTTTGTGCCGTCCTTGATTCATCAATTCACAATGTCGTGGTGGCTGAGGCTGAGAACAACATCACGACGGATTGTTTGTGCCTTGTTTCCTTGCGGGGGCTGGTTGGCCCAGGAACAACGGAGATAGTAATAACAACCCATACCGAGGTTTCCATAGGCGTCGCATCGCCAATCTCTGTGCGCACCACACTCGTTTCAAGCTTTGGGGTCAATGGATGGGAGGGGTGGAGAGAGAAAAGGCGGGACGAGGCCAACGTGTGTGTGAGTGTGTTGCCATCAAGATTAAGTGGTATTCTTGATTCTCAACTCGGGTTTTTGTCTGCGAGATGCACTTTGCGATTTAGTATGCATTGTGTGAAACACGGATGCTACGTCAACCGTCAACTAGCGATGAATCCGCAGCTCCTCCAGACAGTCAGTCAGGTTCAACCTCCTCATCAGACGTGGTTCTTCCCCCTCCCGCTCCGTTATTGCTTGCACACGTGCAGCCGTCAGCAATGACGTGCAGGAGGCCGACTGCATACATATATTATCGCAGATGGCTTTCATACGAGCAGTCTTGTCCCACACACACACAAGTGTCCCCCATGTTGACCAGAATGATCGAGACGGCGGGCAGCATTCCAGCGTCTTGGGCAGAGGTAAGGTGGGAGGTGGGAGGTGGGAGGCATCAATTGATTGCTGGGCTCACGGACGTTGGAGCAATGAGGGATGAAACAATTGTCCACTGCAGCCAGACGGGCTCGAGCTGAGGAAGAACAAGAACCAGACTGCACTTGGTGGCCGTTCAGATGTTCAACATTGACGATGTTGACATGGACCCGACATCCGACCGCAGCTGACCCCTGAACGTTCTGAGTCGCTAGTGGGCTTATTCCCTGCGACGCCGTGCTACTGGTTCGTTTTAGGCGTCACGGGCGCCGCCATCTTGCGTCCAGGAACCGGTTGGCCCCGGTTGGCCCCGGTTGGCTGCAGTCCGGCTCCAGATGGCCCGTCAACTGGTTCATCGACGCGGCCTTTGGTTGCTGGGACAACCCCATCGAGACCCCCTCGTCACTGTTTATCCAGCCCGGGCCAATCATGCGCCTCCTTGACAATGCCATCCATCAATCATTTGCATTCCTTAAGTGCTGCCGCCTGCAAAGTGAGCGTCCCTGCTTTCGGCTTTCGTCAATTCGACTCCTCGTCGTCAGCGTCCCTCGTTCTTGGATGATAACTACTACGAGAATTAGTCTGGGTTGGCTGTCTTTCCAGCCAGTCCACGTCGTTCTTTAACTTATTTATTTATTTTTCTTCTGCCTCGTCGGCAATCTCGACGGCTCGGACCGTGATTATTGGCTTGCGTCGTCTCGTCGAGCCTCGTTGCATCAGAGACCCTGGGGATAGCATCGCACCTCGTGCTGCTTCGTGAAAGGGCTTCTTCGCTGGCGTCGTGTGTGTTGTGGACCGGTTGACTCCAACTTGCCAAGTCACCCAGCAGCATTCCAAAACATCCACATCGCACCACCCTCTTGTCGTTCTGCGACTCAACCACATTCCTCGACTGTTTGGCCCTGCAACGCCAGAACCATCAAGCTGTGGTCACCATGGCCTCTGAGCCGGTATGACAGGCTTCACTTCTTCTCGCCCGTTTCTTCACGCGACACTAAAGCTCGGATCCTAGGTGCACCCTCTGCGCATCTCCAAGAACAGGCCAACATCTTCGCCGAGGAAGATGGTGGCAAACACGCCTCCTCGTCCCTTGAGTGAGATCTCACCCGCGGAGAAGAGACGAAACTCTCCGAGCTGGCAGCTGTATTCTCCCAAGGTTAGTTGCCCACCACCCACTTGCCACCCTTCCACATTGCCTGGTTTTAATACTACAAATCCTATTATCCATGCGCCGCCCACCCCGTCTTGTGGCTTTTTGTCTCTGATGTCTCAATTTCCGCCTTCTACTCCCACCACCACTTGCTCCCCACGGGTATCTGGCGGCTTCGTGCGTCTGGTTTCACACCGCACAGTCTCCCCGTCTCCACAACCTAGCTTCCTCACCATCTTTCTTTCTTTATATGCCGAGTTAACACTTGTGCTGTAGAAGGCTACCCTGCCCGGCAACGACTCTTCGCCATTCCAGTCCTCGCCGCTTGAATCCTCCACTTCACCAAGACTCTTCTGGCAGAGCCGCAACTCCGAGAATATGCTTCATGGTGCCGGCTCTGGTTCGCCATCGCCAAACCGCCGTTCTTCGATTGAGCGCCTCCAGAGAGCGTCCCGTGTGAGGAACAGCAACATCTTGGCGCTCGAGCAGAAGCAAGAATATGACCCTACCCGAATCCCGCACATCGAGAGACCCCTGGCAAAGGTCCAAGGAAGCGTCCTCACGTCTTCGTCCAGCTCTGGTGGCTTTCGCTCCTCAGACTCGGATCTCCAAGACTTGGACAACAGATCCAGCGTGTCTACCATGAGCCCGTCCAAGATCTCGCCAAGGCTGCCTGACGCTACTCATAAGATAGCGAGATCTTCCAGCAAGGACCAGGCCTCCCCAACCAAATCCTCCCTTTCACCTACCAAATTTAACAAGAACGCATTTGATCCCGAGGCCGGCACCTGGTCAGGCCACTCGTCTTTGAGCGAGAACGATGTTTTTGAGGGTCGCTGCCTGAGCCGACATCCCAAGAGCGTCACGTTTGACGCTGCCCCCCCCCAGATCAACGAGTATGAAACAGCCACGCCCGATCTTTCATCTATCGGAACGAATTCTCGAGAGGGCAGCTACGACTCTGTTGACGACTACGACGACGACGACGTTTATGACCCTGCTCACCCCGACGTCCAAGACGAAAGCTTTGACGAGTCCCTTGAAGACACTGACAAGACTCCTGTTGTTGGCCCCGAAGATTGGCGCGGTGAGAGTCCCGTCGCTCACCGCACCCTGGACTCCGCCAAATTTGAAGGCAGCCCAATGCCAGAGACTGGCCCAATGATGGCTGATACCGGCCGAACAACTCCTACCAACAAACGCTCCGACTCTGCCACCTCAGCTGGAGACCATCGGCCACTCCCCCCTCTGCCCGGCACAGGTCACTCTAGAAGCCAGTCATCAGGCTCCAACGGGGCCTCACCTGGACTATCTGCGACGGCAGAAAGAATGCTCGGCGGCTCGCACCGAAGCCTGCCTTTCCCTCCACCCGCATTCGCATCCAAATCCGATATCCAAAACTTTGGCAGTCAAAAGATGACCCTGGAGGAGCGGTTGAAGCTCATGATGCTCTCCGATGACACTGCCGACGCTAAGACCGCCGCCGAGCAACAACGGGAGCGCAGAATGCGACGTGGAGCCGGCCGTGAAAGGGGCGGGACTCCACACTCCGAGGCCGAGTCCGAGACGGCGATGGAGGCTCTCGAGGCTGATGATACCATTGAAGACATCTCTGGGATAGACTTTCAACTGCCACCCAAAATTTCCAGAGAATCCATTATGCGCCGTGTGAAAGGTAACAATGCCGTTGATGACCGCTCAGGAAACCACTTGACGTCTGCCTCAGCCAGCCCCCAGAGGAGTCTGCTGCCGACCGTCGAAGGATCCGTCATGGATCTAGATCCGGACGTTCCTATCCCATCAACGGAGGATTCCGTGGTGGATTCCGAGCATGAGCAAGAAGCCAGCGTCATCATCACAAGAAATTCTCGAGATGGCGAGGACGAGCATGTCATGGACTATTATGATGAAGGAAGTCTGGCCGACGGCGAGGCTGTAGCAGGAGAGGCACAGATTGAAGAAGAATGTGTCGTGCAGCCCCAGATCATAGAGCAGATGAAGGAGGCTGCAGTCGCTGAGAAGCATGACCATCCATCCAATCAGCGTTTGAAACTAGAGCCTTTTACAACTGGACTGGGCTTTGATGGGATGGATGACCCGTTCACGTCTCCCGGGGCGGCTGAAGAGCCGGTCAAGCACGAAGCTGTACATGAGCATGAGACGAGGAGCACTGGGCCGGAGATGGTTGAGCCTCCTAAAACCCCTTCGACACCTATTGGACGCATGTCGAAACCAGAGTACGATGGCAGTGGCTGGGGTGAGCCTGATGATGACTATGCAGACGAGCCAGGTAGTCCTGGGTCAGTTATTCATCACCCTGTTGAGGAAGAAAAGAGGCAGAGGGAGTCCCCTCCGGCCATTCCCGAAAGAATTGCCACTATCAAAGCCCCCGGAGCCAAGCTCAAGACTCGAGTCTCCAATACTCCCTCTGACCTTGCTGCCATGCGCGAAGCTCGCAGGCATGTGAGTCGCGAGGTGCCCGATGTGCCACCTATTCCCGAGAAGCATCGCCAGCGCACGTCACGAGACATGGATGTTGAGGAAGCGCTGCCTCGAGATGAGTTCATCGAGCGCCACCCAAGTTTCAAAAACCGCAGCCTTACTCTGGATCTTGGCATGGGCCTGAGCTTGGATCAAGATTTTGAACGAGTCATTGAGGCACAGAAGCGAGGCTATCTCATGCGACAGAATACAAAGGTCATTACGGCTAGCGACAAGGACGGCGACGACCACGCCAGGGCGAGGTCTGCCCATACGTCTCCAGTAAAGCAGGGCCGACCAGAAACCTGGGTCGTGGAGCCTTGGAAGGGAGATGCTCGCCCCCGGAGCACACGCAAACGCATCACCGGCACCAGCGATGCCGTTCCACCACTGCCTGGCAGGGATAGCAATGCCACGACTATCAACCATGGGCTCGACGAAGACGCTCAGTCAGAGGCCGCCACCATTGACAGTGGTGAGAGAGGCCGACTTTTCGTCAAGGTCATGGGAGTCAAGGACCTAGATCTTCCCTTGCCCAAGAATGAGAGGACTTGGTTCAGTCTTACTTTGGACAATGGTGTTCACTGTGTCACCACAGCCTGGCTTGAACTGGCAAGAAATGCCCCCATTGGACAAGAGTTTGAGTTGGTGGTGCCAAACGACTTGGAATTCCAGTTGACGCTGAATGTCAAGCTAGAGAAGCCTCCGTACCTGAATGCACAGGCAGTAAGCAAGCCTGTCAAGACCAAGACGTCGACGTTCAGCCGTGTGTTTGCATCTCCGAAGAAGCGCAGAGAGATGGAACTCCGACAAAAGGAAGAAGAACGCCAGCAAAGAGAGGCCCTCGCCCGCCAGCGCAACTGCGCTCCATCGGGATATGAGCTCTTGTCTCCTCTAACCGCTGAGGATGGTAGCTTTGCTCGATCATATGTCTGCTTGAAGGAACACGAGCACCGATGTTTTGGTCGGCCATGCACGGTTGAGATTGCCTGTTTCAACGAATGGGCCACTGAGGAAGAGAGCTTCGCATCCAGTGTCAAGAGTAAGCGTGGAAACGCAGCAGCAGCAGTGGTTCGACGCGCCCCGTACAAGATTGGAAAGCTTGAGCTTCAGTTACTCTTCGTGCCTCGCCCCAAGAATTCAACGGATGATGACATGCCCAAGAGCATGAACTCGTGTGTCCGGGAGCTCAAGGCTGCTGAAGAACGCCTCTCTCGCAACTGGGAAGGTCATCTGAGTCAGCAAGGAGGCGATTGTCCCGTAAGTCTAATATGTGACGGACCCCCGAACCAAAAACAAGGTACCATGGGAAGCTGACAGGATTGTTTCTAGTATTGGCGTCGAAGATATTTCAAGCTGGCTGGTTCCAAGTTGACTGCTTATCATGAGGCAACTCGGCAACCGCGTGCCAGCATCAATCTCTCGAACGCCAAGAGACTGATTGACGACCGGAGGGCACTGACAGAGAGAGAAACGACTGGAAAGGGTGGCAGGCGACGACGCTCTGGATTTGCGGAAGACGAAGAAGGCTACATGTTCGTTGAGGAAGGCTTCCGTATCCGGTTCAACAATGGCGAGGTGATTGACTTTTACGCCGACACTGCCGAGGATAAGGAAGGGTGGATGCGGGTCTTGACCGAAATCCTTGGACGAGATAGTTCCATGGACGAGATCAATGGTGTTCGATCACGAGCGAAGTGGTGTGAGCTTGTTTTGAAGCGGGAGGAGCAGCTTCGCCGCAAGGCAGAGGGTCGTCGCGTACACTCGCGATCAAGAAGCGCGGCCTCGTAGAGAGTGTCGAGCAACTCGGCGTCTTGTTTACTACCTACCCCCTGTTGCTCTACTCCTCTTTCCTTTACAGACTTGTTGTTTACGAAGCGGCACGGCATGAGGCAACGGACGAAAATACAGGCTCGCACCAAGTCTTGCGACGGGCTCACGACAGGTTCGGAAAACCTGGCGTTACATATGGTTTTAGGTGCTTTGTGCGTCGAGCGTTTGTTCTAGGCTTTTGGTGCCTGTGCATTTGGACAAGTGTTTGCTATCTTGGTTGTTTTGTAGCGAGTGGCCGAAGCACAGTGAGGAGAATGAAGGCAAGGCACTTACCAGCTTTGGGAATGTGGAGGGCGTCGCCGGTTTTTCTTTTGTTATTTTGCTCTATTTGGCGGCACTGTAGGATTGTATGTATGAATTTTGTGTTCATTCCGCCAATGCAGGTCTGATGCCAATTACTGTGAAGATGTGATGCACGCGCACCGTGGTCAGTGGTCAGCGGTTCTGGTGTACGGTGAGCTTCTGCGCCGACGTCGTCAATCAACCCATCTGTCGTCTGCACTTTTGGTACCTGCGTACCTCTGGTGGATTAGGTACCTACCAAGTGCCTTAGGTACCTACTTAGATACCTACTTAGGTAAGTACTTACGAATGTCTCCTTGCACCCCCCCCTCCTCCGTCCCGCGTGTCGTACATGTACATGCACCCGTACCGTGCTGGTGTTGCCCTGCCGGCCCGCCCACTGTCCTGTGACTTCAAATCCCACTTCAACCAGCTGCCGAACACTCCAATTGACAATCCCTGTTTCCCTTCTCGCCATTTCACTTCCTCGGTTTCGTCATTTCCCTCTTCCAACCTTGCAGCTGTGCTGCAGCACTATCCGACATAATGGCCGGCCGATTCGTGAGGGCCTCCAAGTACCGTATGTCAAGCCACGCCTGCTTATTTCAGGATCCGAACCGCCCGCCCTGCCTGCCCTTGTCTTGCCTCCCGAGTCCCGACCCCTCGTGATTCACCACGACGACGTCTTGTTTTGGCCAGTAGCGATAGCTGACTCTTGGCGATGGCTGCACCACAGGTCATGTATTTGGAAAGCCCACGAGAAAGGAGTTTTGCTACGATAACCTGCACATCAGTCGCAATGCGTGGGACACCAACCTCGTCAAGGTCAGAACAAGCTGCGGTCCGAGGGCTCGGCTCGGTCGACTTTTGCTGCGCAATCTCGGAACAAACGTTGCGCTGCCTGCGCAGGGCCGCTGTGGCTGACGCTTGATGTCTTAATAGGTGAATCCGGAGTATTTGTCCGTCAATTGGGATTCTTCCGGCGGCGGTGCCTTTGCCGTGATTCCCCTGAGCGAGAGGGGCAAGCTGCCTGATCAGATTCCTCTGTTCCGGGGACACACGGCTACAGTCCTGGACACGGACTGGTTTGTGGCCACCCTTCTTGGCTTCCCATTGCGAGGGCCCCGCGCTGACCGAGGCTTTCTCTGCAAGGAACCCCTTCAACGATCGCGTCATCGCTTCCGGTTCCGAGGACGGCAAGGTGTTTGTGTGGGAGGTCCCCCGGGACTTTACGCTGTACACTGACGCCGAAGAAATCACTGATGTGTCGCCTGTGTGCAAGCTCGCTGGTCACTCAAGGTACGCCTGGACAAACAGACAGATCATTACATGGGACGAGATACGCATGGGCGCCCGGTAAACAAGACCACGGACACTGACACCCCCTATCGCCGGGCAGGAAAGTCGGACAGGTGCTCTTCAACCCCGCCGCCGAGAACATCCTCGCGTCCGCCTCGGGCGACTTTACAATCAAGATTTGGGACGTGGATACCGGCAAGGCGCCTCTTGCCTTGAAGCACAGCGACATCGTTCAGAGTCTCTCGTGGAACGCCAGCGGTACCATGCTCGTGACGACCTCCCGCGACAAGAAGATTCGAGTCTGGGATGTTCGCCAGGAGAAGCCGGTCCACGAGGCCGCTGGCCACAGCGGCGCCAAGAACAGCCGAGCTGTCTGGATGGGCGAGCACAACCGTTTTGCTACCACCGGCTTCTCGAGAATGAGTGAGCGACAGATAGGTCTGTGGGAACCGGGGAGGCCGGAGCCTATTGGCGGCTTTACTATGCTGGATTCAATCTCTGGCGTTTGCATGCCATTCTGGGGTCAGTCCTTGGCGGGCCTTTGTGTACATTCGCCGGGCAGCATGTGAGGTGGTGCTGACCTGCGTAGATGACGGATCAAACTGCCTATACCTTGCAGGCAAAGGGTGAAGCGCCTGTTTCCACGAGTACGCTTGGGTCACTTTATTAACGAGGTTTGTAGTGACGGCAACATTCGCTATTACGAATACGAAAACGACAAGTTTGAATTCCTCAGCGAGTACAAGTCTCCTGATCCTCAACGAGGCATTGCTTTCCTGCCCCGACGCGGCATCAACGTACGCACTGATTGCTACATCCTGCAGGAAAGAAAAGCAAAAGGAAGAAAACTCGCAATGCGCTAACAAATGCAGGTCCATGAAAACGAGGTGATGCGAGCTTACAAGACCGTCAGCGACACCTACATCGAGCCCATCTCCTTCACCGTTCCCCGCCGCGCCGAAACCTTCCAGGCTGATATATTTCCTCCCGCTGTTGGCACCAAACCCGCCGTCGGCGCCCAAGGGTGGCTTGGAGGCAAGACCGGCATCCCGGCCAAGATCGACTTGGAGAGCATCTACGACGGCAGCGCTCCCAAGGAGGTGCCGTCCGACTATAAGCCCTCCACACAACCTGCTCCTGCTCCTGCTCCCGCTTCTCCCAAGAAGGAGGAAGCCAGGCAGGAAGACCAGAAACGAGCGCCTGTGGCTCGTGGTCCTCCGCCCAGCACGAACGACCAGAAGGCGTCCATCTCGAACGTGGCCAACAAGTTCCAGGACAAGCAGGAAGATGAGGAAGATGACCAAGACGAGACTTCTAGCTTCGAAGAGATCTCGCAACCAACGCAGCGAACCGCCGGTCGAAACGACCCCAAGCCTCTGCCGGTTCCCGTCAAGACGGAGCGTCCCCCGACTCCCGAGCCAGCCAAGCTGGCATCTTCGGCCAAGACTCCCACTCCTACTGCGTCCTCGACTGCCGCCGCAGCACGGTCATCCACGCCATCTGCCGGCGTCGAAGCCTCCCTGGATCAGATCAAGCAGCTGCTAGAGAACCAGGCCAAGATTATCAATGTCCAGAACGACAAGCTTTCCCTGCTAGTAGGCGAAGTCGAGTCTTTGAAGAAGAAGGTCAACAATTCTGCGTCCCAGGATCAGAGTGAGCGCATCAGACAATTGGAATTGGAGCTTGAGGAGGCGCGATCGTAACCAGTCGAACGCGCGTGGTAGCTTTGCACGTTGATATTTTTTCCCATGCTTTGAGGACCCATCTTTTGCTCTTGATGATGATGATATTCCGAGGGGGGGCTTGGAACGGTGCATGGCTGTCGTGCAGTTGGGAGGACAATTTTGTTTTATTGTCTTGGACAGTAGGAGCAGGGTGAAGGGTTCGGGTAGAAAAATGTATTGCACATGCTACGTGAGCGAGGCAATACGATGCGCGGTTGATTGGCCTCTTGACGTGAATGTTGGATTTGGATTTGCTGGCTACCTAGAGTGACGATATGACAATACAAGCAAAGCTGGACTTTGAACGAGGCGGACGGTCGTGTCCAGGCTGCCTACCACCTACCCTGCAGAGAGCGCATCGCCGCCGGACGACGAGGGTTGTCGGCGAGCATCTCATCTGTAAACCGTCTGCCAGCCATGCCAAGACGCGCAACCCTGGCACGGCAGACGTTGTTGACGATGACGGATGTGTCTCCCAGCCAGGAGCGACGCTTTCACGCCCACCACCAACACCCTCGCCTTCGCCTCCGCCTTTGCCTTTACCTTTGTGGACCCTGAAAACACCAGCGCGGCGCCAAAGACGAGCAAGCCCCCCCCCCCCCCCCCGGCCGCAGCAAGCCCTCATCCCAGCACCGGCGGCGGCTCGCATAGACGGATCAACAACACATGCAAGGACCTAGCCCAGCCCCCGTCAAAGAGCAGAGAGCAGAGAGCAGAGAGCAGAGAGCAGAGAGCCGCCGCCGCCCGACGTACATGATGCCATCCACCACCCCGTCGCCGCAACGACGGCCCTCCCTCCCGGCGCCGCAGCAGCCTGCGCCTCTCGGCTCCGTCACAACCGACCGACAATGGACTCACACGCGTGCTCCGCAACGCGACACGACCTGCCTGCCAGGGGGGGATGCAGCCCTCCCAGCCGGGCCATGCCCAGGAAAGACGGCCGAGTCCCCAAACGACGCATCACCTCCGTTTCACCAGGGACGCCGTTTCAGCTCTCGGCTGCCCTTTTGCCTCGAAAAGGGGAGGGGAGGGGCGGCATATACACGAGAATGGAGAGAACATCGTTAATTCGCGACGAGCTTGTGCGTAAAGGCAAATCGGGTTCATCACACGACTTAAGACTTGGATACTCGATGGATGGATGGATGGATGGATGGATGGGTGGGGAGCGAAAGGGGACGGAAGGGGCTCTTGCCGTCTTTCTTCTTTTCTGCTTTGGTGACTTTTGCTTTTTGCTTTTGCTTTTGCTTTTTTTTTTTTTTTAGAACGTCTTGTCGCCACCTCTGCCTCCTTGCACGTTTGATGTTTTCCTCTTCTCCTCGCACTGGGCAGTATTCTGGAGGGGGGAGGGTGCTGCGTAAAACACCATGTGTGTATGTGCGAAGAGGGAGGGTGAGCGGCAGAGGGACTTGGCCGTTGGACATGGGGGCGTTGTTTATACAAGCCCCGCTGGCCGCTAGGATTTGCGGCTGCTGCTGCTGCTGCTGTCAAGTCTCTTCTTGGAAAAGGAAAAGGTAAAAAAAAAAAAAGAAAAACAAAATCACAATTTGCTTTCCCCCGCCTCGCGACGTGAATGCCTGCTCCCGTTTTGGATTGATGGCCAGAAACGTCGAGTTTCCCCCGCGACTCGTCGACGGGCCCATCGGAGCCTGGGCACGCCTGTGCGAGAAACACCGGCGATGCCTCCCTCGGCTTTCATGGCTTCAATTTGTCTCCTGCGCGCTTGCCTGCGACGTGGTCTGCGGCGGTGGCCGAGCGTGTTCACAGACGGCTTCACGCGGACATGTTCTCGTCCTCGTCTGTCCGGCCGGCCGGCCCTCGACAGTTGACGTCGTTCCCGGAGTGCCGTGGGAGGAACATGGCCGTGCTTTTGCCCGAGACTGGATGGACCCTGATTCTGATTCTTCGCCGGCCCCATACGGGAGCCATTGACCTCACGTTGTTCGTTGTGCCGCGCGCGTGTGTGTGTGTGTGTGTGTGTGTGTATCTCTGCGTTCTGAGATCCAGGGACGTGTGCGTGTTTGAGTCGTTTCAGATGCCCGCAGCATCTGGTTGCAGCGGCAGCACTGGGCCGCCGACGTTTGTCGTCATGCATTCACGACGACCACGGAGCTCGGCATGCGAGCACGGGCAGCAGGAGAGGGGACGTCTTGTTTGAGAACAAGAGAGCCGAGCTGTTCACCGGCAGTTGTGCCCAAGGCCCGTTCCCGACATGCTGTAGCGGCTTCTACTTGCTCATCCTTCAGAGTCCAGACACGCTTCCATATGCTTGACACGAACGGTACGCCTGTGACTGTACCGTCCTCTGTGTGCGTATAATATCCTTCGTTTAACCACCCCCGTACGGCTCCGCCAGCGAATTGCTCTGCAAGTGATAGTTCATCATATGATCCATCATATATATATGTAGCCTCCGCCTCAGCCTCAGCCTCAGCCCTGGGTCACATATACCCATTCTAGTCGAAACTGCGGACATGTCTGATGCAGGGATGTTGACGGCAGAGCAAGGGGCGGCACTTCAAGACTTCCCAAGTCCCCGAGAGTTGAGCTATGCAGAACAGAGGCATCAGTGACTGAAAGATAAGCCTTGGATGAAACCAGTCCGGATGGAAAGCTTGTTGTTCGCCGCTGCTCAGATCCTAGTGTTGCAGCACGAGTCAGTTTCTTCACCTGAGCTTGCAGCGAGTAAATGATGCCTGCCTACTGCCTCTTCTCCAGAAATGGCCATGGCGGTAAGGAGTGTTACGGCCGCCATGCCGGCGTTCCACGTTGGAGGTCACCAAGGCATGGAGGCAATCCAAGCAATGAGCTGCGAGCTGTGAGCTGCGCCATGTCCGCCCTTGACTTCATATGAAAACCTAACAGCTCGTTTCTGAAACAGGTCGACGTCGACGTCGTGCAGCGACTAGCTTCTACGCCACCCAGTCGTCCGTGACACAGCAATCCTGTGAGGCTATGATGGCAGGTGTCTTCTGAAGCGGGGGGAGGGGTTGCGAACAAGAGCCGTCTCGTCACACGGCGCAATCACTACCAATTCATGGCGCGCTGCAGGCCTGCCATCCCATCACCGAGTACGAGATCGATCCAGGGAAGGAACCGAAACCCTGTAGACCCGGCGTGTGCGTATGTTGACGACCGGGCTAGGCAACTTCGTGAAACCCGAACATGTTCAGATGAGAGCCATGTTCCATTCTGTTGTGTTTCCGAAGGACGTTTACGCGATGTCGAACGAGCTTGAGGTTGACGAGTTCAGACAGCTTCCGCTCCTAGACTCTTCCAGAACTCGTGTGTACCATGTCTCTGTTTCATGACCCATCAGAAGTCGTGGCTATCGAGTGTCCCTACTCTGCGACTAACATCGTGTTGTGGTCTTCTTGCAATGGCCGCCAGGTTTTGACAGGCCGGGGCATGCATGAATGTTGCTCGCTCTAGTGGCAAGTAATGGGGTCATACACATTACTTTGTCGGGTTGGAGGAAACACGCTTTGGTGGCTGCAAGACGTTGCGGCAAAGAGGACAAGAGGAGCGATACGGGTGCATGATACAAGTTGTCACCCAGAACTGGGAGTTCATGCAAGGCACACGCCAATAAGGGCCCGTCAGTTGAGAAAAAAGTGCGATAATCGCCCCCCAAGACAGGTAACGGTGGAGATGGTCGACCCGGTATTGTCCTATATGGTGATACGGTAATACAGTATTGTACATCCGTGAAGGCAAGCTTGGGCCTGTTCCAGGTTGTCAGTTAGGTTGTATCAGCCTTGCCGAGGCGCTCAATGCGAGATCTGGTTAGAGCCACGGACGTGGCGGAATGAGGAGAAATGGATGGCTCATGAGACATTAGACCTCAGGCCTCAGGCCTTGAACCTTGGACCCCAGACTCAGACCTCAGACCGCAGACCTCAGACCGCAGACCTCAGACCTCACGAGGAGTGTGCTAGCATGTTGGATAGATGACGGCGTGCTAGCGTCAAGGAGCTAGCAGATCACCGCAAACGCTAGCAGAAATGAAACAAGCGTCGAGGCTTGAAGCTAAAATGGTAGCCGGAGCAGAGCGAAGCCGGTAGGGCAGCGAGCTGGCCTACCTACCGTACGAGACGAGTATTTGGCGTCGTTGAGTCATAAAAGTCAAAAGGAGTTTCCACTCTGCCTTCCTCGCCTTCAGCCTCGTCCGACCGGAGGCGACCCGGAGCGAGGGCATCCAGAGTCTGCAGCCGCGAGAACGACGTATCCATTCTGCCCGGCGCAGCCCTCCAACCTTGTTCCAATTTGATGGTGGTTCCTCCTCCGTGCTCCGGCCGGGCGTTCTGTGGGACCGGCTCACCGACGGCCGCTTTGAAACGCCAATGTCCGTGGCCTGATTACACTTACATGTTTGTTTCCTAGCATGATGGGTGCTTCGTCTCGACCCAGTGCCTGTGAATAGCATAACTGTATTGACGTACTTGCCAGGTACGTGAGAATGTTGCAGCCCTGTCCTAACTCAGGTTATATCGCAACCTGTCACAACTTTTGTAAAATGCCACGACTCGGTGCGTCTTCGGGCATGAAATTGGCCGCCCATTCTGTTGTTGGACGCTAGTAAACACGCCATCGTCGACAAGTGTTGTTTGTCATTGCCACCGCTGCTGCTGCTGCTGCTGCTGCTGCTCTTGTGAGAACAATGCGGAGCGAGCGGCAATTGACTCCAGCCGCGCCGCCGGTGGTGCTTGATCTCTTCTTTTCCTTCCCTCCCTACCCTGTCCCATCCTTTCTTTCATTCTCTTTCTTTCTTTCAGGCCCCGCACGCAGCCTTTTGTGCCCGTCAGTTGAGCCCAGCCTGTTGCTAAGAATAACCCAGCGGTAAAAGTCGATTGGTTGTTGCTCCAGTGGTTGGGCCTCCCTCCGCCCCAGGCCAATGAATGGTGGCATTTTGCAAGGAAGAAAGGGGGGGGAGGCGCCGCCTGACAGAATCCGTACAGCCATTAGCACGGAGTAGTATT